TATTTCTTTTTTACGTATAATTTTTTTCTAGTGAAAAATGGATATTATTACAATCGGAGGTTTGGTTGCTGTTGTTGCTATCGTTATTGGATCATGCTTTACTATTTATAAATTATTAACGCGAGAAACAACATTTGAAGAGGTAATATATTAATCCTTATGATTTAATATTTAAATAAAATTATAGGTTTATGGAAATGATATGGCTAAACCTTTGGTTGCAGAAAAAGGCAAGGTAAAAGGGAGGCGTAATCATTCTAAAAGGCAAAGTCCAAAGAAGGAAACTGATAATAAGGAGGTTCATGTTTCTGAAGATGATGAAGCTAGTGGTGATTTTGTGGTTGTTAAACAAATGGAGGAAGCAGTCAAAGGTTTTGTTTTTACTTTTTATTCTGTTGTTTAAATCATATTAGTGTCATCTTCAACTTCTGAGGTTAACGATGAGTTGGAGAATTTGCGGGTTGAAAATGCGGAGCTGAAAAAAGAGAAGAATGAACAGGCCGAACAACTTGTCGTCTATGAGGAAACGATTAAAAACAAGACTGTTGCATCGAAACAGGTTCTTTTTTAATTTTAACTCTACATATTATACAAGAACAATTTCTTTTCTTTAGTCTTTAATTATTGGGGAGTCGACGTACCGCAAGGCCAATGTATTGGCGAGCTGTAACTTTGTTGAAATCGAATCCGGGACATAATGTTATGGTTCGATGCACTCCGACGAGCTGAAATCATAACTGCGCGTCATGGATTCGTGATCTTCAACCATGTTAAGCTCACAAAAGCGGTACATTGGCCTCGCGATACATTGGGGTTTGCTATTTTTGTTTATTTATACTTACACTTAAGATGGATGATGAAAATAAGAAACTGCGTTCTAAAAACGATCAATTCTCCGCACAATTAGAAAAACAGCTTAGGGAGTTGGAACAATTGGGCGCTGAGAATGCTCAATTGAAACGAGAGAAGAACGAGCAAGACGAACGTCATGTCATCTTTGAACAAACTGTGAAGAACAAGCTTATTGAGACTCACCAGGTTTGTTTTTCTTTTTTTTTTCTTTGATTTAATTGTTTTTAGTTGGGTGATGAAAACAAAAAGTTACGTTTGAAATGTGAACAATTTTGTGAGCAATTGGAAAAGAAGAAAACAGAGATTACTAAGTTTTGCGAAGATCGCGACATGGCTATGAAAGAGGTGCTGAAACTTCGTGAAGAGCGTGACCTTGCAAAAACTTTTATGGAGAAAGCAGCTGCCGACATTCATTCAAAAGATATTATGATTCGGAATATTGAGACTAACTTTGAACATCAACGTCAAGCTCTTCAAATTGAATTCAATGTTAGCTTTTTGTTTTGATATAAAATCTGGTATTTATTGGTTATCCCAGACCATTTTTTGCGGGCATATATTTGTTGTTTCACAAATATAAAACAGATATTACCCCAACTCCCAATATCTCCCCTAAATGTCCACAAAAACTTACGCAAATACTTATATTGAATAGAGAAAAGTTATGTATGGGCGTTCTGATCATTATGATTATTACTAAATATTTCGCAAAAATTGGTCTGACAAGGGAACATTTCGAACTGTGAGTAAAAAGTTCGAAATAAAAGTTATACCATCGTGTAGAGCATCGTCGAAAACCTTTATGGTTTCCGGCTTTTTCGGCTCCGACCCCCATTTCGAAAAGTTATAGGTCTTCAAAGTTTTCGTTTTTTGGAGCGGTTGAGTCGCCCTCATAAAGAGAGAATTTTTTTTTATTAGGAGAGAAATAAGACTCCCATCCTCCTTTTTTCCTTTCCTTTTCTTTTCCAATATTAGTTAAAGAAAGAGAAAAGGAGGAGAGAAAAGAAAAGGAAAAGAGGCATCTCTGCCTTGCAGCTAATGTCAATTAAAAAGGAACGAGGAGATGGCAGACATGCCTCTTTTCCTTTTCTTTCCTCTCCTCTTTTTCTCTTTCTTTAACCGACATGGGAAAAGAAGAAGAAAGGAAAAATGGAGAAAAGGAGTCTCATTTTTCTCTTTGGTAAGACAAATAATAAGAAAAGTGAGGGCGACTCAACCGCTCCAAAAAACGAAAACTTTGAAGACCTATAACTTTTCGAAATGGGGGTCGGAGCCGAAAAAGCCGGAAACCATAAAGGTTTTCGACGATGCTCTACACGATGGAATAACTTTTATTTCGAACTTTTTACTCACAGTTCGAAATGTTCCCTTGTGAGATACCCCAAAAATACTTAAAATTTATGTCAATTTTTTAAAAGAATGAACGTGGTCATTTTAAAAACGTGGAGCAAGAATGGTTAAATGCTAATGGACAATTAGCCAAAGAACTTACTAATGCTAATGATTTTGTTCGGGAGCTTGAGTATAAGAAATCACAAATTGAGCAGAAACTCGTTGATGAGCAGGTTTTTATTTTCTAAAAAAATTTATTACAAATATTTTAGAAAATTCGAAGCGATGCATATACGCAAATTGAGAAATTAAAAGTCGAGATGAGCCATGCTTCTGAATTGTATAATAAGCTTCAAGCGAAATTTGAAGCTGTTCAGGCTGAAAATGAAAAATTAGTTTCTGTCAATGCTGAATTAAAGAAGGAGGCCACTAATTTCCAATCTCAAAACAAAGCTATGAGTCAATCATCTGTTGAATTGGATCAATTCAAGGTATATGATTTATTTAGACAATTTATGATAAAATAAGTTTAGGGTACAATTGCGGAATTGAATACAAAGCTGGATCAACAACGTTCTCGTAATCAAGAGTTGAGAGATGCTAATTATAAGCTGATGGATACTGTGAAGGTTTCTAATTAGTGTGATGAATATTTTACTATATTATAATTTAGCTCCTCCAATCTTCCAAATCGCTTGTTAATGGTACGCCTCCCATTACCAATGGAAACATTTCCGGTACTCATGTCGAACAAGATTCTGCGGTCGTTGAAAAGCTCGTCTTAGAAAACAAACAATTCAAGTCAACATTGGATTCATTGGTATTATTACTTTATTATTATTTATCTAAATTTTTAATTGAGTTAAGTTTTTATGTCCCTTTTTTAGGCAATGAGTATTTATGGTAGACTTATTTGGGGTGTCCTCTGATCCACTTACTGGGAAGTCCTCTTACTGATTTGGATGGGTCCTCTTATTTTCTTCATTATAATTTTTGTTTATCTTGTATTTATTAGATAATTTGTAAATTAAGAATAAGCAACTGGAAGAGGTTTCAAAGATTGCGTTGGAGGTTGAAATTGATAGAGATGCTAAGGTTGCACAAATCGAGAAAATGTTAAATGAAGCAAAATCGTAGTGTACGTAATATCTAATTTCTTTTCTTTTTAATTATTACGGTTAATGAGGGTGATGCGACTTTTGCGGCGCGTACACTTGCGGCTCAGACATTTGCGGCCCAGACACTTGCGGCTCGCCCCTATTTTGACACTTGCGGTCCCGACACTTGCGGCTAAGAAATTTTCGGCGCAGACATTTGCGGCTATCAACTTGAGGCCCAGACACTTGCGGCCCAGACTATTGCGGTTTTGCCATTTGAGGCTCACCCCTATTGTGACACTTGCGGCCCGACATTTGCGGCCTCAACATTTGCGGCCCCGACATTTGCGGCGATGATTAAAAAATTTACTAAATTAAAATATTATCAGAATTAAAGTATTATAAACCGGACCGGATCCGGTGGTCCGGAATCCGGGTATTTTGATAAAACCTGTATTTCCCGGATTTTTATCAGGAAAATTCGATCCTGGTCGAACAAAATACCCGGATTCGGTCCAGGTCCGGTATAAAAAATAATCAAAATCACAAAATTTCGTAAAAATAAAAAAATTGCAAAAAATTTTTACAAAAATTCATGTCATTAGGAGTGTATTTTTATTTCGTTTCGTCCGAAAGTTTATTTTATTTTGCTCCGAAACGAAACGAAATGGATAAAAGGGCACGAAATAGCGAGGCGAAATGAAACGAAATTTCGGTTATCTCTGGTCCGGAAACTTGGAGAATAAACTACATAGTATGTATTTTTTAAAAACTTGGAGAAATAAACTTGGAGAAAAATTAGTATTTTTTAAATTTTAATTTACTAAATTTTTTAATCATCGCCGCAAATGTCGGGGCCGCAAATGTTGGGGCCGCAAATGTCGGGCCGCAAGTGTCACAATAGGGGTGAGCCTCAAATGGCAAAACCGCAATAGTCTGGGCCGCAAGTGTCTGGGCCTCAAGTTGATAGCCGCAAATGTCTGCGCCGAAAATTTCTTAGCCGCAAGTGTCGGGACCGCAAGTGTCAAAATAGGGGCGAGCCGCAAGTGTCTGGGCCGCAAATGTCTGAGCCGCAAGTGTACGCGCCGCAAAAGTCGGCTAATCTTAATGAGCTATATATTATGTACTATCTCTTATGTACAAGTAGAATTATAAATTGATTTGTATTAATCTAAGAATTTACACAAATTTGTAAATTTCATCATTTTTCGAAAAGGTCCAACCACATCAGGAATGGTTTTTTGTTCTTCTACCTTCCTCTTCTGCTTTTTTGGCCTCTTATGCCAGAAATACACCCCTAAACCACAAACTTTACAATTACCAGGGAAATTAAGATTTTAAGAGTAATGATTTGTTATTAGCTTTTCTCATACTTTATCAGTAGAAAACTTTAGTGGACCAGTCTTTAAGTAAATAAATTGGCATTGATTCAAAGAGGTGTCAGCTGTCATATACTCTCTAATTCTCTCTTAACAATAGGGTGAGAGAGAGAGATTGATTTGGTAAAGTCCTCCAAGGAGAGATCTCTGCTTTTTAAATTTTGAGCGGCTGTTTCTAGATCACGCTAAATATCTAAAAGAGAGGAATAAATGGCAGAATAATGGAAAAAATGGATAAATATAGTACTCAATATGTTTTTAAGGAAGTTTAATAGAAAATAAGTTTATTATTTAATCTTATAATTGTTTATCCGTTCTACATACAATAGTATTTTTAGAATGTATAATGGAGATAATTTCTCTTATCGAACCATCATTTATTAGATTTTTTGTTAAATTTAGACTACAGTTGTACATTCTTTTACTTTCTCAAGCTCACTTTTGTATATTTGTTTCTTTAATGTCTAAAGGTAATTTTTGACATAAAACTGCCTAATAGAGGGGGGGGGGGGCACGACCAAAAGGGCGCAATTTTTAATTTTGCCACACAGTTCTAGCCCTACCACATACTTTTGGAAGAACCTGCACTTTTGAGAAAGGATTCGAGGAGGATTGCGCGTTGTGGAATTTTGTTAATTCAAAACAATCTTATCTACAAATGCATAATAATACATATTTTGATAATAATAACACTTCAACAACATTGTCTATATATAATTTCCGCATTATGGGTGGCCATGACATTAATTCTAGTAGTTTCAATTAATTCTACAATTTATTCTTTGATGTTTAGATCATTATGCTTACTATCGTTTTTCTAATGATATGAACGAATCTCATGTTGCTATGATAGTTAGTCCATTTTTTGCTCACACTGATACACAATGCGAATTGCGTTTTCGGTTTAATCTGAGAGCAGATTCCAGGTTAGAGTTTCGCAACTCAAAGAATACTCATCGAATAGCAATTGAATTCATCTAGGTCTGGAGCCGGGTTGTTAGTTACAACGGAGCAGTTGTCACTCAGACGTTCATTTAGCAATTCAAAAGAGTCGACCTCTAATGGCAACCAAGCAATGGATGAGGAAGATGAGGCAGATTGGATTCGGCCTATATTAAGGTAATCTTGTGCAAATTGCTAGTTAAATGCCTCATGATTTGTAGCAAATTAATTTGCACATTTTTATTAAGGGAACGCTTCGAACCGGATACTTCGACTGATGCTTCTGCGATGTATGTTTTTTTGCAAACACTTAGAAAATAATTGAGAAATTAAAGATGGTCTCATGGGCGAGTTCTTCTTGGGCAATTTGATTTTCCAACACGAATACGAATTGAATGTCATCCCTCTACAACGGCTATGTCAGATGGTGGAGTTCTCAATGTTGAATGCAAAATTGATGATTTACATTTGATAAACTGTGCAGGTAAGTTCAGTTAAAATTTCCTTGTGATAATTTAAATTAAAACAGAGAAAGAATGGAGATCTACTGATGATATGAGTGCATGCCCAAAAGGAAGAGATTCATGTCGTCCTTTTGGGGCAGATCAGCAGAAGCGAATTTGTCTGGATGATTATCAAATTTGTGACATGGTGGGTCATATATTCTACATGTATATATTCTACACCCTCTATTAGGCAGTTTTATGTCAAAAATTACCTTTAGACATTAAAGAAACAAATATACAAAAGTGAGCTTGAGAAAGTAAAAGAATGTACAACTGTAGTCTAAATTTAACAAAAAATCTAATAAATGATGGTTCGATAAGAGAAATTATCTCCATTATACATTCTAAAAATACTATTGTATGTAGAACGGATAAACAATTATAAGATTAAATAATAAACTTATTTTCTATTAAACTTCCTTAAAAACATATTGAGTACTATATTTATCCATTTTTTCCATTATTCTGCCATTTATTCCTCTCTTTTAGATATTTAGCGTGATCTAGAAACAGCCGCTCAAAATTTAAAAAGCAGAGATCTCTCCTTGGAGGACTTTACCAAATCAATCTCTCTCTCTCACCCTATTGTTAAGAGAGAATTAGAGAGTATATGACAGCTGACACCTCTTTGAATCAATGCCAATTTATTTACTTAAAGACTGGTCCACTAAAGTTTTCTACTGATAAAGTATGAGAAAAGCTAATAACAAATCATTACTCTTAAAATCTTAATTTCCCTGGTAATTGTAAAGTTTGTGGTTTAGGGGTGTATTTCTGGCATAAGAGGCCAAAAAAGCAGAAGAGGAAGGTAGAAGAACAAAAAACCATTCCTGATGTGGTTGGACCTTTTCGAAAAATGATGAAATTTACAAATTTGTGTAAATTCTTAGATTAATACAAATCAATTTATAATTCTACTTGTACATAAGAGATAGTACATAATATATAGCTCATTAAGATTAGCCGACTTTTGCGGCGCGTACACTTGCGGCTCAGACATTTGCGGCCCAGACACTTGCGGCTCGCCCCTATTTTGACACTTGCGGTCCCGACACTTGCGGCTAAGAAATTTTCGGCGCAGACATTTGCGGCTATCAACTTGAGGCCCAGACACTTGCGGCCCAGACTATTGCGGTTTTGCCATTTGAGGCTCACCCCTATTGTGACACTTGCGGCCCGACATTTGCGGCCCCAACATTTGCGGCCCCGACATTTGCGGCGATGATTAAAAAATTTAGTAAATTAAAATTTAAAAAATACTAATTTTTCTCCAAGTTTATTTCTCCAAGTTTTTAAAAAATACATACTATGTAGTTTATTCTCCAAGTTTCCGGACCAGAGATAACCGAAATTTCGTTTCATTTCGCCTCGCTATTTCGTGCCCTTTTATCCATTTCGTTTCGTTTCGGAGCAAAATAAAATAAACTTTCGGACGAAACGAAATAAAAATACACTCCTAATGACATGAATTTTTGTAAAAATTTTTTGCAATTTTTTTATTTTTACGAAATTTTGTGATTTTGATTATTTTTTATACCGGACCTGGACCGAATCCGGGTATTTTGTTCGACCAGGATCGAATTTTCCTGATAAAAATCCGGGAAATACAGGTTTTATCAAAATACCCGGATTCCGGACCACCGGATCCGGTCCGGTTTATAATACTTTAATTCTGATAATATTTTAATTTAGTAAATTTTTTAATCATCGCCGCAAATGTCGGGGCCGCAAATGTTGAGGCCGCAAATGTCGGGCCGCAAGTGTCACAATAGGGGTGAGCCTCAAATGGCAAAACCGCAATAGTCTGGGCCGCAAGTGTCTGGGCCTCAAGTTGATAGCCGCAAATGTCTGCGCCGAAAATTTCTTAGCCGCAAGTGTCGGGACCGCAAGTGTCAAAATAGGGGCGAGCCGCAAGTGTCTGGGCCGCAAATGTCTGAGCCGCAAGTGTACGCGCCGCAAAAGTCGCATCACCCTCATTAACCGTTGAGGGTGATGCGTTCTCGTAATCAAGAGTTGAGAGATGCTAATTATAAGCTGATGGATACTGTGAAGGTTTCTAATTAGTGTGATGAATATTTTACTATATTATAATTTAGCTCCTCCAATCTTCCAAATCGCTTGTTAATGGTACGCCTCCCATTACCAATGGAAACATTTCCGGTACTCATGTCGAACAAGATTCTGCGGTCGTTGAAAAGCTCGTCTTAGAAAACAAACAATTCAAGTCAACATTGGATTCATTGGTATTATTACTTTATTATTATTTATCTAAATTTTTAATTGAGTTAAGTTTTTATGTCCCTTTTTTAGGCAATGAGTATTTATGGTAGACTTATTTGGGGTGTCCTCTGATCCACTTACTGGGAAGTCCTCTTACTGATTTGGATGGGTCCTCTTATTTTCTTCATTATAATTTTTGTTTATCTTGTATTTATTAGATAATTTGTAAATTAAGAATAAGCAACTGGAAGAGGTTTCAAAGATTGCGTTGGAGGTTGAAATTGATAGAGATGCTAAGGTTGCACAAATCGAGAAAATGTTAAATGAAGCAAAATCGTAGTGTACGTAATATCTAATTTCTTTTCTTTTTAATTATTACGGTTAATGAGGGTGATGCGACTTTTGCGGCGCGTACACTTGCGGCTCAGACATTTGCGGCCCAGACACTTGCGGCTCGCCCCTATTTTGACACTTGCGGTCCCGACACTTGCGGCTAAGAAATTTTCGGCGCAGACATTTGCGGCTATCAACTTGAGGCCCAGACACTTGCGGCCCAGACTATTGCGGTTTTGCCATTTGAGGCTCACCCCTATTGTGACACTTGCGGCCCGACATTTGCGGCCCCAACATTTGCGGCCCCGACATTTGCGGCGATGATTAAAAAATTTAGTAAATTAAAATTTAAAAAATACTAATTTTTCTCCAAGTTTATTTCTCCAAGTTTTTAAAAAATACATACTATGTAGTTTATTCTCCAAGTTTCCGGACCAGAGATAACCGAAATTTCGTTTCATTTCGCCTCGCTATTTCGTGCCCTTTTATCCATTTCGTTTCGTTTCGGAGCAAAATAAAATAAACTTTCGGACGAAACGAAATAAAAATACACTCCTAATGACATGAATTTTTGTAAAAATTTTTTGCAATTTTTTTATTTTTACGAAATTTTGTGATTTTGATTATTTTTTATACCGGACCTGGACCGAATCCGGGTATTTTGTTCGACCAGGATCGAATTTTCCTGATAAAAATCCGGGAAATACAGGTTTTATCAAAATACCCGGATTCCGGACCACCGGATCCGGTCCGGTTTATAATACTTTAATTCTGATAATATTTTAATTTAGTAAATTTTTTAATCATCGCCGCAAATGTCGGGGCCGCAAATGTTGAGGCCGCAAATGTCGGGCCGCAAGTGTCACAATAGGGGTGAGCCTCAAATGGCAAAACCGCAATAGTCTGGGCCGCAAGTGTCTGGGCCTCAAGTTGATAGCCGCAAATGTCTGCGCCGAAAATTTCTTAGCCGCAAGTGTCGGGACCGCAAGTGTCAAAATAGGGGCGAGCCGCAAGTGTCTGGGCCGCAAATGTCTGAGCCGCAAGTGTACGCGCCGCAAAAGTCGCATCACCCTCATTAACCGTAATAATTAAAAAGAAAAGAAATTAGATATTACGTACACTACGATTTTGCTTCATTTAACATTTTCTCGATTTGTGCAACCTTAGCATCTCTATCAATTTCAACCTCCAACGCAATCTTTGAAACCTCTTCCAGTTGCTTATTCTTAATTTACAAATTATCTAATAAATACAAGATAAACAAAAATTATAATGAAGAAAATAAGAGGACCCATCCAAATCAGTAAGAGGACTTCCCAGTAAGTGGATCAGAGGACACCCCAAATAAGTCTACCATAAATACTCATTGCCTAAAAAAGGGACATAAAAACTTAACTCAATTAAAAATTTAGATAAATAATAATAAAGTAATAATACCAATGAATCCAATGTTGACTTGAATTGTTTGTTTTCTAAGACGAGCTTTTCAACGACCGCAGAATCTTGTTCGACATGAGTACCGGAAATGTTTCCATTGGTAATGGGAGGCGTACCATTAACAAGCGATTTGGAAGATTGGAGGAGCTAAATTATAATATAGTAAAATATTCATCACACTAATTAGAAACCTTCACAGTATCCATCAGCTTATAATTAGCATCTCTCAACTCTTGATTACGAGAACGCATCACCCTCAACGGTTAATGAGGGTGATGCGACTTTTGCGGCGCGTACACTTGCGGCTCAGACATTTGCGGCCCAGACACTTGCGGCTCGCCCCTATTTTGACACTTGCGGTCCCGACACTTGCGGCTAAGAAATTTTCGGCGCAGACATTTGCGGCTATCAACTTGAGGCCCAGACACTTGCGGCCCAGACTATTGCGGTTTTGCCATTTGAGGCTCACCCCTATTGTGACACTTGCGGCCCGACATTTGCGGCCTCAACATTTGCGGCCCCGACATTTGCGGCGATGATTAAAAAATTTACTAAATTAAAATATTATCAGAATTAAAGTATTATAAACCGGACCGGATCCGGTGGTCCGGAATCCGGGTATTTTGATAAAACCTGTATTTCCCGGATTTTTATCAGGAAAATTCGATCCTGGTCGAACAAAATACCCGGATTCGGTCCAGGTCCGGTATAAAAAATAATCAAAATCACAAAATTTCGTAAAAATAAAAAAATTGCAAAAAATTTTTACAAAAATTCATGTCATTAGGAGTGTATTTTTATTTCGTTTCGTCCGAAAGTTTATTTTATTTTGCTCCGAAACGAAACGAAATGGATAAAAGGGCACGAAATAGCGAGGCGAAATGAAACGAAATTTCGGTTATCTCTGGTCCGGAAACTTGGAGAATAAACTACATAGTATGTATTTTTTAAAAACTTGGAGAAATAAACTTGGAGAAAAATTAGTATTTTTTAAATTTTAATTTACTAAATTTTTTAATCATCGCCGCAAATGTCGGGGCCGCAAATGTTGGGGCCGCAAATGTCGGGCCGCAAGTGTCACAATAGGGGTGAGCCTCAAATGGCAAAACCGCAATAGTCTGGGCCGCAAGTGTCTGGGCCTCAAGTTGATAGCCGCAAATGTCTGCGCCGAAAATTTCTTAGCCGCAAGTGTCGGGACCGCAAGTGTCAAAATAGGGGCGAGCCGCAAGTGTCTGGGCCGCAAATGTCTGAGCCGCAAGTGTACGCGCCGCAAAAGTCGGCTAATCTTAATGAGCTATATATTATGTACTATCTCTTATGTACAAGTAGAATTATAAATTGATTTGTATTAATCTAAGAATTTACACAAATTTGTAAATTTCATCATTTTTCGAAAAGGTCCAACCACATCAGGAATGGTTTTTTGTTCTTCTACCTTCCTCTTCTGCTTTTTTGGCCTCTTATGCCAGAAATACACCCCTAAACCACAAACTTTACAATTACCAGGGAAATTAAGATTTTAAGAGTAATGATTTGTTATTAGCTTTTCTCATACTTTATCAGTAGAAAACTTTAGTGGACCAGTCTTTAAGTAAATAAATTGGCATTGATTCAAAGAGGTGTCAGCTGTCATATACTCTCTAATTCTCTCTTAACAATAGGGTGAGAGAGAGAGATTGATTTGGTAAAGTCCTCCAAGGAGAGATCTCTGCTTTTTAAATTTTGAGCGGCTGTTTCTAGATCACGCTAAATATCTAAAAGAGAGGAATAAATGGCAGAATAATGGAAAAAATGGATAAATATAGTACTCAATATGTTTTTAAGGAAGTTTAATAGAAAATAAGTTTATTATTTAATCTTATAATTGTTTATCCGTTCTACATACAATAGTATTTTTAGAATGTATAATGGAGATAATTTCTCTTATCGAACCATCATTTATTAGATTTTTTGTTAAATTTAGACTACAGTTGTACATTCTTTTACTTTCTCAAGCTCACTTTTGTATATTTGTTTCTTTAATGTCTAAAGGTAATTTTTGACATAAAACTGCCTAATAGAGGGTGTAGAATATATACATGTAGAATATATGACCCACCATGTCACAAATTTGATAATCATCCAGACAAATTCGCTTCTGCTGATCTGCCCCAAAAGGACGACATGAATCTCTTCCTTTTGGGCATGCACTCATATCATCAGTAGATCTCCATTCTTTCTCTGTTTTAATTTAAATTATCACAAGGAAATTTTAACTGAACTTACCTGCACAGTTTATCAAATGTAAATCATCAATTTTGCATTCAACATTGAGAACTCCACCATCTGACATAGCCGTTGTAGAGGGATGACATTCAATTCGTATTCGTGTTGGAAAATCAAATTGCCCAAGAAGAACTCGCCCATGAGACCATCTTTAATTTCTCAATTATTTTCTAAGTGTTTGCAAAAAAACATACATCGCAGAAGCATCAGTCGAAGTATCCGGTTCGAAGCGTTCCCTTAATAAAAATGTGCAAATTAATTTGCTACAAATCATGAGGCATTTAACTAGCAATTTGCACAAGATTACCTTAATATAGGCCGAATCCAATCTGCCTCATCTTCCTCATCCATTGCTTGGTTGCCATTAGAGGTCGACTCTTTTGAATTGCTAAATGAACGTCTGAGTGACAACTGCTCCGTTGTAACTAACAACCCGGCTCCAGACCTAGATGAATTCAATTGCTATTCGATGAGTATTCTTTGAGTTGCGAAACTCTAACCTGGAATCTGCTCTCAGATTAAACCGAAAACGCAATTCGCATTGTGTATCAGTGTGAGCAAAAAATGGACTAACTATCATAGCAACATGAGATTCGTTCATATCATTAGAAAAACGATAGTAAGCATAATGATCTAAACATCAAAGAATAAATTGTAGAATTAATTGAAACTACTAGAATTAATGTCATGGCCACCCATAATGCGGAAATTATATATAGACAATGTTGTTGAAGTGTTATTATTATCAAAATATGTATTATTATGCATTTGTAGATAAGATTGTTTTGAATTAACAAAATTCCACAACGCGCAATCCTCCTCGAATCCTTTCTCAAAAGTGCAGGTTCTTCCAAAAGTATGTGGTAGGGCTAGAACTGTGTGGCAAAATTAAAAATTGCGCCCTTTTGGTCGTGCCCCCCCCCCCCCTCTATTAGGCAGTTTTATGTCAAAAATTACCTTTAGACATTAAAGAAACAAATATACAAAAGTGAGCTTGAGAAAGTAAAAGAATGTACAACTGTAGTCTAAATTTAACAAAAAATCTAATAAATGATGGTTCGATAAGAGAAATTATCTCCATTATACATTCTAAAAATACTATTGTATGTAGAACGGATAAACAATTATAAGATTAAATAATAAACTTATTTTCTATTAAACTTCCTTAAAAACATATTGAGTACTATATTTATCCATTTTTTCCATTATTCTGCCATTTATTCCTCTCTTTTAGATATTTAGCGTGATCTAGAAACAGCCGCTCAAAATTTAAAAAGCAGAGATCTCTCCTTGGAGGACTTTACCAAATCAATCTCTCTCTCTCACCCTATTGTTAAGAGAGAATTAGAGAGTATATGACAGCTGACACCTCTTTGAATCAATGCCAATTTATTTACTTAAAGACTGGTCCACTAAAGTTTTCTACTGATAAAGTATGAGAAAAGCTAATAACAAATCATTACTCTTAAAATCTTAATTTCCCTGGTAATTGTAAAGTTTGTGGTTTAGGGGTGTATTTCTGGCATAAGAGGCCAAAAAAGCAGAAGAGGAAGGTAGAAGAACAAAAAACCATTCCTGATGTGGTTGGACCTTTTCGAAAAATGATGAAATTTACAAATTTGTGTAAATTCTTAGATTAATACAAATCAATTTATAATTCTACTTGTACATAAGAGATAGTACATAATATATAGCTCATTAAGATTAGCCGACTTTTGCGGCGCGTACACTTGCGGCTCAGACATTTGCGGCCCAGACACTTGCGGCTCGCCCCTATTTTGACACTTGCGGTCCCGACACTTGCGGCTAAGAAATTTTCGGCGCAGACATTTGCGGCTATCAACTTGAGGCCCAGACACTTGCGGCCCAGACTATTGCGGTTTTGCCATTTGAGGCTCACCCCTATTGTGACACTTGCGGCCCGACATTTGCGGCCCCAACATTTGCGGCCCCGACATTTGCGGCGATGATTAAAAAATTTAGTAAATTAAAATTTAAAAAATACTAATTTTTCTCCAAGTTTATTTCTCCAAGTTTTTAAAAAATACATACTATGTAGTTTATTCTCCAAGTTTCCGGACCAGAGATAACCGAAATTTCGTTTCATTTCGCCTCGCTATTTCGTGCCCTTTTATCCATTTCGTTTCGTTTCGGAGCAAAATAAAATAAACTTTCGGACGAAACGAAATAAAAATACACTCCTAATGACATGAATTTTTGTAAAAATTTTTTGCAATTTTTTTATTTTTACGAAATTTTGTGATTTTGATTATTTTTTATACCGGACCTGGACCGAATCCGGGTATTTTGTTCGACCAGGATCGAATTTTCCTGATAAAAATCCGGGAAATACAGGTTTTATCAAAATACCCGGATTCCGGACCACCGGATCCGGTCCGGTTTATAATACTTTAATTCTGATAATATTTTAATTTAGTAAATTTTTTAATCATCGCCGCAAATGTCGGGGCCGCAAATGTTGAGGCCGCAAATGTCGGGCCGCAAGTGTCACAATAGGGGTGAGCCTCAAATGGCAAAACCGCAATAGTCTGGGCCGCAAGTGTCTGGGCCTCAAGTTGATAGCCGCAAATGTCTGCGCCGAAAATTTCTTAGCCGCAAGTGTCGGGACCGCAAGTGTCAAAATAGGGGCGAGCCGCAAGTGTCTGGGCCGCAAATGTCTGAGCCGCAAGTGTACGCGCCGCAAAAGTCGCATCACCCTCATTAACCGTAATAATTAAAAAGAAAAGAAATTAGATATTACGTACACTACGATTTTGCTTCATTTAACATTTTCTCGATTTGTGCAACCTTAGCATCTCTATCAATTTCAACCTCCAACGCAATCTTTGAAACCTCTTCCAGTTGCTTATTCTTAATTTACAAATTATCTAATAAATACAAGATAAACAAAAATTATAATGAAGAAAATAAGAGGACCCATCCAAATCAGTAAGAGGACTTCCCAGTAAGTGGATCAGAGGACACCCCAAATAAGTCTACCATAAATACTCATTGCCTAAAAAAGGGACATAAAAACTTAACTCAATTAAAAATTTAGATAAATAATAATAAAGTAATAATACCAATGAATCCAATGTTGACTTGAATTGTTTGTTTTCTAAGACGAGCTTTTCAACGACCGCAGAATCTTGTTCGACATGAGTACCGGAAATGTTTCCATTGGTAATGGGAGGCGTACCATTAACAAGCGATTTGGAAGATTGGAGGAGCTAAATTATAATATAGTAAAATATTCATCACACTAATTAGAAACCTTCACAGTATCCATCAGCTTATAATTAGCATCTCTCAACTCTTGATTACGAGAACGTTGTTGATCCAGCTTTGTATTCAATTCCGCAATTGTACCCTAAACTTATTTTATCATAAATTGTCTAAATAAATCATATACCTTGAATTGATCCAATTCAACAGATGATTGACTCATAGCTTTGTTTTGAGATTGGAAATTAGTGGCCTCCTTCTTTAATTCAGCATTGACAGAAACTAATTTTTCATTTTCAGCCTGAACAGCTTCAAATTTCGCTTGAAGCTTATTATACAATTCAGAAGCATGGCTCATCTCGACTTTTAATTTCTCAATTTGCGTATATGCATCGCTTCGAATTTTCTAAAATATTTGTAATAAATTTTTTTAGAAAATAAAAACCTGCTCATCAACGAGTTTCTGCTCAATTTGTGATTTCTTATACTCAAGCTCCCGAACAAAATCATTAGCATTAGTAAGTTCTTTGGCTAATTGTCCATTAGCATTTAACCATTCTTGCTCCACGTTTTTAAAATGACCACGTTCATTCTTTTAAAAAATTGACATAAATTTTAAGTATTTTTGGGGTATCTCACAAGGGAACATTTCGAACTGTGAGTAAAAAGTTCGAAATAAAAGTTATTCCATCGTGTAGAGCATCGTCGAAAACCTTTATGGTTTCCGGCTTTTTCGGCTCCGACCCCCATTTCGAAAAGTTATAGGTCTTCAAAGTTTTCGTTTTTTGGAGCGGTTGAGTCGCCCTCACTTTTCTTATTATTTGTCTTACCAAAGAGAAAAATGAGACTCCTTTTCTCCATTTTTCCTTTCTTCTTCTTTTCCCATGTCGGTTAAAGAAAGAGAAAAAGAGGAGAGGAAAGAAAAGGAAAAGAGGCATGTCTGCCATCTCCTCGTTCCTTTTTAATTGACATTAGCTGCAAGGCAGAGATGCCTCTTTTCCTTTTCTTTTCTCTCCTCCTTTTCTCTTTCTTTAACTAATATTGGAAAAGAAAAGGAAAGGAAAAAAGGAGGATGGGAGTCTTATTTCTCTCCTAATAAAAAAAAATTCTCTCTTTATGAGGGCGACTCAACCGCTCCAAAAAACGAAAACTTTGAAGACCTATAACTTTTCGAAATGGGGGTCGGAGCCGAAAAAGCCGGAAACCATAAAGGTTTTCGACGATGCTCTACACGATGGTATAACTTTTATTTCGAACTTTTTACTCACAGTTCGAAATGTTCCCTTGTCAGACCAATTTTTGCGAAATATTTAGTAATAATCATAATGATCAGAACGCCCATACATAACTTTTCTCTATTCAATATAAGTATTTGCGTAAGTTTTTGTGGACATTTAGGGGAGATATTGGGAGTTGGGGTAATATCTGTTTTATATTTGTGAAACAACAAATATATGCCCGCAAAAAATGGTCTGGGATAACCAATAAATACCAGATTTTATATCAAAACAAAAAGCTAACATTGAATTCAATTTGAAGAGCTTGACGTTGATGTTCAAAGTTAGTCTCAATATTCCGAATCATAATATCTTTTGAATGAATGTCGGCAGCTGCTTTCTCCATAAAAGTTTTTGCAAGGTCACGCTCTTCACGAAGTTTCAGCACCTCTTTCATAGCCATGTCGCGATCTTCGCAAAACTTAGTAATCTCTGTTTTCTTCTTTTCCAATTGCTCACAAAATTGTTCACATTTCAAACGTAACTTTTTGTTTTCATCACCCAACTAAAAACAATTAAATCAAAGAAAAAAAAAAGAAAAACAAACCTGGTGAGTCTCAATAAGCTTGTTCTTCACAGTTTGTTCAAAGATGACATGACGTTCGTCTTGCTCGTTCTTCTCTCGTTTCAATTGAGCATTCTCAGCGCCCAATTGTTCCAACTCCCTAAGCTGTTTTTCTAATTGTGCGGAGAATTGATCGTTTTTAGAACGCAGTTTCTTATTTTCATCATCCATCTTAAGTGTAAGTATAAATAAACAAAAATAGCAAACCCCAATGTATCGCGAGGCCAATGTACCGCTTTTGTGAGCTTAACATGGTTGAAGATCACGAATCCATGACGCGCAGTTATGATTTCAGCTCGTCGGAGTGCATCGAACCATAACATTATGTCCCGGATTCGATTTCAACAAAGTTACAGCTCGCCAATACATTGGCCTTGCGGTACGTCGACTCCCCAATAATTAAAGACTAAAGAAAAGAAATTGTTCTTGTATAATATGTAGAGTTAAAATTAAAAAAGAACCTGTTTCGATGCAACAGTCTTGTTTTTAATCGTTTCCTCATAGACGACAAGTTGTTCGGCCTGTTCATTCTTCTCTTTTTTCAGCTCCGCATTTTCAACCCGCAAATTCTCCAACTCATCGTTAACCTCAGAAGTTGAAGATGACACTAATATGATTTAAACAACAGAATAAAAAGTAAAAACAAAACCTTTGACTGCTTCCTCCATTTGTTTAACAACCACAAAATCACCACTAGCTTCATCATCTTCAGAAACATGAACCTCCTTATTATCAGTTTCCTTCTTTGGACTTTGCCTTTTAGAATGATTACGCCTCCCTTTTACCTTGCCTTTTTCTGCAACCAAAGGTTTAGCCATATCATTTCCATAAACCTATAATTTTATTTAAATATTAAATCATAAGGATTAATATATTACCTCTTCAAATGTTGTTTCTCGCGTTAATAATTTATAAATAGTAAAGCATGATCCAATAACGATAGCAACAACAGCAACCAAACCTCCGATTGTAATAATATCCATTTTTCACTAGAAAAAAATTATACGTAAAAAAGAAATAGAAAAGTACGACTGATAATGCTCAAAGGACTGATAATTTTGACTGATTGTAAGTCAGACAAACACTTCATCATATATTTGACAAAATAAGTTTTGGTAATTCGTTTGATGACATTACGACATTTTAATTTGAAACGGCCAGTTTGTCGCGAGTCGGAAGTTCCAGTTGAGTCCCTCTGGAAAATTTGAACCTCATTGGAATTAAATTTATTTTTACCAGAATATTCGACAGAAACAAACTTTCTTTATTTAATTTTGAAGATAATGATAAGATTTATTCTGATTCAGAATCGTGCAGGTTTATTTTGATAACTAAAACATTTTTTGATCCAATTTTTATATTATTTAGGAAAAACTAGGCTAGCGAAATGGTACATGCATTTTGATGATGACGAAAAGCAAAAATTGATTGAAGAAGTACATGCAGTAGTTACCGTTCGTGATGCAAAGCACACAAATTTTGTTGAGGTTTTTATTTGACAAAATTTTTTTATGTCTAAAAAAGGGTACTTTCACGTTATCCCTATAGACGCTGACTTTTTTGCAGACACATTTATGTACGGAATAGTCAGACTTTCCTACTCAATTTCACTCTATTTTCCTGGGCATCATTCAGTGAGATAATTCTGTGCATATAAATGTGTCTGCAAAAAAAGTCCGAAAATTTGTAGGGATAGTGGAAAATTACCAAACAAAATTCTTTTTAGTTTCGCAATTTCAAAATTGTTTATCGGAGGTATGCCGGACTTTATTTTTGTATTTGTGTTGACATAATGGACAACAATTTGTATTACCTCGAAGCAATACACAATTTTGTGGAGGTTTGATTTAAGAGATTTTGATAAACAAAATTTAAAAAAAATTTCAGGTCCTTAATGAGTACTTTCACAATGTTTGCGAGCTCGATCTTGTCTTTAATTTTTATAAGGTTTGTCTTATAGTAAGGGATCAATCCAAAAGGTCAACTCCAAATATTTGAGCGGATAAGGAAGGATTTGTGGAGGATATCAATGGTCAATAGGGAGTTGATCTTCTGGTTGATCTTCCGTACTTTTAATATTTTAATTTTATAGAAATATTTAAGGTATATTCGGTTGTGGACGAGATGTTTCTGGCAGGAGAGATCCGGGAGACGTCACAAACAAAGGTACTGAAACAGCTAATGATGCTTAGCTCCTTAGAATGAAGTCATAATAAATCAAGTAATTTAATTCCTACACTTATTTAAATCATTTCGTTCTTTCTTTTTCTTGACTTTTTATTTTTAAATGTATATTGGAATATATTGGTAAATATTATCAATTATTTTTCGAGTTCTTGAGAAATTTCTAGGTTCTTTTTCTAATGGTTTGGATGACCCATAATTTTGTTCTGAATCATCAAATCTAGCTGATAATGGTATCATCCGACCCGCGAAGAGCTCTTTCCAATGCAAAGAAATGGGAAAAGGGGGTGTCAGCCAAACTATTACCGTTCTTTTTACCCTGCTTTAAGGCCAATTTTAAATTCTTCCAAGTCCTTTTTTAGTATAGTAAAATAAATTAAAATGTCAATACATACTTTTGGGCTTCCATTGTAAAATATTTTTGCCCGGTATATTTTGCCGAATAAATTCAATAGATTCATTTACCAAAATGTGATCACTGATCCGCGTCAATACATATAGTGAATAATATTTAGAAAATAAGCAGTAAGCGCAGAGAGATGAGAAGTGCTACATATTTTCATTCTACTACTATCCGGTTCTTCTTGCTCCTCACAATTTTTTTACCCTCATCATTTTCCGCCAACTAAATATTTTCACAATAACAACGAATGGGACACATAATTCACTCAATGCTGCTAGAAATTTTGTACTGCGCGGCATTTCATCCATACAATTTATATACTATCCGATGTTTACACAATAATGCGTGAAAGTTAACATGTTGTAATACATTCAAGTGGGGGAAAACTTGAAAAAAATATTAAATCATTTCTTCTATAAATATTTTGATTTTATATTGTTAAAACAAATTTTTCTCATCTGAGCCGGAACTGAACTGTGAGGTGTGCCCTCCCTGAACTGTTTTAGATTAAGTCTATCCTTAGCATTAAGCAAAATTCATTCATTTTGGGTTGATTCTCAGCCCCCTTCCGAACAACTAACGGAAGTTACTCTCCAACACGAATTTCAACAAGAATACCATATTAGCCGAAACCAATCATACAACGTAATACAAGAACAAGGCGATTCGAAAATAGAAAAAATGGCCTCAACGAGATTCTACGCTCACATCTCATTAAGCATTCGTTTAGTAGTGCTGGTTAGTAAATATCGCTTACAAATTGCTTTACCGCATTTAATTTTTCTTTTTTTGAAGATAAGTTGTGTGGTTTCCATGATATTGATCCTGACAGCTCCGTATATTAATCTTGCATAGTGAATTACATAATAAATTTTAGTGGAGTTTGTTTTTGGAGAACTATCAACTCTACACAACAAAGCCGAGAAATATGTCCACCATCATTTTTTCCTATGAGCCTTGATCGTTGGAGCTCTTCGTTACACTTTCAAATGCGTGGACAAAAGTTGGCATTAACCAATGATTTTTAATACCTTCACATGATTTTAATTCAGTGTTTGGGGGCAACTAGCCATTATCATTCTCAGTTTCCTTTTTGCACTTGCGCCATTGATATTTACCTGCATTTATCTAACCTCAGGAAGGAGCTTAAGTTTCTCTGTTTGCATAATGCATTAAAATTTGAAAAATTTCTCAGTTTTTAGCAAATTATTGCTTCCATTGTTGGTGTGATTGCTTTTCTTATTTTTGGCGCATTTGAGGTAACGTTAAAGTATTAGCTATTAATAAATTTCTTTTAGACATGGTATGCAACAGGATTTGGTTAGTCATTTTTCCATTTTCTTTAAAATAATCTTTAAACTCAGATCACATGCCAACATTTATCCGACAGGTTATTAACTCATAAATACTTATGAGAGATTTCCAATTTAAAAGTTTTAGATTGGAGGCGGTACATTCAGCGGATGTGCCGGAATTCCAGGTATAACCTTGGGAACAACCGCATTCCTAATAAATTTTTAAAGGATGTGAGACTGGTTTCTTGGTTAAAGGATGGGCGGGTGCCGCGGTATTGTCTATTCATCTTTACATATCTAATCGAAAATTACTTTAGGCTTTATATTTTTTGTGCGCCCTGTTTCTTCTGGCAGACGCTGTTGTTGTATTTATACGCCGAGATAAGTATGCCCATTAACTCGGACTAATATATTTACTTGGTTAATCCTTTCTCTAAAAAGCTTATAAAATATTTTAGTAGCTTATGTATAAACTGATTAAACCAAAGGAAATACTATTTTTAAACATAGTGGAAAATAAAATAACTTAAATTTAGCACAACTGCCCGACATGACTGCACAACACTTCAACAAAGGCAAACAGGAAGAGCAAACTATTAATATTTGGCAATCCAGTTACGCTATTTTTGGACTTATTTCTCCCTTCATAATCCTACATATTTTTAAAAAGACCAATAAAGTATACCACATATTGTTTGTTATACGCAGTGTATGGAATGCGCAAGGTCTCGCTCATAAACTTTATTAGCATCATTTATAATTAAAAACATTCAAAAGTATCTGAACTTTTGGGCCAATTCCCGCCGTGTTTTTGTATTTCTTTGACGCTCATCCACAAACTGCTTGAAAGAGTTTACCAAGACGGGCAAATCAACATCAAAATCACCGCTAATAATTGCAGCATGGCTAAAATTGGAAAATTTAATTAAAATTTAGTGAAGCTACAAGTAAAGAGTTTAGTAAGGGTTGCCTTATATAGTCGAGGTGCAGCCGCATAAACTCCACATAACCGCATAAACGAGGTATCTGGACGCCTGAACAAGATTGATAAGGATAATATTAGTCATAAGGTGATAAAAACCTTTATGATTAACAACTAGACGTAATCTCTGTTGTATTTTTGGCCAAATTGCGCGAGGAATCAAAAAGCTAAAAATAGTTTTAGAACAAAAATTAAGACAAAAATAAAAGTAAAAAAGAATTGCCTCAACAGTTTCCGAACGGCTCCAGACACGAGTCCTTCCATGCCTGCTCGATAGATTTTAAAATCAACTCCAGCTAATAATACATCGTTGTATAGGCGTGAATGACGAAAATGTGGCTTTATCTCAAACATTGATTATATGTAAATCCAAAGAATAAAGGATTTTACCCCAACTCGGAGTTGACCATTTGCTGAAAGGATGTTATAAGTTCGATTTTTACGCCAAAAATGAGCCTGAAATTATGAATTTATAAAGGTAGAAAAACTCACTCCGATATCTCCTTCAAGCAAAAGTGTTACTCCATTACGATCGATTAGAGCTTTCGGTGTTTTTGTAAGGTTGGCACTAAGAAATTAAATTATTTTACGATTTAAAATTTTGTTCGCCACCCACTTAACACGTAAACGGCAATCCGCACATACCAATTTGGACATTGAACGGCTTTCAAATAAGAAATCAGTTAAGTCAACTTTATTAAAAGCTTACAGCATTCGTGGCATATGATAATGAGAATAGCTAACAGAAACATGACCAAGCCCAGAATTAAAAATGTGGTAGAATAGAGTGTTCGGCAAAAACTCACTAAAAATAAGTCCAAGCATCTGTCAAAAATAAATATTTTCAAAAAACAATAAGAAAATTCGAGATCTCTAACTTGTATGTCACTAAACTTGGGTCTTTTTACAAAAGTAGGTGCTCGGTTCCCATTGCTCATAAAACCACCGTCAATTCCAAAGATTAAATCTCGCTGTGAAAATTTAGGTGGATAGCGAAGTGTAAGATCTGGTAGCAAATTAGGAACGTTCATCTCAGCAATGTCTACTTCTAGTGCTTGTTCATCTTCAGAAGATGCGGATTTGGAATGGGACATTTCCTTAATATAACATTGAATATAAAGACAATTCTGATGACTTTAAACCTGATGATTTTCGCTGACGCCTTGTACTAAACTAGATCGTGAATGACGAAAATGTGGCTTTATCTCAAACATTGATTATATGTAAATCCAAAGAACTAATTTACAATGCTTTCTTTGAACTAATTTACAACTAATTTACAATGCTTTCCACTGAGCATCCTGAGAACGTTTTAATCGTCCATGACTATTAATTATGTATTCAATCGTAGAAAGTAGAATTTGCTTTGAGGTAGGATGTGGAAGCATTGATGACTCCATTGTTTCTAGTCTAAAATTTTAATATTCAAAATATATTTCCCATCTTTTCCAGAAGATTTCATTTTTTCAATGCAATACTTACTTAAAAGTGTCACTAAGATTTCCAATAACTCCATCTCGCAGTTCTATTGCTCTACTTGTTTCTAGAAATAAAATTATAACATCCCAAATATGTTCTAATCTTCGAGCCTCAATTTTAACATGTTGGCTGCTCTTAACATGCTGCTTGTTATTTGAAAATATATCTTAAGTTATGAAAATAAGGTATTGTTGTTTTCAATTTATTGTTTTCAATTTATTTATTGTTTTCAACCTATTTGTTTTCAATTTACAGGGTGGGGCAAAAGTTCGGCGACAAATTTTATTTTGTCCTTTCTTAAAATTTACTTTTTATTTTGCTTTTTGTTTAGATGTCCCATATTCTACATATGATTCGCGCTCTACAAATTTCATCTTGAAAATTTTTTCCTATCTCATAAAATAAAAATTTTACAGAGCGTTAAAGAATCATGCTTCTATTATTTCTTTGTATTTTGAAAATGTTCGAAAATGTGACATCGCTAAACGGCTCGATATCTGTCGTATGTTAGTTTTCAAGGCAATAAAACGATATCTTGAGCTTGGTAATACTCAGGACCACCCCCGTAGTGTCTGGCCAGTAACCGCAGTTACACCTGAAAACATGAACGTGGTCAGATTCCGAATTCGCCGTTTTTCTGAACAATCGATGCGAAAAATGGCCTCAGAGCTCGAAATGAGATCGAGGAGCCTCCGAATATTGTCAGAGTGAAGCTTAGACTTCGGAGCTACAAGATCAGCCGCACAAATTTCCTTAACGATCGAATAAAGCATCAGCTGCTTCAGAAATGCCGAAAGATTAAACGCTTGGTCGCAACTGGTCGCCTCAACAGAGTGATGAAATGTAAAAATTAATGCTAGTCTAAAAAATGACATTCTGAAGGGGATTTAGCATCCATGGCCTCTATAGCTTTACGGTGAAACCCAATTCTCGCTTCAGCAGGATTGGGCACCCGCGCATGGAGCCAAAACGACAATCCAGCTCTGTGGGGAGCTGTTTCCTGGCTTTTGGGGGAAAGATATCTGGCCTTCAAACTCACCGGATTTAAATCCGTGGATTATTGTATTTGGGCAATTCTGTAGCAAAAAGTATGCCGAATCCTATACGCAACATAGGAAAAACTGAAAGTTGTTTTGAGCGGGCCTGGAACTAAATATCCGATGAACAATGCGCGACCATTGTGAGTCACAACCTTAAGCGTTTGGACGCGTGTATTTCAGTCAGGGGCGGTCATTTTGAGCAATTACTTTAATAAAATGATTATTATATCCTATTGATTATATCTTATCATTTTTTTATGTTAAATAAATTTTTTTTAGTATAGATTTTATTAAAAACATTTGTCGCCGAACTTATGCCCCACCCTGTATATGAAAAATCAAACTTATTCTTGAAGGGAGTAACTTGTTTCCTTGATTTACTGGCACCACGTAAGGTTGAAGACCATGTTCAAAAAGTGCGCGCAGTGCTGGGCATAGCTTCTTCCTAACTGAACTTACGATTGCCTCTTGATCACATTCCATAGTAACCTAATGAAATTAATATATTTCTTGATTCAAGAGACTATGTATTATAAAACTTTGTTAAGTTCGTCTACGCTAAGTTCTGCACGCTCTTCACGGTCGACACTCAGAATCTGATGTTTGCGTATTACCTGTATCACCTATGATTTAATTTAGTTAATCACAAATATCGGAACAAATTACCTTATCAACTGCCAATTCTAACTCTGCTCGTTGATCTCCATAGTGATTGCAAAGAGCTGAACGTTTCAGCTCGTTTTTCTCAAAATGTCCTTGGGACTTTGGCCTAATTAAAATGAATATAGTTGATGCAATTCTCATACCAAAGGTAGCGAGCCAAATTAATGATTGAGTTATTTGTCCCATGATTATTGTTAGTTTTTGCTGGTTGTGCTTCTATGTTAGGTGATGAATTTGAACCAGTGGCTGTTCCAGAACTAATATCTTAAATATTATTCGCATTAGTGAATCGTGTGAAAATGACGACTATACATATTTAAATATTATGTATAATAAATAATATGCCTGGACAGGAGAGAGTCACTGCTTCCCGCTGTAACAACTGTACATATTGTTCCAGATCGGATATCTACATGTGTTTAAAATAAAATCTCCAACTTTCATAACTTTTTAAATAATTTAATCCTATTACTAGATTGACTAACCTGTGTACTAAGTTGTTTCACCAATTGGTCCTGAAATATTTTCTTAATGTCATACTAATTCAACCTTATTTTCAAACCTTTTCAAGCAATCCTCGTTCCGCTTCATCCAATTCTGCATCCAGTTTTTTACGAAATTCATTTTCGTCAGCATCTGCATCAGGTCCAGCCAATTTAACTCGAAGACGCATCTTTTCACGTAGCCGCTCTAATATCTGATAATTTAATATTGACGGATCTCCCAGCACCCTTATAAATTAGAATCCCTATCAATGAAAATATATACTAACCAGAGTTTGCCTTGCGCGTAATTCGCTAAGTGGTAAATCACCCTCACGTAGATGTCCATTCCGCCAAGCGAAATTTTCCAGCTCATCTGTCATTGCCATTTATTTGGAAATATTCAGAATTTTTCAATTACACTCACCAAGTTGTATCCGCAGCTCTTCAACAAGTTGACTCATATTAGCAGCATTATCATTTGTCATAACATTTACGTTGTTTTCTTCTAAATCCACAACATTTAGAGATGAATTAGAATTATCACTGATTTGTTGTAGTCTGAGATTTCGGTTATTAGTGCAACTTGTAGAAGCAAATTGTTGAAGTTGATTTAGCATTCCCTTAACGTTGTATAACATTAGATAATCAGTTAATATTTAAAACTATCATTCTTCAGTTAAATGTTTTACTAAATATAAAAAAATTTACCTCACGTTGTTCAGCTGGCGCAGAAGCAATTTGCTGTATCCGAAATTGTACTTGTGCGAATTTTGTGCTCAAAGACAACAATGATTCGCTCAATTGTTGTTGTTCAGCTTCTAGTTCTCGAATCCTTGCTGATATGCTTCCGCTGCTAAATTTTGCTATTTTTATATTTCCTTACAACGCCCCGGGTTGTTTAAATTTTGATTCATTAAACTTTATATCTTACTCCATTTGTGAGCTGCTTCTGCTCATATCCTCTGAAAGCATATCAGCATTGTCGTTGCATTTCATATATTCTAAATATATTTCTTTTAATCTAGGTTTAATTTTTAGCATTTTGCTTCTAAATTTAACGTTTTGTTTATATTGTAAATCTAACCGTTTGTCTCTGTAAAAGAAACATCCGAGCTAGAAGGGTTTTGCTTACTAGTGATGTTCAGTAGAGGCGCTTCTTTGTTAATATTCACAATGTCCATTATACAGATGTACCAGATTTTTATACAAATATTTTTTTGGATTATAATTTATAAATAAAGTCCATTTTTTCTTAAAATAAGTTTTTAATTAAGGTTATTTCATTACCTTTGTTCTAACATTTCGAAATCGTATAATCTCCAATGTGAGTAAACTTTAAAGAAATGCCACATATTTTTAAGCCATACATTTTGTATTCCTTTTAAACACGCTAGCTGGCATATATTGATTTTGCTTAAGCTAGTATGCATAGTATGCTTGTACATTTAGTTGTTTTTAGTCTTATGTGTACATACTACAGCTGGATTTTAGTTTATTAATATTAACCTATATAATATGGAAATAATTCTTATATCCAAAAAATCTAAAACGACTATATTAAATAAATTATATTTTATTACAATTATTCATAAATAAAAACCGAGAGTAAAAATATTTCGACTGATACTAGTCATCTATTTTTGAGCTTTTTCAATTTCGCTAATCTGGATAGCGTACCCACCAAAAGAACGCGCTGATTCGATACCCGAGTCTTGATCATCACAATATCTTGTTGTTCTCATCGAGGGATAAGGAGGCAATGAGTGGTCCCTCTGTTCATTAGGTAAAGTCGTATCGGGCAATGAGGGCCTACGATTCCATCGAAAGCACCTTCTGTCAACTCTCTCCACTAAATTGATGAAAAATTTATATTTCTATCCTGTTTTATATTCCAACCATGCGCATTTTTTTGAGTTGAATCCAAAAATGATGGTTTTATTAGGCAATTGCGTATCTTGACAGTTCCTAGAATTGAGCGATGAGATGTTAGAATGTATATACTAACCAGCACTTTCATCTTGGCTTCCAGTTTCATCTGAACAATTTTCTTCAGTCCGTTGCGGATCATATAAGCGTACGAACTATTTGATAAAACAGTAAACATAAGCATTTTTATATTTACCTTCTCTTCTGATTGACAGCTCTGATATGGAGGAAATACGGCTCGGCAAACACCGTCGCCTAAAATAATTGTAAATGAATTCAAAAATAGTGAATACCGATGATAGGCATTGTTTCATATGTTGACGTGGAACTACATGCCCCAGCCCCACTATTTGATGAATAGACTCCAGTTGAAGCTGTAGCCTGTGATGTTTTTTTGTAAATTTTTGTAATAAATATGCTAAAAAGATACTCTTGATATCGTGCTAGTAGGTTGAGCATCATATGCACGACTACTCATTGATGGGGTGCCAGAAACTGAGCGCTCATTAATCAAACGATTTCTCATTGGGGGAATCGGTTCTGCAACAAGATCATTTTTCTAAAGATATGAAAATAAATTTCAAAATTTAAATTTATTTCCTTATGAAATTGTTTGAAACTTTTAAACATACTTTAAGTAAATTCTCAAATTTGCAGACCAAATCTGCGAATTTTGGACGCTGCTCAGACTCTGTATTCCAACAGCGGAGCATCAGCTCATAAATCTCATCTTGAATACCGATTGGGGGATCAAGCCGATCACCAGCAACGACAAGCCTCATTACCTGTAATATAATTTTTAGTAAGGGAAACCTCGTTTCTCAGGCATCATTGTAGTTATAATATTATAAATATTATTTCAAATAGTTAAAACCAAGTCTTTTTAATAACCTCTAAATTATCACGTCCTGGATATGGAATGTAACCAAGCGAAAAGATTTCCCATAGCAAAACTCCATAAGCCCAAACATCAGTTTTTGAAGTGAACAACCCATCCTGTAATAAAACTTTATAGAATAAGCTATGTATAATGACTACAAAATAAAGCAAAAAACACTATTCTCATTAAAACACTATTCTCCTTATTCTCATTTAAAAATATTGCGAATTATATTATTAAAAAAAGTTCACCAAAAAAGCTTCAGGTGGCATCCATCGAACTGGGAGAAAAGCCTTCCCTCCTTTTCGATAGTAGTCATTCCTACAATTAAATGAATCTCTATTAAATTCGATAAAAACCTGTAAATATCCCTAGCCATTCCAAAATCCGCGATCTTAACAATTCTATTGCCCACTTTAGATGTAAGTAAACAATTTCTTGCTGCAATATCTCTGTGAACAAATCGCGTTTCTTCTAGATGTTGACAGCCACGTGCCTTAAAGTCAAATCCATGAAAGATAAAGTTAAATTATTTTTACTATATCTAAAGAAAATCCCAAAAGATCGCCAGTTCTCAACATTGTTGAATCCAAGGCTTCGGAGTTGCTTACATGGTCCTAATTGCGAAAATAATTGACTTAAATAGTGATAAACTAAGTTAACCTGCTGTCTTGGCCGATTCTCGCGTAAGAAATTTTTCAGATCACCACCTTCTAGAAACTCAAGCACAATTAACTAAAATAAAAAGGTAAAATAAATTCGAGTATGATCTCTAAAAATTAGTAGCGGTTATTATTGTAACAGAAGACAAATGTTTATTGAAACTTAATTTTGGTTGCTGCTCGAACGAGACACCAAAAAAAGTGACTATATTCTGATGTTTGAACTGACTAAAAACAAAATAATATTACGCACGATTTTAGAAAAAATAACCTTAACAAGCGAGCTTCTGTTTCAAAATCATCGCCAAAATCACGTGCTGACTCCAATGGTAAGGATTTTATAGCAACTTTGACTGCTGTTATTTTCTCATTATATTTGTTATCTTTTGATGAATTGTCATCGATAAAGGAACTATCACCTTCTCCCATCAATAACCAACCTTCAAATACTTCACCAAAAGCTCCATGGCCAATTATCCTAGCAATAAGTAGAAATAACAAACAATTCACTAATTAAATAATACATACTTGTCTAATTTAAGCGAGTGTCTAGGAATCTGCTTTAGTGGAGTTAAACTCAATGATTCGTAAATTGGATTACTGAAAACAAAAATTATGGATACACGCATAAATTTATATACCCGCTTATGCCAAAGTTGGTATCACTATACAAGCAATTGTCGTTGTTGCTAGCGACAGGTCTATTATCTTTACCAGATACAATAGCAATTAGCTCATGCACATCAGCAGATGGGCTCGGACTGAGTTTCTTTCCACAACCACGTGCACGATATATTATTTTGAAACAGCATATCAGCGATAGAAACATTGAGATAACAAGCAGACAAGCTATTGAAAATTTAAAACGGTCAATTTCTTTTTAATGAATAAAGTTATATTAAATAAAATTTAATACCAGCTATAAATCTTTGAACGGTAACTGATAGTTGGCCAAAAATATTGTAAAGTATTGGAGAATCTAAAAGTTTGAAGATAAAATTAAGATAAATTGTAGTTAAAAATACTACCGATCTGACAGATACTTGAACTATTAGGCTCTATAACACTCCCATCAGGGCATATACATTTTGGTTGTGATATAGATCCATTTCTTTGTTCGGAAAGTGTCGTTATTGTTCCAAATGTACAATTTGACCTAATTAAATACTCAAATGATTTCAAAACAGAATAAAATCTACCCCGATGGGCAATCACGTTGTGGGCAGGCTATAATGGAAGCAAAAGCACGGTTTGGATTACTTTTTGTTAAAATTAAATGATCGCCTATGATATCATTTGTACGGATAACTGCACTTGTTCCTGGCAAACCAGGCCCAACTAATCCACCAGAACCACCTAACAACAATATTCGTTAATAAAATAGTAAATTAAAATTGACCTTGATAACCGCCACCACCCCCTCCACCTGCGTTGCAGGAAGCTCTATTTAATTTGTTTAAATTAAATCATTTGCATATAAAAAATTTACCCTCCTCCACCTTTTCCGCCAGGTAAATTCCATCTGCTCCCTGGTGGACAATGACGCTGCTCCAGAAGAATTGACTTATCAAACCGTGTATGCTGTTGATCACTTATATGATCAGAAATTGAAAGTCCATTTGAGGCTGATAGAATCGTTGGTAGTTGTCCGGGTTTGTCAATCCTATTCAATCACATTAAATTTATAACTCTTGATTATGACATACTGGATTGGATTTAAAGGGAAAGCACCACCGCCACCAGCAGCTATAACAACAGGATTGCTTCCAATAAATAATATAGTAGCACCGCCACCGCTACAGCCTGGAAAACTCAATGAGTCACTGATTACGCTGTTCAGATCGTCGGCTGTTAATGAACAAAGCTTCTCACTCTAAGAAATGCAAATTGAAAACAATAAGTTAATATAAAGCAACTAGATCCTTTTGATCACCCATAAGATTTTCTCTGTTTTTATCACAAATACATCTGCCTTCTTGTCCCAAAAATAATTTAACTTGCTGGCCGGCATTCAGACGTAAGTTTACCGCTAAACTATCAGCCCAAGTTGCATGGTTATCGCTAGCTTCGCCAACAAAGTTGCCACCTGGAGCGCCAGCCATTTCCAACCTTAAATTTGTGAAAAATGTTCAATTATTTTTTGAATACATTACGTACCGATATTCTCCTGTGTATGGTACAATCCATTCACTAACATTACCACGTTGCTCTTCATCAATAATTGAAAGCACCGCAGGAAGCAAAGAGTATCTAACTCCTAGAGATGTGAAAGTTTATTATACCATATAGCAAGTTTTTAGCTTGGCTATATAATTTAACAATAATTATTTGCTTACCAAAACAATCCGGACTCAATGACAGATCGTCAATAGCAATTGAACCCATAGAACCGGCCAATTTGGCGAAGCCTAACTTGAGGGAATAATCTTCATTGATGAGCAACGATTCGGTTTTAATATGAACGGAAACTCGATGCCATTCACATGGTTCACGGACATGTTCATCGTGAGGTGGAGCCCAAAGTGGTTTAGCAACTTCTTTTGGCTTATCACGTAATTGAAGGAATATTTGAAATGGACTAAATCCAGTAAGGCAATAGAAAAAGCGCAACATGCACTGACGCGTTGAATCAACAGGATTTCTCTGGATAGGTAATGGTGGAGACAAAGCAAACGAATACCTTTTGTAAAAACAATTTTATTTGGTCAAATCTAACTACAATATTAACTTACAATATGTCATGTTGGCCATCATGAATATGACCATAACTGTAATATGTTTAAAGTAAAGAAATATAAGCAATTAACCTTGAAAAAAATAAAAAATGGCCCGGTTTGAAGAGTCGTCCCTCGTTGTAATAGAATCCTGTAAAAATAATTTTAAAAAGATAAGCTCCTGTTATCACTCACTGGGTGGAATTCCAGGTCGTTGTGTTTGTCCATTTTCTAACGAGACCTGCAAGAACTTTTAAACTAAAGAATAAACAAAACAAACTAAATGTGATGTAGTTCCTGATGTCAATAATCCAAAAGAATCATTTCTGCTTTTGTATCGGCCTGCTGATAGGCTGCTGAAGAAACGCCATTGTGCGCATCCTGATAAGCCAAAATTAATTACCAAGAAAATAATAAGAACCTGCTGGCAGCCAGCGCATGTCTTCAAAATCACAGCGAGCTCCTTCAGGTACTTGAACTAGAAAAAGTATCTTTATAACTTGTGATGTAAAAATTAAAAAGGAACATTATTGGGAAACAATAAAATATCCAAACCTAAATCATTTAAATAATTTTAGACTTACAGCATTTGTATAGCTCATCCGACTCGTCCTCACCATCAGCACAATCAGCATGCTATTGATATAATTATACTATACATGTAGAATATATGACCCACCATGTCACAAATTTGATAATCATCCAGACAAATTCGCTTCTGCTGATCTGCCCCAAAAGGACGACATGAATCTCTTCCTTTTGGGCATGCACTCATATCATCAGTAGATCTCCATTCTTTCTCTGTTTTAATTTAAATTATCACAAGGAAATTTTAACTGAACTTACCTGCACAGTTTATCAAATGTAAATCATCAATTTTGCATTCAACATTGAGAACTCCACCATCTGACATAGCTGTTGTAGAGGGATGACATTCAATTCGTATTCGTGTTGGAAAATCAAATTGCCCAAGAAGAACTCGCCCATGAGACCATCTTTAATTTCTCAATTATTTTCTAAGTGTTTGCAAAAAAACATACATCGCAGAAGCATCAGTCGAAGTATCCGGTTCGAAGCGTTCCCTTAATAAAAATGTGCAAATTAATTTGCTACAAATCATGAGGCATTTAACTAGCAATTTGCACAAGATTACCTTAATATAGGCCGAATCCAATCTGCCTCATCTTCCTCATCCATTGCTTGGTTGCCATTAGAGGTCGACTCTTTTGAATTGCTAAATGAACGTCTGAGTGACAACTGCTCCGTTGTAACTAACAACCCGGCTCCAGACCTAGATGAATTCAATTGCTATTCGATGAGTATTCTTTGAGTTGCGAAACTCTAACCTGGAATCTGCTCTCAGATTAAACCGAAAACGCAATTCGCATTGTGTATCAGTGTGAGCAAAAAATGGACTAACTATCATAGCAACATGAGATTCGTTCATATCATTAGAAAAACGATAGTAAGCATAATGATCTAAACATCAAAGAATAAATTGTAGAATTAATTGAAACTACTAGAATTAATGTCATGGCCACCCATAATGCGGAAATTATATATAGACAATGTTGTTGAAGTGTTATTATTATCAAAATATGTATTATTATGCATTTGTAGATAAGATTGTTTTGAATTAACAAAATTCCACAACGCGCAATCCTCCTCGAATCCTTTCTCAAAAGTGCAGGTTCTTCCAAAAGTATGTGGTAGGGCTAGAACTGTGTGGCAAAATTAAAAATTGCGCCCTTTTGGTCGTGCCCCCCCCCCCCCTCTATTAGGCAGTTTTATGTCAAAAATTACCTTTAGACATTAAAGAAACAAATATACAAAAGTGAGCTTGAGAAAGTAAAAGAATGTACAACTGTAGTCTAAATTTAACAAAAAATCTAATAAATGATGGTTCGATAAGAGAAATTATCTCCATTATACATTCTAAAAATACTATTGTATGTAGAACGGATAAACAATTATAAGATTAAATAATAAACTTATTTTCTATTAAACTTCCTTAAAAACATATTGAGTACTATATTTATCCATTTTTTCCATTATTCTGCCATTTATTCCTCTCTTTTAGATATTTAGCGTGATCTAGAAACAGCCGCTCAAAATTTAAAAAGCAGAGATCTCTCCTTGGAGGACTTTACCAAATCAATCTCTCTCTCTCACCCTATTGTTAAGAGAGAATTAGAGAGTATATGACAGCTGACACCTCTTTGAATCAATGCCAATTTATTTACTTAAAGACTGGTCCACTAAAGTTTTCTACTGATAAAGTATGAGAAAAGCTAATAACAAATCATTACTCTTAAAATCTTAATTTCCCTGGTAATTGTAAAGTTTGTGGTTTAGGGGTGTATTTCTGGCATAAGAGGCCAAAAAAGCAGAAGAGGAAGGTAGAAGAACAAAAAACCATTCCTGATGTGGTTGGACCTTTTCGAAAAATGATGAAATTTACAAATTTGTGTAAATTCTTAGATTAATACAAATCAATTTATAATTCTACTTGTACATAAGAGATAGTACATAATATATAGCTCATTAAGATTAGCCGACTTTTGCGGCGCGTACACTTGCGGCTCAGACATTTGCGGCCCAGACACTTGCGGCTCGCCCCTATTTTGACACTTGCGGTCCCGACACTTGCGGCTAAGAAATTTTCGGCGCAGACATTTGCGGCTATCAACTTGAGGCCCAGACACTTGCGGCCCAGACTATTGCGGTTTTGCCATTTGAGGCTCACCCCTATTGTGACACTTGCGGCCCGACATTTGCGGCCCCAACATTTGCGGCCCCGACATTTGCGGCGATGATTAAAAAATTTAGTAAATTAAAATTTAAAAAATACTAATTTTTCTCCAAGTTTATTTCTCCAAGTTTTTAAAAAATACATACTATGTAGTTTATTCTCCAAGTTTCCGGACCAGAGATAACCGAAATTTCGTTTCATTTCGCCTCGCTATTTCGTGCCCTTTTATCCATTTCGTTTCGTTTCGGAGCAAAATAAAATAAACTTTCGGACGAAACGAAATAAAAATACACTCCTAATGACATGAATTTTTGTAAAAATTTTTTGCAATTTTTTTATTTTTACGAAATTTTGTGATTTTGATTATTTTTTATACCGGACCTGGACCGAATCCGGGTATTTTGTTCGACCAGGATCGAATTTTCCTGATAAAAATCCGGGAAATACAGGTTTTATCAAAATACCCGGATTCCGGACCACCGGATCCGGTCCGGTTTATAATACTTTAATTCTGATAATATTTTAATTTAGTAAATTTTTTAATCATCGCCGCAAATGTCGGGGCCGCAAATGTTGAGGCCGCAAATGTCGGGCCGCAAGTGTCACAATAGGGGTGAGCCTCAAATGGCAAAACCGCAATAGTCTGGGCCGCAAGTGTCTGGGCCTCAAGTTGATAGCCGCAAATGTCTGCGCCGAAAATTTCTTAGCCGCAAGTGTCGGGACCGCAAGTGTCAAAATAGGGGCGAGCCGCAAGTGTCTGGGCCGCAAATGTCTGAGCCGCAAGTGTACGCGCCGCAAAAGTCGCATCACCCTCATTAACCGTAATAATTAAAAAGAAAAGAAATTAGATATTACGTACACTACGATTTTGCTTCATTTAACATTTTCTCGATTTGTGCAACCTTAGCATCTCTATCAATTTCAACCTCCAACGCAATCTTTGAAACCTCTTCCAGTTGCTTATTCTTAATTTACAAATTATCTAATAAATACAAGATAAACAAAAATTATAATGAAGAAAATAAGAGGACCCATCCAAATCAGTAAGAGGACTTCCCAGTAAGTGGATCAGAGGACACCCCAAATAAGTCTACCATAAATACTCATTGCCTAAAAAAGGGACATAAAAACTTAACTCAATTAAAAATTTAGATAAATAATAATAAAGTAATAATACCAATGAATCCAATGTTGACTTGAATTGTTTGTTTTCTAAGACGAGCTTTTCAACGACCGCAGAATCTTGTTCGACATGAGTACCGGAAATGTTTCCATTGGTAATGGGAGGCGTACCATTAACAAGCGATTTGGAAGATTGGAGGAGCTAAATTATAATATAGTAAAATATTCATCACACTAATTAGAAACCTTCACAGTATCCATCAGCTTATAATTAGCATCTCTCAACTCTTGATTACGAGAACGTTGTTGATCCAGCTTTGTATTCAATTCCGCAATTGTACCCTAAACTTATTTTATCATAAATTGTCTAAATAAATCATATACCTTGAATTGATCCAATTCAACAGATGATTGACTCATAGCTTTGTTTTGAGATTGGAAATTAGTGGCCTCCTTCTTTAATTCAGCATTGACAGAAACTAATTTTTCATTTTCAGCCTGAACAGCTTCAAATTTCGCTTGAAGCTTATTATACAATTCAGAAGCATGGCTCATCTCGACTTTTAATTTCTCAATTTGCGTATATGCATCGCTTCGAATTTTCTAAAATATTTGTAATAAATTTTTTTAGAAAATAAAAACCTGCTCATCAACGAGTTTCTGCTCAATTTGTGATTTCTTATACTCAAGCTCCCGAACAAAATCATTAGCATTAGTAAGTTCTTTGGCTAATTGTCCATTAGCATTTAACCATTCTTGCTCCACGTTTTTAAAATGACCACGTTCATTCTTTTAAAAAATTGACATAAATTTTAAGTATTTTTGGGGTATCTCACAAGGGAACATTTCGAACTGTGAGTAAAAAGTTCGAAATAAAAGTTATTCCATCGTGTAGAGCATCGTCGAAAACCTTTATGGTTTCCGGCTTTTTCGGCTCCGACCCCCATTTCGAAAAGTTATAGGTCTTCAAAGTTTTCGTTTTTTGGAGCGGTTGAGTCGCCCTCACTTTTCTTATTATTTGTCTTACCAAAGAGAAAAATGAGACTCCTTTTCTCCATTTTTCCTTTCTTCTTCTTTTCCCATGTCGGTTAAAGAAAGAGAAAAAGAGGAGAGGAAAGAAAAGGAAAAGAGGCATGTCTGCCATCTCCTCGTTCCTTTTTAATTGACATTAGCTGCAAGGCAGAGATGCCTCTTTTCCTTTTCTTTTCTCTCCTCCTTTTCTCTTTCTTTAACTAATATTGGAAAAGAAAAGGAAAGGAAAAAAGGAGGATGGGAGTCTTATTTCTCTCCTAATAAAAAAAAATTCTCTCTTTATGAGGGCGACTCAACCGCTCCAAAAAACGAAAACTTTGAAGACCTATAACTTTTCGAAATGGGGGTCGGAGCCGAAAAAGCCGGAAACCATAAAGGTTTTCGACGATGCTCTACACGATGGTATAACTTTTATTTCGAACTTTTTACTCACAGTTCGAAATGTTCCCTTGTCAGACCAATTTTTGCGAAATATTTAGTAATAATCATAATGATCAGAACGCCCATACATAACTTTTCTCTATTCAATATAAGTATTTGCGTAAGTTTTTGTGGACATTTAGGGGAGATATTGGGAGTTGGGGTAATATCTGTTTTATATTTGTGAAACAACAAATATATGCCCGCAAAAAATGGTCTGGGATAACCAATAAATACCAGATTTTATATCAAAACAAAAAGCTAACATTGAATTCAATTTGAAGAGCTTGACGTTGATGTTCAAAGTTAGTCTCAATATTCCGAATCATAATATCTTTTGAATGAATGTCGGCAGCTGCTTTCTCCATAAAAGTTTTTGCAAGGTCACGCTCTTCACGAAGTTTCAGCACCTCTTTCATAGCCATGTCGCGATCTTCGCAAAACTTAGTAATCTCTGTTTTCTTCTTTTCCAATTGCTCACAAAATTGTTCACATTTCAAACGTAACTTTTTGTTTTCATCACCCAACTAAAAACAATTAAATCAAAGAAAAAAAAAAGAAAAACAAACCTGGTGAGTCTCAATAAGCTTGTTCTTCACAGTTTGTTCAAAGATGACATGACGTTCGTCTTGCTCGTTCTTCTCTCGTTTCAATTGAGCATTCTCAGCGCCCAATTGTTCCAACTCCCTAAGCTGTTTTTCTAATTGTGCGGAGAATTGATCGTTTTTAGAACGCAGTTTCTTATTTTCATCATCCATCTTAAGTGTAAGTATAAATAAACAAAAATAGCAAACCCCAATGTATCGCGAGGCCAATGTACCGCTTTTGTGAGCTTAACATGGTTGAAGATCACGAATCCATGACGCGCAGTTATGATTTCAGCTCGTCGGAGTGCATCGAACCATAACATTATGTCCCGGATTCGATTTCAACAAAGTTACAGCTCGCCAATACATTGGCCTTGCGGTACGTCGACTCCCCAATAATTAAAGACTAAAGAAAAGAAATTGTTCTTGTATAATATGTAGAGTTAAAATTAAAAAAGAACCTGTTTCGATGCAACAGTCTTGTTTTTAATCGTTTCCTCATAGACGACAAGTTGTTCGGCCTGTTCATTCTTCTCTTTTTTCAGCTCCGCATTTTCAACCCGCAAATTCTCCAACTCATCGTTAACCTCAGAAGTTGAAGATGACACTAATATGATTTAAACAACAGAATAAAAAGTAAAAACAAAACCTTTGACTGCTTCCTCCATTTGTTTAACAACCACAAAATCACCACTAGCTTCATCATCTTCAGAAACATGAACCTCCTTATTATCAGTTTCCTTCTTTGGACTTTGCCTTTTAGAATGATTACGCCTCCCTTTTACCTTGCCTTTTTCTGCAACCAAAGGTTTAGCCATATCATTTCCATAAACCTATAATTTTATTTAAATATTAAATCATAAGGATTAATATATTACCTCTTCAAATGTTGTTTCTCGCGTTAATAATTTATAAATAGTAAAGCATGATCCAATAACGATAGCAACAACAGCAACCAAACCTCCGATTGTAATAATATCCATTTTTCACTAGAAAAAAATTATACGTAAAAAAGAAATAGAAAAGTACGACTGATAATGCTCAAAGGACTGATAATTTTGACTGATTGTAAGTCAGACAAACACTTCATCATATATTTGACAAAATAAGTTTTGGTAATTCGTTTGATGACATTACGACATTTTAATTTGAAACGGCCAGTTTGTCGCGAGTCGGAAGTTCCAGTTGAGTCCCTCTGGAAAATTTGAACCTCATTGGAATTAAATTTATTTTTACCAGAATATTCGACAGAAACAAACTTTCTTTATTTAATTTTGAAGATAATGATAAGATTTATTCTGATTCAGAATCGTGCAGGTTTATTTTGATAACTAAAACATTTTTTGATCCAATTTTTATATTATTTAGGAAAAACTAGGCTAGCGAAATGGTACATGCATTTTGATGATGACGAAAAGCAAAAATTGATTGAAGAAGTACATGCAGTAGTTACCGTTCGTGATGCAAAGCACACAAATTTTGTTGAGGTTTTTATTTGACAAAATTTTTTTATGTCTAAAAAAGGGTACTTTCACGTTATCCCTATAGACGCTGACTTTTTTGCAGACACATTTATGTACGGAATAGTCAGACTTTCCTACTCAATTTCACTCTATTTTCCTGGGCATCATTCAGTGAGATAATTCTGTGCATATAAATGTGTCTGCAAAAAAAGTCCGAAAATTTGTAGGGATAGTGGAAAATTACCAAACAAAATTCTTTTTAGTTTCGCAATTTCAAAATTGTTTATCGGAGGTATGCCGGACTTTATTTTTGTATTTGTGTTGACATAATGGACAACAATTTGTATTACCTCGAAGCAATACACAATTTTGTGGAGGTTTGATTTAAGAGATTTTGATAAACAAAATTTAAAAAAAATTTCAGGTCCTTAATGAGTACTTTCACAATGTTTGCGAGCTCGATCTTGTCTTTAATTTTTATAAGGTTTGTCTTATAGTAAGGGATCAATCCAAAAGGTCAACTCCAAATATTTGAGCGGATAAGGAAGGATTTGTGGAGGATATCAATGGTCAATAGGGAGTTGATCTTCTGGTTGATCTTCCGTACTTTTAATATTTTAATTTTATAGAAATATTTAAGGTATATTCGGTTGTGGACGAGATGTTTCTGGCAGGAGAGATCCGGGAGACGTCACAAACAAAGGTACTGAAACAGCTAATGATGCTTAGCTCCTTAGAATGAAGTCATAATAAATCAAGTAATTTAATTCCTACACTTATTTAAATCATTTCGTTCTTTCTTTTTCTTGACTTTTTATTTTTAAATGTATATTGGAATATATTGGTAAATATTATCAATTATTTTTCGAGTTCTTGAGAAATTTCTAGGTTCTTTTTCTAATGGTTTGGATGACCCATAATTTTGTTCTGAATCATCAAATCTAGCTGATAATGGTATCATCCGACCCGCGAAGAGCTCTTTCCAATGCAAAGAAATGGGAAAAGGGGGTGTCAGCCAAACTATTACCGTTCTTTTTACCCTGCTTTAAGGCCAATTTTAAATTCTTCCAAGTCCTTTTTTAGTATAGTAAAATAAATTAAAATGTCAATACATACTTTTGGGCTTCCATTGTAAAATATTTTTGCCCGGTATATTTTGCCGAATAAATTCAATAGATTCATTTACCAAAATGTGATCACTGATCCGCGTCAATACATATAGTGAATAATATTTAGAAAATAAGCAGTAAGCGCAGAGAGATGAGAAGTGCTACATATTTTCATTCTACTACTATCCGGTTCTTCTTGCTCCTCACAATTTTTTTACCCTCATCATTTTCCGCCAACTAAATATTTTCACAATAACAACGAATGGGACACATAATTCACTCAATGCTGCTAGAAATTTTGTACTGCGCGGCATTTCATCCATACAATTTATATACTATCCGATGTTTACACAATAATGCGTGAAAGTTAACATGTTGTAATACATTCAAGTGGGGGAAAACTTGAAAAAAATATTAAATCATTTCTTCTATAAATATTTTGATTTTATATTGTTAAAACAAATTTTTCTCATCTGAGCCGGAACTGAACTGTGAGGTGTGCCCTCCCTGAACTGTTTTAGATTAAGTCTATCCTTAGCATTAAGCAAAATTCATTCATTTTGGGTTGATTCTCAGCCCCCTTCCGAACAACTAACGGAAGTTACTCTCCAACACGAATTTCAACAAGAATACCATATTAGCCGAAACCAATCATACAACGTAATACAAGAACAAGGCGATTCGAAAATAGAAAAAATGGCCTCAACGAGATTCTACGCTCACATCTCATTAAGCATTCGTTTAGTAGTGCTGGTTAGTAAATATCGCTTACAAATTGCTTTACCGCATTTAATTTTTCTTTTTTTGAAGATAAGTTGTGTGGTTTCCATGATATTGATCCTGACAGCTCCGTATATTAATCTTGCATAGTGAATTACATAATAAATTTTAGTGGAGTTTGTTTTTGGAGAACTATCAACTCTACACAACAAAGCCGAGAAATATGTCCACCATCATTTTTTCCTATGAGCCTTGATCGTTGGAGCTCTTCGTTACACTTTCAAATGCGTGGACAAAAGTTGGCATTAACCAATGATTTTTAATACCTTCACATGATTTTAATTCAGTGTTTGGGGGCAACTAGCCATTATCATTCTCAGTTTCCTTTTTGCACTTGCGCCATTGATATTTACCTGCATTTATCTAACCTCAGGAAGGAGCTTAAGTTTCTCTGTTTGCATAATGCATTAAAATTTGAAAAATTTCTCAGTTTTTAGCAAATTATTGCTTCCATTGTTGGTGTGATTGCTTTTCTTATTTTTGGCGCATTTGAGGTAACGTTAAAGTATTAGCTATTAATAAATTTCTTTTAGACATGGTATGCAACAGGATTTGGTTAGTCATTTTTCCATTTTCTTTAAAATAATCTTTAAACTCAGATCACATGCCAACATTTATCCGACAGGTTATTAACTCATAAATACTTATGAGAGATTTCCAATTTAAAAGTTTTAGATTGGAGGCGGTACATTCAGCGGATGTGCCGGAATTCCAGGTATAACCTTGGGAACAACCGCATTCCTAATAAATTTTTAAAGGATGTGAGACTGGTTTCTTGGTTAAAGGATGGGCGGGTGCCGCGGTATTGTCTATTCATCTTTACATATCTAATCGAAAATTACTTTAGGCTTTATATTTTTTGTGCGCCCTGTTTCTTCTGGCAGACGCTGTTGTTGTATTTATACGCCGAGATAAGTATGCCCATTAACTCGGACTAATATATTTACTTGGTTAATCCTTTCTCTAAAAAGCTTATAAAATATTTTAGTAGCTTATGTATAAACTGATTAAACCAAAGGAAATACTATTTTTAAACATAGTGGAAAATAAAATAACTTAAATTTAGCACAACTGCCCGACATGACTGCACAACACTTCAACAAAGGCAAACAGGAAGAGCAAACTATTAATATTTGGCAATCCAGTTACGCTATTTTTGGACTTATTTCTCCCTTCATAATCCTACATATTTTTAAAAAGACCAATAAAGTATACCACATATTGTTTGTTATACGCAGTGTATGGAATGCGCAAGGTCTCGCTCATAAACTTTATTAGCATCATTTATAATTAAAAACATTCAAAAGTATCTGAACTTTTGGGCCAATTCCCGCCGTGTTTTTGTATTTCTTTGACGCTCATCCACAAACTGCTTGAAAGAGTTTACCAAGACGGGCAAATCAACATCAAAATCACCGCTAATAATTGCAGCATGGCTAAAATTGGAAAATTTAATTAAAATTTAGTGAAGCTACAAGTAAAGAGTTTAGTAAGGGTTGCCTTATATAGTCGAGGTGCAGCCGCATAAACTCCACATAACCGCATAAACGAGGTATCTGGACGCCTGAACAAGATTGATAAGGATAATATTAGTCATAAGGTGATAAAAACCTTTATGATTAACAACTAGACGTAATCTCTGTTGTATTTTTGGCCAAATTGCGCGAGGAATCAAAAAGCTAAAAATAGTTTTAGAACAAAAATTAAGACAAAAATAAAAGTAAAAAAGAATTGCCTCAACAGTTTCCGAACGGCTCCAGACACGAGTCCTTCCATGCCTGCTCGATAGATTTTAAAATCAACTCCAGCTAATAATACATCGTTGTATAGGCGTGAATGACGAAAATGTGGCTTTATCTCAAACATTGATTATATGTAAATCCAAAGAATAAAGGATTTTACCCCAACTCGGAGTTGACCATTTGCTGAAAGGATGTTATAAGTTCGATTTTTACGCCAAAAATGAGCCTGAAATTATGAATTTATAAAGGTAGAAAAACTCACTCCGATATCTCCTTCAAGCAAAAGTGTTACTCCATTACGATCGATTAGAGCTTTCGGTGTTTTTGTAAGGTTGGCACTAAGAAATTAAATTATTTTACGATTTAAAATTTTGTTCGCCACCCACTTAACACGTAAACGGCAATCCGCACATACCAATTTGGACATTGAACGGCTTTCAAATAAGAAATCAGTTAAGTCAACTTTATTAAAAGCTTACAGCATTCGTGGCATATGATAATGAGAATAGCTAACAGAAACATGACCAAGCCCAGAATTAAAAATGTGGTAGAATAGAGTGTTCGGCAAAAACTCACTAAAAATAAGTCCAAGCATCTGTCAAAAATAAATATTTTCAAAAAACAATAAGAAAATTCGACCTGATCTCTAACTTGTATGTCACTAAACTTGGGTCTTTTTACAAAAGTAGGTGCTCGGTTCCCATTGCTCATAAAACCACCGTCAATTCCAAAGATTAAATCTCGCTGTGAAAATTTAGGTGGATAGCGAAGTGTAAGATCTGGTAGCAAATTAGGAACGTTCATCTCAGCAATGTCTACTTCTAGTGCTTGTTCATCTTCAGAAGATGCGGATTTGGAATGGGACATTTCCTTAATATAACATTGAATATAAAGACAATTCTGATGACTTTAAACCTGATGATTTTCGCTGACGCCTTGTACTAAACTAGATCTCCTTCGACCGTCAGAATGTGTTGAACAAAGTTGATTGAAAATGGTAGAAGGATCGTCAAGGTTGTTATGATCACTATAATGAGTCGTTTGGTTTGTAAAAGATTGAGGACTGGAAATCTCATGTATCTTTGATAAAAAATATATTAGAGTACAATGTTGAAAATTACTTTCTGATAAATAAATTCGCGCATGAGTGGCGGCAAAGTACAAATTTTATCACGAATCGCGCCGTCAATACCATCCCTGAAACATAAAAGTAGAAAAATCCGGAAAATTAAATACAGACCTAATCATATCGACAATAGCATAAAATTCACTTGCTTCGGGACCATAAAATTTCATTACAAACGTTCCAGGATTAACTGTACAATTTGTGACCTCAACGGAAGTAGATTCTTCTGAAAGGTTGCGATGAATAAACACGCGCATTTGCACAGTTCTACAAATTAGAAAAGATATATGTATAGCAGTGGTGTGCCGAAGCATATTTTACAAAAAAAACTCGAAAGTCAAAAGTCAATCAAAAAAGTGAAAGACGAAACTGGCACCCCCCAAAGCTGGACATAATAAAATTAATATTACAACTACAAACATACAAATTGAATAAGTTAGCCACTAGTTGAGCATTATATTTAGCGAAGAAGAAAGAAAGTTCCTAGAGAAATAAAACTTAAGTTTTATAATGCGCAACAATGAGAGAACCGTTCCTCCAGTTATGCTCACTTCTGGTATACCAACAGAAAGATCGACACCTAAAATAAATGTTTTGTCAGCTTAAAAAAGTATGATACCGTAGTCTGGAACGAACTTAACTCCAATCTGTGGCTCTTCCATTTTAGTAATAACAGCATCACTAATTACAAGACCACTTTCACTTATCGTTGGTAAAGCTAAACGATTCTAAAAAATAGTGTTGTTTTTTAATCATATTGTGATGAACCTACCATAATTTTAGGCAACCCTTTAGATGCTAAGTTTGCAAGATAATCAACACCTTAAAATTTAGTAAACATTAGATTGAGGTTCAATTAATCCAGTATTTAAATTCGACCTTTTTGGCTTATCCGAAAGTAGATTCCAGAAGAACCATCTTCAGCTGGATCGTCGATTTGAACAGATTCATAAACGCCACCCCTGTTGCTCAAGTTGTCTGATTTTGTTGTTCCTATAACATCTTAACTTAATTCATTTTAAATGTCAGGTTAATATACCATCTGAACGAATAAATGGCACCAGAAAGCAGAAATGAAAAATAATTAAAGTAAGGTTCGAAACCATTAATCCCAACTTCATTGTATATGTACAAGTATTTGGCTTTGTTAAATGAATTGATTTGTCTTGGCTTTAATCGTTCTCTATAAATGAATGGGACCCCGTTAGGCAAAATCGCCCCCAACACAACTGACAATGTGCGGCTAGCAAGATTTAATCAAGAGTGGCAATATCTGTGGAAAAATTATTTCTCTTATGTTCAATTAACCACTTCTCTACCCCTTATTACAATCAATTTTCCCATAAAGATTAATGGCCATTATGGGAAACAAAAGTCGGCTGAATCATTAAAGGAACTACTGATGTTCTTATCTTATGAGAAAGGAGTTAGATAAAAATTTTCAAAATAAAAATTCCCATTATATAAAGCAAACGTCTAGGTAGAAGAAAATTAGTTAAAATAGGACTAAAAATGAATGGCAAATTCTATTTGCATATATGCCTTATTCAATTTTAAATCTCAAGAAAGATTATAAAAAAATGACAAACTAAGCTTTAACTCTTATGGATTGTCCAAAGTGAGTTTTGTTGAAAATTTACATTAAAACCTCCTACTTTATTTTAGAATTTATAAAAACTAAAAATAAACATTAAAAAAACTTTACCGACAAAATCTAAAAAAACGAACATTGTAAGAATAAATGAATTTTGTCTTAATGTATTATAAACATGTATTAATTCAAGAAAACCAGTCATTCTTTCATAATATACCTGAAATTGGAAAAAATTTTTATTATTAAAATTTTTTAAACTAAAAAGAAAATTTGTGTGCTTGATAGCAACGAACCACAGACAAAAATGGAATTTAAATTTAAATAAAAAAATAAAAATTTACATATAAACACTTTAATTCTTATTGTGATCCACCAGCGCCTTCATTACCAGGGCTAAGACCCAAAACATTCATTAATCGCGATTTCAGTCCTCCCGAAGAATGTGATTGCGTCATTTGTGAACGTCCCATCACTTGCGCTTGATTAGAAGTAGTCATTTCATCCGATACATGCATTTTTGGTGGAGAATCAGAACCAGTATAAGTTGTACATTGCTGTGATGCTATGCCAGGCTGAAAATTGAAAGATGGCAACAAGGGACACATAAGCAATTTGTTTTCCCCAATTATTTAAAGATCCTAATGAAAATGGAAAACGTCAAGACAAAGCGCAATCACAACAATAATAACCACAAAGATTTAAAAAAAAAGCTTTAAAACTATTTTTGACCTTTTGTTAAACCATTGCTGCTTCTGACTCAGATAACTCTATGCTAAATCACGCATCAACTTGTTAAAACTGCTTTCTTCCATTTGACGACCACATTCGGCTTCCGATGACTTAATTGGTACGGTGATAATTAACCACCGTTAAAAAACAAAAATACCCCCAGACACCCTCAGAAAGACCCTGACCCAGTGAATGTTTGTAAGAAAATACCTGTTTTTTAGCACGCAAAGCAGCATCCTCAAGAGTTTCAGCAGCTTGGTACTTGCCTTGACGTCGATAGAGTGCTCCCAGATTTTTTAATGTTGTAGTTACAGTTGGACTGTAAAAGGAAAAAAGTATTAGTTGGTAAACGTAAAGAAAAGTAAAACCTCAGCCAAAATTTTTAAATAAAAATGCGTACTTATCGACTTTCATCATTGCATCCTGAATATTTTCATGATAAATTCCACTATCTGCATGTTGATTTTTAGTATTTTCACGGTCCTCAGCAATTTGCCAAATAGACTTGTTGTCGTTGCTAGTCTCTCCATATTGACGTTCATGGGCGCGTGTTAGTATCTGCTTGTATAATAACTCTGCTTCCTACAAAAGAAAATATAGTAGAAAAAATGAAGATTTATGTGAAAACCTTGTATTTTCCCTGTTTTAGATAAGCAGAGGAAAGATTGTTCATCGTTTTCGCCACATTCTGATCATCTTGACCGAATTTTGCTTCATAAATTTTAAGAGCACGTTTGTAGTATTTTTCGACTTCATCGTAAAGACCCTATAAAATACAAGAAGAGAATGATAATTAACAAAAAATAACAACCTGATTTTGATAAATCAATGCTAAATTATTTAATTGTTTTGCAACATCCGGATGATCAGCACCTAGCACCTTCTCACGAATTTCCAATGCTCTCTTACACAAAGGCTCCGCATCTTTGTACTTTCCACGCTTCCCGTGAAGAACAGCCAAATTGTTAAGAGTGGCCGCAACCTAAAGAAAAATAAATTCATAGCGAAAGAAAAGAAATACCGCAGGATGGTCTTCACCAAGACAACGCTCACGAATTGCCAATGCTTCATTCAATAACGTCGCCGCTTCTTTATACTTACGCTGATCACTATAAATTTATTCAATTTATAATAGTTGAAAGAATTTAAAATACCGGTAAACGAGAGCAAGAATGTTCAACATCCTTAAAATAAATACTTTATCAAATTAAAAAAAATAAAAAAATACGTAGCGACATCAGGATGATCATGTCCATTGTTCTTTTCCAAATCTTCCAATGCTTGCTTACAGAGTGGAACAGCTACTTCATAGCGTCCTTGCGCCGCATAAGTGATTACCTTAAAAATTTTTCTAACTAGATTAAAAAGAAAAGAAAGACATACAAGATTATGAAGTGTTTTTAGACGTTGTGGTATATCATAACCAGCAGTTGCGCTCGCAGCCATTGCATTTGCCGGAGTTGGCATTGAATATTGACCACTTGTATCTAAAAATAAATATAAGATAAACGGTACTTATAGTCCCCCATCCTCCCCTCCCCCCAGTCAGCGCGTTTTCCTTTATGTACAAAATGGTCAGACATTTCAACCCTGTATAATTTCAAGAAACTGAATTCATTCTTCTTTCAATACTTTTTATTTGTAACCGTCTTTAAGAAAAGACATCGATTTATTCAGTCATTTACTAATAACAATGGTAAATGTATGAGAGAAGCAATCAAAAACAAAAAAGGTGTCGGAATTGAAGGAAGAGTGATAAATGAATGAAGCCACAGGGAAATTTAGTTAGACTATGCAAAGAAAAAATGACTGACAACTTTGTACATCAAGTGAGGGGGAATAGGGAATGTTCAACTACTAATTGTTTATTCAATTTAGACAGAACAAATATGTAAACATTGCTCAGTTCTGTTTATGAAAATAATAATTTCCGAGGATGTATCGACATGAAGGCCTATAATAAGGGCATTCAGTCTTCTTTTACCTCAGGAAACAAAGATAAACACAACTAACAATAACACATAGGCGATATACCAACCTAGTCCTTTCCCCCATCAATGTTTTTTTATGAAAATCAAATTAAGACAAAAAAACAAACTTTGCAAATCCTCCTCCTCATCACCAAAACCAAGTTCCTGCAATGTTGAATTATGGACATCGCTTGCAGGACGTTGCTGTTCAGCTTGATCCCCTTCCTTGTCAGCAAGTTCCGGCAAATCCTCATCAAATTTCTTTATGCTATTCATGAATTTCAGGTGCTTGTTTTCTTCTTCCAATTGCGCAATGTTCTTAGTATAAATTAATTCGATTAAAGAAAAATAAAAAAAACCTGCATTGCTGTACGAAGTTGCTGTTGAGTCGAGTTCAACTAAAACACTTTGTTATAGAAAATAATAGCTTATGCTACGGTTACATAAAAAACGCGCGCGTCTTGCGGCAGAAAAGATAATGGGAAATGAGGAGAGTAAAAGACGCCGGCGTCTTGCCGCTTTTTTTGAGTGGTTACATAAACTGCGTCTTCCGCCGGCGTCAAGACGCCGGCGTCTTGACGCTTTTTTTGAGTGGTTACATAACCCGCGTCTTCCGCCGGCGTCTTGACGCCGAGCGTCTTGCCGCTTTTTTGAGTGGTTACATAAAATGCGTCTTCCGCCGGCGTCTTGACGCCGGCGTCTCTTTTTTTAATTCAAACATGTTTGAATTTTTTGCGGCAACTTTTAGCGTCTTGATCATTTCTTGGCCAATTCTAATCCGATTTTCAAAATTTAAAAAGATTCTGAAAATTCAGTTTATTCTCTATCGATCAATATAAATTTTATATTTTTAAACCGACTTTTTATAGGTTAAAATTAATTTTGAAAAAGGTATACTTTTTGCAAAAAAATATTCTTTTTTTTCGATATTTTTGAGATTCTCAGTATCATAACTTTTTTATCAATCGGTCAAAAATTCTGATTTTTTGATATGTTGTAGAGCTTTTGATTCTCTATCAAATGATACCAAAAACATGAAAAAGTGACCATTTCTTGATAAGTATGGCTCGTCCCATATAGTGTATGGCTCCCCCCCTTGAAATATCCGGATATCACTAAAATTCTAATTGAATGGCCGCCATTCTATTTTTCACAGGTTAAAAATTGTGATTAATTGAAACAAATATTCGACCTAATATTTTCAGAATCCGAAATTTTACCGAATTTTTTGTTAAAATTAGATATTTTGAATTTATTTAGTTATTTTGAATTTATATATTTCAAGAGAGATCAGAGAATTTATTATAGGTTCAAAAACCTATGTTTGTATATCTAGCCTTTGTTTGAACTAGAGCCGTCCAAGAAAACAAAACCGAAAAGCCACCAATCAAAGTTCAACAACCTCAAAGGAATGTTGGGATTTTCTCTAGAAAATACTCTTGACCTCGTTCCCGCTTGACCAACTTTATACCTCTTTCCATTGTAGCGCCGCAGGCGAAAATTTGAGAATTTTGGAAGACCACTGGGCAAGATTTCTTCCTTTTTTCCTAATTCTAGGATCCTAAAATAGTCCCAAATTTTTGACATTTTTTCTAAAATATATTGAAAATATCTCGTGTCTTGTGGCAAAATACGAGATACGAGACCTCTAAAAAACACGAGATTTCACGAGATACGAGAGGAGCGCCACCCCTGATCGGTACCATGGCAGAATAAAATGATTTGACTTTATAAATTTTATTTTAGTATGATAAATATTTAAAAAAATTTTTAATCGGATTTAGTGGTTACATAAAATCGCGCGCGTCTTGCGGAAGACGCTCGGCGTCAAGACGCCGGCGGAAGACGCTGTTTTGTGGTTACATAAAACTAGCGTTTTGACGCTTTGCGTCTTCCCGCTTAGCGGAAGACGCCGATTTTATGTAACCACGAAACAGCGTCTTCCGCCGGCGTCTTGACGCCGAGCGTCTTCCGCCGGCGTCTTGCGTTTTTTATGTAACCGTAGCATTAAGAAACCTCATCACGAATCCATGCATTTTCTTGACAAAGACGACGCACTTGAGCTTTATACTTTTGCTTGTCAGCCTCCAAATTTTGAAAATGTGAAGCAAGTGCAACCATGACCTGCAATAAGAATATCAAAAAAATAAATTTATTCTAGGAAACCTGAGCCTCCTCAACGCCTAAAAGTATATTCTCCAAATTCCTATCAACAATTGATGTTTTCTCGTCAATCAATTGACGCTCATCCGGCGTAAGCAGATCAAGACCACCAGTCAGCTTGTTTTTTATTGCTTCATGCTCATCTCGCAATGCATCCAAACCTTGGGCAACTACGCGAATATTTCGAAAAATTTCGTCCTGTGCTGGCATTTTTAAAGAATTTTTAAGCTCTAAAATGTAAAATAAAAACAATAAAATAGTAAAGTACATAATCATAAAAAATCACAAATCGCTTCAGCCAAAAAAAAAACCTTACAAAAAATTTTTCCATGAAAATTGCATGTTTCCCTAAATCGAACAAATATTCTCTTTATTCCACGTAGTCTATCATCGATTCTTTTAAGGCCTTTTAAGTCTAGGTTCAAGCATCCCAAATACAACAGGCACCTAATGTACTCAATACGACAATCTCCTTTGTTGTTGAAAAGTCTCAATGGAAAAAAGGTCAGAAGAATAAATGGTCAACTAGCAGAACAAAGGCTAAATTACAGTAAAACGGACTTTATCACACGATTAGAACGGATATGTATAAAAATTTCTAAATCGATAATACTGAGTACGATTTCTTTTACCCAGATAAAGATGAAATTAATATCTTGTTGTTAGAACGTCTTTTCAGGCAACAAAGCGCAAATCCCAGCAGAACGGCTGTCAGCAAACTAACCAAATTTAGAAGTGTCAATGCCTTTACGGCTTTTTGAGAATATTCCAGCGCAGATCGTAGTTTATACTCTGTACTTTTATCATTATTCTCTGTAAATTTAAATGAATAATGCTTCTACATATCTAAATAAATCAACCTTCTTTCGCTTCAACAGTATCCAGACGAACTGTTAATTTGTCGATTTGAGGTGCCATACTATATCTCTCAGAGGAAATCATTTCCGAATTCGAAGTAATTTCGCGCTTTTGTCTTTGAAATTTATAAGTGTTCCTTGAGGATGTGCGGCTGATACATTTTTGCTGCTAAAATATTTCATAATATATTTCGAATTGACCCTTACGGTTGTTCTTCGACATTCAGGGTCGATTTTTAAACAAGCATACAACAAGCAATCAAAGAAGATTCGTGAAGAGGAATTGAAACGAAATACACGACTAGATGCTAGTGCTTGTGAAGGATTGTCTATATACTGTGGGTGTGGCATTAAAGATGTGTCAGTGGAACATCTAAAAAAATCTTTTGAATTCATGAATAGCTAAAACATAATCCACCCCTGATCATTAATGATTTGATGCTCTCTGTTACGACCATCTGTAGCATAACACTGATATACCTATAATTATATAGAACATATCAATACGGGACAATATCAACAAACTTTAAGCGCATATTTATCATCACAGCGCCATCTGTGAAAAACACGATCGCCTAACCTTACTTTCTCAGCCACTGGCCCATTAACTGAATTACTGTGTATGCTGAAAAGTTTTTCAATCAGAAACAATTAATTCAACTTATCAATTACGTATATTTGCATTCAGGCTGATGAATTTTAGTTGAAGCAAGTTTTTCATCTACTGACTTATCTACCATTAGTGTTCCTTTTACTGCACTAATTTTATAATCATGAATGATGTGCATAACAAAGGATTTTACCTTATTTCCAAAACTTGTCCAATTGTTTGATTAATATCAGAGAAATACTGGCAATGAATATCAAAAATACGCTGATTTTGTTGAATTTTTGGTAATTTTCGGAAACCATTAATCCTATTCATATGAACTTGAAACTCATTTTCATCAATATGATTAAGTAGAACACGTAGTGAATATTCTAAACCAACACGTGGAAATACCTAATTAACAAAAAAACAATTTAAATGCATATATATGTATATAATTCATTTACCATTCGCCTTTTATTCACACCACATGGAAAGCCAAATTTTAGTTGAATTTCTAGGCGTAGAAGTGGTGATCTAGGAGGAAAAGGTTGCAAGCATTCTGGCTCCTCTTCATAACCATTTGCGTATATAATGAACGGTAAATCTGACATGACTTCTGGATTTAGTATAAGAATACCAATAGAATCGGATGAGCATATTGGAATCGGAGATGTTTGTGTTAGCGATTTCTGATCGGTAGGTGGGAACTTGGAGATTTTCATGAATACTTGATTCGGCAAGTAAGAAAAAGATAGTAGCAAATTAATAGCCAAAATTAATTTTCGACTTGGATACAATGAATCTGGTGAACTCCTTATATTTTTAAATAACAAGCAACGAGAACTCATCATTTTAAGAAATGAGAAACTTATTCACTAATAAAAAACTTGTACGAATATCTATTTTAAATTCCTTAATGTACTTGCAGCGACAGGCTAATAATTTCTATTTCTGAACTTTTTCTTTTTTTTTGGGTAACAAGCAAAAGAATTCTGTTTCATGTTCTTCAAGAGCACTTCAAATTTGTTACTAGATATAATTCAAACATTTCTAGAGAAAACCGAATAAGAATAATTGACAGTCAAATATTCGGAATTATTTTTAATCATGTCCTAGTATTTCAATTTTTAAATAGTTCATTTAGAACTTACAACTCTATTTTAAGCATAACATTTTAATTTTTTATATTCTTATAACATCGTTTAACATGTAAAAAATAGACCAAAATAACCAGATGAAAGGTCATAGATTAGAACAAGTTTTAGAAATGTTTCGGGCCTCTAAATAACAATTAATATTCACATTCAATTACCCGCCAAATATCATTACCCATACTGTCTACTTGCACATTTTTGAATTTAAATTTCAAAAACCAAAAAAAGATTCCCCTAAGAGGAAAAAAACCGGTTCAAGCAACAAAAGATGGAATAGAGAGCTTCATTTTTTTACTCAGTTCTATCGACTCTAATGTCTTTCAATTTGTTGTCCTCGCCAGCCGGTTGGCCTATTCAAAGGATGGGAACTCTCTTCTCTAAGAAAAATCGATGCTTAGGCTGCTCATTGGTCCTTAGTCAATCCTAAAACTATTATATTTTCGTGCCAGCCAGTATTTAGGTCATTCCTTGAGGCATAAACATGAACTCACACCTAAATTTTCAATTTTTAAAGATGTTTAATTGGACAAACACGTTCATTTTATATATTTTGTTAATCTTCACAAAACCACTAAAAAGTGATAGCACAGAAAATGCAAGCTTGATAAGTGAACAGATTGCGCCAGATTTGCATCAAGATAATGAAAATGAAGAAACCAGCACAACGACATCACAGAATGTCTTCACATTTGTTAAGCGTTTTCAAATTGTTTGTTGTATGGAAGGAATACCTCAGTTGAGCCATCCAGAGCTGGTGCGGAACTTCAAAATAGACAAAGTAGGTAGAAATCCATCGGCAGATAATTTTAATATTATAGTCAGTGTCCTATGTAATAGCTGGTCACAAAGAGTATGGCCAATCCGTCAACCTCAATTCAGATGAAAATTGTCGGCTTTTTAAAGTATCAATTAATCTATTAAATTTAAAATTATTTTATTTCTAAGGGTTCTTTTATGCTTCCACAATCTATTTTTGGCATACCTGTTGAACTCTCTTATGCTTCTCACGTTATTTGCAGGTGCCCGGAGCTGACGTTAGGTCACGCGCTAGATCGGTAAGTTAAAATAATATACAAATCTTTATGATGTAAATTTTCAGCTCCTGCCGAAGATTACCCAACTGCCAAAACAATGGATTCCGTTCACTGCTGGATCCAAGGCGGTGTTTTTGCTTAGAGCCATTTTTCGGTGAACGCTGTGAAAAGTTTTGTGACCGTGGTCGACGCTTGCATGGTACGTTACTTTTAGAAGAATGAAAAATTTTGGAAATTGTTTAAGGCCCAGATGGCATAGATTATTGCAGTTGTACCTCTTTTTATCGAGGAGAGGAATGTAGAGAATCTATTTGTCTTAATGGTGGACGACCATTGCTTGATGGATGTATTTGCAAGCCACATTTCTTTGGGCCTCATTGTGAATTCGATGGGAATCTTACACATCGCTTCGCATTTGAATCAAATATCGGTGACACGGAAACCGGTAAAGCAGCCGGAGCCTCTCCTCGATTTCGTCAGCATTTTGAAAATTTTGAACATGTTGGTAAAATAAGCATTTAAAAAAATAAAGCCAACAAATTGTTGTGTATTTTTATTTTCAGGGAAGTGAGGTGTTTTCTACTAGAGATGTGTCAGGCACTGTTTTTTCATTAGTCATGATAATTGTGGTAGGTTGAAGGAAGTAATACTTGTCTTAGAATTTTATTTTTAGCTCGTCTTAAGTATGTATTTATTGATGAAGCATCGAATGCAAGTAACAAACAGTAATTTTGTCGTAAATAATTTTCTATAATCAAAGGTGCAAAACCGTTATTTGAATAACAGACGTACAGATTTACTCGGTGCTTGCAATTTCCCGCCTGGTCTTGATAGCACTGTGAATGGAGGAAGTAGTGAAGTAATGTCATCACGCCATGTTCAGTTGCCACAAAGAGATAGATATAATAGACACGAGAGAATTGAACCTTTTCCAATTGGTGATGCAGAACCGGTAGTATCAGGAAGGAGTTCATTGCCACCGTTTATGCGATCATTGGGGCCGTTTTTTACTGCTGGAGATGGTGGTCCACCGCCTTACACACCTCAAAACCATAGAGGTAGTATGCAAAATAATAATGCAAAACTTACGAATTTTTAACTAGTACGTCGATCACGAAATGACGTTTTTCCACCATTGCCCAGCTATGAAGATGCGACAAAGCTTCCAGTCAATGGAGGTGAATTACAATTAGAAAACGAACAGGATCTGCAGAATCAAGAAAGACAAGGTCAAATGAGAGAATTGTGTAATACAGAAATGACGAATGAAGCCCAGATTGAACATGAGAATATTGGAACTCAATTACAACCAGAAGGGATCATTGACGAGTCTATAAATGAAGAGAGAGGAGCACAGGAAATGGATGAAAATGGATTAAACTCAACTGAATCCACTTATCATCAAACAGAAACTCAAAATAGGTAGCACAACAATTATGCAAGATTTCGGTTTTATAAACCATTCAAATAAAGATCTCTATCGAAACTATTCATTGAATATAAATATGTACATAGAAAGATTTTAATTTTAGCATAATAAAAATTAATATATTATACTTTATATAAACATGGCAAAATAAATATAAAATTTAAATTTTAGAATGGTTTCAGAAAACAAATACTTATAATAAAAAAACTCATTTTTGAATGGTAATGAAAATCTAACATATACAAAAAATCTAAGATATTGTCAATTTAGTAAGGAAAACGAAAAGTGATTAAAGTCAAATTATGGTGAAAAAAGAAATGGAACGAGATGTCTTTCAAAATGAATATTATATATCATTGGCCAAGATAAAGAAATTAAGTAGTAATTATAGGAATTTATATTAAAATGGAAATATAGGGAGTCTTATCTGGTTCTAAACATTTAAATTAAGTGTTGGTGTTGCAAGAAGAGCGCACTTACTAAATATAACTTGGAATTTGCACATAACTTTGCCGGGAAAATATATTAAAATTTCAGACAATTTTCGAAATTTGACTGTTACCAGGGTTTCGTCAAAAACCGGTGTTTTTGGTTTAACCGAACCGAAAACGGGAGGTAAACGACCGGCCATAACCGAGCATACTGGCCAACAAACAGTTTAAAGACAAACCTAAAAATATTTGTGCAAAATTTCATAACTATCTGTCACAAGGGCGCTTGTCTTGTCTTTATTTAACTACCTTAATCAACATTAGAAGAACTGGCCTTCAATTCAGCTGAGACACGATTGAACACATCAAATATAGATTCACAAAAAACTGAGATGAGGTTGAGTTCTTTCTCGGAATCGCCGCGAAAATATTTGAGTTGAAACACATGGCTCTCAGGAAAAACAGAGTATCCAATAATGTTAGACCATTTCAAGCTAATAGTACGTCCCTATAACGAAAAATTATTTTTGAATGTAAAGTGGCACAAGTTAACCTTTTGAACATGATCTTTTTGAACCTTCAATGAAACAATTTTCATATCGACGGTAAGTACGGCAAGACCTTCTTCAGTTTCTGGTACTTCAAATTGACATTGTGGAAACGAAATACTTGAATAGCCTGAAGAATAATGTTATTTTTCGATTTTTAGTTCATCTTCATAGGAAGCAGGGATGTCACGATTACCCGAAACCCGATTCAAAAAAATGACTATAATATATTTATATAGAATGACATTTAAAAATTTATTTTACCTTCAAGTTGACGTGCCAAGTTCAAGTACTTGAAACAAATAAAGTTTAATATTAAAAATTTCAAAAACCTGATCGCAGCGATCATCCCTTTGCAAAGCTTTCAGTTGATAAAGCTTTTCACCTGCTCGAATACTGCCACAATTAATATCCTCCACTGCTTGGTGAAAGCCTTTAAATTAAACAACTTGAGTTAAACAAAATCAAAAAAAAACTAACATATTGCTTTAAATCGACTGTCAAGTTCGCAAAGCTTTTCTTCAGTGCTCACATCAAAACACCATTTGCGTAGAACAATGCAAGAGCTTGCGGCAGAAGAATAATTTTGAATATAAATATTATGAGGGCATTCCCGTTCATGTAAACGACGAAAGTGAGTGTCCTTTAATAATGAGAATTTTAGAAAAAAAAGGCAAAAATAAACAAACATCGATCATTTCAAAAAGCGCACAATTAGCTGCTGCTCTAGGGGATAATTTGAGATGTTCCAATACTTGTTGATAAACTTGATGTGTGTCACTATGTCTTTTAATATTTAATGTAAGTGTTTCACCGCAAACAATTAGACGAAGAGAAACATTCAAAACTGGACTACTTGAACTAGAATCTTCCATAAGAAATTCCTGAATATATTTAAAAAGTTAGCTCATATTGTGTAAGAATAAAATAAAAAACCTGAACAATTTCGCAATCAGCTATAACTTTTACAGCACAAATTTTCTCCAAATACTGTTCAAGTAAACGTCTACGTCCATCTAGTTGTTGTTCTGACATGCGAAAAGGCCACCTGTTTGGTAATTTTGGAAAGGAAAAATCAGAAAATTCTTCTTTGAGCAATTTGTTAAGTTGAAGAAACTCGCTGAAACGACGCGAACCCAAATGACGACCGGCCATATGAATCGAATAGGCAACAAACTGAAAATGAAGTTAAGGTGACAGATTAACTAGTCATAAAATATACCTGTTCATCTTCCGTACTTACTGTCTGGTAATTGGGTATAGTGATGGGAAGTGATCTGGAAAAATAAATCAAAAATAAACAAAAGCCAATACCGTTTTTCTGAGTAATCATAATATCGATAAACATCATTGTTAACGCTGTTGTGATCATCGTAAGTGGCGCTAGCACCATTATAACCACAACAATTAGCTGATGAGTCAGAATTGTCCATAGGAGCAGTAATAACAAGCAAATCAAGTCTTAAGAAAAAAATGAATCTTAAGATCCCAGAAGAGAATTTTAATTATACCTGTCACCACCCGCTTTTATCAGTTCAACAACTTGACGATGATTAGCACCTTCCACATTAACACCATTTCTAAAATTGGTATAATTTCGGAATACTGAACAGAAAGCAAATAGGTCAAGTTATATGTCATTCGAAAGAGCTCGCCGAGTTGAGTCGAATGGTGAAAAAATTTTTGTGCGGACTCATACGGGGGCTGAGATATAGGCCCCAGAAAATCGAAAAACCATAGGGGGGACCAAGCACTTTTTTGGGGTCAAAAATTCGAATATGCAAATGATAGCTCATTCGAAAGAGCTCCTCGAGCTGAGTCGAATGACACCAAAATCAACGAAATCCGACTTGATTGGACAAAGTTATGCTCTTTTATTTTAGCTCCTTACCTATGTCATCTGTGGAGATTTTTGCTGCTACGGAGGCCCCAAATAAGTCCAGAGCAAGGGAGATAGGAATAGGTTTATGTTACGAGCCCAGACCCATCGCCCGTAGACTCCCCGCGAGGCGCGTGCCGCAAAACCCCGCGCGAAGCGCGGGGTTTTGCATAGGGTTGCACCCCGAACGCTCGGGGGCGGGTATGTCGGGGTACGGGGTTTTCGAATTGTTTCGGGGCGGGGTACGGGTCGGGGGACCAAAATATGGTCGGGGTTCGGGTCGGGGTACGGGGGTTTAGTGGAAAAATTTTAGAGAAAAAAATGTTAAAAAATAATTAGATTTTAGCATATTTTCGTTAATTTTTTCAAAAATTAAGTAGGATATTGAGACATTAAATTGGATTTGAAGGGATTAAAGAGTTTATCTGGGGATATAAGCGGATCTGAAGGGATTAAGTGGGATTTTAGGGATTAAATGGTATATCTAGGGATGCAAGAGGATCTGGAGTGATCTTTGTTGGTCTCAAGGGATATCCTTGATTTAGAAGGATATAGAAGTATTACGGATCTCTTATTAGTTTTTAATCTGGGGAGATAATTATCTGGGATAATAAATAAATTTGGGCGGATTATGGAAGATTTATAGAGATTAACTGACATATCTGCTGATATAAGGGTTTCGAAGGATTAAGGGTGGTTCAAGGGATAGAATCTTCCTTTTTTAGAGCCAAAGATAAAAATTTTAGAATTTTTAGACTAAACTAAAAATTTATGGTTGATAATATTTAAAAATAGAATTAAACTTTTGAAATTAAAATTTAACGCTTGTTTTTGTAAAGAAAAATAAGAAAACAAACGGGTTCTCCTTATTTGGATCCGAACCCTAACCTATATGAATAGAAATATAGACAAAGCCAACGACTAAACCACTCAACCACAAGTCGGTTAGTTAAAATGGAAATACAATATTGATATTTCATTCAATTTTCTTACAAAAATAATAAAGGCAAAGCAAATTGGGAGGAAGTTTCTAAAATTTTTCTCTTTAAATTCTCCTTAAAAATGGCGTTTTTAGGGGTGTATACCCCGAAAACCCCGAAACTTTTTCGGGTCGGGGGACGGGGTTTTCATTTTTTTCGGGGCGGGGTTCGGGTCGGGGAAATTTTGGAAAAATCTTTCGGGAACGGGGGTCGGGGTTCGGGGTACGGGGTCGGGGTGCAACTCTAGTTTTGCACAAGCGCCTCGCCGACGCTCCATAGGTTTAGGTTTTTTTGTCGTAACTTTGTCTAATCTTGTTTAATCACGGTGATTTTGGTGTCATTCGACTCAGCTCGTCGAGCCCTTTCGAATGAGGTATAATTTACATATTCGAATTTTTTTGACCCCAAAAATTTCCAAATTTCGGGGGTCTGTAACTCGGCCATATGAAGTCGGATTTCGTTGATTTTGGCGTCATTCGACTCAGCTCGACGAGCTCTTTCAAATGAGCTATCATTTGCATATTCGAATTTTTCACCCCCAAAAACAGCTTGGTCCCCCCTATGGTTTTTCGATTTTCGGGGACCTGTATCTCAGCCCCTGTATGAGTCCGCACGAAAATTTTTTCACCGTTCGACTCAACTCGACGAGCTCTTTCGAATGACATATGGTTTGACCCATTTGCGTTCTGTTCAGTATTCCGAAATTTTTCCCTAAAATTAAATGAATCATCGTAATCAAACCAAAAAATTTAGGTTCACATAAAGATTCTAATCAATAAATTTAAAAAACTAACACTTCAACAATCCGATCGCCTTGACGTAATCCAGCCTTGTAAGCTGCCCCACCATGCAACACGGCACTAACATGCTGTAGTGGTGCATATAACTGGCCTAAACTAATTTTCTTTGAAAAAAACAATCATAGGATTAAATACCGCAATAAAAACGTAGTTGACCTCCTTCGCTCACTTGACCTTTTACATTAAAACCAAACCCTTAATAAAATAAATAAATCCTCAAATACTAAATAAGAAAAGAAACCTGACTCAGATTTACAAATCGTTATAGAATGAGGTCCAGATGTAGGAGCTTCCTTAGCAGACATTGTACATTTCTTATCAAAAATTGATACTAGTTCATCTCCATTTATATTTGAAGCTTCCATCGAGCATTAGATAATAGCAACTAAAAGGTTAAAGATCAAATTGAAAATAATTCAAAAGATCAAGGCAATATAAAAATGAACAAAATTTGGCCATGGCCATTTAAGTGTAAATTTTTTTAGATATTTCAAAAATTCGACAGGTCAATAATTCAAAATGTCAAATTACCCAAAGAATTTCAAAATGTAAATGACAATGGCATTCACAAAGATTGCCAACAATAAAACGCCATAAAAGGTATGAGTAAATCTACTTTAAACACAAGGAGATTTTACCAATAATCTAAGAAATAAAGGCTTAAATTTAAAACAAATTTATATTAATGAGATCATAATCATAAAAAAAACAAAGGAATAATAATAAAAAAACGAAATTAGTGAGCGGTTTTTCTTTTCAATAAAATCTTATTGCATATTACTGACACCCACAGGCATCAACACGCATATCTGCGTAAGCTAAAATAATAAAAATATATATATTAAGCATATTCACGTTAAAATAAAACCTTTAACAACAAGCGCATTATTATTTGTGTCCCTGTAAAGGATTGTAATTGAGCTCATTTGAACTGGTACACAGCTTGGGGCTAAAGCCGCTCCAGGATCAATTCTAAAAAAATTAATTTAATTAAGTCGCGATTTTTGTACTTACGAGTGAAGAAGTGATTGCATTATTGCATGATTGCTGCTATTTAGGTGAGAAGGCAATGGATGCGAACAACGACCTTTGTAATAAAGTTAGATTGTAAAAATTTCATCTTATTTAAAAACGTTTTTTTACCTTTACATTGATATGCTGCATAACCTGCTGGAAAAAAATTTTTTAGACAAAAATAATGATAACCAAACATGGTGCAACAATCCAATCCTGCCAGTTAAGTTGTCCAAAATCTACATACAAATCAGCACGACGACATGCCCCACTTCCCGAATTATGTTGACGATGCCGATGTTGTTGGGTGGCTAATCTTCGACGTTTTTGACGACTTGTGTTTAACGATGCGTCTTCTTCCTCTTCAAATTTACTATTTTCATCAGTTGCACCACTCAATGATCGCTTAAAACGCCGCTTTAGTTGTTTTGAGTCATTTTTGTTGAATTTCGATTCAAAATCAGAACCCTTTTCATTTGCATAAATTAATAATGCTGCAGCTCTAAGCATATATTCCACATTATTTATCGGTATGCCCAACGGAAAATGAAGCAGTAAATTCAACTATACTAATTGTAAAAAGCATGAATTTTATTTAATAATGAGTAAGGTTGTCAGTTCTTGGAAAAAAACCTCAGTTCTTCGGTTCGTTTCTGAACTGACAACCCTAAATAAGAGCATACTTTTTGGTTGTGACAGGAAGTAGTAAGCAATTTGCCATCTAAATCGATCCATGGTCTTTGTTCAAAACCAATTCTATTATTAGAATCAGGTGCTTCATAGGTCTTATTTTTACTAGTATCTCCATATTTATCCATTCTAACACTAATCGAAGCTTCTTTCCAATTCGGGAGTCGAAGTTCACCATGTGATATTACCTCCTAAAAATTGACATTTATCATGAATATCTTTAAGGACCTACATCTTCAACTTGTTTTCCACCCATACTCAAGTTAAACACAAGTTTAGCATACCCATTACCCACAAACTCAAGCGAATAAGTACTGAAATGCCGTATTGTAGTATAATCTGCTTTTCGTTGTTCCAACCTCCTGTACAAATTCCAAATATAACCAGGCACTTTGGGTGTCGAATTCTCTTGTTTTTTCCACTCATTCAAATGAGAAAGCCCAAATTTATTCAAAAAAGCCTTTCGAAGCAATGATCGTTCCTCAAAGCTGAATGTTGGTGTTGTAATAACCTTGTTTGAAGCATCAAAAGATAAAACAGAAGGCATTATGAATAAGAGAATAAGAAATAAGTAAATGCATGACAGTTGAATTGAGCAATCCTGAGAATCTGATAAATTAAAAAATTAAATATTAATTATATTATCCCAATCCCCATTTGTTTGGGAGATAAATGAGGGTGCTATTTTTTGATTTAAACAAACATTCAAGCAAGAAAATCCTGAGGAAAAAACAACCAAAATAAAAAATGACAAGTAATTAATTTTAACTTCTCACTTACAAAAGCAATACTTTGGACAACAATAGTCTCTCAGCCTGTTGATCATAGAGATTGAATTAAAAGGATCATTTGGCCTTTTATTAACACCACCAATGTTTGCTTTAACAAATCGTCTTCGTTTTTTCCAACTTAGTAATTGATGAACTGTTGAAGCCATTAGTAAAATCCATCTTTTTACCCATCTTAATGCTGCTAATATTGATTTAGGACTAAAAATGTTCAAAAAATTGTCATTGATAGTGTATAATTGATGAAATTGAATGCTGGACATAAATACTAGTAGGTGTTAAAATAATGTTGTGATGATCCAAAATAATTTAAGAAAGCTTTTGGTAAGTTGAGCAAAAAAATTCTTGAATTTAAAAAGATTTTTGGTTAAAGTTTTTTAAATTTTGAATTCTCTTATAAAAATAACTAAAATTTTATCCAACGACCTAAACTTTTTTACCGATTTTCTCAAAGACCACCACTTTTTAAAATGCCAATTCTTGGTTAGTTATAAGGGGGCCAAAGGCCATCTCACATTAATCTTACCGCTCAATTTTGCGTACCAAAAAACCAAAACAAAACCGTCTTGTCCTACTATTTTAATATTTTCTTTCAAGAGTAAAATATTTAATACTTTATTTTGGCCTAGCAATTTTTTAGAAAGCGAAAAATGTTGCAAAGATATGCATTATTATTTAACTTAGAAAATTTTGACGCTAATTACTTAAACAAAAAACACAATAAAAAACCAATAAATCATAAACATTTATAACATTTTTACCCTTGATTGTCAAAAACAAAACCTCTATATATTTTATTAACAAATTTACACTTTTTCCATCCACACACACCTAAAATTAAAATTGTGAGAGGTACATGTTCTATTTTTAGAAAATTATGCATGACATAAATGTTTATGGTCCTCTAACCTTTTTTTCACTTTTACTTGTAAAACTAATTTTCTAATTTGCGCATCGCTTTAAAAAATATGAAGAAACTTAATAATTACAAAATTAATTAATTAAATTTTAATAATAGAGAGCGAACAATTAAAATAGAAAGCAAGGAAAAGCTTTATTTACACTAAAATAAAAAAAAAGAAAAATAAAAGACGGATGGGAAAGAAGAATTAATGTCTAAAAGTGGGAAGAATTATATCTGGAAGTTACTATTCTTTAAAGCCTAGAAGTGTTGTTTATGTTAAAATATGTAGTAACAATCTGATGATCCTTCGTTGAGAAAAATTTTTTCTCAATGAATAGTCTTCAATTTAACTATAAAAGTTCAAACTAAGATAAACACGAAGAAAAAAATCTAGCTCATTGGATATTGGTCAAAAATGCCATTGAAAAAGATTGAAATAAAAATAAAGTTCGAGTGACGAAATTTGATTCATAAAGGTTTTGGGTACTTTATTAATATCCCGCCCCCCACCCCTATTTAAGTCTCAGATTAATTTTCCTTCCTTGCTGTCAATCATTTATTTTCCTTCTTTTTTTAATGCCAATAATTTTCTTCCCTCAAATATAGGACCCCTAAAAGGGCGCGAGGCCATAACGGCGCAAAGCCACAACTTGCTTTAAGATTTTTAAACCTTAACAAAATTAATATTAAAGGATTCCTTTCATAGAGCTAAAGAGATTGATAACAAAAATGACATGGGTCCTTTTGGGTGTCCTATATTTGAGGGAAGAAAATGATTGGCATTAAAAAAAAGAAGGAAAATGAAAAGGAAGGAAAATTATTCTGAGACTCAAATAGGGGTGGGGGGCGGGATATTAATAAAGTACCAGGTTTTGCCGATATTGAAGGCTGTAAATAATTTAAACCCTAGGCTAAGAGTTGGCGGTATCTTCAAAGAATAAAAGGTTATGTGCCAGCCTCAAATGAAAAAAAGAAAGATTAAAAACAGACGAAATTTGATAGGAGATAAGTTTAAAAAGAAAAAAAGAGAGTGAAGTGAATAAAAAAACTATTAAAAATACTTTAGTAAATTCAAGCATTTCTTTATAAAATTTTAACAAAATTCTAAAATTTGCGCCACAAAGTCGGCCATGCGCAATTTTACTGCATTAAATATGTAAATACGGAGGTCACTTCATAAAATGGCGTCAAATTGTCGAAGAAAAAATTCAAAGCATTCCTCTTAGAATCACTTATAATGGGAGTAACAAACAGACGTGGCAAGAGGTTGGTTCTGAAAATGCGGTTAATCTAGCTATTTCAAAAGGATGTTAATGAATACAATAAGATCAATAATCGACTGGGAAATTATTTTAATAAGACAAAGAATACGTGGAAGAAAACTGCTGATCACTTACTGATAAAGCTGATCTTAAAGATTGAAAAGTCTAGCAGAAATGGCTTTAAACTAAACGAAGAACCATGAGAAAAAATTTTCTGCAGAATATTAATCTAATAGGAAATTATAAAAAATATCCATTTTACGTATTTAAAAAACAATTTTAACATGTCATTGAATGAAAGATGCAAAAGCCAATTTCACCTGTCAATCTTTTTCAATGCCAAATGTAATTCAAAATGCTTAATATCCCTCAAATATTTACGACAAAACAATATTTTGGTTAATTAATGATGTCAATAAGATTCCGATATTTTTAACAATTTAACTGCAGATATGTAGTTTTTAAATTATTTTTTTCTCATGAACAAAAAATCCATTATAAAAATATTTAAATATTCCCGGAATGATAAAAAAATCTACTAGGAAATATATCGTCCCCAAACAAATTTGCATAAAACAACATTAGTAGCTTTCAGTCAAATTTTGAACAAAAATAGAAAAAAACATTGCAAGCATCAAAACCAATCAAAATTTTCTATTTGATTTAACACAAAAAATATTTATATTATTTTAAGCCTTTTTTCCAATTTATTTTACATCTCGTTCACATTTAATGTAAATATTTCATTATTTATTTATTAATATTTTTTACTTTGTCACATAAAGCATACATAAAAACACAACTAATTAAAAATGACACCCCCTCCGAAAAAGTGAGAAGCAAAGAGCAAAAAATTTTTTTTTCTTCTCATCAAAATTTACATAAGAACGGCAATAAAACGCGAGAACATGATGGGCAGATATAAACAAAATTATAAAACATGGCAAAAAGCGCCTCTTCTAAAAATGTTTTTTTACATTCAAGTTCCTTCAATCCTACTTAAAGACAAAATTTTATATAGCTCATTTTCCATTAAAAAAGCGAGTTGTTATGATGATGCTTATTGAAAAGGAAAGCACGACCTTATCTTTTAAAGATGAATATAAGTCTCGACAAATTTGTGAAGAATTATATGTGATGACATTTAAAGCATATTGAAAAAAACTCCTAGTTAATAATATGGAAAGGAGGAAAGAAAAACGAGAAGAACAGCAACAAATAGAGGCAAAATGTGAATATAATTTTGACTTGACTTAGTTTGACTACAATAAATTTTGACGGAAACGAAAAAGTGAGAGGCGTGAATAATAAAAAACGAAACAGCTGGACAAAAATTTAGGTTTTACAAATACGCTTCTTATTTAAGATTAATAAATACGCAGTCTATCAAAAAGCAAACTTATTACGCGCGAAAACAATTGCAAAGCTATTTCATTGTTTAAATTATTAAACACATAATTTAGCTAAAATAATAACCCATTTAATAACTTAAAATCTGACTTAAAAGCAACAATAATACATTTATTTTTTCAACATTCAAAGCCAAAAGCAGAACTCATTGACATAAACAATGAACTCACTACTTAAATTTAATAAAATAATTTACTCACCTTTATTGTTCTTCTTCCTGGTCCTGTGCATTATTATAACCACTGACAGAACCGTCATTGCATCAACACCACTTTCACATCCAAAATTTTTTTGTAAAAAATTTAGATATAATTTTTCAATCCTGTCTAATGATTGTTCGTTTCCTATTAGAAATTAATAAAAATTAAAAAATATTTTAATTTAAAATGAAACTTTTTTTGTAGTATCCTGTCGAGTGATTGCTGGAATTTGTCAAGGTGACATTCGTTGTCTTGAAGAAATGAGCACTCGTTTTACTAACTGCTATTTGGAGAGTTTATTAGGTACCTAAAAATTAGAAAATTTTCTTGTCAATTTAATTTTTAAATTTAAAAGAGAGGGGTGGTGACGCCTTTGGACGAGAACTTGAATTTGATGACGGACCAATTGTAAGGAAACGGGTGCCTGATAAAAGAGCACCTGCATTCAAACTAATGAAGGTTTTGATGATGAAAGATCGGGTAAGCTTCGAGGCTCATATTAGAAAAATAAAAACAAATACCTATACCCGTCTCTGATTCAGGAACCAAAATATCGGTTGTAGTAAGACACAAGGGTGAACCACACAAATTCTAAAAATCAAAAATGAATAATCAAACAAACCTAATTAAAAATTAAACCTTTTAGATACCAGTTGGACGTCGTTAAAGATTAAGAATCACGAGTAAAACTTCAGCCATAGAAGAATTATTCTTAAATCAACAATTATAAATATTTTTGACTGCACTTTGTACATTTCCTTTAAAATTAATGATCTCAATAAAATTTCGAAAAAATCAACTATTTATTGAATAATTTAATATTTCGCTACAGATAAACAGTTAATTTGAAACATTTAACTCTTTTTCAAGTTCTTTTTGCGACGAGTCAAATCCTGCATCACCATTGTTTTGATCATCATAAAAGTCGGTCGGCGGCATTAGGTCGGTCAAAGATCCCAAAAATACATCGTCCTATAAAAATGTTATTTATGTTTATGTTAGCTTATCAACGTAAGCAAAAAGACATAAAAGATAAAATCTTCAAACCTCTCCTTCCATCGGAATCCAATCAGGAAGTCCAATACCCAACGGCAAAGGCTTTTGCCCATTAGTCACCATCTCATGTTGACGATCTGACCATTTTTTTCGTTCCCTACGAGTCCATCGATTAACTTCACCATCAGCCAAGAAACGGATTATTCTCTTAGAAACAAAAATGAAAACTTTAGAAGTCAAAATAAAGAAGCTACCTTCTCCATGTTTCGGTAAGGATGCCTTTTCCATTCAGCGTTCAGGTGGCCAATGTGATTTCTATAACTCAGAATGTATTTTCCATAATGCTGAGGGAAACGACCTAAAATAAATTCACGATTACATTATAAACGATATAATCTAATTTTTATCCACCTTCGCCATAAAAATCTTCCAAACGCATTCGCTAAAAATAAATAAAGTTCTTATAATGAAAAGATGAGAATTGATAAACCTCAATCGGTGTAACTTCTTCGTCACGTTTAACAGGAGTATTAACTGGTGATGCCACAATCTTTGGAAAAAACATTCGATTAGGATTTAATTCAACAACATGAAGGCGAGTTCGGTCAGCACATTGTTTATGAGATTCTTGATGAATTAGACCAGTAACAAAAGCGTAAACAATTCCTATGTAATTTGTAGTACTGCCTTCTGTGCGTACATAAAGATCTTTGATTCCCAAAAGCTATGAAACAGGGTTGAAATAAGTCAACAGAAAAAGAGAAACCTCACAAATTTTTCTAATCCTTGGATGAGCAATCACTCCATAACCAGGCTCCCGTCTTTGCGCAAAAACTCGAGTACTTCGATATTCTCCAAAGAAGTCCTAAAAAAGAAATAAAGCCTGTGATGTTTAAAAATTTTAGAAACAAAACCTGATAAATAGTTCTATCTTCAAACCGTTCGATGTAAAAAAGTTTACGAGAAGCAATTTTTATAGCATTTGCAACAGCTTTGTTTGACTGAAAAACAGGCGCCCTAGTAAAGGCGAATCCTTAATAAAATTATCAAAATAAACAAAGAGTAAATAAACCTCCAATGCCCTTTCCATTTCCTATAAAGACAGCAGAGCGAATAGCATAGTCTCGTCCAACTCCTGGTTTCATCGCGCAAACGCGATTGACCTATAATTCGAAAATAAGAAAAATAAATCAAACATAACCTGGAAACAAATGCATTGAAAATCATCGAAGTTTACACCAGCTTCTAAATTTTCAGGTGGTGGACCCAATTTTTGACCAAGCCATTGTCCTCCACTAAAGCCACGCTCCCAAGCGGAAAGCTTTTCTTTGAGAAGTTTTCGAGTTGCTTTTGGCGGTTTCTTAGCCAGCTCCACTTTGTTAACTTTAAAAGAGGCATCTCTTTCTTCTTCAGTTTGTTCCTCAAAGTATATAGGTTCAGTGAAACTGTTGGGAATACGTTCATTTAATCCGGGATAGCGAATGCGCATAGGACCTAAAAAGAAATTGAAAAAAATAGATAAAATCACTAACTTGATTTGAGTGTTCCAATTTTATAATAATCACTCAAACGACGATATGGCTGGCGAGTTTTCCCGCGACCTTTACGCGCACCATATTTTGTAATATTTGTCACAGTTCTCCAAAGAACATCTTCATTTCGCCGTTGAAAAAAATTAACAGTGTTCGACCGTGATGGAATAAAAGTTAAGGAAGGTAGTCGAAAAGACAAAAACTTTAATAACATGACCTTAAAAGAATTAAATTAAACGAAAAGTTTAACCCCTTCAAGTACGTAGAAAAAATTTGAAAAATAAAAAGTTTAACCTCTTTCTCAGACTCAAATGATCCTAAAAGCAAAGTGAAAAAAATTTCTTTCTCTCGCCGTGTTATTTCTTCAGAGGATAAAATTTCATTCTTACAAACAGAATGCCAAATTTTTAAATTTTCTACAAAAATCGGGCATAACCCCTCTTCACAAAAAATTTGATTTTTCTAAAAACACGGCCTAATCACAGTCCCCTTTTTTAGTACTAAAAACCTTTCCCTTTGCAACTCCATTTTTATCCAGTTGTCCACAGCCAGCCCACATACCATCCCATCTTTGTTGCTAAATCATTAAAAAACTTTTTTAAACAAAAAAAGTGAAAACAATAAAAATTGAAAGGACAAAGGACAGGGGCTCGCATGCGCATTTTTGAATTTTTGCAAATTTTTTGATTTTTACAATTAAACTTTTACCAGGCCAGAAGATTATGTAGACCACCACCATCCAGAGCATGTTGAACGCCTCCACACCCACCAAAAGCATGTTGAACCACTACCACCACCAGAAGCATGTTGAACCACCATCACCGCCACAAGCAAAATACATAAAAAAAATACAAAAATTTAATATTTTAATTATATTTTTAAAAAAATAAAACGAAAATCCACCGGACGCCCACCATAGCTATTGAACACACCAAGGGCATGTTGAACCACCACCAACAAGAGCATGTTGAACCACCACCACCAAAAGCATGTTGAGCCACCATCCACGCCACAAGCAAAATACATAAAAAAATACAAAAAATTAATATTTTAATTATATTTTTTAAAAAATAAATAGAAAAATCCACCGGACGTCACCATAGCCATTAAACACACCAAGAGCATGTTGAACCACCACCACCATCAAGAGCATGTTGAACCACCACCCCAACAAGAGCATGTTGAACCACCACAGCCACAAGCAAAAAACATATAAATACAAAAATTTAATTTTTAAATTAATATATAATTTTAAAAAATTTAAAAAAATCCACCGGACCACATCAAACATGCTGAACCACCATCACTAGCATGTTGAACCACCACCATGAAGAGCATGTTTAACCACCATCAAAAGCATGTTGAACCACCACCAAAAGCAGTTGAACCACCACCATGAAGAGCATGTGAATCACCAGCACCAAGAGCATCTTGAACCACCATCAAAAGCATGTTGAACCACCACCACCACAAGCAGAAAACATAAAAATACAAAAATTTAATATTTTAATTATATTTTTTAAAAAAAATAAAAAAAATCCACCGGACGACCACCAGATCAATCCAGAGAAGGGTGAAGCACCTTTAAATTATCGGATTTACTATTTTTCAAAAAATCGAAAATTTTTATTTTTTTTTTAAATTTTTGCGCGCGCATTGCGGGGTAACGATTAAAGACGAACAAACGAAAAAAACAAATGAAAAATGTTTAAAAAAGTAAAAAAAATGAAAAAAACGGCATAAAACCCTCCCCGAGATCTCGAGAGAAAATAAAAAAAAACAGAAGCCAAATCATGCCCTGAGAATTTCAAGTCAATATTTAACGCAAAAATTGTTTTGTAAATTTTAAATTGGTTAATGTCAAAGTGGAAACTAATTATAATTATTTCAAGATGTTCTACAGCATTCTACAGAACCTTCTTTTTGGCCTGAAACGGTTGCCAGTTTGCCAAATTGGTTACCATGGCTACGTAAATACGCCTTGAAATCTGCTTATTTGAGATGTTTATGTTAATTTTTTAGATCCTGAGATGAGTGCGGATATCTGGCATGGGAGGTTACTTGATTTAGTTTTTTTTAATTTGATTTTTAATTTATTTAGTGGATCGAATGCTTTGCCTTTGGAATATTCCTCACATTCAAGGGAATCTTTACATGTGCTAGAACTTAATGGTATTGAGTTTAAACAGGTTTTTATCTGGATTTTCCTTTTTCTTACCAATTTTTAGTTTTTGGACGGCACGTATTTTTTAAGTTTGTGTTTTTACGATTTTCGTTCGTCTTGCTTTGTTGGCAAGCAATTAGTTCTTGATTGTATATCAACTGCTTCTCATATCAACATTAAAAAGGTTGGGATTTTCTCTTTTACAAATGTTCTCCTCTCTATTTTAGAATATTATCGCTTCTTCCTCTGCTGACAATGATTTCCTTGTTGTTATTCAGTTAACAAATAGGTTTTTTGTATTTTCTTTAATAAAATGATTCCTTTTCAGTGACAAAAATTCATTGGGATGGACTGTAATGCCACTGAAAGACGTTGTTGAACAAATTGGCCCAGTTGGACTTGATGCAACCTCAAGATACAAACCAATGCTTCAACGGTAGGAACAGCTAATAGGTTATTCATTGTGTTCCTAAATTTATTTTTATTTAAAATTATAGTCTTCCGCTTTTCGCTGGATCTTGTCAAATGCTTTTCCTAGCTTCAAGTTTTCAACAACTTCAACTAAATCTGAATCGAACAGATGGTGTACTTTCTGCTCATAAACGTTTATGCACTACACAAATCAACTTTCCATTGCCTCTTTTTCACTTTATTCCTCAATTAACTGTTGATGACGCATCAGCACATTCAAAAATTTCGGCTATTTTGGACAATATATTGCTTAGGTATACTTTTACTCTTTCCTGTTTTGTGACATCTTTAACTTTCATCCCAGTAATTTTTAGCTTTTCTAATGCAAATCAATCTGTATGCGATTCTGTCATATTGGATTTATTATCTCGGGAATTTTACTATTCAATGAATGAAAAAAGTATTCAGGGACTCTCATCCTTTCGAATTTTAGAACGTCGTTTGCTGGTAGGAACATTTTTTCCTTAATGCTTTTTCTTTTTAGATAGGTTCCCACAATGGTTTAACTTTTTTGGAAGAGCCCATTTGCCTTCTCTTGGAACCACTACCGTTTATATCTCATGCTGATTCATTTTCGCATCCACGTTCATCAGAAAGGTTATTTAAATAATTACCATAATGGTTCTCGTTTATTTTAGTCTTGAATTTGGTGTTCGTCAGTGTGTGCGTTTTCGTTCACTTCCTGTTCAGCCAGAATTGGTTATTGTATTTCAGTTAATTTATTTGGTCGCTTGCCCTTCTAGTAAGAATGAGGTTTTAATTCTTGTTTTGGCAGCTCAATATACTTTATTTTTTAAAGGATCTTATAACAAATATGCGTCTAATTCGTATAGCTTGGGCTGCTTGGTCTCCTTTTGTTGAAGGTCGAGAAAGGTCGGAACCAGCCGATACAATCACACTTCAGGTTTTTACATTTTTCTGCATGAAATTTATTATTTAGTTGGTCGGCGGTCCTCGATTCTCTCCATTCCAGACAGGATCTTGTTTTAGAGATCTTTCCACTCTTCCTTCCCCTTCTGGATCTGAGCAATATGCATCGCTTCCGGCAAACCGTTTTCGTATTGATGTCCACTTCAACTTCGCTTCTTTATCTGTAACTTAAATTTAAATAGACTATTTAACCTATTGTATTAACTATTAAGGACCTGGGTGAAGACAATTTGTCTACTCCAGAGCCATCTCGTACTCCTAGTAATAGATTGGTTCAAATACGAACACCACCTCATTCAGACCGCATTCTTAAAGTAAAGGATGGAGAGCTTTCTCAACGTTATGCGACGACGGACACTTCAAAATTGCCCGAACATAGTTTGGAATTGCTACCAATGACAGATCCTGAGACTGTTGATGATGATGCTTCTTTGCTTAGGCCAACGGTTTAAATATTATATCGTTTAGAAAATTGATCTAGATGGTATCTTTCAGAAAATCCATTACGAAAAGCCATTGGTCGTTCAATCTCAAAAGTTTGCAAATTATGGAGCAATCTACTCGGAGCTCCCTCTTGGCCGGTATCCTTTGATTCTTTCAAATATCTAGTTTTTATCTTTTTTATTTTCAGCATAAGCGCATTGCCTCGAACTTTTATTCCATTACTTTCAAAATTTCCATCAATAAACTCCTCAGGCGAGCCAACTCTAAAAGCAGTTGATATTGATACACAAAATGAAAAACCTCCTGATATGAAATTGGAATTTGGACAACATTGGCCTGCCTCCGAATTTTGCCTTCAATTTCTGGCTTACTGTTCAATGAATGGAGGCTTCCCACAGGCACAAACTCCCCTAAAACTTTTCTTTACCTTCCAATTTTACCGGTTCCAACAATTTGTAACTGAAAGGTTTTTTTATTTATTTTCTTTTCGATAGATTTTTTGCATTTCAGTTTGTCTACTAATTGTAATGAAGACAATGGTGCTCCACAACCTTTGTTATTATGGCGTCAAGATGCTAGTGAACACAAACAACAGCCTGGTTTATCGGTTTTTTGTTTTCTATTTTTGGTTACAATCTTCTTTAGTTACGATTTGTCATTGATGGTGCTCAACAACAAGATTTTACTACTTATTTATTAGAACGACATTTAATTCTACATGTTTGGGAGGCTGATTCAATTTTTCATTTGGGTGTTGCTTCGATTCCTTTGAAGGTTTGTAAAAAAATTTTTGGCATTCGGTTGTATTCATTTCTTTTTAGTATTTACTTCGACAAGGTTCTTCAGGAGTTCAGTGCTCGCTTCAGTGTCAAGTTTTCCAATCTGGGTTTTCTCCTGATTTGAACCCTTCACAAGGGCCTATTATTAATGGAGTACTTTTCTTACGTTTTGCTAATATTTGTCTTTCAACAGGTTTTATTCTTATTTTTGAATCTTAAATGTTTATAAATTAGTTAATGCAATAAATATCAAGAGTAGTTCAACTGTTATCAAACGTGTCCGTCAACTTCACAAAAGTCAAGAGACTCCTTTGGAACATTTTATGGCACTGCAAAAGTTATTTTAATGTTTTTGTAGTATAGTTTATTATTTTAGAATTGACTTTGCTCAAAGAGCTTCACAACTTTTTGGACCTAAAGAGCATCAAAAAATTCATGATTGGAATCGGATGAAAGAGGAGAAAACTGATAAAGATGGTGATTTATTCCTACGAAGTGTTGGGAAATCAGATAAATTTCTTTTTGCTGAAGAATTAGCCGCTTATCGAGCTCTTCGAAGAGAGAGTAAAGCGCATGCTCTTTTAAAAGCGGTTGGTTTATTAATTTATGAAACTAAAATACTTTTTTTTCGGAAAATATCAAAACAAATTTAAAAGGCTGCCATAAATATTATATTAATAAATTTTGGTACTCGTGTTATATGCTCCAATTTTTATAGCTCCATTTCCTATTTTACAAATTAAAAACTTTTCCGGAATTTAATAAAATATTTTGCAAATTGAAAAATTTTTCCGGAATTTAATAAAATATTTTGCAAATTGAAAAATTTTTCCGGAATTTGATAAAATATTTTAAAAATTGTAAAAACTTCCGGAATTTAATAAAACATTTTACAAATTGTAAAAACTTTTTCCGGAATTTAATAAAACATTTTACAAATTGTAAAAACTTTTTCCGGAATTTAATAAAACATTTTACAAATTGAAAAACTTTTTCCGTAATTTAATAAAACGTTTTACAAATTGTAAAAACTTTTTCCAGAATTTAATAAAACATTTTACAAATTGTAGAAACTTTTTCCGGAATTTAATAAAACATTTTACAAATTGTAAAAACTTTTCCGGAATTTAATAAAACATTTTACAAATTGTAAAATTTTTTCCGGAATTTAATAAAACATTTTACAAATTGTAAAAACTTTTTCCGGAATTTAATAAAACATTTTACAAATTGTAAAAACTTTTTCCGGAATTTAATAAAACATTTTACAAATTGAAAAACTTTTTCCGGAATTTAATAAAACATTTTACAAATTGTAAAAACTTTTTCCGGAATTTAATAAAACATTTTACAAATTGTAAAAACTTTTCCGGAATTTAATAAAACATTTTACAAATCGTAAAAACTTTTTCCGGAATTTAATAAAACGTTTTACAAATTGTAAAAACTTTTTCCGGAATTTAATAAAACATTTTACAAATTGTAAAAACTTTTCCGGACCATTTTGTAATCTTAAGGAGAAATTAGAAAAGAAAGCAAAGATAAGGAGAGAAGAAGGAAATTGAGGCTATAAAATTTGGGGGCATATAACACAAGAGTACTTAATTTTTTTGTCCAATTCTGATTTGTTTTCCCTTTAGGTTTTTTCATCGATCACAACAAAAATGCGCGTTGATTTAACACTTGGTCAACTTCATCTTTTTTCATTTCAACTTAGAAATCCTTTGGCTGAAGAATTTGTTTGCGAGTTGGAAAGCAACGATCATCGTCTTACGTTAGTTGATAGGCTTTATTATTTATTATGTGGCAAAGAATTATTGATTTATCGTTTTAAAGTCCTATCCGTTCTGCTAGTGAATTGAAATATTTGCAAAATCAACATTTGGATATCTACAAAATCGGATCGTTTGATCTTATCAACTTACAGCCAGGGTCAGCCTCAGCAGATTCTTCTCGTCTTTGTTGGCAGTTAGGCCTTAGATCCATGGAAAATCTAGAGCTTCCTATGCGTTTTGATTCAGGATTTGATGATATTTTCGAAAGTGGTATTCTTTAATTTTTTGAAAAATATTACTTGAATTACAAATTTTAGCAAATAATCAACAGTGTATGCAAGGTGATTGTCGCCTTTTTGTACGAAAGCTTCCTTCCGGCAGCCCTCTAGCCATTTTGGAACTAAATTATACTATTTGGCGTCCTTTTCTCACACAGTATTTTTGCTTTATTCTTTCGTTTTAAATTTAAAACTTGCAATTTTATAGTCATCTGCGATTTTTTACGGAGGAATCAAGAAAATTTGTACGAGCTGTACCTCTATCAAATACCTTTTGTTTTATCCGATGTTCAGATCCAACAGTAAAATTTCCAAATAAATTAAATCAATCAAGATTTCCTAGGTTTATTGTCAATTGCTTGAAGAAGGGCGTTTACTTCGAATTGAGGTTTTTGTAACACAATTTTTCTATATTTATCTATTTTTAGTGTCAAACTGGGGATGCACCAAATATACGTGATTTTTTAATATTTTTCTATGATGAAAGCTTTGGACCAATTAAATTACAAGCTGTTTGGCGTGTTTCTATACATTCTTTTCGACGTTTACATTCAGAAACGGTTTAATTTATATTTGTTTAGCTAAATTTTTTTAAATTTTTCTTTTTAGATTCAAGGTCAACCAGTTAGCGTTCCTCTTAATTTTGGCGAAACTGATTTACTTTCTGCTCCTGGAGGTGAATTAATTCGCCTTTATTGTTCGTCGCCTTTACATTCACATTTCCTTCCTGGATCTGTGCTTCCAGCTTCACAAACACCAATTCAACCTACAATTTTGCTTAATGTTCAACAGCTTGGTATTTACTTTTTTGTTTATAATTTCTAAATTTAATTCATTATTTTAAGGTCGTTTGCATTTGTTGGTAAATGCCGTTCGTGCAACTGCTCAACAAATAATTTCTCAATGGTTAATAACCTTGTCAGTTGGACGGCCGAATGTAACAAAAACTTTTCAAGTGATTGTCCCAGCTCAAGTACAGACTGTGGTACATAAAGTAAAATTTTTTATATTAAATATTCGTTTCGTATTTTCCTTTACTTTATTCTCGAATTTTTTAAACTAATTAAGAGAATTCCTCTTGACAACCCTTTGGCCATTGAGCGCAAATTTAAGCTTACTTCCTCTGATCCAACACTTCTTTATGTACCAACACCATCTCCTCCACCTATTCCACCAAATTCTGCTTTGCCAGTACAACTAGAAATTCGACCAATTTCCTCAGAGAATAGGCCTACACAACGACAGGTCTTCCCCCAGTTTTTATTCATTAGTGCATTTTTAACAAATTATAGGTTCTTCTCTTTGTACAAGATTCTCAAACAGGAAATCAAGAAGAAACTTTTCAATTTAACATTCGTTTTCATTAAAAGTCTTTAACACTTTTTAACAAAATTCCTATCTTTTCTAACATTCTGAACCTGGCATGCATTCTTGAAATTTTTTTATTAACGCACTTTGTTCTCTTTAATATTAAGCCTTTTTTCTTCTTAACATTTTACAATTACAAGCCATTTCTACCCAAGAAAAAATTTTCATTATTGTGAGAGAAGTTATAATATTTGCAATAAAATATGTCTAAACAACTGTTTAATAAAATAGGTAATCCGTAATTTTAGTTAAATAAATAGTTCGTTCATTTAAAGTTTTTTGGCTCTATTAAGCTTTATATTGTTTGTGAGTTGGGACGAGTTTCTCTCTAAGGAAAGATTGTTGTCAGTTGTTTTAAATGAAATCGCCATAGGCTTTTCCTGTTTACCTTAATTCTAAGTTTACTACATTCCTTCAACAATGATAAACATTTGCCCATAATTCCCCGTACTCGATAAATAAAAAATTTGTATTTAAGTAAAATCTAGGCTAATAAAAATTAGATTTAATTTTTAATTGAGATTAACCATTTTGATTTAATTATTATCATTCTAATTAGTGTACTTAAATTTGGTGTTTAATTACTGATTGTCTCTCCTTTTCAAATATCTTTATACCTTGAATGAATTTTTCTTTTTTTTCCGTTAGTCGGGCAAATCGTTTAATCAAAGCTTGAAAAAACGCTTCCAAATCCACCTAGAAATATGCTGCGCTAAATTTTCTTCCTGCGTTATTCTAAAATTCTGGGCTTTTCTTCACATGCGTATTTTGAAAAACATTCGTAACGTCATACTAAAAAATAATGCTTTTTTATTCAGCACATGCTTATTTTTTGGTGGCGGCAATGATCGAGCTTCAAAAACCAGAAGTTTTGACTTGTTTTTTTCTCGTTTCCTTCCTTCCTTTTCTTTATTTATTGTTTTCTTGGTATCTTCACGCCCCCACATGGTTGATGGTTTAGCTAGGAAATTGAGCTTAGATTTTAATTTGAAGGATGTGAAAAGGATAAGGGGAAGATAGAAAGTTTGTCAGGTGCCTTAAGTCCATCTGTCAGCCTCGATTTTGTTTTGAAAATGATCGGGTCTAGCCTCTCTATCTCTTTCATGCAAGCGAGAAATATAACTTTCTGCCCCTGTGGCAATATATTCGACTAAACTTATGGATGCTTCTCAGTCCAAGTGAAAAACGCCCACGAATACACACAGGTTGTTGGTAGCGGCTGCTTGTTTCTACTCCTTATTTTTCCTTCTTTGCCAATGATCTGAAAAATGAGATCTGACTATTTTACTTTACATTTTAAAGCACTTCGCCTTCATTTCTTCTATTAAATTCTCTCATTTCTTCTATAATGCTAGATTTTAGTTTTTTCTTCCATTCAACATTTTTATTATTCGTATATATGCACATATGTATAAGCTCTATTTTTAAACAATTAAAAAAACAAAAATGGGTTTGGGATAAAATTAAATTATAATCTTTTAATGTTTTATTTGAATAATAAGTCAAGGATTTATTTTTAGCAGCAATAACTTAAAACTTATTCCCCTATTCCCTGACCGATTGACCGACCGACTGACTGATTATTTTATATACTATTTTGTCTAGTGACTAAAAAAATCTAAATAATTTTAAAATGGCTGAAGCACCAAAGAGTTATGGTGATTTTGAATCCGATGAAGGATATCCTTTTTTGGCCATAAGCAAAGAAGATAAAATCAAGTTTGCCTCCCAACCATTCGATTCAAAGAAAAACTGTTGGATACCTGACGAGGAAGACGGTATTTTAATCTTTTTAAATCATTAATTAATTATAGTTTAAATAATTAATATTCCTAATTAACCGCCTATTATTAAGGCTTCGTTGCCGCTGAAGTTAAGAGCACCTCCGGCGAGCAAGTTACCGTGGTGACATCTAAGGGAAATGAAATTACCTGCAAGAAGGAAGAAACTCAAGAGATGAACCCACCGAAATTTACAAAGACTGAAGACATGGCTAACTTGACATTTTTGAATGAAGCCTCTGTGCTCAACAACTTGAAGGAACGTTACTTCAGCATGGTGATCAAAAAACTCATTAAGTCAATCATTAAATTATTTAGATGATTTACACCTATTCTGGACTTTTCTGTGTTGTAATCAACCCATATAAACGTTTACCAATCTACACTGAGGTATAATAAATTATTTAAATTCCTTGAACTGATTTCAACTGATAAAATTTTCAGAGTGTGATCAAGTCTTATATCGGCAAGCGACGAAATGAAATGCCACCTCATTTGTTCGCGGTTGCTGATGAAGCTTATCGTAACATGGTCCAGGATCGCGAAAACCAGTCTATGTTGATCACTGGTGAATCTGGTGCTGGTAAAACTGAGAATACCAAGAAGGTTATCTCGTACTTTGCTATCGTCGGTGCAACACAACAAGCAGCTGAGAAAAAGGAAGGACAGAAGGGTGGTACTCTCGAGGAACAAATTGTCCAGACAAACCCTGTACTCGAGGCTTTTGGAAATGCCAAAACTGTACGTAACAACAACTCATCACGTTTCGGTAAATTCATCCGAGTACACTTCTCAGGATCTGGAAAATTGGCTGGCGGTATTTTTAAAAAAAGTTAAGAGCAATTTTAAAGTTACTTGTAGGTGACATTGAACACTATTTGCTGGAAAAATCTCGTGTGGTTTGTCCTCAAATAATTTTCAGATTTTTAACTTTCTATTAAGGTACGTCAAGCACCTGGAGAACGTTGTTATCACATTTTCTACCAAATTATGTCTGGTTTCGATTCTGGATTACGTGCAAAGCTTCAGCTCACCAACGAGCTTAGCTACTACCATTTCCAGTCTCAGGGTGAACTTACAATTGAAGGCGTAGACGATAAAGAAGAAATGAAACTTACTCAAGAGGCCTTCGACATTATGGGCTTTGAGGACCTTGAAGTGAGGAATACAATTCTATTAGTTATTTTCGTTATTTTTTAGGTACAAAACATGTACAAAAACGTTGCTGGTATTATGCATATGGGAGAAATGAAATTCAAACAACGTCAACGTGAAGAACAGGCTGAGGTTGATACTGAGGATGGTCAGTATTTATTTTCTATTTATGAAATTTAATTGTCAATTAATTCAAATTAAGATGCCAAGCGTGCATCCGCCAACTTTGGAATAGATCACGAAGCTTTCCTCAAAGCATTGACCAAACCACGTGTACGTGTCGGAAACGAATGGGTGAACAAAGGACAAAACCTTGAACAAGTTAACTGGGCAGTATCTGGTTTGGCCAAAGCAATTTATTCTCGCATGTTCCGTTGGCTTATTAACCGTTGTAACAAGACTCTTGATCAACGTGCTATTGAACGAAAGATGTGGATTGGAGTACTTGATATTGCTGGTTTCGAAATTTTCGATTTAAACAGCTTTGAACAACTTTGGATTAACTTCGTAAACGAGAAGCTTCAACAATTCTTCAACCATCACATGTTCGTTTTGGAACAGGAAGAATACAAACGTGAGGGTATTGCATGGACTTTTATTGACTTCGGTCTCGACCTTCAAGCCTGTATTGATCTTATCGAAAAGGTTAGTTTTTCTTGATAAATAAAAAATATTTGTGAATATTAACAGCCATTGGGTGTCATCTCTATGCTTGATGAAGAATGTATTGTACCCAAGGCTTCTGACATGACATTCGTTCAAAAGTTACAAGATCAACATTTGGGCAAGCATCCAAACATGCAAAAGCCGAAGCCGCCTAAAGGCAAACAAGCAGAAGCTCACTTCGCTATTATCCACTATGCTGGAACGGTTCGTCTTGATGGATAAACTTAAAAAAATTTACTCGATTCCACTTTATTAGGTACGTTATAATGCCAACAACTTCTTGGAAAAGAACAAGGACCCTCTTAACGACTCTGCTGTCAGCATTCTAAAGTCAGCACAAAATAACCAATTGTTGCTTGACATTTTCGAGGACTATGTCACACAGGAAGAAGCAGCAGAATTGGCCAAATCTGGACAGTCTAGTGGCAAAAAGAAGGGAAAATCCTCCTCATTCTTGACTGTATCAATGATCTACCGTGAATCATTGAACAACTTGATGAGTATGCTTTACCAGACACATCCACACTTTATCCGTTGCATCATTCCCAACGAGAAGAAAGCTTCTGGTGTCATTGACTCGGCTCTTGTATTGAACCAACTGACTTGTAAGTTTTGCCTTTTTCAAATCCCGAGTAAACAATTCGTTAAGGCAACGGTGTGCTTGAGGGTATCCGTATTTGCCGAAAAGGATTCCCCAACCGAATGTTATATCCTGACTTCAAACATCGTTATGCGATCCTGGCTGCTGATGAATCTAAAGTGCCCGATGAGAAAGCAGCTAGTAAAGGAATTACTGATCGCCTTTGCCGCGAAGACAGTTTGAAGGTATTTTTTTTAATTATAACGTCATATGTTGATAAAACTGTAGTTTTTTGCATTCTTTATGAGTGCAAAAAATGAGTTAAAAATAAATTTAAACCGATACAGCAAATGCTTATAAAAATATATGGATGAACCAAAGAACATAACGATTGAGAAAAATGAATTCAAGATTTTTTATGAGAGAGACTAAAGATATTTATGGAGGGGACAAACAATTTGCTTTTACACATTCTATTTTAAATAACTTTGAAGCAAATAACATTCCATTTTTACAAAAAAACGGAAGAGTTTAAGACAAACATTATTCAATTTTATATTAAAATAAACTTTGACACATTTATTTATTTTACTAGGACGAAGACTTCAAACTGGGAAATACTAAAGTTTTCTTCAAAGCTGGTGTACTTGCCCGTCTCGAGGACTTGCGTGACGAGAAATTAGGAATTATTCTCACAGCTTTCCAGACACGAATTCGTTGGTACTTGGCCCAGAAGGACGTTAAGAGACGCATCCAACAACGCGCCGGTTTACTTATTTTACAGCGCAACATTCGATCTTGGTTAGTTTTTGAATAATTAAAACACGCGAAATTATTAATTTCAAAAACTACAGGTGCACCCTTCGCAACTGGGATTGGTTCAAATTGTACGGAAAGGTGCGCCCACTTCTCAAGATGGGCAAAGAGCAAGAAGAATTGGACAGTCTGCAAGTCAAAATCAAGGAATTGGAAGAAAGCCTTGCAAAGGAAGAAGGCAACCGCAAGGAATTGGAGACCCAAGTTGCCAAATTGGTCGAGGAGAAGAATGCCGTGAGTTTAACAACAATAAAGAAGATAACATTAAAATTTAAAAACGATTTTTTAGATTTTCTTGAACTTGGAGAAGGAGAAGGCTGCTCTCCAAGAATCAGAAGAAAAGGCTAACAAACTCCAGTCATTGAAAAACGACTTGGATCGCCAGCTGGGTGATCTTCAAGACCGACTTGGAGAACTTGAAGATCGTAATGCTGATCTTCAGCGCGTACGTAAGAAGGGCGAGCAAGAGATTGAAGGATTAAAGAAGAATGTTCAGGTAAAAAATTAGAGGTTTAAAAGATTTATTTTATAATTCCACATTTGGTTAGGACTTGGAATTGAGTCTTCGTAAAGCCGAGAGTGAAAAACAGGTATATTGTATGACTAAATATGTAAGAGGCATTGAATTAATATTTTTAGTCCCGTGAACACAACTTACGCTCCTTGCAAGATGAGAAAAGAAGCACCAAGAGGAGATGAACCGAAAACTCATGGAAGACCTCCAAGCTGAAGAGGAGAAGGTCAATCATGTGAATAAACTTAAACAGAAGCTCGAGCAGCAACTTGATGATTTGGAAGATTCAGTCGAGCGTGAGAAGCGCGCAAAACAGGAATTAGAAAAGTCAAAGCGCAAGACTGAGGGTGAACTTAAAGTAGCTCAGGAAAATATCGAAGAGCTAAATAAGCAGAAGCATGATTTGGAAGAAAATCTTAAACGCAAAGAAACTGAACTTCACCAAGTTTCTGCACGTCTTGAGGATGAACAGTCGCTTGTAGGCAAACTTCAACGCCAGATTAAAGAGTTACAAGCACGTATCTCTGAACTTGAGGAGGAGCTCGAGGCTGAACGTCAGTCTCGCCAAAAGGCTGACCGTTCCCGTTCTGAGTTGCAGCGCGAATTGGAAGAACTCAGTGAGCGTCTTGATGATGCTGGTGGAGCTACTGCTGCTCAGATCGAAGTTAATAAGAAGCGTGAAGCTGAATTAGCAAAACTTCGCCGTGATCTTGAGGAGAATAATCTTAACCACGAGACACAATTGAATGCTCTTCGCAAGAAACACAACGATGCTGTTGCTGAACTCACTGACCAACTTGAACAAATGCAGAAGATCAAAGTCAAGGTCGAAAAGGACAAACAACAAATACAACGCGAGCTCGAGGATGCCACACAAACTGCAGATTCAGAACTCCGAGCACGCCAAGAAGCTGAGAAAGTGATTAAGAATTTGGAGCTTCAGCTTAATGAACTCCAGACCAAAGCAGACGAACAGTCTCGTCTTCTTAATGATTTAGCAGCATTGAAGAGCCGACTCCAAAATGAAAACTCAGACTTGGAACACCAAGTTGAAGATTTGGAAAATCAAGTGAACTCTCTGCACCGTCTTAAGAGTCAGCTTGTAAGCCAGCTTGAAGAAGCTAAACGAACTGCTGATGAGGAAAGTCGTGAACGTCAGACACTAAGTGGACAACTTAAGAATGTCCAGCACGAAAATGATTCGTTGCGTGAGCAACTTGATGATGAACAGGAAGGAAAGGCAGAATGCCTTCGTCAAATCAGCAAGTTGAATGCTGAAATCCAACAATGGAAAGCTCGCTTCGAGGGCGAAGGCTTGGTTAAATTGGAAGAGATTGAAGTACGTGAAATAATTTTTAAGCTTTATTTATGAACAAAATTTTGCAGGAGGCGAAACGCACATTACAAAAGAGACTCCAGGAACTTACTGATGCCAATGAAGCAGCTAACACGAAGGCATGCGTTTTATCCTATGTTTCCCTATAAAATCATGTTTTCCAGATTCAATCTCTGGAGAAAACTCGCCACAAACTTATGGGAGATCTCGATGATGCTCAAGTAGATGTGGAACGCGCTGCTGCTTATGCTGCTGCTCTGGAGAAGAAGCAGAAAGGATTTGATAAGATTATTGATGATTGGCGCAGAAAGTGTGACGATATGGCCGCAGAACTTGATGCCAGCCAGCGGGATGCACGCAATCTTGCAACAGATTTGTTCAAGGCAAAGACGATTCAAGATGAATTGGCTGAAACATTGGAAGGCACCAGGCGTGAAAACAAAGCTCTCGCCCAGGAAATCAAGGATTTGACTGATCAGTTAGGCGAGGGTGGTCGTTCCGTGCATGAATTGCAGAAGGTATAAATTTAAAAATATATTCAAGAATTCCCCTTGTCTTCCTAGATTGTTCGCCGCCTAGAAGTTGAGAAGGAGGAAATTCAACACGCATTGGACGAAGCAGAAGCTGCTTTAGAGGCAGAAGAAAGCAAAGTGTTGCGAGCTCAAGTTGAGGTGTCACAAATCCGCTCTGAAATCGAGAAGCGCATCCAGGAGAAAGAAGAAGAATTCGAAAATACACGCAAAAACCATCAACGTGCACTTGAAAGTATGCAAGCTACGCTTGAAGCTGAGAGCCGTGGTAAACAAGAAGCTTTGCGTATAAAGAAGAAACTCGAATCCGATATCAACGAGTTGGAGATTGCTCTCGACCACGCAAATAAGGCTTATGCTGACGCACAGAAAACCATCAAGAAGCATCAAGACCAAATTCGTGAATTACAACTCCAAGTTGAAGATGAGCAGCGCCAGAGAGATGAATTGTAATTTTGTTTTTAATAAATGATTCTTTGTTATTTGATAATTTAAGGCGTGAACAGCTTTTCAACAGCGAGAAGCGTAACCAAATTCTCCAAAGTGAGAAGGATGAGCTCATGCACCAAGCAGAACAGGCAGAACGCGCTCGCCGCCAAGCTGAGGCTGATTTGGTAAATATATTATTTACTGTTTCTTATAAATTCGCCTATATCAGATTGAACTTCGCGAAGCCGTTAACGACCTTTCCAACCAAGTTAATAGTTTGAATGGATACAAACGCAAATTGGAGGGTGAACTTCAAGCATTACATGTAAATTTTGTTTTTAGACGTCCATCCTTTATCTTATAAATTAAGGCGGAATTGGATGAGACACTTACCGAACTTAAAAACGCTGATGAACTTTCCAAGAAAGCGTATGTTTTAAACTTTGTTAAAAATACACAAAAAATTATTATTTAGATCTGCTGATGCTGCCAGACTTGCCGAGGAATTGCGCCAGGAACAAGAACACTCACAACATGTTGACCGATTGCGTAAGGGACTTGAACTCCAAATCAAGGAGATGCAAGTTCGTCTTGATGAAGCAGAAGCAGCCGCACTTAAAGGCGGTAAGAAGATAATTGCCAAATTGGAAGAACGCATCCGGGCACTTGAACAAGAATTGGATGGCGAACAAGTAAGGAAAATTGTCCAATTTTTCAATAAAAATTTTTCTCTTCAGCGACGTCACCAAGAAACCGACAAGAACTACAGGAAAGCAGAACGTCGTGTAAAGGAACTCGACTTCCAAGTTGAGGAAGACAAGAAAAACAGTGAACGATTGACCGACCTTATTGACAAACTCCAAGGAAAACTCAAAGTTTACAAACGACAAGTAGAAGAAGCAGTAAGTTATTCTGAATGTCAAATCAAAATTGTATTGAAATTTTTTTTCTTATAACAGGAGGAAGTAGCTGCAACAAATCTTGGCAAATACCGCCAATTACAAGCACAAATGGATGAAGCAGAAGAGAGAGCAGATTTGGCAGAAAACTCATTGAGCAAGCTTCGTGCAAAGAACCGTTCCTCCGCATCAATTGCTCCAGCATCTGGTAAACATTAGAAAATCTTCAAAATCTTATTTTATAAATTCTAGTTGGTTTGGCCACATCAGCGAGTGCTGCTGTTCTTCGTTCTACTTCATTTGCACGAAATAGCTTTGCCGATTATTAAATAATATATTAAAATAAGATTAAAAATCCGAAGAAATTTATTATAATAATTGTTTATTCTCCCCATTTTTTCTTTAATTAATTCGTTTCATAATTAATCTAATTGTAAACCCATTCATTGAATTCTCCCTCTTTTTCTGTTGCTGCTGTTCATTCTTTTCAAATCCTAACTCTAATGTTAATATAGAAAAACATGAGATGTTATCCAAATCCACTACAATTTTTAGTCAGTCACATAACTCACTGCCCCTTAAAATAATCTGCTATTTTTAGTAACTAGTCTTGGTCATTCGGTCATTTTTCCCCATATTCACAAGCATAAACATTTTATAAAAAATTGTGTTAAATCTCTTTGGGCTTTCTTACCGTTATGTAACGGATTTATTATTTTTAGGGGGATGGTTGGGTTAAGTTTTTTTGAAGGTTTTTGTTGGAACCTTGAAGTTTTTTTACTTAGCTGACTTGATAATTTTTTAGCCTTTCTTAATCACTAAAATTTAATCGTTAATTAATCTTTGCTTCTACTATTTTTGCGGCTATGGCAGAAACGGCATATTCTCTTAATTTTAATATCGACGATGTGAAAACAAAAACAGTTGAACGGCTAATCTCTCCACTAATTCACTTGGTAATTTTATTTAATTCAATCAAATAAATTATTCAGATAACGTCTCTACATGCCAATATGCAACCTCTGAGTGGAGCAACCCGTGATGGAAAAGAAGTCATGAAGCGGCTTAAAGAACGCCTTGATAGTTTCATCATGACTGGCCAGCAGACAGTGCAAATAAAAACTCAATTTCCAGGTGCAGAAAAAATATTTGCTCAGCTGAATGACGCTTTAAATGATGTTGCACTTGCCGGTTTGTTTATTTTTTAGAAATTATTAAAAGGCTTAAGTTGAATATTTTTTCAGTAACTTTGGTTTGTCCCCTCCCCTATTATCACTTTTCTCTTTTTTGTAATCTTTTTTATCCAAAACAGGCGATAATCTTCTTATAATCGGCGAACCATTTATTGCTGATGCAGAGAACCCAGATTTACGTTCGCAAACAGTTGAGGCGAGTCGTGCTACTTTACTGGCTGTTGCACGTCTACTTATTATCACGGATATGGTTGTTTGTTTTATTTCATCAAATAAACTCAAAATTTTATAGATTGATGTAGATATTTTGCTAAAGCAAGCAGATAAAGTCAGACAAAATTTTAATGCCTTGAAGAATGCCCAATCAAAATCTGAGCTGCTTAAAACTTCCCAAAATTTGGATATGGAATTGCACGAACTAATGGAGATGACAAGAAGACGTGTTCGTGATTTACGAGATTCGGCTGCTCAGGATGATTTACAGGCTGCTATTGCGATGTTAAAAATAACTACACCTATAATGATTGCATCTTCTAAGGTTATTTCTTTTTCTAGCTTTTTAGCTTTCTAAATTGCAAATTTTGAAGGCATTTCTTCAACATCCAGGACTTGACGGTCTTAAGATTAATCAAAACTATGCGGAAGATGAACTTAATCGAGCATTGGACTGTTTTTGTGATGCTGTTCAAGGTGACCGGCCGCACGATGAGTTAGCTTTTTCTCAACATGGAAAGCTTAACGAGCTCGCTTTGAACTTTGAAAAATTCCAGGTAAACTTTAATTAAAAATTTCCAAAATCAATAAAAAAATTAACAGCGACGTGTTTATATGGATCCCTCTGAATATCAATCCCATCGACATCGTCCTCAATTGGAAGAATTGCTTGAACGTATTGCGAGTAGTTCTGGATTAATCGCTGATATGAAAACTACAAAACCTATGCGTCATGATCAAATTATTTCTGGTGTGAACAATTTACGGCAAGCTTTGCAAGATCTTTTGAAGGAATATGAACGGAATGTAAGCTTTAAAAATTTTTTAGATAAAGTTTTCTTTTTAATAAAGGTGGGATCAATTGAACCCTCTGAGGACCTCGACTTGTGCAAAGTATTTTTGGCCCACAAAATACGTGATTTACGTCGACATTTGCGTCGAACAATTGTCGACCATGTTAGTGACGTTTTTGTGGATGTTCGAACCCCTTTGTTACAATTGCTTGAAAATGCGTCAAATGGTGATTTTCCAAACACTGAACGGGCAGCAACTCTTTTTCAAACACAGGCTAACAATCTCGTTGCGGTAAAACTTGGGAAATATTTTAGAATTAATTAGTGCTAATTTAAAGGTTGCACGTCTTGTTGCCAATGTTTCCAATGATGTTGATGGTGTTAGAGTTCTTCGATATGCGACTCTTCTTTGTGAGAAAATTGCCCCACAGGTTTACTTATTTTTAATGGATTCAAGTTAATTTTAAAATTTTTATTAAAAGGTTGTAAATGCGGCCTTTTTACTATGCGAAGATCCACATAGCGAAGTGCTTAAGGTATCAAAAAATTTTGAAAAAAAATTATTTTTATTTAAGGAAAATATGTCCACATTCGAGCGTGTTTGGTTTGATCGTGTTAAAATGCTTACAATGGCAGTTGATTCTCTCATATCTTTTGATGACTTTTTAGCTGTTAGTGAGGCTCATATTAGCGAAGATTGTCAACAAGGAATTCAAGTTATATTATTTTTTGTGTTATTATAAATTTTCTTTTTAGGCTATTGTTGAACACAATAGTGAAATGTTGGATCGAAATGCTGGTTATATTCGAGGACGTTCAGTTCGTGTTTGCGATATGGTGTTAAACGAGATTGGTCAAGTACCTAGTGATTCTTATAGCGAAAATGTTAAGCGTGCAACTTTGTGTCTTCGAGATGGTTGGTTTTTTATAATTATTTTATAATTTCTCTGATAGCTAGGGTTAACAAAAAATTTTCAGATGTTCTTCCACATTTTAAAAAACGCGCCGAACAAATTGTCTCTGCATTAACTGAAATTGAAAAAACATCAAAAGATGTCGATGATGAAAGCCAACTGGAGACAGAAACAAAACGAGAGGTGGATGAAATGATTGATGCATGTCAGCTAGTTTATGATGCTGTAACTGATATTCGTCATGCTTTATTAATGAACAGAAATCCAGAAGATGTAGATTCTGATAATGAATATGAAGAAGGTTTTAACTTTAAAGAATTTTAAAATTTTTATTTTTTTGTTATAGATGGTTTGCCATCTGATGAAGCTTGTAGTCAATCTTCAGCTTCAGAAATGCAAAATCAGCAACAAATAATGCGACAGCTTCCAGAAGAATCAAAACGTGAAATTCAAAAACAAATTGATGTTTTTAAGGTTAAAAATTTTTCTTTTATTTTAAGATTTTTAAATTTTTAGATAACTCAAAGAAAGTTTGAATATGAAGTAGGTAAATGGGATGAAACAGGAAATGATATAATTGCGTTGGCTAAAAAGATGTGTCAAATAATGATGAATATGACTGATTTTACAAAGTATATTCTGTTTAATTTTGATTCTTTTTATTTATTTCTCTTTTTGTAGAGGTCGAGGTCCTTATAAAACAACAATGGACGTAATTAAAGCCGCGCAGGAAATTTCTGAATATGGTGCAAAATTGAATGGGTTTGCTCGTCAAATTGGAAGCGAATCAGTAGAAAGCAATACAAAGAAGGATTTATTTGCTTATTTGGAAAGAATAACTTTATTTTGTCATCAACTAAATGTTACAAGCAAGGTTTCTTTTTATTTTTTGGTACTCTTGCGTTATTTTTATAGCTCCACTTTCTATTTACAAATTGTACATAAATACATTTCCGGAATTTAACAAAATATTTTACAAATTGTAAAAACTTTTCTGGAATTTAACAAAATATTTTACAAATTGTAAAAACTTTTCCGGAATTTAATACCGAAACTCTTACTTTTTTCGATCCGAACCCCAACATAAAATTTTCGAAACCCCTAAACCCGACATTTTTCTCAACATGTTCCATCCCTGATTTGTACTTTAAAGGTAAAAGCAGATGTTCAAGTTGTTGGAGATGAGCTACGTGTGAGTGGACTTGAAGCAGCATTTTCACTCATTCAAAATGCCAAAAATTTGTTAAATGCTGTTATATTAACAGTTAAATCAGCTTATATTGCCAACACAAAAGTATTTTCTTTTTAAATTTTACACAAAATTAAAAAAAAATTTTCAGTATCGTCGAAAGGAAAATACAAAACCGAATGTTGTTGAATGGCGAATGGCTGCTCCACAAAAGCAACCTTTAATCAACGCTCCAGCAAAGATTACTAATACACATGGAATTGTTCGACGCGCTTCGGTTAGTATAAAAAATTTATTTTTTAATTAATATTATAAGGAGAGACGTCAACCTCCATTACAAGCCTTGACGCAATTCCAAATTTCAAAATGAAAAAATTTTTATTTGGGCTAATTGGCAAATTTTCTTAAAACTTGGTTGTGCCTTAATTCATAATTTAATATTTTTTAAATTAATAATTTAATTTTTTTCAATTTTTTATCTGCTTTTTTATACGTTTCCAAATAATCTCAAAAAATTAATCTTTTTTCTCCATTCCAGCTATAAATTTTAAAAGATTTTTTTAAATTGATTTTTAATTATTTAATTATTGGTGGCACTGCCCCAATGTATTTTTTATTTATCGTTTCTATAATTTCCTACATTTTCCTAATTTTTATAATCGCTTATTTCTGATTTTCATTGATGCTGTTATGCATAATTTACTGATTTTTACTACTAAAACAAACTGGCAAAGGGCTAAAACTAAACCCGGTAATGGGGAATTAAAATTTTCCGGATTTTCCCATCTAATTGTTTAGCCGTATTATTTCATATTCCATATTCTGCCAAAACCATATTTTGCCAATGAGGCTAAGAATTTGCATTTTACCAACACGGTCTTACTGGCAAAACGTCTGTTTTGGCCTTATTGGCAAAATGTGTGTTTGGCAGATGATGGAGCCGAATTATTACTATTTTCCGGACCTATAATTAAAGAGCAGCAAAAATCCTATAAAAACACTTTGTTTTTAAAAAACAGCTTTGTCTATTTAAAAGGACTACCTACTTAAAAAAGGAAAATTCTCGAAAGACTTTTCCTCCTCAATATTTTGTCAGCTTTGCATTTTTATTTTTTTTTACAAATTTGGGTGAAGGTCGGCGGCTAATGTACTAAATCAGATAAAAAAGGTTGTGTGATCGATAAAATCGAGACCGTCAAAAATATTTAGGAAAAGTGTGGCCCCCCTCTTTATTTTTTTTACAAAATTTTCCTCCCTTTTCTTTTCCGCTCTCATTTTTCTTTTCATTATTTCATTTTTATTTGTCTCTAATTTTCACTCCGCGGTTTGTACTCTACTTCTTTAATGTTTGCAGACTTTTTATCTATTTTGTTCACTAGTTAGCGAGAATAAAGTCTGTGATGGTGGTGGTGTGGTGTGTCCTTGCCCGATTGGTTGTTACTATACGTGGCTCCAGTTATTGCTTTACACACCACTGACTGTGCTTAAAAAATTACATTATATCCTTTAAAGCCGCTAATATAATCATTAATTTATTTTTAATTTTTTAGATTTAAAAACCTTTAAATTTTAAAAAATCGTTGTTTGTATTCAACAGTAGAAATGGTGAGCAGGTTTTGTTTTGTATCCTTGCTGATAGCTTGTTGGTCAATTTTTGGAGCTTTTGGGGAAGTTTTCTTCAAGGAGGAATTTTCAGGTTTTCTTTTCTTTTTTATCTGGTGAGGTGAGAGTTTACTGTTCTCTTTGAAATATTAGAAATTATCCGTTATCCAAATTAATTTTGTAATTTTAGACGAGTCTTGGACCGATCGATGGGTGCAATCTAAGCACAAAAGCGACTACGGGAAATTCGAGCTTTCTTCTGGAAAATTTTTTGGTGATAAGGAACGCGATCAGGGCCTTAAAACTTCTCAAGTATGCTTTAAACATTGTTCTTTTTAAATGGTAATTTTTAGGATGCTCGCTTCTATAGCATTTCTGCCAAATTCCCAAAGAAGTTTAGCAACAAAGGAAAGACGTTGGTAATCCAGTTCAGCATCAAGCATGAACAGGACATTGACTGTGGTGGCGGTTATCTTAAAGTATGAGATTTTTATTTAATCATTTAAAATTAATCAATTTAGCTCATGGCCTCAACAATTAATCAAGAGGATTTCCATGGGGAAACACCTTACCACCTTATGTTTGGCCCTGATATTTGCGGACCTGGAACGAAGAAAGTTCATGTCATCATTAACTACAAGGACAAGAACCAGCTCATTAAAAAGGATATTCGATGCAAAGTAATTTTTGTTTTTGAAAAAATAAATTTGTCTCGTTTAGGATGATGTGCTTACTCACTTGTACACGCTTATTCTCAATCCAGACAACACCTATGAAGTTCAAATTGATGGAGAGAAGGCAGAAAGTGGAGAACTTGAGGCTGATTGGGAGTTGTTGCCGGAAAAGAAAATTAAGGATCCTGATGCTAAGAAGCCTGAGGATTGGGATGAGACGTGAGTTTTTTGTGTTATTTTTTGTCTTATATGATTTTTCTTTTAAGTGAATACATTGATGATCCTGAAGATAAGAAGCCCGAAGATTGGGATAAGCCTGAGGTGAGTCCTTGTTTCCTTTTATTAAATTTCTAAATTTTCATTAACAGACCATTCCTGATCCAGATGCAAAGAAGCCAGAGGACTGGGATGATGGTAATTAAAATTTTAATTGTTTAATTTTTTATTTCTATTTTTAAAGATATGGACGGAGAATGGGAGGCACCAAAAATTGATAATCCAAACTATAAAGGTGAATGGAAACCTAAGCAGATTAAGAATCCAAACTACAAAGGCAAATGGATTCATCCGGTATTCAATTTATTCTTTTTAATTTTTACATATCGAATTAATTTTAGGAAATTGACAACCCTGATTACAAAGTTGATGATGAACTCTATATGCGTGAAGATTGGGGCTCTGTTGGTATTGATATCTGGCAGGTTTTGTTTAAATTTTATAATATGGATGAATAATTCTAACTTTTAGGTTAAATCTGGTACCATCTTCGACAATATTATTGTGACGGACAGCATTGATGAAGCAAAGGCTCATGCGAAGGAAACGTTTGAACCATTGCGCGATGCTGAAAAGAAACAAAAGGAGGCTGCAGATGAGGAAGAACGCAAGAAGTTTGAGTATGTTTTTTAATTAAACTTTCAATTAAAAAATTTTTTTTCTCAATTTTTAGAGAGGAAGAAAAGAAACGTAAAGAGGAAGAGGAATCTAAAAAGAAGGATGAAGATAAGGATGGTGATGAGGAAGAAGAGAAGGATGAGGAAGAGGAAAAGAAGGTGGAAGAGGAGCATGATGAGCTTTAAATGGAAGAAGAAGGATATATAATTAAAAGGTTCACTTTTGCTCGTAATAAAATTATAAAAAATATAATTGGGGGGATTTGCTGCCACCTTTGCCTATTTTTTGGGGGTTTATTTTTCTCTATCATTTAAAATTAGTTTTTCTTTTCATAAGAATATTTTTTTAATTCATTTGTTCTCTCTCTCTCCCAACCAAAAAAAATACCGCACATTTTTTGACTATTATTGTTTGGTTTTAAATTATTTTGTTTTGCTTAAAATGAATTGTGTCTTCATTAAAAAAATTTTTTTTTGTTTTATTTTTCCTTCATCTATAATTATTTTTTTCTTTTCGTGTTATTGGATTTCCTCAAGTCTCTCTATTTTTTCTTTTTTTTTATACTTAAAAATGGATTTCGAGATGTAAAAAAAAATTTTTTTGATTAATGGGTGATGGAGGGAAGAGTTGATTTGAAAAAATGATTCTTTAGAATTTTTTGGATTAAACATCTTGCAATCCTTATAATTTAAATCATCAATTACATATATTTTTGTGTTCTCTAAATATATTTAATTTAAATAAAATTGTTGATTCCTTCATTTAAAAATTCTTAGAGTAATAATTAAGATAAATTTGTTATTTAAAAATTGGATTTAAATTTTTGAAAATTTGTAAAAGAATCGAAAGGTTTATTTTCTTATTAGAGAGGATTTGGATAAATTTTTAAATTTTAAGATGACAGGAATATATCACAATTTCTACAATAATAAAGACGCCGAACAAAGGAGACTTTTTGTAAAATTTTTGGAAAAATGTCGCCGCAACGAAATGATGCAGAGTTTATATTATTTGAAAGCTAATGGCGCAATTAAAGGATAACAAACGATGAAGAAGGAAAAAAACTTTCAAAAGGTATTACTTTTTATTTTATAACAAAAAAGTAAATAGCCGTGGGATCATCCCAAATAAATAGCTGACAAATAGACTGGAGGGGGAATGGCCGTCTGAATATATTTCAAGTTAAAAATTGTGCTCTTAATCTAACCGATACCACATCTTTGCTTTAACTATCCCCCTTGTTGCGCGGAGCGACGGTGCGCATCCTCCATCCATCAGTGATTTTCATCCATGGTAGAGGACGTTTCTCCTCTCTCCCTTGTTTTCCTCTCGCTGCCAAGGCCATCCTTTAAAAAATCCTCTGCCATCAAATCCGAAACGAACCTTCAAATTCTATGCTATCCTAAAATAAATAGCTATCCATTTTTCATTCATTTTCATTACATTAAAATCTGTCCGCCCATTTACATCCACAATTATTTTTATTCTTCGTTTTGGAAACTTCCACTTAATTTTAACATATCCTAAAAATAATGAATCTATATTTACGGCATTTATTCCTTATTATGCTTTTGCCGCCTCCTTGGCTTCTTCCATTATTTATTGGACACAACAGCATTATTGTAGTCTCAGCTACTTTGTGCGGTCCATTACCTTCAACTTGTTTGCCAGCACCGCCTTGCCCACCGCCATTGATACCTCCGCCTCTTCCTCCTGCACCTCCACCACCACAACTTCCATGCCCGATGCCTTGTCCTCCTCCTCATCCACCTGCACCTCCACCACCACTCCCACAACTACCATGTCCATCACCATGTCCTCCTCCTCTTCCTTCTCTTCCTCCTGCACCTCCGCCACTACCACTTCCACAACTACCATGCCCATCACCTTGTCCCCCTCCTACTCCTCCATCTCCTTATCCTCTACCTCCACCAAGATTGCCAACACCAAATTGTCCGCCACCGCCAACTACATACCAACCTTTTCTGCCACAACCAGCACAAAACCAGTATCAAACCTATCTTCCTTCACCTCAAGTTCCTTATGCTCCAAATCAACAACAAATTGTGCCTCCATCTTATTCAACTAGACCAATTCCTATTCCATTAGCACCTCAGCCAGTACCTCAGTCAAATACATATCAACTTCCCCAGCCATCACCTTATGCTACACAACCGGGTCTTAGTTATGGATACGGTTATGGGAGGCAGTCAGTTTCCCCCTATTATAATTGTAAAATTAATCTTTTTTAATTTTTATAATCATTAAAAAATTTCAGCAAATCCATATCAAAATCCTATTCCGGCCAAAGAAAGATTTGTTCACAATCCGGAAGAAAAGGAAGAACAAACTACACATGAAAAAGTGAAAGATCCATTTGAGAAAATAGAAGATAATGAGGCTGAAAACAAAAGTGGTGGGGATGAACGAACGAAAACAACGGGAAAACAGCGTATTAATCCGCAATTTCAACGGGATGACAACTACATTGTCCCTGGTTATGCTCGACCAACAACGCCTATCGATGTTCCACTTCCAAAACCAATGTCTCCAATAATTTATCCAACACCTCTTCCAGTTTATCAACAACGACCGCCACCATTACAGCAAATGCTTCCAGCAACCATCTACCAGCCTTCACCTCAACCAATTTCACAACAATGGCAGCCGTATCCACAGGTATAATACTTTCATTTTTAATTTGGTGAGGTAAGAGGATTATTTTTGAAAAATATTTAACGGGGATTTAGTGAATGTTTTATTTTAAAGTGGAGATTATAGAAATACACTAAAAAAATTCTTTTTGTTTCAGCAACTTCAATGTCCTCCCTGCCCTCTTCCTTCTCCTCAACCACTTCCTCCGCCTCCACAACCAGCGCCTATTCAAAATTGTTGTCTTCGCTGTCCGTACACTAAAACAACTGCTTTACTTAAATCATATGGTGTAAAGACAATCACAAAACCTTATTTACATAGTGGAATATCTTCTTCTGTTGATGAGTTGGCATTTCATACAAAGAAGAGGGATGAGGGAAAATGTAACGATAAAGAACTTGCCGCAATTTTGGGAGAGGTTGAATTTTGTTTTTATGTTTTAATTATTTTCTTTTATTTTTTCTAGGTTTTTACGCTTAAAATGAATTTAGCAAAAGAGGTTATTTAATTTGGTGTTTGTGTAGTTTCCATCCCATAATCCTCGCTCCTCTTCTCACTTTTCCTTATATTTCAAGGTTACTCATCTGAATCAGTATTGACATTTTATAAGGAAAAGGGGGGTGAATGTGTTGGAAACCACAAGTACCAACTTTTGAAGTTTTTTCAATTTTTTATTCAGGCAATTTTGGATAGAGTCGAAAAACGATTGTTAACATCTAGCGGACTTCAACGACCTAACATTCTCTTTCACGTTGTTTGTGCTCCAAGAATGTTGGAATATATTGTACGATCAGAAAAGTTTTGTGCAGGAGATGTTGCCGATGGTATTTGTTTTGTATTTAGAACGGGACAATAAAGAAAATGAAATATAAAAAATTGAACATAACCTCTAGTAAAGTTTTAATTTTATTTTTTAATTTAAATGACCCCTTTACGCTTTGGGTTTCAGGCCCGGTAGACCGGATATTTTGATAGGACCTTGTTTTTCTGGGGTTTGGCCCCTTATTTTTCTGGGTTTTAGCCCGGAAACCCCAGCCCTGGTTATTTTGAAAAAATAAAACACCCGAGTACCTGGCCGGCAATTTTAAAATGTCGAACTCTAATGTTTACCAAACAATTTTATTTTTATGTTTTATTTTCTTTCCTTTACACTTCCTTGTTCCACCACATTTCCATCAAAAAATAAACACGTAAAAGAACATTTTTATTGCATCATTAAAAGGCGTGTAAGGAAAGAAAATAATTACATCACGAAAAAAAGCATATTAAACGAATAAACCTATTTAAAGGAATAAAAAACGTGGAAATAGGGGGGAGGTGTACAAAAAAGAAGGTGGAATTAGTAATTATTGGGAGACTTTTTTAAGAGAATTGGGCAAATATAAGGAAATATTTTCATTATTATTTTTTAATTTTTTAAATTTTTGTTTGGGGAAAGGGAGAAAATTATTAAATTAAATCCCCTAAAGTAATCCTCTTTCAGCCAAAATTAAAAAATTTAAAAATCACTTGAGTATAAGGTCCAATGTATAAAATATTTATTTTATCATTTGATTTATTTAATCTTAACCCTTATTATATGTGTGATTTTTTTCACATGTTTATTGCATCATTGCTTTTTTAAAAAAAAAATACACACACAGCTGTGTCAGTCTGGCAAATTTTATTTTGTTAGAGAGAGAGGAAATAAAAGCAGCTGGTAAATACAAAATAAAAATTATTTTCTTCTTTGAAAAATTTTTAAAAATTTTATTTTGTCTTTTCATTGTTTGGGTTGCGCGAGTGCTGGTGTTTTTCCTTTTCCATTTTATCCCAAGCCTATTAGCATTTTGTCGTTTTTTGTATTCAATTTCTTTTTGACTTTAATTTTTGTTTTCTCATAATTTTCTCGAATTTTTTTTAAATAAATTTTTTTATTTAATTTTTGCTGCTTAATTCATTAAAATAGCGGTACTTATGAAGATGGAGGTGCCCTTTCTGCGGACTTTTTTTTGCGGACTTTTCTTCCTTTCTTTTTAAATGTTTTGTTGTTTTGCTTTCAGCAAGTTTTGCTAGTAGCAATTAACTATCAAAGGATTATTTTGTATGCCATTTGAAAAATATGTGTTCACAATTAATTTAAACGTTATAGACGCTAAAAATGTTACAATCAATAAAAAATTTTACTTTAACTAAATTACATGATTAAATTAAATTGCCCGAAACTGAATTTCAACAATGGCTTACTGATCTCGGAATGCTTCATAGAATGAGAACTTGTGATTTTGGAACAGAAATTCGGGTAATTTCAATCCTTGTCCCACCCCCCCTCATTATTTTTATTACCTATGATTGTACAAAATGGTCAGATTTTCTTCTTCCTCTCCTTCCTCTATTTGAGCTTGGCATATTTAAACAAGAGACATAGTTGATAAAGAGAAGATTAAAATTAATTGAGTTGTTCAATATTGAGTACGATTTATTTTTTCAGTTGTTCAATATTTTTAAATATAAGAACCAGCGTTCGGCGCGAATTGCTGAGTAGTTTTAATAGCTTTTGGGTATGAGGGCTGACTCCAGCGTTATTACAATTTAAAAAATTCAATTTGGCTTAATTTCCCAGTATTTGAAAACTTCAGACTCAAATATCCATTCTCAGACTCAAGTGACACTTTTAAAAATATGTTCATTCAACTCCTCGTTAAATTCCCTATCGAATGGCACCTCAACCATCTTTCTACGACTAATACTTCAAAAGTTATAAATTTTCGAAAAAACAACAAAATAAAATTAATAATAACATGCGGGCCTTCGGCCCGCATGTTTTTTGCAACGCGTTCCGAATTAAAAAAATAATCTTTATGTCTGGCGGTTACCTCCGGCAACGCGTTTTCCACGACGCGTTCCGAATTTTTATAAATTTAAATTCTGGCGGTTGCCTCCGGCAACGCGTTATCTGCAACGCGTTCCGTATTTTTAAAAAAATAATTTTAATTTCTGGCTGTTGTCTCCGGCAACGCGTTATCTGCAACGCGTTCCGTATTTTTAAAAAAATAATTTTAATTTCTGGCTGTTGTCTCCGGCAACGCGTTATCTGCAACGCGTTCCGTATTTTTAAAAAAAATAATTTTAATTTCTGGCTGTTGCCTCCGGCAACGCGTTATCTGCAACGCGTTCCGTATTTTTAAAAAAATAATTTTAATTTCTGGCTGTTGCCTCCGGCAACGCGTCTTCAGCGACGCGTTACGTATCTTCTCAAAAATAATTTTAAATTCTGGCGGTTGCCTCCGGCAACGCGTTTTCTGCAACGCGTTACGTATCTTCTCAAAAATAATTTTAAATTCTGGCGGTTGCCTCCGGCAACGCGTTTTCTGCAACGCGTTACGTATCTTCTCAAAAATAATTTTAAATTCTGGCTGTTGCCTCCGGCAACGCGTTTCTGCAATGCGTTACGAATTTTTTAAATTAAATTAAACGTAAAAGTAGCTTATAAATTAATTTGCCTCATTCTTATAAAATTTTATAAAATTTTTCAGTCCCTGACTCAAATTCAAAAATGAGACTCAAGTGTCCTTTTTCTCGAAAATTCATTTTTTATTATTCCCATTAATTTTTAGAATTTTTAAAATTAATTTCGACTGATTTTAGCCTTCAGACTCAAATATACCACACTCAGACTCATGTGACCCCTTCGAAAATATTTTTAAAAAATTCGCCTGATTTTTCCACGTCGAATGACACCTCAATCATATTTTTACGACAATTACTTCAAAAGTTACAAAAAACGCCTCACCGTTGCTTAACTTAACAGATCGGACGGATTAGATCGTCAAATTTTAAAATTTTTTCCCAAAATTTTAATTTTTTAAAAAATTCATTACTTCGGTCCAAAAAAGTCAAATAAACGTTAAACAAAGCTTATTCGATGCAGAATTTAATTCTCTATTTTTCATCTCCCAACACTTTTCTTCTAATTCCAAAACAAAATATAGTTAAGGTCACTTTAATGAAACATCCTCAAAATTTCAATTTTTACACCATATCTTTTTTCCCGTTAATCCAATCAACTTGAAACCAACTTTTTTCTTAAGAAACCGACCACGCTCTACAACTTTTCTCCCAACCACTTTTTGCTCAGACCCCTCTAAATACCTTAAATCCAATGTTACCACTTTGACATAAAATTTTGCACCATCAATAACTACCCTTTAAGTTGTCCGTTTGACTTCAACTCTTTTTCTATCATATTCCAAATCTTCTAGATTGGTGCCCTCTCAACTGACCCAACTTTCCCCGACTTCGTCTTCATACTCAAATTTCACTTCAAAGTTTCGCAATTTCATGTTTTTTCACAATATCTAAAAAACTCGCCCCTTTCCCCCAACTTTTCGGATTTTTCCTGAAAACTACATTAAATTTCCCATCTATAGCAAAAAACCCCACCCCTCTACGACCTCTCAAACTTCCAAAGGACTTTTTTTTAGCTGACTGCCTTTTTACTATTATATATAGATAATGTAAAGTTTTTACACAGAAATTCATAATGTTATACACCAAATCAATTTTATTTAATTCTTTTTTTGTTTAAATTGTTTTCGAAGGCAAAAAATAAGTGTATGACTATGAAATTAATCTTCTCTTCACCAATGTCTCTTGTTTGAATATGCCACAGGGCAAATAGAGGAAGGAAAGGAAGCAGAAAATCTGACCTTTATGTACAAACTTAGGTAAGAAAAATGGCTCCGGTACAAAATATGGAATCGTTAAAATATGGAATGGTTAAAATCGCGAATAGGCTAAAAAGGGGTTAAAATACCGAATCGTTAAAATATGGAAACGTTAAAATATCGAATCGGGTAAAAAAGGGTTAAAATATGGAATCGTTAAAATATGGAATGGTAAAAATGTCGACACGGCCAAAATCTGTCAAAATGTCGAATTCTTTTAAAAAAGGGTCAGATGAGTGCCATACGTTGATTGTAGATGATTTTATCAACTTATCAACTTATTAATGATAAGTTGATTGATAAGTCTCTTATGTCGTAGTCCGGCGCAATCTTTTCTGCCAGAGTTCATTGTATTTTACCGAGTAAAACCGGACCGGATAAATCAAGCATAATCGACCGGATCCGGTCCGGCATGATCGTACGGATCCGGAAAACATAACGCGATCCTGATATGGAAAAATTAGAGTGGTGTGCATTAGTTTTTAGTTAAGACCTAAAGTTTGACCTTACCGTATACGGTACGAAATACCGAAAAATACCGATCAGCTTTTAAATTTTATCGGTCGGATTCCGTACCGTACAACCGACACGGAATACCGAAAAATACCATCGGTATTACGGTACCGTCCGGATTCTAGTTTTGGCGCCATTTTTAAAAAATTCGACATTTTGACCAATTTTGGCCGTGTCGACATTTTTACCATTCCATATTTTAACGATTCCATATTTTAACCCTTTTTTAGCCTATTCGATATTTTAACCATTCCATATTTTAACGATTCCACATTTTAACCCCTTTTTAGCCTATTCGCGATTTTAACCCCTTTTTACCCGATTCGAGATTTTAACCCTTTTTTAGCCTATTCCATATTTTAACGATTCGATATTTTGTCCGGACACGAGAAAAATAATAGGGGGAGGGTCTTTGACAGTTAGTTGCTACAAGTAAAATATGTAAAAGAAAGGAAGAAAAGTCCGCAAAAAAAAGTCCGCAGAAAGGGCACCTCCATCTTCATAAGTACCAAAATAGCTAATTTTAGCATTTTTCTAAAATATTTACTTGAGTCTCTTAAAATAATTTTATTTTGCTCTGCAATGTTTACTTTTCTAATTTATTTTTAGCATTTTTTAAAGGCTAAAGATGGATACCTCACCATCAGAGACAAACAATTCTCCGCCTGAAAAACGTGGTAAAGTGGAGATGGAAAGCGATAATGAGGATAAAGATGACACTACTTTAAATGAACAACCTTTGAGAGCAGAAATTAATCTTGAAATTGTTGCGAGTGAAGCAAATGGAGGAGCTCGGGTTTATTTTTTATTTGTTTTTTGGGGGTTAATTTTAGAGGAGGGGCTGTCCTTGGGCCATTATTTTTTGTTAGTTTTTGTTTATTTTTGTGTTAATGATTTTTTGCTTATTTAAGCCTTCACATTCTGTCCCGCTTTTGTCTATTCCATTTCAACAACGTCCAGCTTTTGATAGCGGACACAGAATTACACGTCTTGGAGGTAAATATCATATAATTTTGGCCGTTACTGGAAGTGTTGCTGCTATCAAAACAAATGAACTTATACAAGAACTTAAACGTCAATCACCACCTAATAAGCTTGTTGTAAAGGTTTTTTTAGAGTTTTAATTTTTTCTTTTAAAATTGAATCAAAAGGTTGTAACAACTCAAAGTGCTCTCAATTTCTTTGACCCGAAGGAGATGGGTGATGTAACTGTATATGAAGATCGAGATGAATGGAACATGTGGAAGAAACGTGGAGATCCTGTTTTGCATATTGGTATTTATAGACTTCTGAATTGCCGCCTTATTATTATTTTTAAAGAGCTTCGTAAATGGGCAGATTCATTAGTTATTGCTCCTTTGGATGCTAATACACTTGCAAAGATCGCTAATGGCTTTAGTGATAATTTAGTAACTTCTTTAATTCGTGCTTGGGATCAGAAGAAGTTTTTGTATTTTGCACCAGCAATGTTTATTTTATAATATTTTTTAAAACATTAATTTTAAAAATTTGAAGGAATACTGCAATGTGGGAAAATCCGTTAACTTATCAACATTTGAAGACGTTGAAGGAGCTTTTGCTTTATAGGGTAATTGTTTGAATTTCCTCTCCGTATCCTTTCACCAGAAATTAAAAGAATTAAATTCTCTTTTTATAGGAAATTCCACCAATCGAAAAAGAACTTATGTGTGGTGATAAGGGTTATGGAGCAATGGCGTCGCCTCAAATGATTGCTTCAATTCTTGCTTCGGATATTAAAAATAAATTTGCAGTATATTCCTACTCTGATTATTAAATATTTGGTAATAGTGTCGTTTCCAGGCCCCATTTTTTCTCCCCAATTTTTTACCCTATGTTTGTACGGAATGGTCAAATTTTCCCCTTTTTTCATCAAATTTGCCTTTCCATATTTTGCCTAAAAACAATCAAAAAGCTTGGTGTTTCTCTCAACGCCCCTAATCATCCATACATCTTTCTTTGATGGTTGTCTGCCTCTTTTATATTTTCGTCTCACAACAACAGTCTTTCATTTTTATTAATTGGGAAAATGATTCTTCTCATTACTCTAATACTTTTTTAAATATCACAAATTAATCTTTTTGATTGTTTTTAGGCAAAATATGGAAAGGCAAATTTGATGAAAGAAAGGGGAAAATTTGACCATTCCTACAAACATAGGGTAAAAAATTGGGGGAAAAAATGGGGCCTGGAAACGACACTATTACCAAATATTTTTTTAAAATTATTTTTTAATGAGGGGGGAAATACTGCGAGTATTTTTCTTGTTTTTCAATTTGCGCGATCCTTACTTTTCTGCATATTTTTTTAGCTTTGATTTTATTGTTTATTTTTTTATATACACAATTTTTTGTTTATTTATTCGACATTTAAACGCGTTTTTTACCGATTTATTTTATCGTGTATTTCTATATTTCTTCGATCTTTAAAATTAATTTCTTTTAATTTTGGTTTCAGGTTTTGTGTAAATATTTGACAAAGCCGTATAATTAATCGGCCGCTGCAACATTTTTTAAATTTATTTTCTACTAACTACGAGACCAATAAACAAATTATGTTCGTCTTCGGCTATGGTTCTCTTCTTTGGAATCCAAATTTTTCCTATGAATTGGCAATCCCTGGTTAGTTTTTTCAAATTTGTTATGGGGAGGGGTTGGCTTTCCTTTATGTTAAATTTAAATTTTTTCAGGTGTTGTAATGGGATATTCCCGTCGTTTTTGGCAACTGAGTCCCGATCATCGTGGCACTCCTGATAGTGTAATCTTTATTTTTAATAGCAACTCAACTGTTTAAAATTTTATAGCCTGGTCGAGTTGTAAGCCTGGTTCCAGATACTGAAGGTTCTTGCTGGGGAATTGCTTATAAAATTCCTGAAGAGCGTGTGCAACAAACTATTGAATATTTGGACATGAGAGAGCGAGCTGGTTATGAGGTTTAATTTTTGATATTCTTTCAACTTTAAAGTTTCAATTTTAATTTTTTAGTTGCAAATAGTTGAATTCTACCCAATTAATGGTTCTGAGCCTTTCTCGCTGAATGTCTATATTTCTCCAATCAGTCGAGATAATATTTACAATTCTGGTCCTTGTGACATCAGTGTAATAGTCAAACAGGTTTTAATTTTGATTTGACCATTTTGAACCTTTTTTAAAAAAAAATTTTAAAGATAATTCGAAGTCGTGGTTGCAGCGGCAGTAATTTGGAATATGCCCTCAGACTTGCTGATTGCCAAAGACGTATGGCACCAAATATATTTGATGAACACTTATTCCAAATTGAATCGAAATTGGTTTGGATTTTTGAAATTTTTTGTAAAATTTTAAGAAAATTTTTTAGTTAGAGGAATGTGAATACTTACAACATGATGACTCTATTTTGGAAAAATTGCAATATGATTTGCCTTATTTGGCTAATAAAAAGGGAAAAAGGAAGAGAAATGAAAGCACTAAAGGTTAAAACTTTTTAAAAATATGGACAATAAAAAACTTAAAAAAAGCCGGTGTGAAGAAAAGAAGAATTTTTAATGAATTCTAATCATCAAAAAATAATTTAAATATATTCACTTGTGTGTTGTTTATTGGTTTCAGATTAATTAGCAATTGCCTAGTATTTTTTAAAAATTAACCCTTAATTGATCTCTTTGTCTTTCACTGAAATTTTGTTTTAAATTAAATTTTGAGTTTACCTGGTAATCCATAAATTGTCAAAATTAAGTGGGTGTTCTTTTTAGATAGGTTAGCGAGGTTTAGTCGGGTTTCTTGACGGGTCTTCAAAAATTTCTTCTGATCTTTTTCGAGTCAGGAAGAAGTCCGGGTATTGGGTCTCAGATCGGGTTTTGGAAATCTTTTCTGATCATGTTTCGATTTTCTGGTAACCCATGACATCTCTGTTCCATATGGTTAACGATTTTATTTTCTAGGAAGGATAATTAATTTTTTTCTTGAATAGAATTTAAGCAGATGCCCAAGTATAATTTATTTTTCCTTTTTCAAAATTTAACTCAATTTTTGGGGATAGATTAGTTTTTTGTTTCTCTTTCAATTTTTTAAAAGTAATTTAGAGGGATTAAAAATATGCCTTGTAAAATGGTCTGGTCTAACTTTTTTCCGTTTGAAATGGACGCCCACTGCCCTTAATTTGTCATTTAATCGACTAAAGGAAAATGTCAATTATTTATACTTTTTATGGATTAATATTTTTGTTGTTATCCCATTAAAAACAAAAAATTTTAGTCAAAAAGTGCAAGTCCTCGGTTTCACTTAAAAAATTATCCCAACAATTGTTTTTGATTTTTTTGGATTTTTGAGGGTTTTTTTGAGAAATTTAAGTTTTGGCAGTTGTTCTCAATATGTTCTCTCAAATATCTGATCTTTTAGCAAAAAGTGTTAGAAATAAAAAAATAAAAAATTTTCAAAAACAATTGTAAAATAAATTTGTTTTTCACTGCTATAAAATTCAACAAAAATTTTTTTAAATTGTTTTTGATTATAAAAATTTTGAATAAAAGATTTTATTCGTTAATAAACGTTAATAATCTTTGTAGATTTTTATTAAAAATGCTTCAGTGCATTATTAAACTTACTTTATTTTTATTTAATTTATTTTATTTTTTATTCTGTTTTGTATATTTGGCCGTTCATGCTAGTCCACATGAAAGAAGATTGTAAGTTTTATTTTTTTTTATTTATTATGGTCTAAGGACATTTTTTCAAAGTCCTCCTTCCAAAAAAATATTAAAAAAATTTTTTCTTTATAGGTATGAAGATCTCCTGCGCGACTATAATGTTTTGGAACGCCCTGTGGAAAATCATTCTCATCCAGTAACAGTACATTTAAAAGTGTCTCTTCAGCAATTAATTGATGTGGACGAAAAGAATCAGGTAAAAAATTAAAATAAATTTTTTATAAACTTTTTAATTTAAAGATTGTACATGTTAATGCTTGGCTAGACTATCTTTGGAATGATTATAAATTGCGATGGGATCCTAATGAATATGGAAATATCAGGTTTTATTTTTTGTTTAACTTATAGCTCTAAGAAGAAATTTTTTAAAGTGATGTTCGCTTCCCTGCTGGCAAAATTTGGAAGCCTGATGTTCTTTTGGTAGGGGTTTTTTTCTCTCTTATAGTCTCTTATATGGAGATTTCTTGTATAGAGAGTTTAATAATCTATAATTTAAGTATAATTCTGTTGATCCAAATTTTGATTCAACATACCCAACAAATATGATTGTCTATAGCAATGGTGATATCAGTTGGGTGCCACCAGGAATCTTCAAAATTAGCTGTAAAATAGAAATTAAATGGTAAATTAATTTTTTAATGTTTTATATTTGTTTTTAAGGTTTCCCTTTGACGAACAAAGATGTTTCTTTAAATTTGGTTCATGGACTTATTCAGGATTTTATTTGGATTTGCAACCTGCAAAGGTTAACTTTTTTAATTTTATTAAATTTCTTCAATTTAAGGGAGGATTCGATACAAGTGAATATTTATCCAATGGAGAATGGGCTTTACCTATGACAACAGTGGCACGAAGCGAGAAATTTTATGATTGTTGTCCAAAGGAGCCTTATCCCGATTTAACATTTTATTTACATATGAGACGTCGAACTCTTTATTATGGATTTAATTTAATTATGCCGTGTCTTCTAACAACGATGATGTCTCTTCTTGGTTTTACTCTTCCACCAGAAGCTGGAGAAAAAATTACTCTACGTTAGTTTAAGTTTTTAATTGTGTTTGTTGTTTAGGGGTTCACTGGGTTATTTGTGCGCTTAGGGGTTGACTTAAGAGTTCACTGATCTGAGTCAACTGACTTTTTAAAGACGAGGGTTGAATTCCCTTCGACGTGCTCCTTTCTTTAATCAAATTTTTTCTCTTAAAAATTTTTTTTGGAGTTTTAAAATTTTTTCAAATTCCTTAAATTATCTTTATTATTTCCAGAAATCACTGTCCTCCTATCCATCTGCTTTTTCCTCTCAATTCTATCAGAGATGTCCCCTCCTACTTCTGAAGCAGTTCCTCTACTTGGCCTTTTCTTTTCTTCATGCATGGTTTTTATTTTATTTAAATTACTTAAGATATTTTCTATTCTTTAGTTGATAGTTACTGCATCTACTGTGTTTACTGTCTATGTAAATTTATTTAAATTTATTTTTTAAATTCATTTTTAGGTTCTAAATTTGCATTATCGAACGCCAGAAACTCATGAAATGGGAAAAACAGTAATTTTCAAGTTTTAAATTTTTTATTTTATTTACATAGGCGCGCACTCTTCTTCTCTATTGGCTGCCGTGGATGTTGCGCATGGAAAGGCCTGGGATAATTCTTAGCTGGGTTTGCTTTAAGTTATCGTAATTCATCTAAAACCTTTTCCATTTTAGGAAACACTACCTTCATTGTTGCCCTGCTCTAGGCCAAAAAATCAAAGTCAGTCACTAATTCGGAATGTTAAGGACAACGAAACTGGCTCAAGGTTTGAATATTTAATTTAAAGAATTTAAATTTATTAATCTATTTCAAGAGCTTCATTGGAAATTGATCATCGAGTCCATCAATTGCTTTATGGAAATGGTGATTGTAGTCGAAGAAAAAATCTGTTGTTACAAAGAGGAGCTACTATAGATAATGAAAGCAGCAAAGTGGATTCAAATAGAGAACATCAAGCTCTACTTTTGACATTACAAAGAATTGCTAGAGAATTGAGGGTATTTTTTTGAATAATTTGTTTTTAATGGGGGAAACTGGAGACTTGTTTGGCTTTAAGACCTACAACTTTTGAAAGGGAATAATCGAGGGATTAAGGTGGATATACTCAGCTTTACAGAGATCCCAGTTCTATATTCTAGAACCTATGGTCCGGTATTGTGATTGTGTACCATAACTCTGGGAAGTAGAGCTTTCTATCCCCTCCATCGATATTACCTTAATTCCTCCAAACCCTACGATATTCCCTTTCAAAAATTGTAAGTCTCAGGGTGTTGGTCAGGGTTGACTCCTCTTTAATAGTTTCTTTTAATAAATGTTAAAATTTTTTAAGTTAATCACTCGAAGAATGACAGAGGCAGATCGAGAAGGCGAACAATCGAGCAACTGGGTATTCTAAAAATGTTTTTTTAACATTACAAATTTTTCTGTAGAAATTTGCGGCAATGGTGGTTGATCGTCTCTGCCTATATATTTTTTCGTTTTTGATGATTGGAACCGTGGTTGGAGTTTGTGTTTCAGCACCATATATTATTGCATAATATATTGATAATTATAAAAATTCGATTTTTATTACCTTATATTTTATTTTTTTGTGAGAAATCCTCGAAAATTACACAGTTCTGTCTTTATTTCTTATTTATGTAAAGTTGGATACTTAGGAAATCCATAAATCGGTTTAAAACCGCTGTATTTATCTTTTTATTATATAAGAATATTTTTTTCAGAATTCAAAAATTTGCGCTATTTGGCATAATGCAAAACATTAAGAGTAAATGACACTTCATCCCAAAAATCAATAATCGATTTTTGATGTTTCATTTAGTGTTGACTGTTCCCATTTTAGCAAAGATGTTCTACAACACAAAGCATGGCTCTTCCTTTTCTGGGGGTTAACCTTTTTAGGGGGGAGGGTAGAATTGAGTTGCGGACAAGACTTGCTTTTTTCAATTTTTGAAAAATGTATCCAATTTTTTTAGTTCTTCAGCAGCAGCAACAACAACAAAAGTCCTAGGCAGCAAAAGTCCCATTCGCTTCGGCGATTCTGGGCAGCAAAAGTCCCATTCGCTTCGGCGATTCTGGGCAGCAAAAGTCCCATTCGCTTCGGCGATTCTGGGCAGCAAAAGTCCCATTCGCTTCGGCGATTCTGGGCAGCAAAAGTCCCATTCGCTTCGGCGATTCTGGGCAGCAAAAGTCCCATTCGCTTCGGCGATTCTGGGCAGCAAAAGTCCCATTCGCTTCGGCGATTCTGGGCAATCTCAACGATTAAATTCCAATGCTCTCGTCAACATGGTTTGCTTTTTTACTTTATTAAATATCCGCAAGTCTTGTCCGCCAAGTTTCTCCCTTAAATAAGTTTATCCCTTAATTGAAGTTTAAAGCCATGGCCAGGACGAGAAGACGCACAGCAAATGTTCGATGGTTGGATGTACCGATTTGTTTGTTTTGAATAGTTGAACTTTTTATAAGTTTTTATGGTTAAATTTTTTTTATTTACTTAATTTTCAGCTTTGAAAGTACCCAGAAGTTTTAAAATTCTAAAGAGGTTGTTTTTAATTATTTACTATGGTTTCAAGATTATTTTTTAGGCCGGTGAATTGTTGCGGGAAGACCGTCTATTTGATGACTATGCTTTAGAAGAACAAGAATCAGCAGAAAAACTGACTGAAGAACTCCAATCTTTTGTTAGAATTCAGAAAATTAGGTTTGGAAATTAATTTATTGGGTTGATTATTTGGTTTCCACAATTTTTCGTTTATTTCAAGTTTTGCTCCTTTTTAAAACTTTCTAATTTAAAAAATCCCCGTTATCAATGTTTAAATCTCCGTTTAGTTGCTTCCCTTGAGTATTGTGACTTGCAGGGTTTTTTTGATGGCCCACACGAGTTTTCGGGTGGGATTTTTCCCCGTTTTCCCCACACCCAATTTTTCCCATTTGAGTTTTCATCTTTATATTTATTCTTTTTCTTTCCGAAATTGGGTCGAATAAACCTCCCCTCTCTCTTAAAGATTTACAAGCTTAAACTTTTACAAACACAAATTCCAGACCTTTTTGTTTTTTAGAATGTATGGTTGAACTAGAAGACAACATCAACTTGTTGAGCAATAAAGAAGCAATGGAATTACAAAAGGAGCAGGCACAAATATCAAAATTGGATTTTGGGAATGAAGATGGAGAAGGAAATCATAGTTTTTTTAAATTTTTTGTTTAATTAAATACAGTCGAATTAATAATCGAGATATTGGAAAACCTTCGACATTTTCTCAAAAATGAAAAGAAATTTGGATTAATCGTCAGACTTTTAATTTTGACTGTATCAGTTATCCCGTTTTGTATAGTGTCGTTTTGTGTTTCCCCATCCTTCTCTTTAAAAGAAAAAGGAAATGTTTTTTGATATTTTAAAGATTGAATAAGAATGAATCTAGTTCGAATAAGATAGAATATGAACTCAATATCGAACTCAGCACATCCAATTACATTTTGGCAACCTTTAAAATAACGAAAAGAACTGCCTTTTTTCTAGGGAGAAGAAAAAAGGTGAACCACAAACGACACTATTACCTCCCGTTTTATATAATTTTGTTAGTTTTTAGCCAAATTTTATGTGTTTGAATAAATTTAAATCACTCGTCATTGAATTTCATTTTTTCATTAAAATTCGAATCGACCTCTAGAAAAAATACAGCGGTTTTTGCTTGGAGGCCGAACATAAAGTTCGAGAAGCCATTTTCATGTTATCAAGACTCAAGTAATCCTTTTGTTTCGCTGTCTCCCTTTTCAAGTAAGATGGAATGTAGAAGGAAGAGAAAGAAAATGTTTGAGATAGTTAAGACATTGTGATGTAATATTAAAATAAATGACATTTTGTCCCTTAACTTAGAGAAAATATAAAAAGGAAATAGTGTAGTTAGAGAAAAAAATATTTTCAAGTGTTTGGGTCGTTTCAGTGCTGTATACTGAGAGTGAAAAACTACTGTATTTGCAAAAAATTTTGGTAATAACATGTTGAAAATAAGTTGCAATCAATAAACTTTATCTTTTCGATCACAATTATTAAATTAATATAATATATTTTTGCGAACCCAAAGTTTGAGGACCGTCATTTGAGTAAAGAAAAGAAAAATTTTCTTTTTCGGTGACTTCGGCAAAGTTCATCCCAATTAGATGACATAAACTTTTTGAAATTTCCTAAGTCAATTACTCTACTGGCAGTCCGCAAATTTCTGGTCCGCAAATCTCAGATCCGCAAAATCCAATAATTTCCTATTGATCACCATCCAAAACATCAAATCCATTTTAACATATGGATACCCAAATGATCACCATCCAAAACATCATATCCATTTTAACATATGGATACACTATAGATCACCATCCAAAACATCAAATCCATTTTAACATATGGATACCCTATAGATCACCGTCCAAAACATCAAATCCATTTTAACATATGGATACCCTATAGATCACCATCCAAAACATCAAATCCATTTTAACTTATGGATACCCTATAGATCACCGTCCAAAACATCAAATCCATTTTAACATATGGATACCCTATAGATCACCGTCCAAAACATCAAATCCATTTTAACTTATGGATACCCTATAGATCACCGTCCAAAACATCAAATCCATTTTAACATATGGATACCCTATAGATCACCATCCAAAACATCAAATCCATTTTAACTTATGGATACCCTATAGATCACCGTCCAAAACATCAAATCCATTTTAACATATGGATACCCTATAGATCACCGTCCAAAACATCAAATCCATTTTAACTTATGGATACCCTATAGATCACCGTCCAAAACATCAAATCCATTTTAACTTATGGATACCCTATAGATCACCGTCCAAAACATCAAATCCATTTTAACATATGGATACCCAAATGATCACCATCCAAAACATCATATCCATTTTAACATATGGATACACTATAGATCACCATCCAAAACATCAAATCCATTTTAACATATGGATACCCTATAGATCACCATCCAAAACATCAAATCCATTTTAACATATGGATACCCTATAGATCACCGTCCAAAACATCAAATCCATTTTAACATATGGATACCCTATAGATCACCATCCAAAACATCAAATCCATTTTAACATATGGATACCCTATAGATCACCTTCCAAAACATCAAATTCCATTTTCAATGTGACCTAAAATTTTCAAATACAGTAGTTTTTTACTCTCAATATACAGCACTGAAACGACCCAAACACTTGAAAATATTTTTTTCTCTAACTATACTATTTCTTTTTTATATTTTCTCTAAGTTAGGGGACAAAATGTCATTTATTTTAATATTACATCACAACATCTTAACTATCTCAAGCATTTTCTTTCTCTTCTCACTACATTCCATCTACTTAAAAATGTGAGACAGTTCAAAAGGATTACTAGAGTCTTGGTTACGTGAAAATTGCCTCCTCGAGCTATATGTAGCAAAAACCACTATTTTTTTCACGAGATCGATTTGAATTTTTTAAGTTTTCGATAACGTATAATGAAAAAACGATAGATTTAATGACAACTGATTTAACTTTATTTACTCAAACACATAAAATTTGACTAAAAACAAGCGAAATAATATAAAATATAAAATTAATTTCTAATTCTTAAATTTTCTTCTCCATTTCTTTTTAATTTGAAACTTACTACTTGGAGCGAATCGACGATGACGCATATTTAATTTGACAAAATTACCTCCATTTTGTTTTTTGGTGGCTGTTCTTCTCTTTGTTGGATATTTTTTTATTGTATTTGAAGTTGTTTTTAGATGGCTGTTCTCTTCTTTCAATTTTTCTTCCCTTTCCTCATCATCGTCTCCTTCTTCATTTTCGTTGTCTTCATCAAATTCTTCTTCCTCCTCATCATATTCTTTTTCTAAAAATTAGAAGATAAATTTTTATTTGAAAAGAATTTAGAAACAGGAAGGAAAACAAGAACTTCAGCGGATTAAAACCTTACTTCCTTCGCGTCACATTCTTACAGAGAAAGTGGAACAGGGACCTGGTTGACAAAAATGTAGGATCGGGGTTGGGTAACACGATTAATCCCTGAAATGAACTTCCAAATTAACCCTCAATTAATAACATCAAGCTTAAGTTTAACTGTTGAATTCAAGTTAAACAAGGGTTTCAAAACCAAGGGGTTTTAAAAAGAGAAGGAATGAGAAACTCTCTACAATAAAGAGATCCCTCCAAAATGACTCCCAAAAAATTAAAAAAACAAACCTGGAGTCATCAGCAACAGATTCCCAATATTTTTACAAATAACAGATTGCCTCATCATTCGAGCAGGTGAAGGTGTTTTTAAACAATTTTTGTTGACATCAGTTGAAGAATTTGAAGGAGAAGACAAGAATCCTTTCCATTGTTGTTTCAATGGAGAAATGAAGGATTCATCAATTGGAGGGCGTTGAAATAAAAATTTATTTGTAGAACTTGTTGTTGTGGGACCAGTTTGATGGAAGAATTCCTCACAAGTGTTTGTTGACTAAAAATTTTTTTGGAATTAATTGAGATCTATTTTTAAATATGACCCAAAGTTTAAGCTAAAAAATGTTTTTAAACAAATATTTGGTTTGTATTTATTTGGCATTCCGACAGCATATAGGGGATTGATTTTCGTAACTTTGGCCTTTTCTTGAGTTTTTTCAGAACGTTCCGAAAAAGTGGAGAAACCACCACCATTTTAATAAAATCCTACAAATTTCTGGCCGGTCCTTAAAATCACAAACAAAATTTCGAAAAGGCAGTCTACTAAAACCCCAAAAGTTACCCAAAAATGAATAAAAAAGATTAACCATTTTAGCTCTTCTCTTCAAAGGAGACATAAATTCTTCATCTTTTAATTCGTTCGGCTTCAAAGTTAATTTTTTGCGTTTCAGAGGTGTCGATCTATTGTTGCTGTTGAACATTTATTAAAATATTTTTTTGACTAAACTAAAAAAATAAAAAGATTATCATTTTAATGCAGAAAATGACACGATAAAGAGGGGAAAATTATCTCAAAAAAATTTGGAGCTAAAAATGAGAAAAAAGCATTCATTTTATCTAAATTGTTTTTCCAATTTAATATAAGGGTATGTATTTTCCGGTAATAAGTTTTCCAGAAAATTTTCGGATACTGCATTATTTCCAGAAAATGAGTTTATTTCAGACAATATAATTTCCGGAAGAATATAATAAAATGTATTTTCCGGAAATTATTTTAGTCTTTAATAGGTCACGGAGCTAATGTAAGGTTTAAGTGTTCTTGGAAACTCCGAGAGTTTGGGCTAGCGATAATTTAAAAAACCTTTATCATCAAACAAATTCCATCAACAAGCCTCAATCATCAAGCACAAAAAATTGTCTAATGATTCCCTAAAAAATGGATCTTTATTTCATCAGAATAAACCAAACAAAACCTGAACAAACTCTGCAATTTTCCATTTGTAATCGAATCCAAAGACATTTTAGATGGAAGCCTCGTAAGCTCATCGTCCGCAAAATACCATTTTGGTTTCCCAAGTTTGCTAGATGATGGAACTGGTTCTGTCATCTTCCAAATAGGATCCATACTGAAAGCTCTAAAAATGTTTAAAACCCCTTCCCTTTACCAGGCAATTGCTAGATAAACTTTGTAATCAAATTTTGAAAAGAGGATTGACAACGGATTAACCCAGGAATTGTTTGCGGACAAAACTTGCTTGTGAATAAAAAGGGCAAAAAACAAACCTTTAAATTTTTAAAAAGATTCCATGGACGTCCAAAGTGCTCTGATGATTTTGCTTCTTCTGTTTCTTTTTCTTCTTTTTGTTGATTTTTTTGTTCTTTTTCTGTTGAGTTTTGTTCTTCTTTTTGCTTTTTCTTCTTTGTTCTTTTTGATTTTTTGTTCTTCTTTTTGTTGATTTTTGAGTTTGTTCTTCTTTTTGTGTTGCTGCTGGACAATTCTTAGAGGCATGGCACTGAATAATTTAAATGAGTTTGTTTAGGCACAGATATAAACTAACCATAAAGCTGAAGACCAGTTATCAAAGTACCATAGAAGCAACAAGTCCCATGAAGATGCCAGCCAAACGCCGCAAATGCCAGACAGAACCCCGCACAGAAGGAAGAACTCCAAACAGATGCCAGGAGAATTCCATACAACAGCCGTTAGAACAACAACAAAGCCAAACTCCAAACAAATGCCAGAAGAACTCCTACAGATGCCGAAGCAAATGCTAGAACATTCCCCCAAACATCTGACGGAACGTTCGCACATTGTCGCAATTCTTTCGCACAGTTGCTGGGTTATTCCCCCGCACATTAGCCGGAACATTCCCCCACATAAACAGATGAAGAACTCCAAACACTGCCAGAAGAATATCATACATTGCCGTTAGAACTCCAACAAAGCCGGACTCCAAACAAATGCCAGAAGAACTCCTACAGATGCCGAAGCAAATGCTAGAACATTCCCCCGAACATATGACGGAACGTTCGCACATTGTCGCAATTCTTTCGCACAGATGCATGGTATTCCCCCGCACATTGCCGGAACATTCCTCCGCGCAACTAAAACCCACGCAACACGCCTAAAGGACGCACGCAAAATGCCAAAGGGGACTTGTGCTTTTGATGTTGGAGAAGAGAGCTCCACATCCGCCTCTACTGCTAAAAATATGATTTCATTTCAAAGTTAAAGGAAACTGAAACTAACGTTTTGAGACAAAACCAGATTGATGAAGTCCAGATGCAGCAGCTTCTTTGGTTGCAAAGCATACAAAGCACTGAATGAAAAAAATAAAGAATGTTGTTGGATTAAAACACAGCAAGCTTTGTCCGCAAAATGGAAAGAGAGGGGGAGGAGTGAAGGGCAACTGAAATTGCCCCAAATACAAGCCAATTGTGTTTGAAGAGACCACCATCATCATCGGCCATCTAACAGTACTAAAAAAGAAAAATAAATAGGAGGCGAATTAATTAGTTAAATAAAAATTTAGGGAATTTTTCACCCGTAGCGTAACTGGCAGAGCGTTAGGCTCACTAGTTAAGAAAGTGGGCGAACTCCAACGGAAAAACAAAGCAATAATCGAAAATTTTTCTCGTACCCGAGAGAGAGGGAGAGCTTTAAGCACTAGATATGCCTTTTAAAATTTCAGTTAAGTGCGTGTCCCTGCTAACTTGCAAAGACATAAGGGTAAAAAATCCCCAATATAATCTAACCGAATTTTAAAAAACTAACTTGTTCAACCTCAATAATTCCTGCTTCCTTCAAGACATTTCCCATATTTTCCATTGTTGTTTTAATGGAGAAATGAATGATTCATTGGGCGTTGAAATAAAAACTTTGTTTGTTGATGAAGAACTTGTTGTTGTTGAAGAATTTTGATGAAATAATTCTTCATCAATTTTTGAATTGCTTGTTGACTAAAAAATTGTTTTTAGAATAAATTGTGATATTCATTTTTGGACTTTGTCCACAAAATGTTTTTCAAAAAATGTGTAAACAAAAAGGTTAATGAATGAACAAGAGCCACAAACACACCAATAACCTTTTTCTATACTAAAAGCAAGAAAGAAAACTAACGTCTCTCATGTTTTCTGATTATCCCTCTTCTATTATTGATTTTCTTCTCTGACCATTGCCTAGACAACAAAATCGAGTACTGGTCAGAGAAGTCATATTTATTTTTTCCAGCGGTAAAGCGAGGAAAAATAAAAATTTGACTTCTCTAACCAATTCACGATTTTGCTTGTCTTAGCAATGGTCAGAGAATAAAATCAATAATTGAAGAGAGAGACTGCAATAACAAGAGAAGATGGACGGTTAGTATAGTTCTCTCAGTTTCTTAAACGTGATTGGGACAGTTGAGTCTTGTGTTTAAGTTCTGATCGAAGTCGAATACGGTTGCTTCGAACTCTTCTTCAATTTCCTTATAATTCAAAAACTTTCAAAATTACCTTCATTTTGTTGTTGGTGGTTGTTCTCTTCTTCCTTCAATTTTTCTTCATCTTCCTCATCATCTCCAATTTCTTCTTCATTTTTGTCGTCTTCATCAAATTCTTCTTCGTCTTCAGAATCGTTTCTACAAAAATTTAAAAATAAAGTTTTACATATTTGGAAAAATGTGTTAGAGGAGAGAGGGTTACCCCGTAAATTTAGCCACAACTTTTTTTCTAGTAACAGTAACATTAAAAAAGAATAGATGGAAGGCTCAACTAATTTCCACTAAATTATGATCATTCTTTTTAGATTAACCCCTCAAGTAACTTAAAACCTCAAGCGTTTCAAGACAAAACTTGCGGACAGTCCTTAAAATTCCATCAGAATCTACCCAAAAAATCAACAAAAAATTAAAAAACTAACCATTTTTGCTCTTCTCTTCACAGGAGATGCAAATTCTTCGTCTTTTAATTCATTCGGCTTCAAAGTTAATTTTCTGCGTTTTAAGGGTGTTGATTTATTGTTGGTGTTGAACATTTTTTATTTAAATATTCTTCTTTGATTTATCTAAAAATTAAAAAAACTATTATTATAACTTAAAATCAAAAAATTATGTAAAAAATTGGTAATAGTTCGGTATATTTGAACTTTTAAAAAATTACAAAACACACTTAAACTCGAAAGGGATCGAACCTCGATACTACTGCCCTCAAAACCTAGAACACTAACCACTATACCACAAGCGAGCTTACTCTACATACTACTTATAGCTAGTAAGAATTAAAGAAAACACTAAAAATATCAACAACGGATAAGACCAAAGAATAAGAGACAACCCAAAGACCAACCTCAAAACTAAAACATCCGATACAAAAAAAAAAAATAAAAACGAACCTCCACACGCCACAACAATAAATATATCCAGTAGTCAATAAGGGGAGGAATTTAGAATTTTATTTTTGTAGAGTTGATCTCCTGGAAAAAGAAATTAATAAATTATTCCTCAATAAAAACAAAAATATAAATAAATCTATTTTTAAATAAATATTCAAAAAAGAAATGATTTAAAATTTTAAAAAATGTATAGAATAATTTTAAAAAATTTTATCGAGGTATACATAAAAGGTACATTAAAAACGCTTTGAAACGCTCATTTTTAAAATTCAAAAAATGTCAAAAATAATATTTTTAAATTTAATTTTAATAATTCTTTTAAATTCAATTTCTTGCACTTTTTGTATGGATACAAGTCCTCCACGTAATTTCCGTGCAGCCACTTGTCACCATTATAAATCTGAGGAAGATTGCCTAACCCCTCGGATTGTTGGCCAAAAATCTTCTGGAAGTTGGTGCCAATGGACGACCTTGTATGGATATCAGAGTTGTGAATGGTCCCCAGAAAGTATTACAACACATTTTTGCAGACCATCCAATTATTGCGGAGTAAATAAATTGGAACTTAAGATTAAAAAGAGGAGATCGGCCTAGATTTGGATTTTTCTGGATCCAGAGCCCTTTTCTGGATCTGGATTCAGCCCTTGATCCAGAGTAACGATCAAGGATTTTATAAATGTTTTTTGATTTTCATTGACCTTAATTTTCCCTTAACCTTGATTATTCCATGGCTTAAGGTCAAGAATATTGTCAAGGTCCTCCCTCAACCACAACCAAAAACCAAGGTCCAGGTTTTTTTAAATTTCCGATCTTAAATTCTTTTAATTTTCCTCAAAATTTTCAGGGTCCTTTTTGTTATCTCTACGACGTATAATTTAAAATTTTATTTACCGTCTCTAACAATAAATTTAAAATTTTTAAGGGTAAATGTATAAGTGCTCCTTTAAGTTGCTTGTCACGCGTAACTCACACAAGCTGTGAAAAATCGGTGGTATTAAACGGGAAATATTGTCGATGGTATAATGTAAGTTTGTGTGTGAATCTAAAACTTACCTAAAAATTTTTTAAAGAAAGGGGAAACACATGACAATATTGGTTTTTCAATTTGTGGAGTTTAAAAAATTGAAATTGTTGTTTTGATGATTTTTCATTCCAAAAAGGAGAAGAGATGCTTTACAATTTTTTTACATTCTATGGGAAGTTTAAAAATTTTTATAAGATAAAAATTTCAATTATTTAAATTAAATATAGTACACTTTTTAAAAAATATTTACATAAGTAAAATGAAGGATTTTAAATGCTTTAATTTAAAAATCCTTCCTTATCATCAATAAGAAATTTATTTTTTTAAAGCATTTAAATTTAAAAAATAAAATTAAGTCGTCTATTTATATAAATGGATTTTTAAGGCTTATAATTTGACCTTACAAAATAAAAAATAGGGATATTCTACCAAGGATATTGCAACCCAAAATTAAGTAGATAAACAACCTGGTACACTTTAAAGTGCAAATTTAAGTAGAAAAGCAGGATAACGAAAATAAAAGAAAAGCAATATCCGTGATATAATCTCCCTCGTTTAGGCAAAGATAAAAGCATTTTTAAACTTAAAATTAAGAGGGGAAGGGGAAAAATTGTGGAAAATTGTGAGAGAAAATATTTTCTTAAGACAGTTTTTAATGATTTTTAAGTGAATAAAAAGCGAAAAAAGAATAATAATAAAAAATCGTAAATTTAACAATAAAAAGCATGTGTTTTAAATATGATTTGCTTATATTGAAAAAGATACAATTTTAGTCAAGATATGTATAGTTCTGGTATTTTGGTGTTTATAAATTTAAAAAATGATAGGGACAAGGCAGGATGAAGGGATGACAAGGCGCAATAAATAAATAATCTAAGGAACTAAAATTTAAAAAAGTATGGTTAAAAATAGCAGAGAAAAATAAAAAAAGAAAGGAATAAAATAAGTGACCAAAAAACGTTTTTCAGATAAAAAATTTCCTGGAAAAGTTAAAAGGAATTTTTTAAAAAAAGAAACAAAACAACATTCTTTTAGAGGCCACTCTGGTACACTTATTAAATAAAAATGTAAGAAATTTTAAAAAATATAAAAAGCTTAAAAGTTTTTCAAAAGATATATTTGATTCTACTAAATAATCTAAAAAATAAAAGTCAAGTCTCTCTCCAAGGTTATCCCACACTTAAGAGCGAAAAACTAAGGAAAAAAGAGTAGACTGACAAGAAGAGACTCCACTAAATTTTTCAGATATTTCTACCCTCTACATATACTTACAAATCTAGAAAATTTTTTTTAAATAAAACCTTTTCCTCAGTGTAAAATGCTAAGTTCACCGTCACTAGGTGGACATTCATTTTGAGAAATAGATGATGTCTGAACATAAACAGGTCCACCCTGACAAGGAGTTAGTCCAGTTTGTTGCGCCCCTAATACACTATATGATTGACCTAAAAATATAAAATTTAAAGAAAAAAATTCAAAAAAAATAAACCAGTCCCCAAAAATGATGATGGAGTGAACTCAAAACTTCCAAATCCTCCTTGACTTTGAAAATTTCCTTCAACTTGAACACCTTTTGATGGTGTAATAGCAATATAACCCTCTTTATGAAGAAAATCAGCTTTTCCTCTTAAATTTAAAGTTGTCGGCCGATTATTATCATTTAAAGATGCTTCATATGGAGAAATCTGAAAAAAATTTAAAAAAATAAAATCAAAAAATTGGTAATCTTGATTACTGGGCACTAAAAAAATCGCAGTAAGTGTTCTTCAATATTAAAGTTTGCCAGTAGGTAATAATAATGTGCCGAGAGTTAAGTGTGGAGAATTTCTCATTTCGAACTCTGGACCCGAATTTAACCTGATCAAATTTAAACCTATATCCGGATCTCACACACTCGGTCAGGTATCCTCTACTCCGCACATTCGATTATCTACAAGTAAAACCTCAAAAATATCAAAGAGAACTCCCTGGTCATTTTTTGTAGGGAAAACTAAAGTACGAGGTCACCCAAAAATTAAATAAAATATAAACCCTTCTGTTATCAGCATTTTCATGATCCTCAAGTCCACCCAAAAGAGGTGATGGTTCAACCTTAGCTCGTTTAATACGTCCAAACAGAGGAGGATTTTGAGAATAATTAGATGTTGGTGTCTCCATTAAAGCTGATTCTGATATTACTTAAAAAAATTTTTTTAATAAAAATATTTTCCAAAGAAAATAAACCTGGATCTGTTCCATTAACCAAAACAGAACAACATCCTCCTCTAGAATCATTCCTGATCCCTCTGTGGTCATAAGAAGACAAATTTGGAGGTGGTGTTGCAGGTGATATTTCTGTAGATTCTGTTGTATCTGCCGCTATAGCAGATGAAGAGGAGGAAGAGGAATGTTGGCAAGACGTATTATTCATTGCTGTAAGAGAAAAACATTGATTAGGATGTTGTTGTTGTTGGGGATGAATTTTAGTACGTTCAAGTTGGGGAATTAAAATACCAATACCACCGCCACTGGGAACTGAAAAACTATTTAAGATAAATCGCATATAGAAAAAAGTAAAGATTGAGATTTTAAAAACATTTAAGTGAAGACCTTGACCAGATTCTTGATCTTGAGTAAAGAAAAAATCCGTCAGGAAAAAACAAAACTCTGAAAAATAACTTGACCTTGACCCTTGATCGAGGAAAGATCAACTTCTGGATCCAGATCAAGTTCGATCTCTAGAAAAAAGGGAACTTCTTGGGAAAACACTAGGCAGAATCCCAGGAAGTACCAATCCCAAGTAACCCACCTAAAAATTCCTTAATAAAAAAATCCAACCTCTCGGATTATCATTTTGTCGATGATGTAAAGCCATAGTATTTAACGGGAATGTTAACAATCCTTGCTCATTTTCAAATTTTTGAGGTTCAAATTTTAAAGAAGGCTCGCCGCAAACCATAGAAGATTCTTCTCTTTTTGAAAGAATTCCAAGTAGACGATTTTGTTCATCTCGTAATTTTCTTATTAAATTGTCCTTTTCATCGTTTGCCGCTTGTAAAAGTTGTACTTGCTTAAAAAATATAAATTTTGTCAAAAAATTCTAAAAAAATCCAACCCCTTCCAAACTTGACATTCTTTCTTCACGTCTACGTCTACAACGAGCAGCTGCTTCCTTATTCCTTTCACGCCTTCTTTCGCGACGGCCTTTATCTTCGTCATTCAAATTTTCCTCTTCTCGTTCTCGCGGCCTTCTACCACCTCGTCTTGGTTGTCCTCGTGGCATTGCTGAGACTGTTGCTGTTGGTGGTGTCGATTTACTAACTACACTTAAAGGTGGAACAAACACTGAAGAGGCTGAAAATGGGCAAATATTGAAACAAGGAAGTTAAAAATAATACGAGTAAAAACTTGCCTGATGTAGAAATCGAAGTCTTTTCCTGTTTTACCCCACCACTATTTGTAGTTGATTTATTGCTTGAAGAATTGCTGCTAATTGCTGCTGCTTCCGCAAATTGTTCAGCTAACCACAATTGATGTTGTTGATGTTGAATAGAATTATCTAATAAAATAGAAGAATTTGAATCAAGTTGCTGTTGTGTAGTACAAAAATCAAAGGGAGGTGTAAATAAATGTTGTGCAGCTGTAGCGACAGTAGGTGAATGAAATAATAAATTAGTGTTGTTTTGTTGTTCAACGGCGGTGCTGTAGCCGATCTTAAAATTAAAAAAAAGTTAAAAATTCTAGGGGAAAATACCAAAAATAAATACAAGACTAAAGGAAAATAAAAAAATAAAATTGAAAGCCGAGAGAAGTGGAAAAAAAACAACTGGTAGAATAAATTAAAAAAACGAGGAGAAAAATAAATAAATAACAAAAAATACGTCTCGGCCAATTTATTCCCCGTAATAAATTTTACCAGTTTGTCTATTCCCTAACATTGTTTATATGTACTCGAACACGCTGCTGTTTCTAATAAAACACATCTCCCCCAACAACAAAAAAAAGGCCAAGGGATAGTCTTCTACTGCTGTGCACCTCTTTCGCAATTTATTGGTTGATAAGGGGGGAAACGACCAACCAAAGTGAAAAAAAAGAATAAAAAAGTTAGAAAAGGGGAGAGCAGCCGCGATCGATTTGATTGAATTTGAGAGAGGAGAGAGAATTGTTGAGATGAAAAAAAAGAAAATCTACTTAATGAAAACTTTTAAAATTAAAATTTTGTTTTTGTAAAATAAAAGTAGTATAACGTAGGTAATAGAAAGACAAAAAAATACAGACGTAGAACGGCAGTTTCTTCAAATTTTGTAAAATCTTTTTTAAATTGAATTTGTATAAAACAAATTTGGTGAAACGAAAAATTACTTCTCCTTTGCAATTAGAAAATAGAAGCGAACGCTCCACAGAAGTTAAAGAAATGAAAAGAAGAGAGAATACAGGCAGGGGTAAAAAGAAAAAAAGTTAAACAAAAAGAAAATACGAAAAGTAAAAAAGGGAAAAATATACGAAAAATCTAAAACCCAAAGACAAAACATCAACATTGGCACTCGGACAAATAGCCAGGTGACAAATCGTCAGTGAGTGCAAAACCGAACAATTTGACAATAATTAAAGGACAAATCATCAGTTAAAACAGACACGGACAAATGGTCTAAATGCAGACACGGACAAATGGTCCAAACAACAAATCGTCAGTAAGTACAGCACCGGACGATTTGCCAATATCTCAGGATTCAACCATATTTAAGAAATTCCCTACCAGATCGCTGCTACCAGCACCAAAAAGCGGATACCAATTGCAAAGAAAGGCATCAAATGGTGTTGAGTTAGCTGCAGCCGCCATTGACGAAACTGTGGCATAAGTTGGAGGAGGTTGTGAACTACAAAAGGAGAGAAATTTAAAAAAATATTTTTAAAATATCCACCCAATCATTGCTGAAGTTCCAATTCCAAATTGTTGAGTTGGCGTATTTGGATCAGATGGTTGTGATCCATCGTATGGTGAATACAGAGAAGGGGTGATGCTCTAAAACCAAATTTTTAGTATCAAAAATTGCCAATAAATAGTATGAGAAAATCACGTGAAATTGTGCCGATTGTGGATTTCTAAAAGCATAAGCTGCTGCAGCAACCAACGGAAATTGTTCAGATAATGAGCCGACTGAATAATTCTGTTGTTGCAATTTATTTTCGTCAACTGGTGAATTTTGATGTTGTTCATCTTGATTATTTTGATGATCAAAAATTGCACCATAATTGGCTGATATTGCAGCTAAACCAGCAGAAATTCCAGGCAGGTCTGTTGGACGAGGTCTTGAATAAAAAATTAAATTTTACTGACATACAGTCAAAGACCTATTAAATAAAATAGGAGGGGTTGGTGGTGAACATGTTGTTGTTGAATTTGAATGTTTCGTGTTGTTTTTGCCTCGAAATGTTCGGTCATTATTATCATTTGAAGGGTCCATAGGCGGAGTTAATTCATAAAGTTGACTCCTCGCCGTTTTTTCTTGGTGTTGTTGATTTACCTCCATTCAAACCCAATTTTTTTATAAACGAAAAAAATTTTTTAAATGCCCCCTTCAATATTTTTTTCCTTCAGAGGAAAATATATTTAGTATTGGTCATCATTGAATCAGCTGGAAAAGAACGGTCAGCAAAAAATGATTCAGTTATGAATTTAACTTTTTTTAACTTTTTTTATTGTTCACTATGCTTAACAACTAAAAAAACTTTTTTATAAATAATTCATTTAATAAATGAATATATTCATTATTTAAAAAACGATGGGTTAAAAAACAGAGGTTTGAATAGCATTAAAAAAATAAAAGGGTATGTGATGATGATGTTGTTGGTGTCTCTGGATGGGGTTATTTGGCCAGGATAGATAGCAAAAAAAAATATGGGAGAGGCAAAAAAAGTTGTCGTCCCGCAACAGCAAGAAACAAACAAACGGCTTTTTTGGACCACCAATCGTAGAGAGAAGCAAATGTGAAGCAAAAAGAATTTTTGTGTGGGAGAGAATGTTTTAAAGGGAGGTAAAGGATTGAGGAAAAATCTACAAATCAAACACAGTTTCCTTTAAAAAATTTTTTTTGAAATGTTTATGTGCAAAGATTTTCTTTCTTTTTTACCCTCTCCTCTACCTCTCCGCCGTTTTCTTTTTTCCTTTTTAAACCTTTATATTTAAGCGGAAGACACAGTATGCTTTATATATTCAGCCCTTCCCCCCACACACAAAACCAAACACAAAATTCCTTTTTTACAAAATAATTTTAACGGCTTCATGCACTCTTTGGTGCTTTTTCTTTAAAATTTTTTTATTGCATTCCACCTTTAAATTTACTCTTTTTTCGTAGTTTATAAAATTACAGTAAAATCTTCAGACTATAATAAACCAGCCGTTTTAATAGAAAGGGTCAAAAACACAATCTGTATAAGTGGATCTTAATTGAGCTTAAACTAGGTTAGAGTTGTCGGACCAGCCGCTCCCTTGGTTTAGTGGGTAACACGCCTGACTAGTACTTTCAAGTGACCCAGGTTCGAGGCCTAATCAAGCATTTAAGGGAAACCTTTAATTCTATTTTTAAACTTCAAATATAATTTTTTCACCATCTCAACTTTGTCCTATTATTATTTAAATTTTTAAAAATTCAAAATTAAACTTAAAAAAGAAAGATTTTTGCGTTCTTTCTTTTTAATTTCAAAAATTGCATAAAAATCAAAAAATTTAAAATATCAACAAAGCCCCAAATAAGGAAAAAATACAATGGAAAATGTCAAAAAAAGACAGAAGCAAAAAGAAGAAGCTGACATTTGGATTTATTATAAAACATTTTGTACGCAATTTTTTATTCTTCTTTCTATTGCCCCACCCCCATACCCCCCCCCTTCCCCATCTACCAACCACAATTTATAACATTTAAACCACCCAATTGTGATTCAGAGGTTACAAGGGGGAAATAAGGACAGAAAAAAGAAGCAGTCTTTCTTTCTCTTCCTTTTTTCTATATTTTTTAAACCAAAACTGATTTTTTAGTGACAGACTGACATTTCCCGCAAATCATTTTTTAGAGAAAAAAGGAGAGAAAAATTAAATTACTTAATATATTCTCTCTACAAAAATCTAAAAAAAATATCCACAAAAAATTAATTAATACTACTAGAACACCCACGCAAAATTCACAGCTTTTTCTAATAATCATAAAACGCGCATATTAATTAGTTTTGATAGTATGGTCGATAAAATTATTAAAAAAATATTAACCAAAAATTAAAAAATGAATTATTCAGAAGGGGGAGGGGAGGAAGAAGAACGGAAGTCATAGAGGGACCCGTCTGGCTTTTGAGGTTTGGAAGGTTTGCTGGAATCCAGGCTAGAGATTCAGGTCTTGTCAATTAATAAAACACTGAATCCAAGCCTTAGATTTTTTATTAAAAAATTTCCGGATTTTCAAAAAGTATATAGAGAATGAGAAGCAACTTTTTAGGCAATCTCTCTAACCTATTAAAAATTAAAAAATTCCCAATAAAAAATTTCTTAATTAAAAATCCCGCAAAAAAACTTATTTTTCTGGTCACTAAACCTACTATATAATATCATCATTAAAATATCATAATTTTCGGAAATGATTCATTCTCAAACAAAAATTTTTTTACAACATTTTAAGAATAAAAAGGAAAAACCGCGACACACTTCTTTCTCCCCTCACTCCACCCTATGAATCCTTATAAATATTTACTCAAATATTTGCCTAGGATTTTGTACATTGATGCGGATTTATAAGCTTTTTAAATGAGCGGCCAAACCCTTCTTAATATTTTCTCTTTTTTCTCCCTAAAAATTCTTGGATGTTCTCCTTTTTTAAATACCCCGCTTTAAACTCTTAGAAAGTCGTAAAAATATTTTTATATCTTTTTTAATAGCATATTTGGAAATATTAAAATATTTTGGCAATTAAAATTAGTCTTATAAAATAAAGAACAAAAAGGACCAGGTTCTCACTACAAAAATTTTTTGGAAGGGAGAATGGCAAGAAAAATTTCACTCTTGGTGTAGTGGTTAACGCTCCCGACTTGCCTTAACAAGTGAGCCGGGTTCGTACCCGGCGGTGGACAAAAGGTGTTTTAGTGTATTCCTAGAGGATTGAGACCTGTTCCTTTGAGTTTTAAAAAAAGTTAAAAAATTTTATAGTGAAGTTAACCCCTGTTAAAAGAATACAATTTTAGCCCCTAAAGGAGTCAACTAAAAATTTTCAAAAAATTTTTAAAAATATTTTTTTTTAAAATCTCAATCCTCTATTATTATTAATTGTTGTTAAATTATTATTAAATTGCCTGTCTTTATCCAAATCCAAAATTGAAGCATCTTTAAATTTTTGCTGTTGTTGTTGTTTTTGTTGTTCAAATTGTGGAAGAGGAAATGTTTTTTGTTTTCTTTTCCATAACAAAATATTTTCAAATTTATGCCTTCTTTTATTATGTCCAATTAAAATACAATTATTATTATTTTCTTCATTTTTATTTTTTAATTGTTTTGTTAAATAATTCCAAATTAATGCCAAAAGTAAAATTAAAAGGCAAAACAAAAATAATAAAATTGAACCAAAAGGAATATTAGAAGCTAATAAAGATGAACTAGTTGAAGATCGACAATGTTTTGATGATGTAGGCAATGAATTATTTAACAAACGAAGAATCATTGGTTGATTTGCTGGAGAAAATTTAAATTTTTATATAAGAAAATTTTTTCCGGACAAAATTGTGAACCTTTTGAAAGTAAAATAGATAATACTGGGATAGTTCTAATTAACTGGGCCATATTTTAACTATTCTGGTAGACAATACGACCCAAAACTGATCCGTGTTACAAGACAGAAAGACTTACAGGTGCCGAAAATTACAACCCCCAAATACCGATTTGAATTTTAGTTATGGAATTAAGGCTGTATCTCCATAATAGGCTCCTATTATTAGGCTCTAAACCACCACAGACGGCGGCTCATTTTATAAATAAGTTTAATAAAAATTTTAAAAAATAACCTAAAGAATGTTCATCAAGTTCAATAACAAGTAAAGATTGTTCAGGCAAATCAAAATCGGCTACTTTTCTTGGAAGACGACGGTCAATTTCTACTTCTTAAATTTAAATTAAAAATAAATTTTATTCAAGAAAAAAACCTTGATTGTTGGTTGTAGGCGTGTCTCTTCGTATTGGTGAGTTTACCTAAAAGAATTGAAAATTAAAAAAAGTTATTTTTAAGAAATACTTCATCTTGGTAAATAGCATCTTGTTGCATCAAATCAACTAAAGATAAAGTTTCACTCGGTTCTAATATACTCTCTTCTGTTGTTGATGAAACTTCTGTTGCTGAAAAACAAAGAAGAATGAAATTTTTAAGAAAAGATTTTTTCAACTAATTTTAAAGTTGCGGACAAAAAAATTTTCAAAGAAAATAAAAAGAAACTTGTCCGCAAGCGTCGATTCTCAAAAATAAAAATATTTACCATAATTACTAGGCACAACTTCAGTTTGAGGAAATTTCATCCTTTCTTCAGATATTTTATTGTTGTCCACAATTGTTGCAGTTGTAGCTGTTCTTCTCCTCCAATCCTCGTTGATACGATAATGTGCTGGAGGTAATTCTTTTTCTCTAATAATTTGTGGTGTTTTTGTTGTTGAAGATGATGGGGTTTTTGTTGTTTCTGTTGTTTTTGAAGGCAAATTAATTTTTGAATTTTCTTCATTTACTTCTTGTACTTCATTGTTGCCGGAATCATATTGAAGACCATATTTTGACAAAATTTTTGTTGTTGTTTCCAATTGTTGAAATTGTTGAGTGTATTGATATGTTGATGCTGGAGAACATTTTGGTCTCTAAAAATATTTTAATTTTTACTAAAAAAATGAAAATTTTACATTAGGTTCACATCCATTGTTGGACCATTCCTCCCTCAATGTCAACTCAATTTGGCAATTAAAATGTAATGTTGGTTTGTCAGCAAATTTAAAAACAAAAGCGGACTGGCCAGCAGTCAAATCATCAGTGTATTCTTTTTTAAATTTTTATTTTAAATTAAATTTCAAAAAATCCCAACCTAAATCCCGTAACAAAAGTGCATCCACTCCACATCCTTTTTTGTCAATCACTTCAACAGGCTCTCCCCCTTGACCATCAGAAACGGCGCAGCTGTGGACACGCATGCAATAAGTACCAATTTCTGGTGTTTGACAGCTCCAACGATGAAAAACCTTTTTTTAGAAATTTATTAAAAAAAGTAAACTTTAAAGAAACTCACAACATCACCAATACGCGCAAAACGAATAGATTGCCCTCTAGCATTTTGCCAAAGAATATCATATCTTTAAAAAATTTTAGTTAAAAAATGGTTTGTAAACGTCAAAAAACCTGCACTGTGGCATAGCCTCACTCTTTCGGAAAATGTTCCCTGAAGTAGTTAATTGACCAACCTCCAAATGTTGTGTAAATGTTTTGCGCGTTTCAGTGTAAAAACAATTGAGGCGATAAGCACGGTCAAGTTTAGTAACAAAAATCTTTAAAAAGAAGCGTTAAACTAAAGTTTTGAAATCTTTTTAGGTATGTACGGGCTATCAGAAACCCGAACTTTTTTCAACCCGAAACCCGACCCGAGAAATAAAAAAATTTAAAAAACCGTACTGGATGAAAAGAAACAATTACAATTGTTTGCACACTAATTCCATTAAGTTCACGACTTCGACGCAAACCACATTGTCCAAACTGAACGGTAAATTGGAGACGTTGAAGTGAGCCATTCCCCAACAATTGGCAATGTTTTTCTTGACTAAATCCACTGATGAAGAGACGTCCAGAAAATGGGTTATTTGTTTTTATCTAAAAGTTATTTAAAAGTAAAAAAAATGTTTTTAGAAAAAATAACCTCTAAAGAGAGAGAATCAATTCCACACTGAACTGTTGGTTCTCCTGAAAAAGTTTTTGGGTTTTAAAATTAAATAGGTATTTAAATTCAGCGCTCGTAAATTAGGCCCCTTTTGCCTATGTTTAGAATAATTTTGCTGACTGTTTTTGTGGACTTTTTTCTCTTGGACAGAATTACGATAAAGATACTAGCGCCTTAACCCCAAACAATATAAAATATACCCTACCAACAACTCCATTCTCTTCCATTTTCTGATTTACAACTTGTCCAGTTTGATAAGTATCCTGACATACAAGTCCATTTAAAAGTATCAGAAATAAAATTAAATAAAAATGTAGACACATCTTCGAGCCAAATTTTAAATCTAAGAAGAAAAAATTGTCGTAAATACTCTAACGAAAGCTCATATCCTATTAGGAGCCCACTCACAAATCAATGTGACCCATAGAAAAATAAAAACCCAGGGCCTCTATTAGGGCATTTACGCTAATTTAAATTTTAAAAGAAATAAAAATTTGAGGGGAAAATTACATACGAATATGTAGAATAAATAGAAACAAAAATTAAAAAACAAACAAATCTTTATATAATTGTTTGCATAAAATGATGAAAGGTGAGGAGGCATAAAATTAAAAATATTTTGGTAACGGTTCCAGAGCGTTATATATTTATTAAAACACAAAACAAGTTGTAGATAAGTTGGCCAATAATCAAAACATGGCGATTACATTATGCAGATATATTTAAATCTAAAAATTAAAAAAATATTCTTTGCTGGAATTTGCGGACAGACATTTTCGGACAAACAGAATGTTAGTTCATAACACAAAGTTATGACGTGAAACATGCTACAAAAGATTACTAGGCAATGTTACCAGACATTAAAACTGAATATGTATTTATTCCAATTTCAATAGGCTTCCTTTTATCCGCAAATATCTGTCCGCAAAAGTCAGTGAGCCATAAGGGAACAAGTTTTTCTCAAAAAGCCCGACCTTCCCCACACATAGCGTGTTACCCTTTTTATTTTTAATCTTTATTATTCCTTAAAAAGCGGTGGAAGAAGATTGCTAGTGTTTTATAAAATGGATAATAAAGGAATTATTATTATTGTGAAAAGCTTGAATATTTTACCTCACTTAATAAACAAAAAACTTGAATTATTAAATAAATTAATGGAGGAAGAAGCATTTTTGAATCTAGAAAAAAAATAAAAATTAAAAAAGATAGAATAATTAGTAAAATTGTTGAACATAAAAAATAAAAAAACCTATAATAAAATTTAAAAAAATTTATTTATCACACGAAAATAAATAAAAATTGATATGAAAAAAGTTAAAAATTTTTAATTTTTTAAATCCAAAAATTTCTCAAAAAATTTTTTCGTTAAAGAAAATCGTCTGCTGTAGCACTCTCTGTTATACTACAATTTTCATCTGTTGCTGTTGCAGTTCTTGCATCAATGGTGGTATTATTGTTAAAATTACCACCACTACATGTAAGCAACTGCACTTGGGCAGAAAAATTTTGATTCTTTTAGAGAAAAAAAATAATTTTTCTTCTCAAAAATTTTAATTTCGCTTACTTGCCAAAATTCTTGACTGTTCGGCCCTCCATTTGTTGTGGTTAAGTTGCTCGAAGATTTACGTTCAACCATTAAAGTGCACGAAGTTCCACTTGATCCACGAGGGCGTCCAACACCTCCAACACCACCCCCTCCACTGTTACTTTCATTTGTAACAGAATTATCACGACGATATCGCCACAATTTTTGATTGACGTCGCCTCCGCCAAACCAACCAGAATTTCCACCACCTCCACTACTTCCTAAGATGAAAAAAATTTTTTTTTAATTTTTATAAAAAAAGTTCAAACCATTTTCAGAATTTGTCAAAATAATTCCAATAGATGATTTTTTACTTAAACTTCTTTTTACATCACAATTTAATGCTGCTGCCTCGTGAACATTTCCAACTCCAAGCATTAATTGATGAGTTCGTTCTAGGCGGCTTTAAATAAAAAAATAATATTTAATAAATACCGTAAAGGTTTCCGGAAAATAAAATACAAGCTTTCGGAAATTCATGTTTAGGAAAATAAAAACAAATTTCCGGAAAATAAATATAATGTTCCGGAAAATAAATATAATGTTCCGGAAAATAAATCTAATGTTCCGGAAAATAAATATAATGTTCCGGAAAATAAATCTAATGTTCCGGAAAATAAATATAATGTTCCGGAAAATAAATATAATATTCCGGAAAATAAATAAATGTTCCGTAAATTATATAAATGCTTCCGGAAAATAAATATAATGTTCCGGAAAATAAATATAATGTTCCGGAAAATAAATATAATGTTCCGGAAAATAAATATAATATTCCGGAAAATAAATATAATATTCCGGAAAATAAATAAATGTTCCGTAAATTATATAAATGCTTCCGGAAAATAAATATAATGTTCCGGAAAATAATAAATGTTCCGGAAAATAAATATAATGTTCCGGAAAATAAATATAATGTTCGGAAAATAAATATAATGTTCCGGAAAATAAATATAATGTTCCGGAAAATAAATATAATATTCCGGAAAATAAATAAATGTTCCGTAAATTATATAAATGCTTCCGGAAAATAAATATAATGTTCCGGAAAATAAATATAATGTTCGGAAAATAAATATAATGTTCCGGAAAATAAATATAATGTTCCGGAAAATAAATGTTTACGGAAATTTATAGGTTTTCGGTAAGTATAAAATACAAGTTTCCCGGAATTTATAAAATTTCCAGAAAATAATTTCCGGAAAAAATGACTTAAAATATTAATTTAAAAACCCAACAAACCGTCTAACAGAACCACTAATTCTTGCATGTGCCAAAGCATTACAAAAAGGAAAATAGCGGAGTAAACAATGAACAGGTTTGAGTGACAAAAATGCTCGACAATATTCTGAAGAGGCCATACAAAAAATAAAAAAGTTGAGGCAATGGTTTAATACTTCAGCTGTATTGGCTACTTGACGAAAAACCTTTTAAAAAAGATTAAAAATTAAATTTCAAAAAATTTTTAAAAATTACTTGAAAACTAAAAGCATTGTCTAAAGACTCGTTTTGCATTGCCATTACAACCTGAAATCAAAAAAATAATTTTTAAAAATTAATTTAAAAAATTCCCACCATCTGTGGTATATTGCCAACAACCTGCAAAAAAAATAATTTTTTAGAAAAAATTTTAGAAAAAAAATTTGAAAAATTTTTTAAATTTGTAAAAACTAAAAAAAATTTTTTAGGGTTTTAGAGACGAAAATAAAAAAAATTTTTCAAAAAAAAATTTTTAAAAATTCAAAAAATAAACTAACAAAAATAACACAAATAGCCACCATTAAAGCAGTCAATTTCTTTTCAGTAAATGAACGCATTAAAGTATTTATATCTCTTCGATTGTTGCTTATACTTGGAGTTGCTGGGCGTATATGACAAGGCTGTTGCTGCTCATTATTATTATTAAAATGTTGTTGTTGAAAATAAGTATCTGGAGGTGAAGAACTTGCTGCTCGAGCATTTGGATGTTGATAACAATTTAAATTTTGTTGATGTCTCTGATGGCAATTTGAACAAATTGGGGAATTTGCAGAACTATTATTTCTTTGAATTTGGTTGTGTTGTAGAGGAGGAGGTTTGTGATCTACTACTGCGGATGCTTCAGTTCCTGTTGTTGTCATACTAACACGTTTAATTAATAAACGACGATTTCTCTAAAAATTAAAAAAATATTTATTGGAGATTGGAATTTAAACGAAATAGAAAACAAATCAGGATTCAAAATAGAACCCAAAAAATCGTAATTCTAAAAATTCGAAAAATCAAAAAATCAGAAGACTCAAATACTCTACCAACTGGTACAAAAAAATTTTATCGGATTCGCACTGAGAATTACAGGGACAATAAAAGATGTCCCCCTTGTCACGAAATCAGTACCCCCACCAACATTAAAATTAAAATCCCCATAATATTAATTAAATCTCAACTCACAAAAATATCAGAATTAAATAATAAAAAAATAAACAAACCTTTGCAACCTGTAAATGTCTAGCAATAACAGCATTTAAAATAACCAGCAATAAAACACAGAAAAATCTTAACAATTCACGTCCCATTTTGTAATAATTGTAAAGAGTAAAAAAAGGTTCGCGGCACAATAAATCTCTATTGTTGAATTTCCCTCGAGCCCAATGGAGGCAGCTTACTTTGTGGACTTCGATTTCTATAATTTTTTAAATTTTTAAAAAATTTCTAAAAAATTTAAAAAAACCTTTATTCTCATTATTATTAATTAAAGGCTCATATTCCGAACATTTTGCTTGCCACTAAAAAATTTACAAAAATTCAAAAAATTTTCTAGAAATACCTGTAAAGACATAGGTGCATGCAATAATAAAGCAGCTAACAAAGCAAAACCAATTTTAACCAAAACAGTATTTTCTATACTTAAAAGACGTCTTCCAGTTGATAAAGGTTTTCGAATTAATAAAAATCTTTAAAAAAAATTTGAATTTTTAAAAATTCAAAAAAAATTACCGTTCAATTGTTAACAAAACAGCACAATATAAACCAGCAACCAAAAAAGAATTAATTAAAACATCTTGTACCCAAACTTCATAAAAAATAACTATATCAGATTCAATTTGTAACCATTCAAGTGAAAAATGTAGAAGAATTGCTGTTAGACTTATCTAAAAAAATTAAAATTAATTTAAAAAATAAAAGCAAAAAATTTATTTTTAAAGTCCGAAAAATTTGTCCGCAACAAAAAGCAAAACCAAAGAACCAAGAATTCTTTGCTTTGGTTCATCGGTTAGGTCAGGAAATCCCAAGATTTTTCAAGAACCGACACCCCCAGTCCCCCTCACTTATTAAATTACCCATTCCCTTAAATTTATTAATCTCTCACATAACTTCCTTAAATAGTATACAAAGTCATGTGTTTATTTAATTTGAAAAAGAAGACAAATATAGACATTCTCTCAGACTAAAAAGTTTCCAATTTCAAAAGGAAATAATTTTAAAAAAAGATTTAAAAAATTTTTTACCAAATCAAAAAGTGCCAATGCGCGAATAAACATAAACGGAACATTTCGAAGCGATGGACTTCGCAGCGTCATTAAATTTAGAATATTACCAGCGACACCAAGTGCTGAAATTACAACCTGAAAATTGTGAACATCAAAAAATTTTTGACAATAGATTTTTTAAAATTATGAGACATAAGACATCTGCGGACAGAGACCTGCGGACATAAAGATTTGCGTAAATCTACCAAGAAGGCATTATTAGCCGATGGTATTTGACATGCCGTAGTAGCACTAGTCCCAATTCCAATAACCTTAGTTTTGTCGCAAATTTTATGTCCCCAATTTGCGAAAGTTTTGTCCGCAAATATCTATTAGCAAATAATATCGTCATAATTCCATCTCAATTTCCTTCAATTTATATATCTGTCAATAATCCCCAACTCATCCCTTATAGTATATAAATAAATACACTCAATTTCCGGATGAAACTACGTTTTATGTAGCTTATAAATTTAATAATACTAAGAAACCCTTTCAAATCCCTTCCAAATCCCCTACATTCTCTCTTCCCTTTGCCTCTCCTTTTCGTAAATAAATTGCCAAATTTGGAACCAAAAAATTTAGTTTTTTTTGTTCAATAGGTTTCTCACTTTTTTATTTTAGTATTTAAGAATATTTAAAGTCCTTGAGGCGAAAAAGAAGGATTTTTACCCTCCAAAAAGAATAAAAAAAAGAATTTTAGTAAATGTGTGTTGTGGTGCACCGTCAATTTTTAGCTTTTTCCCATAATAAAAAGAATTTTAAAAAGTGAGAAAAATTTTAAAAATGTTGCTAATTTTAGCTGCTAAATAGGGACACAAAATAGGTAGATTTGAGAAATTTCGATAAATTTTTTTGGAAAAAATTCTTTGCTGAGAATTTTGGAATTTCCCCAAATTTTTTTAGTTTCAAAAAAATTTTCAAAATAAAAAAAATTTCAAACTTACAATAATTGTTCTAAACGTAGACTTCAATCTATGCAATGCTTCTATAGATGGATCTTCTTCAACAATATTTGATGAAATTGTTGTTGTTGTAATTGTAGTGTTTAAATCGTTGTTGTTATCGTTCTTTAATTGACAAAATGAATCTAGACCACCCATATTTTTTGAAGTTAATTTGAATTTAATTAAATTTTGTAGGGAGTTTTATCTGAAAAATTTTAAAAATTATTTTTAGAATCAATTTTCAAAAGAAAGGTAAAGAATAAAGCAAAATAACAAAAAAAATAACTAAAATAAAAATGGACGGATGTTTGGCCTTTCAGGAAAAGCAAAGTAAAAGGATTAAAAAAAGAAAGAAAAGTTTTTTTACCCTAAAGCATTTCCTTACCCTAAAGCATCCGTTCCTCCTCTCCCCGTTCCTCCCTTCCTCCTTTCCCCAGCCCCCTCCTTTTCCCCCTCCTCATCTCTCACCTCCCTTCAAATCTCTTTTTTAACTTTTCTCACACCTTAACTAACATAAGAAAAAAATCTTTCCAAATAAGTAGTAAAGGATAAAGCGAATAATACCCTCAAAAATCTTCCCTCTTAAAAAAGACAAAAATGTAAAATAAGTATTTATTTGTGCCACCATATATCTGATTTTACAAGTTAAAAAACGTTTTTTAAATAAGAGAAAAAAAATAAATAAAATATTTGAGAAAAAATATTGTTGAAGAGGGTTCTCCAACTTCAATTTAATGATTTTTTGACAAAAAAAGGCTGAAGATATCTTTTAAAAAAGACGAAAAAAAAGGGAAGGCAAAGTACTCTAAGGATTCTAAAAGCCATTTTTCTCGTAAAATGGCAATAGGTAATGACAAGAAACAAAAAATATATAAAAGTTAATTAATTTAGTTTATGCGCAAATATAAGTAAAGTCTCGTCTAGAATATAACGAAGATAAAAACATTGAAAAAAGTCATAAAGAAAAAATTCCATGAGAATTATAGCCTTTTAAGGAGGGTATTAAGTAAAGGATAAGGAAGAAAAAAAATTTTTGGCACAAGTTGAGAGAAATAATAAAAAAAGAGGATATGGATCGAACATGAATAACTTTAAAAATTTAAAGAAAAAATTTCGAGAGGTAAGCCTCTCACAAATTTGAAAATTTAAAAAATGCCATTTTAATTTTTATGCTTCATAAGAAAAACTTCTGGAAAAATAAATTTATAAAAAATAAAATAAATTGAAAGGTTACATATTATTAAAAAATTTAAAAAAAGGAGAGAAGAATATTTTATATTTAAGCGATGTGCGCGAATATTATACTACTATTCTAAATTAGAATAATATTAAATGGCATTTTTTAAATGTCGTAAAAGTGCGGATGAACCAAATGAAGAAAAAAAATTTTTTTAGAAAAATTTATAAAAAAAATGGGGATTAAAAAATGAGGATTAATAGAATAAACTAGTCTAGAGTAAAGACAAATTTAAATACCTCTAGCTATATGTATTCTTTTTAGGTATATCTAATTATTTTTTAAAAAGGAAAAATTAATCTTAAGAAATAATTAATTGAAAATTGATAGTAGACTATTAAATCAAAAAATTAATTAATTAAAAATAAAATTAATTAAGAATAAAATTTTTTATTAATTTTAGACAAAAAATGTCTCAAATAAAATTAAAAAAATGTTTAAAATGCCCTCAAATATTTTTAAAAAAATGTACGTAGTAAAGGAAGTCTCTCTTAATTTCCCGTTTTTATAAGCAGATTATCTATACTAAAAATTATTCTAAATTAATTTTAAAAAGAATAAAATATTGCGTAACAAAAAGCAATAAAAGTGTCACATCCGCTCTTTAAAAAAAAGGATTTGCTAAAAATAAAATTTTAAAAACCAAAAATTCCCCAAAATTATTTTTGAAATTAAAAAAAAAATTAATTTTTAAACTCTTAATTTTTACAAAAATAAAATACTATTTAATCCGTTAAAAAATTAATTAGTTAAAAATGGAAAATTGCCCAAAATGGAAAATAAATTCAAAAATTTTTTTTGAAAAATCTCTTAAATGCTTTTAAAAATTTATAAAACCAGAATAAATGGAAAAAGCACAAAAATTAGCAAAAAAAATAGTTGAAAACACAATTTGCATCTGGAAACTCAACAAACAATTAAGCCAAAACAAAATGAGCAAAAACATTCAGTTTAAAAACAAAAATTAAAACAAACAGAAAAATACATACAATTCAAACAAAATTCAAATCGGGCCTCACGTAAATGTACATACCTCACGATTAATAGATACCAGAGATCCTGCAGCCAATAAAATATAATTCCAGATTTTCGGGAATCGGGTCGGCAGAATCGGTCTCCCATTCCTAATGTCCACTTTATTAAATTGAAGTTTGGCTATCGTGTGGGAGAGGATATCTGCATAAACGATGCCCCCACAATTTAAAATGCCCCTTTCACACAAAAACACACACGTGGTTTGCAAAAATAAAATTATTATTATTTTAGTCATATGAATATTTTAAAAATAATTTTTCCCCTTCAAAATTTAAAAAAAGGCTGCTTAAAACCAGAAATTTGAGAGAAATTTGAGAGTTGCCAAATATTAAAAAAATAAAAGGTGACCAAAAAAGAAATTCCAAAATACACATTAAAACTATCAAAATGTCAAGAATAGTCTCAAAAATATAAAAAATATTAAGCTTTAAAATATTTAGCTAAAAAAATAATTTGCTAAAAAAATTCAACAAACCATTGACGTACTTATTAAATAAAAATCACTAAAAAATTATTTTTAACGACATTTTGCTAACAAAAAATAAAACAAAGTTGGGTAAAAATTGGGTAAAAATTCCAAGTAGTTAAGCTTTAAAGAAGAAAAAAAATCTTCCACATCTTGTAACATTTATTTTTTGCCTTTTTTCGCGCTAATAAATGCTAAATTGTGCCAATTTAATATTTTAGTTGTCTATTATTTTTTGAAGAAAAAAAATTTTTGTTAAGTTGGTAAAAATAATCAGCATTAGTAGACAGAAATAATTTGGGGTTAAAGTAAAAAAAAATCTGACTGACTGAGAGGTATTGAAGCATAAACCAAGAAAAAATTTTTTTAGAAATTCAAACAAAAATTTAAAAAAATAAGGAAGTTTATAAAAATTAGTTAGCTAACCTACATATAAAACACACAATTTCTTAAATTAAAGAGAGAAATGCCTAAAATAAAAAATTTTCAGAGAGGTTCAGGTGGGAAAAAAAGATAAAAATAAAGGCAGACTGGAATTTTAATTTAAAAAGAAAATTCGTAAAAAGTTGAAAAAATGATAGAAATGTTGATAAAATAATTTAAAAAATAAAAAATGATAAAAATATAATCAAAAAAATTTAAAAAAATTTTTCAATTGCAAAAGTCCCCCAGATACATTTGCAAAAATTGTTTAAAAAATTTAAAAATTGTACAAAAAATTTTTTTTCGATTGAGGAATAGAACCAGGAAAGGACACAATTGTGTAAAATTGAGTGTTGCGTTTATCCCTGAAAACTCAAAAATACCTTCTCAAAAACCACAGAAAACAAACAAAAAATTTTTTTGATAAACACTTGCTATTCTTTAAAAAATATTTAGGTAGCAGCTTAAAAACAAAACAAACATGTAGGCGTAAAATTACGTATATTTCCTTGTTTAAATTTAAAAAGGAAAAAATATTGCGTGTTTAAAAAGGTCAACTAATCAAGTCAAAAAACAACAATAAAAATCAAAAATTAAATTACCAAAAAAGGTCAAAATATACAAAATAAACAAAAAATTTCAATTAAGAGAATTGGCAATATTATTTTTAAAATTATAAGGGGAATCTTCGTTTTTTAATTAAAAATACTACACATATCCAAACGAAAATCTCTCCCTTCCAACATTTTTTTAATTAAGCTTATTGAAATTTAAAAAAAAATTTTGGCCCTTTAAATTACTTATATTTTTTAATCTTTTCCAGAATTTCCAAATATCCATTCTTCGTAAAATCTAGAACCCCAAAAAATTCATAAAATTATTTAACAACATAGTATATCTATTAAAATTCACTCTTTATTCTCTATTTAAAAAATAATTTTCTTATTAATTAACACCATTTTTATTAACCCATTATTATTCTTTATATGAACACAAATACCCAATTATATTTACCCTCAATTATATTTACTACACAATTTATTAACTTAATAATTACTCTGAATTCATTTAAAATTCAATAAAAAAATAAATAATGCATGTTTTTAATAAAAAATAATGCACACAAACAACATTTTTCCAAATTTAGTTTTTAAAATTTTAAATTTAATTTTTTATATTTGAATGATTTTTAAAATGCCAACAACAACTTTCCAATAACTTTCCAAAATTGAAATAGTTAAAAAATTTTAAAATATTATTCCAGTCATTTTTTATTTTTTAAATTATTAAAGTTTCCCCAAAAATTTAACATTCTATAATTAGTGATCAGGACCGGATCCGGTCAGATTTCTTTTTAAATTTCCACGTGAAACTTTCAACTATCATTTCAACCGAACATTTTTCTATTTTTTTTAATATCATCTTTATACTGGCCACCTGAAACTCCTCTCTTTTTTTAACCACTTCTCACTTTTAAATGACTTTTACACGGTTTAAAATTTCTTTATAGGCTTTTTTGATTACCCCATTCAAAAAAAGGTATCTGGCCATATAAAAATAAGTAAATAAAATGTGTTATGAAAGCTTTACGTCAATATCCAACGCTTTCTAATAATACCTCACAAATATGAGAAAACTTGGAAAGCAACAAAAATTGGAGTAAAAAAATCAGATTAAGCTTAAAAAATTTAAAAAAAATAAAAAATATTCTTAAAAATATTCTTTTCTAAAAATATTATTACTTCAGTTTTTTCAAAAAAAGAAATTAGAAAGTGACGGCATTTTACAAATTAAGTTTTAAAAACCACAGTGTAAAAATAAAGTAAAAATTAAATTAACAATTTTTTAAAATTTAATTAATAATAAAATTATATCGGTAAAAGCATGAATAAATAAAAATGCTTATTTCTAATTTTCTTACATTTGCCATTTCAAAAAATAACCTTAATTTATTTTTTTTAAATCTTAAATTAGATCCAGTCTCTACATTAATTATTTGCCGCTTATACATATCACACAAAAATTATTCATATACTTTGCCTACTTTTTCAAATTTTTCAATGTTTTCTATTAAAAAAAAATTTTTTAAATCTAAAAATTTAATCTCTCTCTCTAAACGAATTTTATTTTTTCCATATTTTCGTTATTGATATCACTTTTAATAAACACACACATATTAAAATATGTAAATGTCGTTTCTGGATATATTCGTGACCTATTAAAAATAAACAAACACACCAAAAAATAGTGGCAATAACAAAAAATTTTGTTATTTTTTGGCTATTATTATTTTATAAAAATATGTACTAAAGCTAATAGTTCTAAAAAATACTTTGAAAATCAGTAAAGTTCCCAATTTAAATTATATTTCAATTTTAGCTTTCAGAATCACCAACACCATAAGATCTCTTGAATTATAGTCGTCGCCTTCAGCTCCAAAAAAAAACTCTTGGAGAGGGGGGGTGTCTTATCTTCTTATAAAGTAAGATAGATCATGATTACTTTATATTATCTGGATATACTCTGAGGGGGAGGGGGGGGGAGGGTAGTATCCTAATGCAAAAAAAGACTTCCAAAAGCAATATATAGCCGTGTAGAGTCGACTACATCTACTGTACCCAACTAAATTATCCTATTTTTTATTTCCAAATTTAAAAAATTAATTAATTTTTTGTTTAAATATTTTTATTGTTTTTTGTGTTTTAATCTTATTCTCTCATTGTTCTTTTATTTTATTAATCTTTATCCTCTCTCTAAATGTCTTTGTTTTTTTACAAATATTTTTCCTCTTTTTTCTTAATTTATCTCAATTCTATCTCAATATAATACACCCTTTTTTACGCATTTACCCTTATTTTTATATAATTTTCTTGGACAATTTTATATTCATTTTCATTTCCCCCTAATATTCTCTTATTTTTTTTTTCTTTTTTTTTTATTTTTTTAATATAAATAAAATGGGCTTGGCCTCTCGATTAATTAAATTACGCGGAAGAATTTTCAGACAACAACCAAAATAAAAGTAAGGAAGAAAGTGACACAAAAGATACTAAAAAGCTAATGTTCAGAAAGCTTCAAGTCCTAAATAATACGAAAAACAAGGTGCCAAAAAGTGCCAAAAACAAGAGAAAGAAAATTGGAGAAAATTGCAAAATTCTTTCTTTCTATTTAATCTCTTAACGGATGACACCTCTTTCCACTAATATTTATATTTACTCTTAAAAATGAGAAGAGAATTTAATGCGGAAGTAAATAAAAATAAATGTAATATCCTAGAGTCACTAGGAAAATTCATGAGACCTCTCTGCAAGAGAAGGAAATCCTTAAAGAAAAATGCCTTTTAAAAATCTTCCAAAAAATTCCAAAAAAAATTTTTTACCCAATTAATAAGCAGACTTTCTTCCTTTCAATTTTTCATTTTATTTTAACTTTCCCTTCCCCTTCCCCCACCTACACAAAATTTTCATTTATTTTTTTTCATTATTTCCTCCTTTTTTAATGCTCCATTACTCCCTATATTTTTCCACTATTTATTCACTTTACATCATTTATTTTAGACATTTTAACATTTAAAAAAATAAAAAAAAGCTTAATTTTCTTTCAAAAAAATGTGTATTATTTGTTTTGTATTTTTTAAAGAAAAAATTATTTTCATGCGTGAAACAAGCATAAATTTAATTTTATATGAAATATTATTAAAGTACTTGTGAAAAAATTGTAAAATAAAAATTAACTTAAGTTAGTCTGAAAGACAAATAAAAGAAGGAGCCCTTAAGAGACCAAAAATCATGGCCAAAGAAAATTCTACAACGTTCAAAGAAATTCTAAAAAATTTTAAAAATTCTAAAGAAACCCCTCAAACTCCTAAAAATTCCTTGAAATCTAAAAAATACCCGGAAAACCAACAAATCCCTCGAAATTTAAAGAAAACCCCCTCAAAATTCAAAGAAAAACCCCTCAAAATTCAACGAATATTCAAAATCACCAAATCCGCCAACATTCAAAATCTAAAGAAAACCCTCCTCAAAATTCAAATAATTTCCAAAAATCCCTCAAAATCCAACAAAATTTTCAACATGACTGACCAAAAAACACAATTCTCATTTTCTTATCCAAATCTTTCATTTTTAATTTTAAAGAGATTGACACGAGACAAAAAAGCATTTTTTTGTTTTCATTTTTAACGAATATCAAAAAATAACTCAAAAAAAGAAAAGAAATTCAACCCTAATCCCAAAATTAGCTCTAAAGATTTTTTATATGAAATTTTTAATTACTTTCCTTTCATTTTCCTTTTAAAACAAAAAAAACTTTTTCATTTTCACGTGTTTAAAAATGCTTTTCTTTTAAATTTTCACATCCATTTTTAGTTAATAATTTTCTTTTTCAAAACTCATTTCATTTAATTTTTTTCTTGGAAATTTCTTTTCTTTAAAAAATCTTTTTTTAAACTTCATTTGACATACCCGACCCATTTAAAAATTAATAAACCCAAGAATTGCTTATAGACAAAGTCGGGAATTATTTATCTCGATGGGTCTGGGATGTGTGTCTATTTTTGAGAAATTTTTGAAATCTAAAAAATGTTACTAGGGATGCCACAGGTTGAGAAAAATCGAGATAAGCTTCATGTCAGGTTTTTGAAATTTTCTTAGGATTGGGTTTCGAGCCGAAAAAAGTCCGGATTTCGAGTCTTCGGTCTTTGTTACCAAAATTGCTCGGATCGTGTATTTTGTTTCGGATAACCTGTGACTTCTTTACACACACTAAACAATCAAACATTCCTAGAAAAATAAAATAACAACTCCCACAGTTTTATCAACCAAAAATTAAAATAGTTTTCCCCTTATCATTTTTATTTGTCACCCTATTTTCAAAAAAAACATTCAAAAAATTTAAGCCTTTTATTTTTCAAACTTTTCCCTTTCTTTCCCCTTTATTTCATAAAAAACACTTAAATATTTCCATAATTTTACAAGACCCAAAACTACATAAATTTAAAAGAACATAGAAAATTGGTGTCCAAATAAAAAAATAAATAAAAGTTTCCTGCGGTTTTATATAAAAAATAAAATAAAAATAAAAAATAAGCTAAAAAAAATAAAAATTCATTTGTTTAAAAAATAAAAGTTAGCTTTTAAAAATCCAAAAAAAAATTTTTTATTTCAAAAATCCGAAAAAATTTTTTAATTCAAACTAAAATTTCTAAATTATTTTTATTTTTAAAAAATAATTAAAAAAAATTTTTTTGACCAAAAAAAGTTTATCCCTTTCTTCTAAAAAATTTCTAAATTATTTAAAAATTGTCCTACATTTCTAAAAATAGAAAAAAATTTCCCCCCAAAATAAAGCTAATTTTTAATCATAAAATGTTTTTTAACAAAAAATAGTACAAATTGACCTACAAAGAAGATGAAAATAAATTATTCCCTAAGGAAAAGCTTAAAGCTTTCTTTATATCCAAAAATTGTTTAAGTACACTTTAACTAGCTTCAGGGCGTGTAGCTGAATTGGATTCTAATACTCTGGCGGCGAAATACATTAGGGGGAGCCTTTTGTACCATACTTTTTGGTTTTGGAAAGCCTGACGGCTTTGGGGCGCGCTTCGCGCGCTGCTAGTGCTTTGGGGCGCGTCCAGGGACGCGCGTGGAAAGCCTGCGGCTTTAAAAGGACGCTAGATTTTCTTTTTTGCTTGGAGATTTACGTTAGATATATTTTGATTCATTGCTTTGCATTTAGGGGGCCTTCGGCCCCCTAAACCCATAATTTAGGAGGATACTTTGCATTTGGCAGCTGTGGTGGGTTGGTGCGTTTGGGGGGCCTTCGGCCCCCCAAACCCTGCCGTTCAGACGAATACTTTGCCTTTAAGTAGCTGAGGTTGGTTGATTCGGGGCGTTTGGGGGGCCTTCGGCCCCCCAAACCCAACGTTTAGATGGATACTGTGCCTTTAAGTAGCTGAGGTGGGTTGATTCGGGGCGTTTGGGGGGCCTTCGGCCCCCCAAACCCAACGTTTAGACGGATACTGTGCCTTTAAGTAGCTGAGGTGGGTTGATTCGGGGCGTTTGGGGGGCCTTCGGCCCCCCAAACCCAACGTTTAGACGGATACTGTGCCTTTAAGAAGCTGAGGTGGGTTGATTCGGGGCGTTTGGGGGGCTTTCGGCCCCCCAAACCCAACGTTTAGACGGATCCTGTGCCTTTAAGTAGCTGAGGTGGGTTGATTCGGGGCGTTTGGGGGGCCTTCGGCCCCCCAAACCCAACGTTTAAATGGATACTGTGCCTTTAAATAGCTGAGGTGGGTTGATTCGGGGCGTTTGGGGGGCCTTCGGCCCCCCAAACCCAACGTTTAGACGGATACTGTGCCTTTAAGTAGCTGAGGTGGGTTGATTCGGGGCGTTTGGGGGGCCTTCGGCCCCCCAAACCCAACGTTTAGACGGATCCTGTGCCTTTAAGTAGCTGAGCTGGGTTGATTCGGGGCGTTTGGGGGGCCTTCGGCCCCCCAAACCCACCGTTTAGTTGGATACTTAGCATTTAGGTAGCTTTGGTGGGTTGACTCGGGGCGTTTGGGGGGCCTTCGGCCCTCCAAACGCGGCGTTTAGATCCCTCTCGGCCTTCGGACTCGGTGTAGGGGCCTTCGGCCCCCAAAACCCCCTAACAGGAAACTCTGGCCCCAAAAATTCGGTCAGACTCAAGTGACCCCCCAAACAGAGTATATATTTTTCAATGAAATTGAGGCTGCTCTACAATAAACGTAAGTCTTTTTAATTAATTACCCCTCCTTTGGTACCTTTACTGGGTATGGTACCCCCCACACCCGAAATTTCGACCTTTTGTAACTTTGTACAAAATGGTCAGAAAATTTTGAAAAAAATATTTTTAGACTCATCTCGATAAGGGCTCTCGATTGATATAACATTTGGCCCATTTATACCAATTTTGGCAAAATTATTTTTTTGGCTGAAAATTTCGGCCGAAAAAATCGCCGAATTTTTTAAAAATTCATAACTTTTTCAAAGTTAACCTTTTTTTGACATTTTAAAATCTTATTCGGTGCAGAAAATTCTGCTCTATCCAGGAAAAATACATTCGGGTCGAACAGCCGGCAAAAATCTCGAAATTTTTTCGAAAAACCGAAAAATTTTCGAATTTTCGAAATTCGACCCCCTCGGGCTCAATTTCGAATTTTTTCGAAATTTTCTTCGGTCAAAAAATACCTAATTTTTAGCTCTATTTTATAAAAGAAACCCGATCCCAATCCGTCCACCCCTTAAAAAGTTATGGCCCCCTAAAAATTCCCGAAAATTCCCCAAAAGGGGTACCCTTTGGTTCTGAGGGCTGGGACAAAATTTTCGAATTTTGACCCAAAAAACGGCCTATATGGTACTCTGACATGCGCTGAGTACGAATCCGGCGTCAGAAAAATTTTAAAAAAATTCTCCGGGACGTTAGAGTCTCATAAAGTTTTGCGCCATTTCGTCATAATGGCTATAACTTTTTGAGACTCAAGTGGACCCCCAACATATGATACCTTTTTCTGACCGCCAGGGGACGCTCTTTCGATCTGGCTATCGAAATCGAGTTTCAATTCACTTTACGAAAAGTCGATTTTTCGGCCCCGACTCTTTGGACCAAACAACCCCCAAAAGTTCATCCGAGACTCTAGTGTCCCACACCAAATATTTTCCCAACATCCAACCGTACAATATCACTCCCAGGCCCAATAACCCCCAACTTCTCTAAAAAACGTTATAACGCTTTGAAACACTCATCCGGCCATTTCGGTGCCGCACTGAAGTTCGGCACCAAAACGACCCACCCCAAAAAATTCCCGACATCCACTTACCTAATACCCCCCAGGTCCCATCTAAATCCTCCCAGCCGTTCCCGAGATATACCCCATAAACAACTTTTAGTCCGACAAAATCGGACATTTCACGGACATTATGTGAATTTTTGCGCGCCCATAAGTCCCCAGGAGTTCACCCGATTTTCAAAATTTTTTTTTTGTTGAAACCCTCTAATAGTGTACATAGGTCCCTCCCAGCAGAAGTTTTTCGCTCCAGGTTCTAGTTCACGAGATAGCAAAACTCGTGGGGTCGTTTCGGCGCAAAGGAAAAGTCATGGCGCCGAAATCGGATTTTTCCCAAATGCGCCATAAAAAGTACCCCCCGGGATGTACAATTTTCAAGGGCGTCCCGGCAGCCCTTCGGGCTGGCGAATTTTTTTAATTTAATTGAGCTTAATATTTTATATAATATAAATAAATATTTACAAAAAAAGCTCCTTTTCAACGAAATTTCTTTCCTCAATTTTTCAAAAAAAATTAAACTACCTAATTTTGCATTTTCTCGACTCCTCAAAAAAATTTTTCCAACATTATTTTCAAAAAAACATTTCAGAAATTAACATGTTATTTTGAATTTTCTCTCGACTCATTTAAATTCAATTCTTCAATAAAAATACAATTTCTTGACATAAAATTCCCCAAACTTAATCTACAATTCTTCCAACTTTTTTTTCAATTTTTTATTAATACATTAGCATAACAATCAATGGGGATGGGATGTTTCACATAAAGCTTCTATGTTTCCCATAAAGGCTTAAAAAGTCTGTCCAATGTTTACCCCATTTTTTATATTTAAAAAAGTATATTAAACAGCCGCTTTTTTATAAATAATCAAAAGGGGGTTTTTAGAAGCTGTGCACCAAACAACAATTTTTAGGGGAAATTTCAAGTAAACAATGGCTTTATGGACAAGAAAATTAAAAAACGTCACACACCTTTAAGTACTTTTAATGAAAAATACCCTTCAAAATTAACTTTATATATATTTATGTTTTTCAATTAGAAAAAGACTTTTAATCCCCTATAATTTAATAAACAACAAGTGTCATTCAAAATAAATATACCTTCATGGATAAAAGTATTATTCATTAAAAAATGTTTTTGGCTTGCTACTTCCTCTTATTTTTTACTAGACTTTTAATTATTTTATTAACCAAACACCTCCAAATTAAAAAATAAAGACCCGCAACAAAAACAACAAAAAATCACAATTACAATTAATTTATACTATCCAAACAAACCCTCTAAACAAAAAATGCATACCAGAAGATACAAAAAAAAAACCCACAAAAAACCTATTAAAAATCCAAGAAGCCCCCTTTAAATCCAACCAAAAACCCCAAAAAACCCTTTTAACCCCTTTAAACTTTTAACAAATTAAAGCGTTTAAACCATTAACTAAAAGCTAAACAAACATCTTTTCATGATTGATTGGACTTTAAACTTTCGCAATTTAACAAAGCTGTGAAGAAAATTACCCCAATAGTTCACACAAATTTTTCAATCAACTTATATCCCTTTAAGTCACCAAAAAGCCACTGGGAGAAAAAAGGGGTGTTGGTCAATATGATCTAATCGCAAAAAACACACATATGACACGAAATTGTAAAAACAATTTTCTCACTTTTTCTTTCCCCACCCCCCCCCCCCCCCCCCACCTTTCTTCCCAAATTACTCCCCTTTACTAAAAATAAAAAAATATTCCCCCAAAAATTCATTTAAAAAATTTAGAAAAATCAAAAACAAACTTTAAAAAATGATACAAGAAAAATTAACTACAACAACAATGACAACAATACTTTCCCGCATTCAAATGGAAACAATACAGCCCCTCCCAACAACACCCATCGCGCATCAAAATCGCTGTCTAACTGAGGAACAAATGCAAATGCACGGTAGGAAAAATAAAGAAAAAATTTGATAGAAGTGAAAAAATAATTTAAGAAGTAAGAAAATATTTTAAAAAATAAAAAAAGATATTCAAAATACGAAAATTAAATTTTTAAAATAATTGCACGCAAACGGATTCAAACCCCCACTCCTTCACTGCCCAAATCCATAACACTAACCACTAGACCAAAAGTATAAAAATACAACCGCGGTCTAAATTCCCGCTCCAAGGCCTAAAACACTACCCTTACCCCCAAAAAATACTTTTCTTAATTCCCTACAGGCTCAGAATTTGAATGGTATTTACAAAGATACCTGTTTCCATCTCTAGTCATCTTCGGAATACTTGGCAATGCACTCAATCTCAGCGTGTTGCTTGACAAGAAGATGCAATCAAGAGCAAACACGTTTTTGGCAATGTTGGCATTTGCTGACATTTTCTTCTTGTCGTTGGTAAGTTGAAAGGCTCTTCTAAAAACAAGGAAATAATTAAACGATTTGGAAATTCAAAAACGCCATTAAACGTTTAAAAATTTGCTTTTAAGCTGGTCCCCAACATTTTGGCCAATTACTCAATTTTCTCACGCAATTGGCATTTTCGAATGTTTTACCTCAGTGCCAAAGTCCACTTGATCTCTCTAGCAAATTGGGCATCTGCTGTAGCCATTTGGTAAGTAACTCAGATTTTCTTCTTTGTGTAGTTTAACTAAAAATAAATTTGAAACTGTTTCTATTTAACTTAAAAAAACCTTCAAAATCAAGGTGTGTAATCGCTGTTTGCACTGATCGTCTAATTGGCATCAGAAATCCACTTGCCGCTCGTGGGCACATTACAAGAAGGAAAATGGTCGGATTGATTTGTGCTATTGTTGCCGTTCCTGGATTGCTTACAGCACATCAAGTAAATCATTTAAAGTTAATGTATCAAAGTCACTAAAAAGAAAACATAAAACTGTTAAAAATTTTAAAAAATCAAGAAAATTTCTCAGGGCAAAAAAAAATTTTTTTGAAAAATCCCGACGCCAAACAAAATGACATTTTGTCCAATTAAATACATAATGCCAAAATATTAAAAACTAATTTCTTTTAAATTTTGTTTAACTGTGCGACCACGACAAACCCTCTCCTATTTCTTAAACTAATTCTAAACTCCGTTACTTAATTTTTCTTTTACAAATTCAGCATGTTGCACATGTCTGCCTAGTCAGAGCCTTTTGCAACGGAAGTCAACTTTATTCGAAATGCTTGCCTGTAAATCAAGAGCGTTGGTTTGCACCAAATCAGAGCAATCCGTATTCAGAAACTTTCAGAAAATTTATCGTAAGATTCCAATTATTTAAAAAAATCAAATTTGTATTTTTAGTCTGTCAGCACTTTACTCAACGTTCTCTTCAGGTTTTTCTACTTAAAAATTTAATAAAAATTCTTTTCAGTATAATTTTCCCAATTATTGTTCTCGCCATTTTAAATACAATGCTTTTGTGTGCATTAAGAAGGAGATCAAAACAATTAAATAATTTGAATAGGAATGAAAGTTGGAGTCAAAAACAACACAAAAATGTAGAAAATGGAGAAAGTCTTAGGGAAGGCAGTAAACAACCGCTTAGCAAGTTTGCTTTTTTTAAATTTGTTTGGGTATTAATGAACTCTTCTTGAAATTAATAGTTCTTAGGGGTCTCAAGAACAACTACCTTAAAAATCGTAAGACCGCTGAGGCTTACCCTTTTCAGGTCCCTAATATAGCGCAGATTCCGTGGTATTTTTTGGATGATTGAGCCCCCTTTGATATGCTGAACGTTCAGGCCCCTTTCAAGTCCCCTGATACGAATTCCCTGAAATTAGCCCCGCTAATATGAGTTCCCTTTCAGGCCTTCTATTTTGAGCTCCTTTTCAGGCTTCATTATATAGGCCCCCTCCAGGCTCCCTTATATAAGCCTCCTTTCAGGTTCCCTAACATAGTTCCCTAACCCCTGTTAAGCTAAACTTTCCTTCAATAAATTTTTTTTATTCCAGATTCAGCCAAAGCAGTTCACACTCTTCTGAGGGGTTAAATCAACACTTATTACACGCAAAAACTGAACAAAGAGTAACAATAACAGTTGCATTGTAATTATTTTTTAATTAAAAATTCTCTTAAAAAATTTTCTTTAAAGAATTGTTTCGATGTTTACTTTAACTAATGGACCCTCAGCAATTGTTCATTTACTTCAAAATCTTTTATTGACCGGAATAGATCAAAGAGAATGGTACAATGCAACTTTAGTTTGCAGGTTTTCTTAAAAAATTTATTTTTAAAAATTCCCCAAATTTTTTAGCGCTCTAGTCATTTTTGGAAAGGCTAGCAATTTTATTCTCTTCTGTCTTTTTTCTAAACACTTTAGAAGACGTTTATTTGCTTTAGCACAAAAAAGAGTACATAAACGATTAGCTTCTTCAGTTGGGATGGGGAACAAAGGAGGATTTGTTGGTGGAAGTAAACGAAGTAATTATAACAAATTTAGAGGGGATTCATCAAATGCCGGAAAACAATAAATAATTTTGATTTGATTTTTAGTGATTTTCCTTAAATTTTGTATTTTTAATGTAAACCGGGGATGTCAGGAATTGAGAAAAATGTTAGGTCGGGGTTTTCAAAATTTCCCTTGAATTGGGTTTCGCATCGAAAAAAGTCCTGTTTTTTCGGGCACCCCGTGACATCTCCTGGCTCTGATCTAGTTTATGAGTCCAATGAAGCTTCGAGTCCATTGAAAATTTGGCTCTGATTAAGTTTATAAATCAATGAATCTTATAAGTTATAATTTTAGGGAACTCATAAACTAGACCAGAGAACATTTCTCATCTTTAATATTATAAACGATCTCACTTTATTTTTATTTTCCAGTCAAATATTTTGTTATAACCCTTAATGTAATTGTTTTGACCATTAAAAATATTTTTCAAAAATTTGGAGTTTTCTTATTAAATAATTAAACTTAAAAAGGGTTTTTAAAAAATATTGGTTTTCATGCTAAAAAAATATATAGACAAAGTTTGGTTTAATTTAAATTTTTTGGGTATATAAGGCTTTAAAGAAATGGTTCTAAACGAATTTTTAAAAGGAGAGAGAATGGGATAAAATAATTAGTATATTTATGTTAGAACCACTCCAAAAAATACAATAATTCATTTTAATTGTTAGTTAGAGTTGTCCGCTATCGGTATTAAACTTGAAAATTTAGAGAGGATACTAGAGAATGGAATACCTCGGTGAATTTACCAGACCAGTACTGACAATAAAATGTCTTGTAAAAACTAAATAAAAATCTTGTAAAAACTCCTCCAAAACAAAATCGGTTTTATGAATAACCGAAACCGTTGAAAACCCAAAAAAGATAAATGGAGTTTTAAAATATGGAAAACGAGGTGGGAGTACCTTGGTGAGTTTACCAGGTTCTCTTACTCATTGTCAGTCAGGTAATAAAACACCAACGTTAGAGTTAAACCTTATCAACCTAGGACAACCCTTTTTTGAAATATCTGAGGTCCTAAAATTTGGAAAAAGGTTAATAACCGATCGTAGACAACCCAAACTAAAATCCTCAAAAAACTTGGACATTACAACATTAATTAAACCTTCAAAATCCTAAGAAGCAGGACACCGTTCATTTAGCCACCAAGTTAAAGCAAACAAAAGTGAAGGTGGCGCTATAGCAATGTTTATATCAGAACGGAATTTGACTGCTTCTTCCGGCTTCATAAAAACTTTTTTGATAAATTCTCCTTCAGACGGATTACCGCCACCATCAGACACGCGCATTGACTCGTTCTATTAAAATTGAGTTTTAAAAAATTAAAAAAAACCGACGTACAATCTCTGCATAAAACAAATGTTGTGTGGAACCAGAAGTAGAAACACCAGTCACATAACGTTTTATTGGCTGAATTAAATCTGTAGGCACATTATAGCCACATTCTTCCATAATTTCTTGATGGATGTGATCCAATGTGGAAGTTCCTGGTTTATCCTAAAAAAATGATGGGGATTTTTATTTTTTAAATAAAGATATGGCAAGTTGCTAAATGATTTAAATTAGGGGAGGGAAGCGTCTTGGAGCTGGGAGCAACCAATTGACTTAACGGGAGACGGTGGTAGTGGGCAAGTCCGCTTCAGCAGTCACTGTAGCATTCGAACAGGTGGCACACCATGAATGGAGAGACAATTAGTCTTAGGATTTCACTAAAAAAGTTACAACTAAAAAAGGTACCATGAGGCAGGATTTTCAGTCCTAACAGGGGGAATCTAAAACTCGTCTAACTTATCAAAAAAAAACTTTAAAAAATATTTAAAACCTCACAATTAATCCAGCACAAAGTTCCAACGTCTCGCCCAACTCTATTGGATATTTACTCCATTCAATCTCGTTTAAAGACTTTTCAACATTTTCTGGCCTTTCTCTGACTGCGTGAATAAAAACAGCTAAAAAATCAGAAATGACTAAAGAATAAAATTTTAAAAATTTACGAGGTCTAAACTGCTTAACAAGCAATAATTCTTTTCTTTCCAAATGGTAGAGGAGAACGGAAACGCTGTCGTATTCAAGTGCAAAGTCCCTAAAACAAGTTAATTTTAAATAAATTTTAAGGTAAATTTACCAGACGAGCTGATGTCCTTTTCTCATATAGTGCATTCTCATTGGGCTTAAAAATAATTTTTGTTAGTTCATGGCAAATCGATATTTCCGGAGATGGATCCAGATTTGTAAATAGAGCAGAACCGATTAGTTTTTGTGGATTAATCGGATATGGGCATAAATACAGAAGTCGAGAAAAACTAAATTTCGGACCCATCCTCTGGAAAAATATGGACGGATCCTGCCCGGCGTAAGTCCTAATTTGTGGTTAATTTTATGAATTTTCGGGTAAAAATTAAGGCAATCCCGGAGAATTGGGGTCCCTGCGGAAAAAAATCTTAAAAATAAGAAAAAGGATTTTTCTAGGGTAAAAAAGTATGCTGATTACGAATCTGAACTCAGATTTTGAAAAAGTTGAATCCCGAACCCGAACCAAATTTCGAACCCTGAACCCGAATTTCGAATATGCAAATGATAGCTCATTCGAAAGAGCTCCTCGAGCTGCATCGAATGACACCAAAACCAACGCGATCGGACCTGCTTCGACAAAGTTATGACATAAAGTAAACCTCTGGGAGTACTGTAAGAGTGGCAACTTATGTCATAATTTTGTCTAAACTTGATCAATCACTGTAATTTTGGTGTCATTCGACTCAGCACGACGAACTCTTTCGAATGAGCTATCATTTGTACAAACTTTTTTTTACTCCAAAAGATCACCCCTGTGGTTTTTCAATATTTAGGGGTCTGTATCTCGGTTCAATCCGGTCGGATTTCATTGATTTTAGTGTCATTCGACTTAGCTCGATGAGTTCTAAATTCTTTTGAAAGACTAGCCATTTTGTACAATGTCCGACAATGTTTAGGGCCAAAAATCCTGTTCGGGGGCAAAAGTCCGAATTCGGGTTCGGGATTCGACTTTTTCAAAATCTGAGTTTAGATTCGTAATCAGCATACTTTTTTACCCTAGAAAAATCCTTTTTCTTATTTTTAAGATTTTTTTCCGCAGGGACCCCAATTCTCCGGGATTGCCAAAATTAAATTTAAAATATTCAAAAAAATTCCAAACTTGATATATTTCGAATCTGCCAAAGCCATATCAAACTTAACATTTTCAACGCGTTCCACATTGTTGTTTGAGGTATCGTTGGAAGAGTCCTAAAAATTAATAAATAAATATTTAATTTAGTAACAAACATTTTTCGAAATTTCATTCATAATAAAGCAAAAAAATTTGTGAAATTTTAGGCAACCTAGAAAAAAAATTTTTTAGCATAAAAAAAACAAAAAAATTAGTGGCGAAGAAGGCCTAAAATTTTATTTTACAAAATGAAAATGCGTTCTAGAAGTAATAAAGAAAAAAGTAAAAAATATAACAGGAAATAAAGAGAAAAAGAAATAGAGTAAATAATTAATTTTTAATTACGGTAGGACGGTTGAGTCTAGTAATATTAAAACTCTTCTTTATAAATTAAAGTATACTCAGCTGGTCGATTAATTGATTCCTTCCCTTTTAGAGAAAAGTGGACTTGTTTTTGCCATTTTTGGCCTATTTTTACCATTTTTGGCCTCTTTTTTTTGTTACTTAATATTACGTTTCAGTTAAATTTTATAGATTTAATACAGCTTACTTAATTATTTAAAATGGGAAAGAATAAAAATAAGAAAAACAAGCAAAATGCTGCTGGCGGAAACAGATTTGGTTCTGGACCGTTTAATAAGAAGTTTAACCAAAACAAGCCAAATAACAACAATCAAGGAATGAAAAAGGATAAAGGCGCTGTCAATGGCGGTAATAAAGGAGGTTTTAATAAGGGAGCCTTTAATGGTGGAGATAAATTTGAGAAGCGCTTGATGAACGAAAAATCTGCATGTATGTCTTTTGGGGGGTGTTTTAGGCAAAAAATGCTTTTTTCTTAAGTTTCCGCAAAGAAGGACCTTATTGATGATAAGAGCGACCATGCTGAAGTTTCCAGCCCGCAAAAACAACAGCAACGTCCAAAGGAAAATAAAATGAGGAATGATGGATTTAACGCTGTTCATGTGCCAATGAGTCAGATGAAACAGGTTTCTTTGTTTCTTTAAAGGTTTTTACCTTTATTTAGCAACCTACCAAAAATTTTGGTGGGCAGAAAACTACCCCGAATACAAGTGTTTTGTCTAACAAGGAGAAAGGTTTTGTTTAGACGTTCTACTTTTAACTTTATTTTTTAGAAAGCCCCAAGGATTCTGGCAAAAAGAAGGTCAAATTTGAAACCTCTTCAGATTCTTCTGGTGATGATTTTGAAATGGTTGGGAGTGCTAAAAATGATGCGGCGATCAAAAACGATGCTCAGGCAAAACGTTTTGGTATATCCTTATTTTTGATTTTATTCTTGTTTTCCCTGTTATGAGTTGATATTTTTTGTTTCCTGCTATTTTGATCCTGTTTCTTAGGGTCTCTGCGAAGCAAAAAATTTTTCTTTTTCAGGTAGTCCTCGCGAGACTCCTCCAACAAAGCGTGTCAAACTCGAAACCTTGGCAAACTCTTTTGGAAAGGACATGGAACTGAATGCCAACGCTAAAAAGGATACAAACAACAAAAAAGATGGAATTGTTAAAAATGATATTGTAGGGAAAAAGGACGCTAAACCAAAAGGTTTGGGGTTTTTTAATTTAATTTTAAACTTTAAATTTTCAATTTAAGCCAAATCAAATGTTGTTTTCGACGAGAATGGCAGTATTAATGACTCTGACATGGAAGATGAATCTGATTTGGAGGATCTTGAAGATGAAGATGATGGCGAGTCTTTGGGTCTTGATGATTCTGAAGATGGAGAAGATGATTCTTTGATGGATGAGGAGGATGATTCTTTGATTTTTGATGAGGAGGAGGATGAAAAGGATAGCGGCAGCGGGCCGGATGTTTCTAAAGGTTTTTAATTTTGCTTATCCGGGAATTTTGTTAGAGATCGGCAGGGATCTGGATTCAGACCTCTATCTGGTAATATTGAACCGACAGATCCCCTTTGTCCGGTTCAATATTAACCTTTATCTTCCTGGATCCATAGTTATGACGAAGGCATTTTTGAGTTTCTTTATTTTCCCTTGACTTTGATTTTTCCATTACTCTAGGTTTAGAATCTGTTTAATGTTTTCACTTAAAGTCATGATTAGTGGCAAGATTAAGGTTTAAAACAAGCTCGATCTCTAGAATTTGTGTTAGAATTCTTTTTAAAAATTTTAAAATTTTTTAAGACGTGCTCGACATAAAAATCACTGGTTACGACATTACTACAAACACTGGAAATTGTCTTGTTCTCAATGCACAGAAGGATTATTCTACAGCTTCGAGTCCGTTCAAATTGTTTAAATTTTCTGAAAATACTGAACATTCCGTTCAAGTTGGATTGAAAGTTTTACAATGGATTTTGAGTCCAATTGTGACTGATGAATTTTTTAAGTTTTTTCTAAATTTTTATTTTAATTTATATTTTTTCATTTAAAGCAACATTTTTCAAAAGCGTGTTCTTGTGTTGAAGCGTGCTACAAATGGTTATTTTGATGGGTTTTTTAATACCGAGGATTTTAAGGATATGCTTAAAAATGTGAGTTGATTTAGCTGTTTTCTTTGAATTCTAACGAGGGAATTCTAACTATCAGGACGAATTTTATGATAGTTCTGGTACTATTCGATTCTGCTCGTTCCCCCCACGTTATGGGGGGAACGAGCAGATTACCGCTTATTTTTAAGTCTAATTGTAAGATATCCATCCGCCCATATTTTCTTTAATTTTATTTTGTCATTTTTAGAATAATGTTCTTTATGGTCAAGATGTTAATGTTGCAACTTATGTCTCTGGTGTTCGTGAAACCCACAATCCATTAAAGAAAGAAATGCAACGCGCTACAATTGTTAATGCTCTTCAACATTTTCAAAATGGACGTTCTCTTCAATGTGTTCATCCTCAAGTTTTTAATGACAAAGTTTGGTATATTTGTGATGCTCTTCAAGAAGTTTTTTGTTCTTATGTTGGAGCTAACAAGTTTCTTTTTTTGCGTATTTTTTGTCTTTAATTTGTCTTTTTAAGTTATTTAACTCCTGCTGGATCTGCCGGTTTTGCGCCACATTATGACGATATTGATGCTTTCATGTTACAAGTTGAAGGCCGTAAGCATTGGAAGATTTATGCACCGAGAGATTTGGATGAAACATTGCCGCTTGAATCAAGTCGCAATTTTACTGATAAGGACTTTGCGAACTTTAAGCCAATTTTTGATGGATGGTTGGAACAAGGGGATATTCTTTATGTTCCTCGAGGATTTACTCATCAGGTTCTTTTTTATTTTTTTGATTTTTGTGTGATTTTTTGTCTTTATAAAGGCCAATACTGGTCCAGACAAGCATTCTCATCATGTTACTATTAGTGTTTGCCGTAAATTCTCTTATGCCCAATTTTTTGAACAAGCATCAAGCGAATTTATTCAATTATTGACAGATGAATCAAAACGTTTGCGAGGTTCACTTCCTCCACATTTGTTTGATATGTGTGGAATGGCTAATATTGTTTATCCTAATGAGGATTCATTGAACAATCGGTTTGTTTTTTACATTTTTTAGATCCTTTAAACAGTTAATTTTTCAAGACTCATTCCATACGCCAAAATATTTTCTCGAAAATTTGCTTCTGATTTTGCGTCGTATATTCCATCATTTATCGATTTGATAGCTAAAGATTTCTTCCGAACTGCACTTCCACCATTATTGAGTCCTCAAGAATTTAAACAAACTTGTATGGGTGGAGCTGGTGGTTGTGACAACTTTTTGGATAAAGAAAAGCGTCCACTTATTGGACCAGAAACTGAAGTTCGTCTTATACGGATGCATGGACAACGGTAAATTTTTAATAAAATTTTGTTTCAAAAATTTATTTTTAAGGTTGATTTATGAAGATGAGGAGTCTGCTTATCTTGTGAATCGGATGAACAATTCTCGTCGTTATGATGAAAACGATAATGAACTTTCTATTGATTTTGATCTTAAGGTTGTTTTTTTAGTTTTTAGAGATTAGGTTTTACGTATTTATTTTTTATATAAATATTGCAATAAAAATTTTTTTAAGTACGAAGATGGATACGTTACATTATGCAATTCTTATCCAAAATGGAAAACTGTTTCATCTTTGGGTTGTGATTCTCTTGAGAAAAATATTGAATTGGCAACTTTACTTTTTAATAATTGTATGCTTATGTTGCGTCAAAAGGAGGAAAAATGAAGAGTCTTTGAAATAAGAAAATATTTTGATTGTTAAACTTTTTTTAATTGGCTTCTCATTTATTATTTCTTGTTGGATTTAATTTGGAGATTTGTTAAATTTTATTTCTTTTTGAATTTTTATTGAATAAAATATTTTGATTTTTGTCAGAAAATTTTGTCTTAATTTTGTAATATTCATACCTAGTACATATATCTTGTTCTTATATTGGGCTGGGTTCATAAGGGCGCGACCGGAGGGCGCTGGCCTAATTTTAATTAATTTTTTTTTGTCAGATATTTAGATTTTCTTGAATATTTGCAAATATGGATTTTGATGCCAAAACTTTGAATTCTTTTTCAATTGCTTCAGATTTTACAAATACACTAAATGGAGGAAAGGTTTCCAATTATAATTTAGAAAAATAATTCAGAATTTTTAAGGATCCTTATTTGATGACATTTGATCCAATCGCTTTTAGATACATTGGTCGGCGTGTCGTTGGTTCATCTACTCAACGAAAATTCACAAAATTGGGCGAGGACTTTAATCTTTGTTTTAAATTGATTAAAAGTGATTCAAAGCTCGTAAAATCGTTGCTGTTTAGTTATGGATTTTTACAGGTTTTTTTTGTGGTTATTTTAATATTTTAAATTATTTTTTTTTAAGTGTTCGAGCAAAAATCTTTACTGCAACTTGATTTGGACAAACACCCATTTATCAACAAATTCGATGCGACAATTAAAATCCTGGCAAAGAATGAACCATTTTCCTAGGAGTTGGATGCTTACGGTTTTTTTAAGTTTAAAGTAGTTAAAAAATTTCTTTAGAAAAAAGATTGCTTGTACGAAAATGTCAACCGAGCGGGTGCTTTGTATGGACAGGAATATTTTAATTTTGTTAGTTTTATTGGTACTTGGGGGTTATCCCAATTTTGTTTTTCGCGGACTCGTTTAAAGAGGGGTCAGATTTTCTAAAGGGAATTTAAGTTGAGATAATTTTCCTTTTGTGGTTTGGGATAACCCATATGACCATTTTGTTTTTATAATCTAAAATTTGAGTTAGCGACTTCCTAAAATTTTTTAAAAATTTAAAGATTCCTGATTTCTTCTGCACGCCCTTAAACGATAAAAACTGCACAAAACTGGTCAACTGCTGCAAAGAAATTGAAAATGGCAAACAATCTCCATTTATTGTTAAACCTGCTGGTGGCTCTTTTGGCAAAGGAATTTTCTTTTTAAGCAGGGCTGAAGAGGTTTTTTAATGTTTTTAAGGGAAATTTTTAATCTTCAAATTTTGAGGTTTATTCAATCGACTATAGTCAAAAATGGGTTATTTCACGTTATATTGAACGCCCTTTATTGATTAATGGATTAAAATGGGATTTGAGGATTTATGTTCTTGTCACTTCTTTTTACCCTTTGATTGTCTACATGTACAGGTTTTGTTGTTTTTTTAATGGAAGATTTGAGTTATTTCTTAGGTTAGATTAGGATTACTAGTTGAACTTAAATTTTGAAAAACGGGGAGAGTGCCTGTCATTATCTTTTCTCTGGTGGGATCTTTTCCCTGAAGTTAATGGGATGGGCACACTAAATGGGACCATTCTTAAAATTACTCTTATTTTTTTATTTTTAGTGATGGATTGGCTCGTTTTGCTGTTCATACTTACAAGGATGGAAAAACTAATTTTGATGATTTAAATCAACACTTGACAAATTATGTTTTGAATAAAACGAGCGAATATTTTATTAGGTTTTTTAAAATTATTTTAAATTAAAGAATGTTTTTAGAAACAACGATTGTTCTGTAGAAGATATGGGTCATAAATGGACTTTGGGAGCATTGCTAAGACATTTGGAAGAAAATTCTGGTATTGATACTGAATGTAAATTTTTTTAAATTTTTATTTAACTTTTTTTAGTTGGAAAACAATTTTTGAGAAGTGTCGAAAATATTATTTATCGGTAGTGGGTCCTCCTCCTCGTTTTCCTATTAATTTTAAAAATTAACCAACTTAACCAAAAAAGCGTTTTTCTTCCGCTGACTTTTATTAGACTAGTTGTTGTTGTTCCTGATATTGAAATACTTTAAAATTATTTTTTGGGAGAGGGGGGGGGGTTAAAGCCTAAAGCCTGCTAATCTTTAAAAAAATTTTTTGAAATTTATTTTTTCAGTATTGATGGTACGCATTGAGGATATAGTGATTAAATCACTTTTATCTATCCAACCGCGAGTTGCTGCAATGTGTAGAAAATGTTTGTTTAAGAATTTTTTTAATAAATTAATTTTACGATTTTTCAGTAAATTTACATCCAAAATGTTGTTTTGAACTTTTTGGTTTTGACATACTGGTAGATGAACATTTGAAGCCTTGGTTACTTGAAATAAATTTGTCTCCAAGTTTATCATGGTTTTTTTAGATTTAATTTTAATTAATTTTTAATTATTTTTTAAAGTGATGCTCCACTCGATACTTTATTAAAAACGCATCTTTTTTGTGATGTGTTAAATGTTGCTTCGATACCTTTGGTTAACGATAGAAACATGGAAAATGAATGTTATTTTAGTGATGAAGAAGATGAAGTGGCTGATGAAGGAAGTAAACGAAGGAAAAAACAGTCTAATGATGAAAAATTGGATAATGGAAATGAACAAGATTTGGTCTGATTTTTATCGTTTTTTTAGAATTTTTGAGTGAAAGAAATTTTTGGGAAAAATTTTTCGATTATTTTTATCAGGGAAGAATTATTAATCTTGCCTTTATTTTTTAAAAGAATATTTTTTTAATTTTAGAAAAATTCTTTTCATCCTCAAACGCCTTCAACGAGTTCTTTATTATCTACTTCATCTGTGAATCACTTTGTTACACTGAAGGATGATGATGACGTGTTACAACAATGTTCTTCCAGTAAAAACGAAAAGGAAAAATCGAAGCAATTACCTAGAGCTTCTAAAATTAAAAGAATGCAGACACCACAAAAGGTATTATTGGGGAGGGGAGGGGGGTCGGTCATTTCTCCATTAAAAATTTTTTTAAAGGTAACCTTCTCTTCCGAGAGAATGTCAGCATTATATTTAGAACGTGTTGAACTACTTTTTGAAAAATTAAAGTTAGAAAATAAACGACGTGGTCATTTTAATAGAATATTTCCTAGAAGAACAACTTGGCGAATGTATTGGTAAGGAAAAATTTTTTAGAAAAGTTATTTGGGAAATTTTTAAGAATTGGAAAAATATTTTTGGAAATTTTTTTGAAAAAAATTTATGGGAAGAGGAGGAGAGATGTGAAATAACAAAAACCTCAAAAATTCCAAAAAAATTCAATTTTGCCAAATTTTAGTTCAATTTTGGAAGATTGTGGTCAAGAACAATGGGATAAAGCCTTACACACTTTATTGTCTGCTGAATATAATCAGGACACGACACCTCCAAAATTAACAATGTACGATGTTCAATTAACCCATGAACAATTAATGAATGCCGAAAAATATCAAAAAAGAGAATTGTTGGATCCATCAGTTTCAAACATTGCACTGGCTGAAGCACTTGAAGAAGCAAAATGTTATAAAAAGAAGAAAGTTTATACAACTGCAAGTTGTAGTGGAGATTTTAGACCATATCCTTGTGAGTTTATTTTTGGATTGTAAATCTGGGTCCAACCAAAAATAAATTCCCAATTTCTGGAAATTTGGACCCCGACCAAAAATAAAGTTTCGAGTTCGGGAACTTGAGATCCCACCTGAAAAATGTTGGGAATTTTATGATTTTTGGGTAATCGTGTAGTCTAGATTCCTTGGATTTGAAGAAAAATTTTAAAAATTTCAAGAAAATTTAAAAAAAATTTTTTCATTCTCTATAGCTGCTCTTCCAAAATTGCGTCCATCAGCTAGAAGAAGAACAAAAAGTCAATGTTTAGCAGATGAATTAAAACAAGAAAAATTGGAAAAGAAAAAAGAAGAAATGGCAGCAGCAGCAACAACAACAACAGCTTCAACATCTTTAAATATTTCTTCAAATTCTCCAACAGCTCCATTACTTGAACTTGATCCAAATTTGCCTTCTTTATCTTTATTAAAAGAAAATGAAGGAAATAAATTTATTACTATTAATGAAAATCAAAAAATGAAGAATAAAAATGGTGTTAAGTGAAGAGGAAGAGGAAGTAAGAAGAATTAATAAGAGAATTGAAGAGAAGAAACTTAAAAAGGAAGAAAAATCAAAAAATAAATTCTGAGAAATCCAAAAATTATATTTATACATACATATAAGCCTCAAAAATTCCAAAAAAAACACAAAAATTTCAAAAATCAAGGACAAGTTTTTTTCTCTTTATTACAAATGGCATTGTGGGTTTTTTTTTTCAATTTTTAAAATTTTCTAAAAAATTTATTTAACCTTAAAATGAGAGTTTTATGAGGCTAACAACATAAGTTAAAATTTTGTTTGTTTATTGTTTATCTTTTACTTTTTTATAAATTTTGCTTGAAAAATTTTTTAAAAAATATTGGGAGACCATTATACTGATTAGAGGAATTAGCTTAGGAGGAGGGGTTTTCCTCCTAAAAATTAGGCTCTTTTCAGGAGGACTAAAAAATAATTTTTCGAACCTAAAATTTATTTTTTAATTTTCCGAAAATTTTCTATGAAACTAAATATGTATATATTCATAGAATATTCCTGTTCCTTATCGTTTCCTGATTAGCTGTTTTTAGGCCGTTTTTAGGGTTTTAAAAAATCAAAAATTTTGGGAACCTATTTGTTTGGGGAACCACAAAAAATATTTTTTATTCCAATTTTACATAATTTTTTTCCTCCAAAAATAGTAACAAAAGGAAAGAAATGGAATAATAATCTTTTTTTGTCACGTGTTTTTCCTTTTCCTTTTTTATCTTGTCAAAAAATGCGTGTTAATAATTGTAGTTGTAACTAGGTGAGAGAGAGTAGAGTTGATGGATAGGAAGGAGGAGGATTTTTTATATCCCCTAGAGAACCCCTTTGGTTTATTTTTTGGCAACATTTGTTGTTGTTGAGAGGGGGAAAGTTTTTTCTTGATGATGTTCTTTGATTTATGTTTTATTTTTGGAAAATAATTATTTTTCAATGAAAATGATTTAGTATTTTTTAAATTTTTTTTGAAATTTCCTGAAATTTTTTTGAATTTTCTTTTTGAATTTTTTCGAAATTCTTTTTTGAAATTTTAATTCTTTTCCCTATTTTTTGTTTACTCTCCCTAGTATTATTTTTCAATTTAAAAATTTTTTTTTGGTTTTTCAAAATTTTTTTTTGCGATTTCTAACGAGAAAAATCACAAAATATTTTTCGCCTACTCTACGTAGTATTATTTTTGATTTTTTGAAATTTTTAATTTTCATTCTATTTTCGCCTTTCCTTAATTTTTTATCTCCCTTCTCCTTTATTTTATATATTCCCTATTTTTTACTCAATTTTTTACTTGGCCAATTTAATTTTCCTAAAAAGCGCATTCCTGCATCTTGTCAAGAAGTCAAGATAAGCTTTTAAAAGAAAAAAAAGCTTTATTTTTGCACCTTCCGGTGCTTTTCACACAAACAAACGCATTTATTTTTAAAAAATCACACCGTAAAATTTATGTGTGTTTTTTGCTTCTTCTTGACAAGATATATAATTTATGTCTTCTTATCTACCCTTAATTTATCTTTCCGAGGGAATAAAGGGAAGGGAGAAGGTTCCAATTACTATAATTCATCCTTCCAATATGGCTTTAATTTATTGTCCTAGATGACAAAATTTTAAAATACTCGGAATTTAAAAAAGGGACTGCGACCGAATTTTATGTTTTTTTTCGAGAACCTGTGATTTTCCAAATTCAAATTTTAAGTCGCAGTTTCGGTTTTATTTTAACACAGATCTATTTTATAAGGACCTTTTTAAACTTCCTGAACACCTTTTTTCCAAATTTTGTTTTTTAACTTCATAGAGGTGTTGGGGCTGGGGCACTTTTTTAAACTTCCTAAACTATTTTTTATCAATTTTTGTTTTTCTACTTTATAGGGATGAAAAAAGGGATGTTTTATACTTTTAGTAAGAAAAGATTAAGTTGGGAATTTGTAAGAAGCATTTTAAATTTAAATGTCAGGAGAAAGGCTAAAATAAAGAAGAAAAAGATTTTCATACAAGGCGTGCTAAATTGTTTTGAAAAAAGTCAATTTAAAAAATAAAATAGTAGCGCGCATAAATTGCTTTATTTTATTTTTCTCCAGTAAGTATTTAATCTTTGCTAAGTGAAAAAAAAATTTTTTTTTAAAGCTTAAACTTGAAATATTACTATTTAAAGTTGTTGGCCATCAATACACAAATTTATTGACGCCAACGCATTTTTATGAAAATATATGTATAAACTCGAGTATTTTTAGTTGTTTTACAATTTTATCTTAATATTTTGTCATTGTTGTTGCCGCTATTTTGGGGGATTCTTATTGTTAAAACCTAAATTTTTTTCAAAATTAAATTAGAATTTGTAAATCAATTAATCATAATTATTTCAGAATTTTCTCAGAATTTTCAGAAATAATTTCACATTTTTCAAAATTGCTTCGGATTTTTTCAGAATTAATCTCAGAATTTTTTAAATTGTTTATCACAGAATTTTTTAAAATTAATCCAACCCCCGTCTATTTTTTTATTATTTTTTCTAAGTTCAAAAAATATTTTCTTTTAATTTCTCCCCTTATATTCTTTATAAATATTTTCCCTACTTTCCCCACTTTCAGGTAATCTTATTTATATATGATTGATTGTAAAAACTTTTTCTTTATAGGCGTTTGACGTGTTTTAAGCTGGCACACATGTGGCAGCTAAAAAAAATTTTTTTTTAATTTTATTTTTTGATGAATTTTAGAGTGTTTTGAAAGAGGGGAAGGGGACTTAACTTATCATTTATTTCAGATGTTTCTCTTTAATTTTTTTCTTTTTTTAATAAAAAAATAGGAAGGGGGAGAGGGTTAAATAATTATGCCAGTACCAAAAAAATTAAAAAGTTTGAGGGAATTTTGGAGAAAAAATTATTTTTTGTTCCTCATCTTAATTATGAATTATGAAAAATTTCTTTCTTTCCTTTAATATTTTTCCGTTAGCTTTTTGTGTGTGGCCTTTTTTATTTTTCCTATTTTTCTTTGCGCGATGGCACGCAATAATTATTTTTTTGAAAATTTTTTTTTGAATTTTTAGTGCTTTTTTCTTGGAATTTTTTTTGATTTTTAAACAAATATTAGCAATGGAAAAAAATTTTTTTCTAATACCTCCAAACTTTCTTCAAAAATTTTTTTGAATTTTTTAAAATTCCCGAATTCAATACTCCTTCCATTCATCTTTTTGTCTTCCTTTGAAAAATGTCCAGAAATTCAAAAAAAATTTTTTGAATTTTCCTTATTTTTAAAGTCCCAAAATTAAATATTCTTTTCATTCATCTTTTCATTTTCCTTTCAAAATTAAAAAAAAATTCTATTGGAAAATTTTTAAATCCATAAATGAAGATTAATTACTTCTACTTGAAAAAAACGTTTTTTTAGATTTTTAAAAATATTCAAAAATAGTTGCGCATTTTTCTAAGAAATTAAATTTTTTAAGAAAATTTTTTAAGAAGCATTTTTAAAGCAATCATTAAATTAACAATTAAAAACTGCGTATGCGTATCTCTCTTTTTTCTTATTTTTTTTTAATATTAATTATTTTTTTTTTAAAATTCTTGTCACGTCTTCCAATAAATTATATACACACTAACATTTAAATTGGCAAACATATAAAAAATTATTTTTTTTTGCTCTATATTCCCGTTGCCATCCATCTATTTTTTCAAAAGAAAATATAAATAAAGCCTTCCCCTCCCATTCATTAAACATCCATTTTTTCCTTCTCTTCTCTTTTCCTTCCAATTCTTCAAAAAATGCCATTATTTTCATCAAATTTATTTATTCTCTCTTATTATTTTATTTATTTTTCTGCGCTATTTTTAACACTATTGCGCAATTAAATTCTTTTTAAAAATCTAAAAAAAAATCTGAAAAAATCAAAAGAAAGTCCAAAGATCCCCAAAGACCCTCTAAAACATCTCCTAAAAATCCCCTCAGAAATCAACCTAAAAATCGCCCTTAACCTCCAAAAATAAATTCCTGCTAATAATCACCCTCTTGAAACTTCTCTAAAATACCCAAAATTCTCCCCTAAAATCCTCCTTCCCTCAATAAAAAAAATAAAAAAATTCCCTAAAAAATGATCCCTAGAATTCGTTGGAATTCCCATTTAAATAATTCTAATTTCCAAAATAATAATAGCAACAATAGAGGTTCTCAAAGAGTTTACCAGAGACATAATTTTCGTCAAAGACAGCGACAACAAAGCTGCGCAGATTTATTTAATTTTGCGTTGATGAACTCAACAAACTCAAGGAAAAGTCCTGCAACACTGCCGTTGGTAGGGAAATTTTTTTGGAAATTTTTTTAATTTTAAAAATTGACATTCTGGAATTTTGACATTTCAACATGTTGGTATTTTTAGAAGTTGACATTTTGAGACTTGACATTTTTAAAAATTGCATTTTGAAAAGTTGACATTTTGTTATGTTGACATTTCGAAATATTAACATTTTGAAATTAAAAATTTTTTTGAATCAAATTTAGATGGACGCCGACAACTCAGAAGCACCAAGAACAACAACAATGGACTCTTGGCCTTCTATCCCTCACAAAACAGCATCATCAACTACAACACCAAATGGAGATTTAAAACAAGAACAAAAAGCTTCCTCTGCTTCATTCCCGTCTGTAGCATTACCTTCAAATAATATTAAAAAGACGTCAAAATGTGTTGCAATTAAAGTGGATGATGATGAAGAAAATAGGAAGCAAAATAGTGAAGATGATGAACATGATGATGATGTAGAGCCTCTCAAAAAATGTGGAAGTGGATTACAACTTAGGCTAAATGTTGGTGGGCGAAGTGCACAACTTAGCTTGTCAAAGGTAGGGGATTTCAGTAATGCGCATTTTGAAATTTTGAAATGTTGACATTTTGAAGTGTTGACATTTTGAACTTTCGATATTTTGAAAATTTGACGTTTTGAAATGCTGCCATTTTGGTTATTGACATTTTGAGATGTTACCATTTTGAAACTTTTGGCAATTTTTAAACTTACGAATTTTGAGTTAACATTTTGACATAAAATTCAGATTATCGATTTATATCAAAATCCGAAATCCAATCAATTTTCAGATTCGTCAATGTTCAGATCGTTCTCGACTTGCAGTTTTTGCAGAAAAAGACCATTCACAAAGACTACTAGATTGTGACGCTTTCCTTTTTGAAACAAATGAATATTATTTCGAACGTTCTGCTGCTGTGTTTGAACATATTTTGGATTATTATATTTGTGGAAGAATGCATAGACCAGTTGATGTTTGTTTTATTTTTTCGTAAGCTAAGGGGTGTTGGTGGCAAAACACCGACAAAAATCGTCCGAACCTTGAGCAGGTTCGCTTTTCGTCTTTTGCCAAATTTTAGTTTTTTAGGGGTTTGTTTTTTCGCTTTTTGTTTTTAGCTTTTAAAGTCTGTTTCGGCTACACCTCCGTATTATGCTTAGAAATTTTTGTGTGGACGGTGTATTATCCCGACACTTTTTTGGTGATGATTTAAAAAATTTTTTACAGATTTGCCCTATGAGATGGCGTGATGAAATTGAATATTGGCGTATTCCTTTAAATGCTTTAGCTGATTGTTGTCGTATAGTTGATGCACTAACTCCAAGCTGTAAAAGAATAGGTGGAGGCGGAGGATTTGCATCTAGTCCATCACCCTTATCTTTGGATAATGTTTGTTTTTTTTTGGGTTTTAATTTTTTTAATTTTGGGGTTTTTTAGATTTATGTTGAGTCTAGCTGTCCACCTGTTGAATTTGAGGTTTAATTTTTTCTAAAAAATTTTTTTCTAATTTTTCTTTCTTAAAGAATGTCCGTTTTGGCCGTATCCGCCTTATTGTTTGGACATTTTTGGAAAGTCCTCGTTCTTCATTCGCTGCCAAATTGTGGTCCTTTGCTTCCGCATTATTTGTACTTCTCTCATTGGCTTGTTTAATTCTTTCTTCAATGTCAGAATTTCAATTAGAGGATCATATAACGCCTGTTGCTGGAATTCAAATACTTGAACTTTGGTCGGGGTTTTTTTTTTAATCTAGAGGGGAGGGTCACTTTGAAGTCCTATACGAATTCCAAGACTCTACAAGCTTATACTATTTTTAAAGAGTATATAGACAAGTTTGCATGATCAAATGGGATATTGTTGGATTTGTGATTGAAGGGGGTAGAGAGCTCCACTCAACCAGAGAGGACTCTACTCAATCGACTCGCGCGCACTGCTGTACCATATGTCCTAAAATACAGATCAGCTTACTTATTTTCGTATATGGGTGCTTATCCCCCTTAATCCCTCAATATTCCCTTTCATAATGGTGTAGGCTTTAAGGGTGTAGGCATTCAATGTTGGACTTAAATTTGGATTAAAATTTAAAATTGTTTTTTTCAGTTGTATGTTCTTCTTTACAATAGAATATTTGGCGCGCTTTGCTGTAATCCCTCATAAATGGCATTTTGTTAGGCAGCCACTTAATATAATTGATTTACTAACTGTGGTGCCTTTTCTTGCAGAAGCTTGCCTTCCTCTATTAGGAATTTATGATGTTGAATTACGCAATTTTAGAGGTTTTTTTTGTTATTTTTTTATTTTTTAATCAGTACTTTGGGAGTCGCCCACCTTTTCTTATATCCCTGGCTATTTTGATCTTTGACCATTTTGAGCTTTTTTTTATGAGCTCTTTTTATAAACTGTTATTGAGCGATAACGATTTCGATCTTTGGATCGAAATGCGATACTTGTCTTGAAAGACTAAGGGGAAAATCTCAGAATGGTCATGGAACCAGGAAGTAAGAAAATAGGGGCGACTTCCCAAATTTTACCCTCCTTATTTTTCCTTTTTTTTTAAAGGAGCGCTTATCGTAATTCGTGTTCTAAGGCTAGCCCGTGTTGCTCGCATTTTCAAACTCGCCCGTTACAGTATTGGCCTTCGCGCATTTGGCGAAACTATGCGTCGTTCAGCAGCTGAACTTTCAATGTTGGGAATGTTTTTATTAACTGGAATAATGTTGTTTTCTACTGCAATTTATTTTTTTGAAAGAGATGAGCCAAATAGTAAATTTTATTCAATTCCTTCTGCCTGGTGGTGGTGTGTAGCTACGGTTTGTGAAATTTTTTATTAAATTAAAAGGAATGTTGAAGTTAAGATTTCTGGTCCCAGGAAAAAAGCTAGGAAAGCTCACCAATGTTTTTGTAGCTTTTCAGTAGGTAATCGAGTGAGTTGAGTCCGAATATGAGGCGTTTTTATTGGGTTCATTCCCGGAACTCGAATTGGACTTTGCCGAGTTGGGGTTCAGATTTCATATTCGGACTCATGTCAGCTCACTCGATTACCTATGGGAGACTTCCAAAAACATCTGTGAGCTCTTATTTTTTGTAATGACTTGTAATCTTCATTTTTACCAAAAATTCTTATTTTTAAAGATGACAACTGTCGGTTATGGTGATTTAGTTCCAGTCACAACAGGAGGAAAAGTTGTAGCAGCAGTAGCTTCAGTTTGTGGAATTATTGTTTTGGCCTTTCCAATCTCAATGATTATTGATAAATTTGCTGAATCAACAGGTCATGGAGGAGGTGGAGGAGTACCACAACAACAAGAACAACCAATTTCTTTTACTTTGGCTGCTGAAGATTTTAATAGCAGACATGTTTCTCCATTTAATACTGGAAAAGGAGGAGGAGGTTTTAATCGAAGGGCAAGTCTTCAAGCTGGAATTTTTTCTAGAGGTTTTAGTCGAAGACAAAGAAAATCGAGAAGATATTTGTTTTGATTAGGAGGTTTAAATTAATTTAAAAAATGATAACGGGTATTTAAACGATTTATTTTTTGTGTTAAACGGTTTTCTTGTTGGTCCTTTTAGTATGGAAAATATCGGGCGCCAACCGGGTTCGAACCTTCGACCCCCCTCTTCTCCAGTTAATTTTCCAATAATCTATCGAAACTGATTTTTTTGGAGAATTTATTTTTTGTAGAACACATTTAAGAAGAATGGAGAGGCAAAAAATTCGTTTTCACTCGTTTAAAAAATATCGGACCCCGAGCGGGTTCGAACCTTCGACCCCCCAAAGGCATTAAATTCTGCGTTATGTGACAAGAATTCCGATAAAAAAGTTTAATTTTATTTTCTCTGTTTTTTAATTTTCTCATTTTAAATAGTTTTTTTGATTATGTAGTTACTTAAAAAAATTTTTTTATTGAATATACTTGCCATTTTTCATTCCAATTTTTTTATATTTTTTCTTGATATGATTTTATATATTTATTAGTTTTTTTAATTGTAAAATTTTAATTTTGTAAATTAAAAATATAATTTAAATAATAATAATTACTTGTTCAACATGCAAAAAATTATATTTTCGAAGAATTTCATGTGGTTATTGGAAAAATATGATGTTCTTGTACAAAAGGGATGTTTTTCTTTAAAAAGATGTTTTGATAACAAGGTTTGAGTTATCTTTGTGGTATATTTTAAGGTTGTTTTATTGAGGTTTGGGGCCCGGCTCGATTGGGCGGATCGTGTCGGTCATCGAATTTTAACCCGAAAAACATTCGTCGGAGACTGGCCCCAAAAGCGGCCCGTTAACCGAAACCCAACCCTAATTTTAAGGTATAGAAACCTGTTGAGTTGACTTAAATAAGCTAAATATAAGATGTCAAACTTAAGACGATTTTGTTTTCTTCGTGGACTTTTTTAACCTTTAACTATAGATTTATTGATTTATAAGCAGGGTTTAACTAGAATAACGGGAAGTTTTGGTTTCTTTACATTTTTTGTTTTAAATTTTTGATTGATTGAAAAGCTTGTGGTTATTTTTTCGGTTTAAATTTTATAAAAAATTTAAAAATAAAAGTTGTGTCAAGAAAAATGACACCATTTTTTTATCGCCATTTTAATCTCTTTTTGACGCCTCTGTCAATTTTCCTGAGATTTTTTCTTGAATTATTTTTTTTTATTTTTAGAAAATATGCTTGAATAAATTTTGTTTGATGTGAGTACTTAAAAGAAATGGTGGCCGTGGTTTTGCATAATTCTGATAATGAGCCTCAATTCTTATATTCTTTTGATGAAAATATTAATGGATCATCTACTGATTGTTGCAAGGCGGATGGCGAAAGAGGTTATTTTTTGATTTAAATTTTATAGGGGATTTGAGTGATTTGAAATTTGGTGTTTTTCTCAAAGCTAAATGTTCTGCTTTTGAGGGTCGAGGGTTCGAATCCGTTCGACGCCCGCTATTTTTAAAACGAGTGCGAATTAATTTTCTGGATCTCATTTCACTTTAGGTACTTTTTTCTATCATAACACATTTTTTGGTATTCTTCTTACTTTAACAGCTTTGGCACCTTTGGGGGGTCGAGGGTTCGAATCCGGTCGGCGCCCGATATTTTTAAAACGAGTGGGAATTAATTTTCTGTCTTTTCTCTTTGTTTTTACCTTCCGGAATATTTTTTATTTTCTTTGTTTTCGTTTTTATATTCTAAAGAAGTCACTTTTATCCACAGGAATTTAAGACATTAATTTTGCCTTTTTAAAATAAAAAGGCATTAAAACCCTCATTAGCTTTAGTGTCAAGATTTATATTTTTTTACTTTACACGTTTCCTTCCCCTATGCTTTTATTAAAGCAAAACACCGTTGACTCTTTACACACATTTTTCTCATTTTTGTCGGCACTTGTGTGTGTTCTTCCGCTTTCTTCTGTAATTTTTTTTTAGTTTTTTTCTTCTTTATTCGTTTAAATCTTCCTTTAGCCTACGCAGAAGAGCAACGCACTAAAAATGGTGTTGAATTATTTTTGAGATAATTTTTGGTATTTTTAATTTGAAAAAATTTAGGAAAATGATGCTTTAGTCTCTCCAGGATCCATTAAAAATATTAATAAATTCCTTTTGAATTTTCTAAAAAAAATTTTTGTGTCGCTCTTTTGGATAAATCTATCATTATTTTATGGGGGAAGCTTTAAATAATTCCTTTTAATTAAAAAAATTTTTTCCAATTTTTGTTTTTTTTTGTTGCTCTTCTGGGTGCCTCCATTACATATTTTATGGCAATCTTTTTTTATTTCAAAAATCTCTTCTTCCCACTCGTTTTTTAGCGTTGACACACACATTTCTGACTTAATTTCAAAGCAATTTAACGCTCTTTTTAAGATGCGGGAATTTTTTTATTGAGTTTATTTTATTTTTTGTCATTTTTTTCTTGTAATTCTTCTTCATTTTATTTTCTAAAATAGCAACATTTTTTGTGTATTTTAATTTTTAAGATTTGAGGAAATATTTTTAGGTAGATAAGGGAACCTTTTGAACTGTGACCAAAAAATTTTTGAAATAATTTTGAGGAGTCAAAAAATGACAGTTACATATTGGCACTAGTCGTCCATGCTCTACACGTTTGTAGAATTTTTATTTAAAAAAATTTTTGGTCACCGTTCGAAAGTGTCCCTTATGGAGAATTTTTTGACCCTTTTGATCCTTTTTTATCTTAAATTTTTTTTTATTTTTCAGACTTTTTCTCGCCAATCTCTTTGTCTTGGAATTTTCTTGAAGTTTGTGGAGATATAATGGTTTGGAATCGTTACGGTTTTTATTTATTTTTTATTTTCAAAAAATTCTTTTTCTTCAAGAACGCCGTCATTCCACTTGGCGCAACAACGAAGTTTTTCGATTAAATGTTGGAGGCAAATCTTTTTGTTTTCGCCCGGATACTGTGCTGGATCATAGAGAACCGAATTCTTTGCTTGTTTATTTTTTAAATTTTTTTAATTAAAAAATTTTTTGAAGGCTCGTTTGGTCCGGTTGGAGCATCATCAACGCCTTATGCTTACAGACGGATTTCAACATGGAGAATACTATTTGGAAAGAAACTCGAAAGTTGCTGAACATGTATTAGACTATTTTCTTACAGGTTTATTTTATTTTTGATTTTCTTTGAAATTTTTAAAATTTTCTCAGGAAAGCTTCACAAACCTCCCGAAATTTGCCCTCAACGATTCAGTGAAGAATTGCTGTTTTGGAGGTTAACTAGAGTTGAGGTTATTTTTGTATATGAATTTATTTTACATTTTAATTTTAAAGCTGGCCCCTTGCTGTTCTGTTTTGACGGATACCCAACAAAAATTGAAACGTACATTGGACACTGAAAGGCAACTTGATCAGGTTTTAGTGATTTGTTTAGTGATAATTAAGTGGAAAAATTAGATAAACTCTTGTGGGTGTTATTGGTTAAGTTGGTTTTGTTTGGGTTTAGAAGAGTATTTTTCTGCCTGATCCTGTGTTTGAATCTGAGTGTGTATCTAAACCGTTATTTTTTATTTTTCTTATTAAAAAAATTTTTTAAGCTTCAAATTATTTTTAAAACCCCCAAAAAAATTTTTTTTAACTACTTTTTTACTTTAACCAAATTTTATTTTTAAGGTTAATTGTTGTCGTGGTCTTCGCAAAGTTATTTGGCATTTACTTGAAAGCCCTTCCTCTTCTCTTTTCTCAAAATTATTTACTTTGCTATCAGTGATTTTTATTGTAGCTTCTGTTGTTGGGCTTGTACTTGGTTCAATGCCTGAATTTCAGGTTTTCTTGTAATTTTTTTATTTTTTTTATTCAATTAAAGGCTGATTCTCGATTTGCTGATTCTTACCATGCTTTGTTGGGAGCAAGAAAAGGCTACAGTTCTAGTAATTTAAATGAAAATAATTTGACTACTACAACAATGCCAACAACATTAAAAACGAGAAAAATGAAGTTGCCTGTGGGTAGAGAAAAATTTAAACAAAATAAAAATGGAAGCAATTTTGTGGAGAGAACAACAACAACAAAGCCGAGCAGGAAGGTATTAAATTTTAATTTAAAGAGTAGGTTACTTTAGAAGGGATTTTTTAAATTTAAATGAACATTAAAAATTTGTTTTTAAATTGGTTATTGAGTTTTTAAAAGTTTTCTTTCATTTTAAAAATAAAGGGACCCGAGCGGGTTCGAACCCTCGACCCCCCCTTCCCCCAACACCCCAAATAATTTTTTCTTATTTCTGTTTTTTTGTTGACTTTCTTAATTTTATCTGATATTTATTTAAAAATTTTTTGTGTCCGTAAATTTGTTGACAAATTTTAAATAATATTTTTTAATTAAAAAAAATTTTTCTTTTAAGGTATCTCCTAAACCATCACCCCAAGTCTTTATTTATCGTCCAACAGATAATCCACAACGATGGTTGGTTATTCTTGAAAATTGTTGTATTGCTTGGTTTACAATGGACTTTCTTTTACGGTTTTTTAGATTTTTTTAAATTTTATTTTTTCTAAAAAATTTTTTTAAGTTTGTTGGTGGCTCCTCGTCGATGGCTATTTCTTCGACAACCTTTGAATTTAATTGGTATATTTTTCTTTTTTTTTAATTAAATTTCGACTCTGGTTTTGTTTATGAGTCCTTTGAGCCTTTCTGAGGGCTTTGATTTAATTTATGAGTCCCTTGAATCTTTCTGAGGCTTCTGGGTTAGTTTATGAGTCCCTTGAATCTTTGCGAGTTCAATGAACCTTTAGGAGTTTTTCGGTGGCTTTGGGTTAGTTTCTGAGTCCCTTGAACCCTTTTTTTGAACATTTACCAGTTCAGTACTGACTCTGCTTTAGTTTATGAGTCCACTGAATTCGTAACTTTTTAATGGACTTATAAAACTTCATTGGACCCATAAACTAAACTAGAGCCTTAATTTTTTTAATTAAAAAAATTTTTTTAATTTAAAGACTTATTTACTGTGTTACCATTTTATTGTGAATTGGCACTCTCACAAATGGGTGTTTCCAATACGGAAGGTTTAAAAGATTTTGCAGGTTTTTTTTCTCTTTTAAATTTTTATTTATTTTTTTATTAATTTAATTAAAAAGGCGCAATGCTTGTTATGCGTGTTTTACGCGTTTTAAGAATGGCAAGAGTATTTAAATTGGCTAGATATTCTACTGGACTTCAAGTTTTCTTTTAACTTTTGGGGTTTTTAAAAAAAATTTTTAAAAAGGTTTTTGGTGCAACTTTGAGAACTTCATTAAGGGAGCTTTGTATGTTGTCAATGTTTTTGCTTTGTGGAACAATTTTCTTCTCTACGTTAATGTAAGGGTTTGGAATTTTTTTTCTTCCTTCTGTTTTCTCTGACAATGAGAGAGAGATATTTTTTAAATCCTCCACCATTGCGGGGTATTGGACGTTTTGTGGTTCCGCAGTCGTCGAGGCTGCTCCGGGCTCCTGGCGTCAAATCAGTGAATAAAATTTCATCGGATGGTGTGGATTAAGATGAGGATTAGAATATTAGGATGAATATCGCGTGATTCAGAGGATTATTTTCCTTTAGTAAATTCTCCTCAAATTTTTGTTTTTAATTTAAGGTATTATGCAGAAAAAGATGAACCTGGGTCTGATTTTAAAAGTATACCGGCTGCTTGTTGGTGGTGTATGTAAGTTTTTATTATTAAAATTAATCTCTCATCAAAAATCTAATTTTTTTAGTATAACAGTAACAACTGTTGGTTATGGTGATTGTCAAATTTTAAGTTGGGGTTTGTTTTATTTTTTAATTTAAAAATTAAAAAAATTTTTTTAAGTTGGAAAATTAATTGCTGGTTTATCTTCAGTTTTTGGAATTATAATCCTTGCTTTCCCTATTTCTATGGTGGTTGAAAATTTTGCTGTGGCGCAACAGAAATTAAAATTGGAAAATCAATTAAAGGAAGGTAAAAATTGATTTTTAATACAAAATTTTCTAAAAAAAATTTTTCTACTCCTTGGGACCGGAAACTGTCATATAATAATTTATAAATAATTTTTCCTCATTTAAAAAATATCGGGCACCCCTCTTCTCCCAAAGATCACTCTAAACTTTTTTTTCGTATTCTAAAAATTATAAAAAAATTATTTTACTCCTCGGGACTGTAAACAGCCAAATAAAAATAATTTTTGTTTGTTTTAAAAAAATGTCGGGACCCAAGCGGGTTCGAACCTTCGACCCCTAAAAAGTGCCAACATCACTCAAAATTTTTTTTATTTTTCCTCTCTTTCAAGTCCAAATGTCACAAGTAGCAAATGATTATTTAATGCGTCGTTACCCTTCACGTCGTAAAGCGTGTCGAGATCCTTTAGATGGAAGTTTACATAGACATCAACAACAACAACAACAAAATATTAATCAAAAAATTCCTTCATCACCACCATTAACCGATTTATCTTCAAATGTTTTAAATGCTCCATATTCAGCATTAAGTGAAAATTTTGTTTTGGCAACAAATTGAACGGAAAAAATGAAAGTAAAATTAAATAATAAAAAATAATTTTTTACTCATTGGGATTAGGGATGTCACGAGTTATTTTCGACTCGAAACCCAACCAGAATTTTTTGATCAGAAACTCGATCCAAAAATAATTTTGAAAACCCGTCAAAAATATCTCTGTTTGGGAACGATTTTTAAATAAAATATCCCTGTCAAGGATGTCATGGGTTTCCCGAAATTCGATCCGAGAAAATTCCTCTAACTGGCCCAACTGGTTTTTTTCGACTCGTGACATCTCTGGCCCTCCAATACTCTTTTAAAATTTAACTAACTTTTTTTTTAAATTTTTTTAAATTAATAAACTTTTAACTAATCCTTAACAACTAAAATTTGATTTTTAAATTTATAAAATTTAAAAAAGAGAGATTAACACATTTAATTTTAAATAACGGACAAAAAATTTGGGATAAACATTTTCTAACCTTTTAGAAATTATTTAAATACTTTTTTTGTCCTTTTTATATAGCTAACGGAGGAGCCCCTCCGAAGGTATTTACTAAATTATTTGAATTTAAAATGTGACCCGGAACTATTTAACCTTTTAATTTTTTTCTGAAATAGGGATTCTCTTACTAATTTCCTAATTCATTTTCTTTGAATTCCTCACTATTTTTTTACCTTTTAATTTTTTTTTGAAATTAGGAATTCACTCGTTAACTTCTTTAATGTATTCTTCTTTCTTTTAAACGTACATGGGTCAAAATTAATTTAAAAAATTTTTCCCTAATAAATTTTATTCTATACCTAGAGACCAAAAACAGTCAGATTATATTTTTAGAATGGATTTTTCCTCGTTTTAAAAATTTCGGGACTCAAGCGGGTTCGAACCTACGACCCCCTTTCCACTATAATGGGCAAAATTATTTTCAAATTTTTTTTGTTTATTATTTTCTGGATTAAGTCCAATAATTTAGGCCAGACATACTATTTAATGTTCTTCCTTCCCTACTATTTTTATTCATAAATATTTTTAAATCTATCCTAAATATATTTACATATTTACTAAAGAACTGTTCACATTCCTTTCCTTTTATTATTTTTTCTTGATTTAAAAACTGTGTGTTTACATCAATTTTTAAATTAAAAAAATATTTTTTGTTTGAAAATTAAATAATTTATCTATTTATTACAACACACAAATTTTTTTTTATTTCTTTTATTTTTTTATTTTAATTCAATCTCTTCATTCTGATCATGGGAGACAGAGAATTCACCTCCTATATATATCTATTCAATTTAATTTTTCTATTTAATTTTTCTATTTTATTTTTTTTCTCGTTTCTATGCGGATTGTTTTTTGCGCAATCCATTTTTGGTGGTGATTTTAAATTTATTTTTGAATTTTTTTTGAAAAATATAGCTTGGAGTGAGGTTAGAGGAGATGGGTAAGGAGGTCGAGGGTTCGAACCCGCCTGAGTCCCGATATTTTTTAAATGAACAAAAGTAATTTTTAAAAATATTATCTTTTTATTTTTGGTACTTAGGAGTAGAATAAAAAAATTTTTGACTGGATATAAAAATAAAAGGTCAATTTTTGTGGAGAGAGAGTCGACGGTTCGAACCCGCTTGGGTCCCGATATTTTTTAAATGAAGGAAACCTCCCAAATTTAATTTTAATTTATTTTTGAAAATATTTCTAGTTTTTTTCTCTCTATTTTTGGGTCACATCTCGTTCCAATTATTTTCTTTTATTTTTTTTTGAATTTATTCTCTCGTTAAATTTATTATTTTATTTCTGACCTTGCCTTGGGCGTTTCGGAAGGATAAAAGAAAATAATATAGAACAAAAAAGAACACAAAAAATAAATTTTATTATTTTTATAGTCTTTTAGATCAAGTATAATTTTTAAGAAAAGTTTCCCTTCATTCTAAAAAATCCGGGCGTCAAGCGGGTTCGAACCTGTGACCCCCCCCCCCCCCCCCAAATTTTTAACACTTTAAAAATTAATTTTTTTATTTAAAATCCCCTACTATTTTAATACTCTTCATTTTTTATTTAAAATCCAAACTAAAAATTTAAAATAGTCTATTCAGCAAATTTACGCTTGAATGAATCGCGCACGCGTGATTTTCGGTGCTCCCAATTTTTTTGCCAATTTGGTGACCTTTATGAGTGACGAAGCGTTTTTTATTTATATTATTTTTTGTTTAAATACACAGTCAATTTTTTAAAATTTCGACTCCGGAAATGAAAATTGTCAGATACTTTTTTAAGAAGGATTTCCCTTCATTTAAAAAAATTCGGGCTCCGAGCGGGTTCGAACCTTTAACCCCCCTCAACTCTAAAAATTTTTTTCTTCTTAAGTTGAGTTTAGAAAAAATTTCAGCTCTTTAATTATGCTTTTCAGAACAGGAAACTGTCATGAAACGGGTTTTTCTTTAATTTAAAAAATTCCGGCGCCGAGCGGGTTCGAACCTTCGACCCCCCCAACATCACTAACAACACTTATTTTTTCTTAATTCTTTTTTTCTTGAATTCATCTGATATTTTTCTCTTAAATAATAATTTTCTTTAAAATTTTCTCCTATTAATTAGCCATAAATAACACTTAATCAATTTTATTTTTTTTCAATTTTCCCCTTTCCCCTTTAAAACAAAATTTAAGAACTTGAAGGACAGAAAAACTACAAAATATTTATAATTAACTAAGTTGATTGCTGACGAAATTAAGTGGAGAAAAAAAAAGAAAAAAATTTTTTAAGTTAAAATCACATTTTTTTCTTGCCCTTTCTTGTGTTCCTTTAAATTAAATTTTAAATTTTGGACTCGACGATTTTTTTAATTAGCTAAAAATATTTATCCACTCATCAAAATTACTAGCTCAGAAAATATTCCTTTTATGTGGCATTATCAATCCTATAACAAGTGAGTTTTTTTAAAAATTTCGAAAAAAAATTAAAAAAAATTTTTTCAGGCCTATCACATGGGAAAACTACTACTCACAAAGTTTGTGTTTAACAGTCAAAAATTAATTTTTTTAATTAAAAATTCCAGGGCATGCTACAATAACTTCAGGAATTGCAGCAGCCACCACAATTGTTATTTTCTTTGTTATTTTATTGTTAACGTTTGGTTGTCGCTTCTTCAGCAATAGAAGAAGGAGGAGAAGTGGAAGAAGTTCGGAGGGAAATGGAAGTGTTGGAGGTGAGGGAAATAAATTTTTTAAATAATTTTAAAATCAAAAACGAAGAAAAAATTAGTTTGAGTCAATTTTAAAAATATCGGGCGCCAACCGGGTTCGAACCCTCGACCCCCCTCACCTCCTACCAAAAGTGCCATTATCGTCCCAAGATTAATATTTTCGGTAATTTATTTTTTATAAAGCACCCATACTCTTCTAAAGAAAATGAAAAGCGCAAAAAATTCATTTCAATCTATTTAAAAAATATCGGGCGCCGAACGGGTTCGAACCCTCGACCCCTTTCCAAGTGGCTAAGTTTACTACACAGCACATTTTATCACGCGAGATACCCAAAACTAAACAATACCTTACAAATTTACCTTACTTTAACGAACAATAAATACAACAGACACAAATTTAGATACACAAAAAATACTTTAGAGATCACACAAAATTATATATAGATCACCCAAATCATTTCTCTTCTTTATTCTCTCTTTATCGCTTCTTGCCTCTAACCAAAAAGAAAACTCCAATCACCACAAAAGACGAAATGAGCCCAGTAGTAAGAATTATGGTCTTATCGAAGCGTTTAGGAAGTATTATTGGCTCTTCTCGCTTTATGGTCTGTCGAGGCAGATGGTCAGCAGACAAGTCAACAACATAGGCATACTTGAAAAGGGGAGATTATTTTAGGCTTTGTTAAGTTTTTTTTACCTTCGGTTCAAACTTTGGATCAATCTTGGTCTCCTCCATACCCCTCCATACAGGATTTTCAGCAATCGGTTCAGGAGTATCCACAAAATCATTGTCTCGCGAATCGTCCTCTCCACTCAACGAACTTCTCTGAAAAAATTTTTTTAATTGAAATAAATTCTTGAATAGGCGTTCTTACCATCTCCTGTGGCATCAAATCGAACGCAGTAACTGTAGTATTGTCGAAAAAAGCAGTGCCAAATGGATGAGGCTTTACAACTATCTTTTGAGGAGAAGGTTTAGTAAGAAGTTCTACACGTGGAGAAGGTTCTGCAGGAGATAGTGGATCCGCAGGTTTGGGAGAAGTTGGAGGAGTCTCAGTCTGAGTAGAAGTCTGAGCGGAAGAAGTCTGAACAGGAGAAGCCTTTTGATCAAGTTGAGGAGAAACTTGTTGTCCAACTACAAGCGGCTTCTTCATTGGTGGAAATGACAGAACTGGAATTTGCTCATAATGCGGATTTTTCGGCTTTTGAGCTACTTCCGGCTGCGGTTGGACGACTACTTGCTGTTGTTGTTGAGGCGGATTATCACCAGATTCCGTCAAGGAAACCGTCACCTCTGCAGAGTCTGGAAAGGAAGGCGCTCCTGATAATGTTGACGTTGAATTTGATGCTGACATTTTTGACTAGAAAATTTAAAAATTTAGACTTAAAAAAGCTGGGAAAAAGTAACCTAGACACAGGAAGATTGTAGAAAAGCAAGAAACAAAATACTGTAACAAGTGAGAGCAAAATACTATTCTCCTTTTATAGTTTCTCTAACTAGTGTATTAATAACAGATTCTCTAACCTTAAAATTTCATAATGTCAACTAACATTTAAAATTTCAAAATATCTAAAGTGTTTTTAATTTTATAGTTTCTCTAACTTGCGTGGTAAGAACTGCGTCTCTAACTTTAAAATTTCATAATGTCAACTAGGCATAAAAATTTCAAAATATCTAAAAATTGTCTCTTAAGAGTCTTGTTATTTTTAGCATCTCAACAATCTCTCGACGATCAAAGGATGTTTGTTATTTGCAATTGCAGCATTCCGCCACCCTTGCCAACCTACGAAGATGCCTTAAAAATGGTTCCTAGACCTCTAGATATTGAAAGAGGAGAGAAGGAAGCATTGCCCCCTCCCCCAAAATATTCTTTAACTAGTGGAGAAACAATTTATACCATTACTGCAGTGTCAACTTCAACAACAAGTATTGCTCAAACAATAACAACGACGGGTGAACAACAACAAGGAGAAGAAAATCATCGACAACAAGAAAATTTGCCTTCTACAACAACATCTTAGAAGAAAGAACACACTTATTTTTGTTCTCTGCCATTTTTTCCGATTTTTCACTTTTAAAGCTTCACTTTACTATTTATTTTTAATAGGATTTTTTATGATTCGACATTTTGAAAATTATCAAAGAATAATTTAATTTGTTGGATTTATTAAAAATTTTGATCTGTTTTTGTCTTGTTTTAGATGAGAGGTAGCTTTAGCTTCCTGAGACTCTAGTGTCTCTATTTTTAAATTATTTTTATAACGCCAAAAGTTTTAAAACGATTGTTTAATCAATAAAAGGTGAGAGATGCAACGAAGAGAAAAATACAAAAAGTGACGCTTCTCTTCTTCCATTGGAAATTTTTGAGGTTTTATCGGTTTTTTTTTGTTTTTTTTTTCGGAGTTTTTTGTTCAGGGTATGCGTTTTTAGACTTTATTCATTCCCTGCTTCTTTTGTATTTTTCTGATAGCCTTTCTACCTCGTTTGGATATTTTTCCACTTAGAAAGGTTAATGTAAACCTTGTAGAATTATTTTCTACGTTCGTTTAGTTTGAGCGGTCAATCATTTTTTTATTAGAAAATAACGTTTATTTATAAATTCAGAAATTGATTGAGAGCTTATTTTAACACTTAAAATTTAAGTTTTACATTGTTCAGTATGTTAATCCTCTTAACCGCTTTCGTTCATTTTTCTCTTGTTGATGCAATTTTAAATTAAATAGGGAACTAAAAACGCGTTCCCCGTCTCTTTTCAATAAATTTCGGTCATTTTAAACCAAATTCTGGCCACATAATCCTTAAACAGTTTATTACCTTGATCACACAAGTCATACATTGTTTACTTCTTCCATTGCATTTTTGACGTAAGAATAGGCGTGCCTTATATAGTCTTTATTTTTTCTGGACTATAGTCCTTGTTTACTTTTTAATCTTCATTTCCTTAATTTCTTTTTTTCAGTAAACTTTACTTAATTTTTTTTAAAAATGACGGCTGATGGTTTGGATGTCGATAATTTGATCACACGGCTTTTGGAAGGTTTTATTATAATTATATTTTATTTTAATTATTTTCTTTGTCCAGTTCGTGGCTGCAGGCCTGGCAAGACTGTGCAAATGACAGAAAATGAAATTCGAGTTCTTTGCATCAAGGCTCGTGAGATTTTTCTTTCGCAACCTATTTTGTTGGAATTGGAGGCGCCGTTGAAGATTTGTGGTATTTCGAGTTTTGTTAAAATTTTCACGAATCTTTGTCTCTAGGCGATATTCACGGTCAATATAACGACCTTTTACGGCTTTTCGAATATGGAGGGTTTCCGCCTGAAGCGAATTATTTATTTTTGGGGGATTATGTGGATAGAGGAAAGCAGAGTTTGGAGGTTTGTTTTTTAGTTAAAATTGGCTTAAAATCCCGTGAATTCTAGACCATTTGTTTGCTGTTGGCCTACAAGATCAAATACCCGGAAAATTTCTTTTTGCTGAGAGGCAACCATGAATGCGCTTCTATCAATCGAATATATGGATTTTACGATGAATGTAAGAATTTTTAACTTGTGGGTTATTCATAATCAGTTTTGCGGGCATTTTTGTGTATATTTTATTCCACTTTCCAATCTTCCAAGCGATTACCAAACCTATTCTGGCCATTAAGTCGGCATAAATATGGCCGCAAAAACTGGTTAGGGATAACCCACAAGTACCGACTTATAATTTTCAAGCAAATTCTCAAATTGTTTCAGGCAAACGCAGATTTTCTATAAAATTATGGAAAACATTTACTGATTGCTTCAATTGTCTGCCAATTGCTGCTTTGATCGATGAGAAAATATTTTGTTGCCATGGAGGTTTGTCACCAGATTTGCAGAATATGGAACAAATTCGAAGAATTATGCGACCGACGGATGTGCCAGATACAGGTTTGAGGGAGGGTTGGCTTTTTGAGGTTTTCGGTTAGAAAGGTTTCACGAGGATGTCAAGTGGATTCCGAAACTTCAACTTTTTTTCAACCCGTGACATTCTGATACTCTAGCCATGTTCAAAAAAATTGTTTTACTTTACTAGGTCTTCTCTGTGACCTTTTATGGTCTGATCCAGACAAAGATGTCCAAGGATGGGGAGAGAATGACCGTGGAGTCTCTTTCACTTTTGGGCCTGATGTAGTTGCAAAATTTTTGAATCGACACGATTTGGATTTGATTTGTCGAGCACATCAGGTGGGGATTTTTTGGAAGGATTTTTGAAAAATTTTTTTCTTCAAAGGTTGTTGAGGATGGTTATGAATTCTTTGCCAAACGTCAACTTGTAACACTTTTTTCGGCTCCTAATTATTGTGGAGAATTTGATAATGCTGGTGGAATGATGTCTGTGGATGAAACTCTTATGTGCTCTTTCCAGGTTTTTTTTGAAATTTTTGGGAATTTTTTTGAATTTTTTTTTTCAGATTTTGAAGCCGTCAGAGAAAAAAGCAAAATATCAATATGCGGGCTTAAACAGCGGTCGTCCAGTTCAATCACCACAACAGCGTAGCAGTCCAGCTGTTCCGCAACAATCTCAACAGCAAGGACCTCCAAGCAAGAAGAAATAAATGAGGGATGAATGAAGGAAGGAATGTTTTTTGTGTCTATATAATTAAATTTGGAAGTGAGGAGGTTTATTTTATTTTTTGCTGTATCTGAAGACAGGAAAAAAATTTTTTTGAAATTTTTGGAAAATTTTTTGGGAATTTTTCGGAGATTTTTTCCTGCCCTTTTTTCTCTGAATCGTCAAAAATTCTTTTAATATTTTTTGCTGTATTTGATGATTTGGTAATTAAATGTTTTTTGGTTTAAAAAAATTAAAAATTGTGCTTCCCATACCTAAAAAATTTTATTTCTGCATTATTATAAAATTTCAATTTGCTTGGGAATAAAAATTTTGATGAGAGAAATTGTTTGTAAATTTTTTGAAATTTTTTGGTTTATTCCATTACTATATTTAATATTAAAATTAAGAGTTCAACATTTTCGATTGACGGGCCCAGGTCTGGGTTTTTAAGATGACCCGGGGCGTGTTTTTCAGTGTTAAAACGACTGAAAGCTCGCAAATCCTGAAGACCTGGTTTTATCAAAAAATACCCGTTTCCAGGCTGAATAGCTCGTGAAACCCATACCTGGCCGGTGTTGAACTCTATTATAGATTGTAAAAATTCATAAAGTCTATTCTAATAGTAAGGCTTTAATTAAAAATATTTTTTAGTCTTTAAAATTCGATTTAAAATAGAGGGAATTGACACAAGAACGCCTTTATTATGCGCTTATATGATGTGCCTTGGATATCTCATGAAGGTTTTTTTTTTTAATTTTTTTGGGACTTTCTGTCTTTAATTTCAAAATTTTAGGTGGAAATATTTTTTCTTTGGACATCCACCCAAACGGAAGCAAATTAGCCACGGCAGGTCAAGATGGAGGAGGGGCAGGACTTTTAATTGTTTGGGATCTTGATTTTCTCAATGCATCGATTGATGAAACAACCGAAGTTATGCCTGCTTACAATAATCATCCAATGGCTAGAATACCTCATTCAAGTTGGACAAGTTTTTTTTTATATTTTTAGATTTTAGGCGGGTCTCGGGGTTTTTTGTGCAGTCTCGGGCTTTTGGGCCCGTCCTTCTTTGTTCTTTTTTTAATGAGGATAAGGCTTTGAATGGTTTCGGTTTTCCTTTTTGGGAGGTCTTTAACTCTGTGGATTTTATCCCTTTTTGGTTAATCTTTTTAATGGGGATGGGCGCTACTTAATTTTGGGCAGAATATTCGTTTTTTGAATTAAGTCCCTAATTTTAGGTTTTTGATCTTCTACTCCTCTTATATTAATAAACCATCAAAAATCCTTCAGAATTTAATTTTTTCGTAAACCTATACCTTTAAATTTTTTAAATTTTTCTAGGCAGTATAAACTGTGTTCGTTGGACTCGTGATCCTTCTTCTAAACGTCTGGTTTGTGGAGGCGATGACCCTGTTCTTTGTATTTATGAATGTACTGGAGTCTTCACAAGTATGGGATCAATTGATCAACCTTCTTCTTCTACAACTTTGCCTTCTGAACAACAAGAAATTTTACGAAAAGTAGAAAATTATAGATGTACACATAAATTGTTTGTTTTGTTTTTGTCTTTTATAGGGTTCGGCCCACAGTCTCCCTGAGTAATGGGAATGCTCTAGTTTTGGCCCATGTTCTGGAGAAGGGAATATTCTCCGTGGGTAAACTCATCCCCCTCCCTCCCCGTCCCCTGGAAAGCGGCTGCTCCGTGTGAAAGTTCTTGGGTTCCCCGAACCCAGACCTGAAATTCCCTGACCTCACTTTTCCGTAAGATCGACTCCCTCCCCGTAATGTCACTTACTATATTTTCAATTTTTTAATTTTAAAGATTTGGTCATACTTTAGACGTTTTACATTTGGATTGGTCTCCAGATGGAAAATATTTGGCTTCTTGTTCGCTTGACAATTCAATGTTTCTTTTTAATTTTTTTACAATTTTTTTAAATTTTTTAGAATAATTTGGAATGCTCGTAAATTACCTGAAAAACTCACAACATTAAAACAATCGGGAGGTGGTCATTCAAGAGGCGTCAAGGGTTTGGCTTGGGATCCCGTTGGACGGTTTGTTTTTGATGTTTTTTGTAAAAATTTAATTTTTGACCTTTTTGTCCTTTGACTATTTTTACAATTTTTTTAATTTAAAATTTTCAGCTTTTTAGCTACTCAAGCAGAAGACAATACTCTAAAAATTTGGCAAACTGACAGTTGGACCTGTGTACATACATTCTCTGAACCTTTTGCCGAATCAGCAATTTCAACACTTTTTTGTCGAATGGATTGGTCTCCAGATGGTTGTTTTCTAGTTGCTCCTTGTGCAATGAATAATGGAGGGCCAACAGCCAAAATTTTTATGAGGAAAGATTGGTCGTATTCTAGGGATTTGGTTGGATTTAGAAAAGCTGTTTGTGCTGTGGTTTGTTGATTTTTTTTTTGAAATTTCGTTGAGAAAATTTTCGGGACTTGTAAATAGGGTAAGAAGTGTTTTTCTTGATTTTGCTGATTTTCCTTATTTCCTCTGTTTTGCTTTAGGGGTAGTCTGGGATGTCTGAAACCCAGGCTTTTTCGACCCGAAACCCGATCCTTTTTTCTCAACCCGCCCGATCCCTGGTTTCCATTTTGATATTTAACCAGCCAAAAGGCCTCAAAACTTCTCTAGGCCGCAGAAACAATTAAAAAAAATTTTTTTTGAAATTTTTAAGAGAGCCAATCCTCATTGTTTTCAACGTACAAATTATTCTGGAACAAATTCCAATTTTGCTTGTTTTGCAATAGGAAGTCGTGATCGCTCAATTTCTATTTGGTTAATGCCTAATTTTGCTCGTCCCCTTGTTGTTGTTGAAAAAGTTTTTAAGGATTCTGTCGTTGATTTGTCATGGTTTTTTAAAATTTATTTGGTTAGAAATTTTTTGTATTTTTTAAGGTGTGACTTGACTTTAGCAGCTTCCTCTAAAGATGGAGTTGTTCGAATTTTAAAATTTTCTGATAATGAAATTGGCAATATGCTCTCAACACAAGAAACGGTTCTTTTATGATTTAAAGTTTTTTTTTAATTTAATTGGAGGGTAGGACCTTATTATAAGCTGAATAAGGTTATCTGGGATGTCGACTAGTTAGCTTTATTGTTGGGTATGGCTCAGGGAGATGGCCAAAGTCTGACATGAGCCCAGATTTTAAAAGTCCGAAACCAGGGCAACATAACGCCTAATACACTAGTTGGCTTCCACAGCCGAGCCCAAGTATAAGAAGGTCAAGTACCACGTCATTTAACCAACAACCACGTTCTTATACTAGCGGGTCCCAATGGCAAAAAAATTAGAAAAGGAACTTAAATTGAGTTAATATCTAGAGACGAGGTCAGACCTTTTTTTAAATTTTTCTCAATTTAAAGGCATCAATAATTGAAAAACTTTATGGAATTAAACAACACAATGCATCTGATGAACATTTAAATAACAATGATGATAGTTTTTCTTCTACTAATGGAATCCAAAATATTGCATTTCCTTCCTCCTCAGATTTTGGTTATACTTCAATTTGTGAATCTCTAGCTCGTCGAACTGCTGAAACAACAATAAATAGTGAAGAAGAATTGTTTAAAGTTGCGTTTGGTCGTGAACCTCCAAAAAGACGTGTTTCAATGGAAATGTTGAAAAAATTTGTGAGGAAGGCAAAAAGACAAAAGGTTTAATTTTTAATTATTCTTGACCCCCAAAAATAATTTTTTAAAATTTTTCTATAAAATTATAGAACGGCATTGAACAACAAAACCTTTCAATACCCCCTAATGGCTCTGTAAAATCTCCTCATCCTTGTCAAAATGGTGAATCTAATGGAATAAACAACACAAAAATTAACTCTGACAGACGTTTATTCAAAAGAGCAGAAAATTTCAAGGAAAGAAGAAAAATATTTGAATTACCAGAACGGAAGCGACTGTTAATTGCAAGGATTGAAAAAGTTAAAAAAATTTTTAATGAGTTGGAAATCTTCTTTAATACCCATTGGGCCTTACCATAAGATCCCTTGAAATTGGAAAGATAGGATTTTTAATTAAGTCTCACTCAAATTGGGTTGGAGAGCTCCTCCACCGTGCACCTCAACTTTTCCACCATTGGTTCTAATTTAAAAAAAATTTTTTAGGATTCTCCTATAAATTATGTTGAAGCAATAAACAATTACCCTCTAAAGTCTTATATTGAACCAAGAATTGCCAGATTATGTGGGTATAATAGAAGAAAAGGAGTTGAAGAAGAAGAACATCAACCAAACTGGACTTGGTTTTCTCGACGTCACATTTCACTTCTTTTGGCGAATCGGTTTTTTGAAATTTTTTAAGGATTATTTTTTATTTTTTTTTAGAATTTGGACAGCTATTGCAACTTTTGATGCTCATTTTCTCATATTTTCAACACAAACTGGACGCCTTATTTTTGATGTTTGCCTTAAAGAACAAGCTTCATTTTTTCAACAATTAAATTTGGAAAATTTATTAATTGGTGGATGTGGAGGAATTATAAGTGTTTGGTAAGAATTTTTAAAGTAAGGTTTCTACCCAGGTCCTTGGGGAATTCCGAGGTTCATGGGCCCCATCCACTAATTTTCTGCAGCCCCTGTTCTCTGTAAAATCGGTCCTCGTCCGGTAAGGACACATTTGCAGGGAATTCCTTGGTGATCGAATTGGATAGATTTTTAGGTTTCTTTTTAAGATATCGGAGTTTGAACCCAATATTCTTCTTCTATTTCAAAGTAATACTAGAAATTTGGGGAAATAATTTTTTTAATAAATTTTTTTCTTTAAGGAATATACCTCAAAGAAGACAAGAAATGCAACAATCAATTGCCCCTCTTTTTACATTTCAAAGTTTTTTTTAATTTTTTCATAAAAATAATTTAAAAAATTTAGATCAACAATTAATTAGTGCAATACTTTTACCTCAAACAAATGGTGCTAAAGAAACATTTGCAGGAATTGATTTAAAATTTAGTGATTTGAATGTTTACAGATATTTGCCAAATTCTAATGGATGGTAAAGATTTTAATATTTTTTTTGGTTTTTATAAGGGATTTTGAGGAGGTATTTTGGTTAAAAAATGTGTTAGGTGAGAATATCTTTTTAAATTCAAAAAAAGCATTGGGAGATTGGGTCTAGAATCTTTGGATATCCGCAGCCGAACTCACGAACTATACAGAAAAATCCACGGTTCTGATGTTCCTCCACATTTGGATGGGATTTGAAGGAACCTTGTTGGATCGGAACAGAACGAAAGATTTTCCTGTTTGGTTCTTCGTTTCCGAATCGACAACTGAATCCTAGGTGGATTGGAAAAAACCTCAACCTTTAAACAAGACTTTTTTGACACTACATTCCTTTGACTAGTTTACCAAAATTATATAAGCTTTTTTAGAACCTTTAAATATTTTTTAATAATTTTCTAGGTCTAAAATCAGCACATTATTTGATTACATAATAAAAAATGATGTTCCTGATGATATTGTTTCTATGTTAATGGAAGAAGAAGAAACTCCTCAAGATGACTGATCTCGTTTATTTTTTAATTTTTTTGTTAAAAATATATATTTTGGTGTAAATTTTGAGCAAATTTTTGGATTGTTTTTAGACGAGTTCTATGCTCTAAAATTATTTTTTAACCTTAAAATTTTTTTTAGATTTTCAGATTTTTAGGCAAGTGAGGGGGAAATGCTTCCACTCTGTCGTTTTAATTTATTATTCAATCAGAAGCTTTTGAAAAACCAAAATTTTTTATTTATCCATTCTCTGGCTCACAATCAAAAAAATATCCCTTTTCCTTCAATAAGAGATGAACCAACAAAAAAGAAGGAAAATTATACAAGTGTTCAACGTGAAAAAGAAAGGCGTGAACGTATAAATCAAATATCAGATGCTATGAATTTATATATAAAATCAATTAATGAACAAGAACAATTTATTAAAGATGAAATGGTTGGATTTGAAAGAGGGAAACGACATTTGGCAAATATAATGGGTGTTGATCCTGAAACTATGACTCAAGTTTGTTGTTTAAATTTTTTGTAGAGAATTGGGGATGAGTCTTTTGGGTTTGAGATTTATAAAGTGTGGAATTTTTAAGGTTTATGGGTATTAGCTGACGAGTTCTGGTCTTATCGGAGTTGGGACTGTTGGGAATTCACCCATAAATTTCTTAAAAGTAGAGAACGGGGACGAGTCTGCTTTTATTGGGCAGGAATCATGTGACGAGTCATATTTTGCTTTCATTGGGCTTGTAATTATTGGCAGCCTTGCCTATAATTTTTAAGGTAGTGAATAGGAAACTTGTCTTTTCTTATTGAGTATGGGAGTTTTTGGAGCTTTATCCAGATTTATTTAAAGTGTAAGGGTCAAGAGCACCAAGTTTCGTGCAATTATCTTGGGCATCATATTCTCAAAAATTTATTATTTCAGAAACAAATCAACACATCAATTAAATATTTGTTTCCTTCTGGCTTATTCTCTTTAAAAACACGTCCTGTGATGCAACCCTATTCACTTGATCCGATTAAAAAAATTGATGTGGATCGTTATGGAGTTCCTCGGCATACACTTTTCTATACTCTAAAACCTCGATTCTTTGCTATTCTTTCGGTAAATTTTTTTGAAATTTTCGAATTTTTTTTTGGAATTTTAGGACATAAATCGGCGAACACTTCGTTTAGTTCGTGAATATGACAAAAAACAATTGGCATTGCAAAAAGGAGAAATTCGTGAATCTGAAGCAAAAGAAGGAACTTCATTACCCATGAATCGACATTTTTGGATTACAAAAGAAGTTTTGCAACTCAAAACTAATGGAGAAAGGATTACTGATGAAATGGTTTTTAAATTTAATTTTTTTAATTTTATTAATTTTTGTAATTTTAAGTTTGCTGGATTTGTTATGGCATTGGAATATATGGTTTGCAATTTTTTTTAAATTTGGATTTGTCTCTTAAGGATAGTTTTTATGGGGGCAAGTTTTGTGGATTTATTGACTCGTCAAAAATTAACGAGTCGAAGCCACTGACGAGTTAGGTCCTCGATAAACCTGACTTGAATTTGAACTTAAATGGCTTGAACTTTTTTGAACTCAATTAGTAAATCTGAAGAAATTTGGACTTTTTCCCGACCTAGTCCCAGATAAGAAAAAATTTTAAAATCTGATTAAAACCCTGACTTGCTTCTTTTCTCAACCTGGTCCTATCTCGGATCGTAACATGTTATCATATAAGTTGTGATGGCCCCTATTTATTAATTTCCGCAAAATTTATCCTCAAAATTTTTTATAATAAAATTTTTTTTCAAGTCTCAACTACCAAATGCTAGTCTAGAAAAAGAATTTATTGATGATTATCGAACTTTGCGTTCTGGAGATGTTGGAAATGAAACTTTACGTCTTTATCTTTCTGAATTGCCAATAGTTTGTTTTTAATAAATTTTTAACTAATTTTTTCTAATTTTCTAAGGCTCATGTCCACCCAGAAACTGGCTTTTTAGAAGCTCATGGACATTCTCATGTTAAAGCAACAATTGCTACAGCTTTAGTAAGTACTGGTGGAACAGGAAAAATTACAATTGATGGACATCATTATGATATTTTGAGGGATATACAAGCGAGGTTTTTATAAATTTTTGAAAAGAAATTTTGAAATATTTTGAAATTTTAAAGAGAAATTCTTTTATCTCCATTAATTGTTACTGGTCTTCTCGGAAAAGTTGATATTGAAGCAAAAGTAATTAATGGAACTGGTGGGAAATCTACAACTCCTAGAGCCATTAGAACAGCAACAGCTTTAGCATTGGCCGCCTTATATCCGGATTTGGCTGAAAGATTGAGATTGGCTGGAATGTTGAATTATGATAAACGAAGAAGAGAGAGGAATAAGGTTTTTTTATTTTTTTTAAATTGATAAGGTGGGGGGAGAAGATAGTTTTGTGTAATGTGAGGGGGTGGTGTGGGGGTCGGTCTGTCTGATTTCTCCAATATTTTTACTTGTAGTTTCCGGGGATTTTCTGGTTTTCTAATTTTGTGGTTATGCTTTTGTAGGATAGCTTATGACATTTTTTAATGTAGAGGAAGAAAATATTTTTGTAAAAGGTCCATTGTTTTCTTTAAGTCTGTGTTCTCTAGGATTTTCTACGATTTCTAAATCCACGGTTCCCAGGCGTCTCCAAATTTTTTTCTTTTAATGTTTTCAAATTTTTAGCCAAGTCAAAAAGGTGCAAGAGCAAAATGGATTTGGTGTAAACGTTAGGAATTTTTTTGTTTTAATAATTCACTTTTTGGGATTGTAAAAAATTTTTTTGCTGAGGAAAGAATTTTTTAAATTCAATTAGGTAATTTAATAGTTAAATGAAATTAATTTTCAATCCCAAATAAATGAATATTATTAAAAATTTGAATTGTTTTATTTTCTCTATTTTATTTTGTTATTTTAGGAATATTTTTTTGTTTAAATAAAAAATTTTGAATTTTAATTTTAATTCTAATTTCTATATTTTATTTTATAATTTTGAAAAAATATTTTTTTTAATTTATTTTAAATATTTTTAAAATAATTTTCTAGATTTATTTTTAAAATTAATATTTTCTTATTATTGTCAAACAATTATTGTGCAAATATTTAAGTGGAATTAAACAACAACAACAAATTTATATCTACAAATTTATTTATTTTTACTGCAAAACAAGGAAACAATTAAATTCATTTTGTGTGTGAATGGATGGATTAATTGATGCATAAATATATACAATAAAAGGTTGGGAGATTTTCTTTTTTATTTTTGAATTGATATTTCTTTGGGTGGTAAATAGGGGCGAACCTCACCATATGAGAAGTGCTATAATCTTGGGGCTATAATTAGGCTAATATAGACATGTCTTAAACAGGGAGGGTGGTGTCGCTAATTGTAAGGGTCCTCTACCCAATCCAAGTAGCCAGCCAAAAGTTGTAAAAATATTTTGAATCTAACAATAAGTGTGTTTGTATTATTGGGTGTATTAGAGGTCCACCTGTAGAACAAACTAACTGTCCAATCAAGTCTATATCTAACATAAAGTGAGGTTCGACCCCGATTTGTTCACACCTCTGGAAAACAATATAAAAAATCCTTTACAGAAAATTAAAAAATTTTAGTTTTCATTCTTATGAAAAGATTTCTTTCTCTAAAAGATTTTTTTCTATTTTTCCAAATTTATTTTTTTTTCTCATCATTTTTATATTCTAATTTAACTATAAAAAGTGGTTGTTGGGGAGGGAGGTGGTCGTCGGCCATTATTTATTTTTATTTTTTAATATAATTTTTTTTCTAATTTTTATTTTTTTAACAATCTCTTCCCAGCTGCGATATTTAATATATTTTTATATATTTTTATTTTTTACTTGAATATTTTTATACTTTATATGTGCATATAGTCAATGAGTTTTATTTTATCTTTTTTTTCTTCCCATTTAGTTTTAGCCTTCAAAATTCTTTTTTTTCGATTTTGTTATTATTGAGTATTCTTTTTAATGTTTAAGTTGGAAAGAAAAAAATGTTGGAAATAAAGAAAGCTAAAAATGCTAAAATTAAATGGAAATATTAAGTAGCTTATGTTTATAGAACAAATGTTTCTGTTTCTTGTAAGTAATTTAGTCCGTTTTTATTTAATTCTGATAGTTCGTGGGTGTGGTGTAGTTGGTTGTGTGTTAGGTTAAGGTACCGAAGGAGTGAGGTTCGAGTCCTGTTGGCGTTTGTTATTTTTCTAAATCATTTTTTGGCGTTCTAAAAATTTTTCTAGTATTTCATATATTTTTTAAACTTGTTTTTTATTTTTTTTCATGGTTGCTGGATCTAGATAATTTTAATAACTTGTTCAAATCTTTCCTGTTTCTTCTTTTTCATTAAGAAAGCTCTCTAATTTTCCTCCTCTTCTCTCTATTATTAATCAACTAATTAATTTTTTAAAATTTAATTTCTCAACCTTTTTTTCCTTTTATTAAATATTAAATAAAATCTAAATTACTTAACATTCTCAATTTTTATAAATAAAATCGATTTTGCGACCCAATAAATGAAAATTGTAGAAAAAAAAATATAAAATTGGGAAGCCATTAAAAAGGGCAAAACTCTCTCTGGTTAAACACACACACAATAATGTTTTGTTTATTAAATATATTTTTATTTTTAAGTCGTGGATATAAGTAAATGAGAGAAAAGAAAAAAATTTTAGGTTGAAAAAGAGGGGAGACTTATTGACTTTATTTTGGGGGATTTCGTGAGAGTCGGGCATGATTAGGATGGAATCTTTCCGGGTTCCTCCGATTTCTGGCTAGTAAAGTTAGGCCACTCGGAATTTTTGAGAGTTGGACTATTCCCAGTATTTCCTAGAGAGATGCAATGAGATAGAGCTCGGACGAGTTAAGATAGGATTTTTTCGGAGTCCTAATCCCCTCCCAAATTCCTCCCCTCCTAATGCCCTCCAACTTTCGGTAAAATTAGACCAATAGGGATTTTTCAAGTTGGACTATTTTTTTTATTTTCTAACGAAATTCAGTAGCTACCAGTCATCCGGTCTCCAAATTTAATTTTTTTTTGCCAGGCTCTAGCCTGAAATATATTTCTTTCTCTCGATTCAATTTCTTGCATTTTAACATTCTTTTTAAATTTTTAAAATTCAAAAATTTTTATTAATTTTGTAGCCAGCTACCTTTTAAAAATTAACGTTTAAAAACAAACAATAAAATTCCAAAGATAGCTTTCTAGCCTTATTTTTCTTTATTTTTTCTTAAATAACTAAGAAAACTACTCTTTATTTAACCACCTCACAAAATTTCCTCCTCCTCAATCTTTAAATCCATGCATTTTTTTATATTTTTATTTTATACACACTTTTACACACATTTTCATTTTGTGAGTTGCTTCGCTTTCCAAAAATTTATTTTTATATATTTATTTTTATTATATTGATTTAGCGACTGGCCTGGTGGTGGTTGTGGAAGGAGATGGTGGTGGTGATGATGTTGTTGATGATGGCGGATGGTTAAAGATTCTTCGACTCCTTCCCGCTTTTCTCATCATCCCCTTCTTCAACTACTAATTTTCTCCCCAAAAGTCCAAAACCTCTTTTTTCAATTTTTATCCTTTAGCCAAATAAATATTACCTTTAAAATCTTCCCTTTAATAAACTGCCTCTTCACCTCTAAATTAATGCCTCTTCTAAATAGGATGCCCCTCTCCATTTGAATGCCCCATCTAAAAAATTTTCTTGGGGTTGAAAAATAGGATACCTCCCTCCGGTTAAACGCTCCCTCCAGCCTCCAGTTGAATGCTCCTTTGGGAGGTGATTGAAAAATAGATTGCCTAAGCAGTCTACATAGGTATTTAGAGACTTTAAGGGGTATCCTTTTTTAGGACCACTCTTTTTTGTTTAAAAATATTTGTGGACTCTCATGTTAGCCTTCTTTATCTCCTCAATGGAGGCAAAGCTTCTTCTCTCCCTCCTTCTTTCATCCAACCTTTCTTCCCCTTTTAAAATTTTTTGGTGTTAATAATTTATTTATATTTTTTTAATTTTATATTCTTGCCAGTTTTCACACATTTTTGCTTGTTTTAAGCCTAAAAAATTTTTTTTATTTATTTAATAATGCTCCTCTCCAAACACAACCTCCTTTTTTTTAACCCTTTTTATTTCTTTAACTCTTTATTTTTTTAAAAACGAGAAGCGACATTTTTCATTTTCAGACTTTTTACATACATACAACAAAACAACATTAAATATATATTCATTTTCTCTATTATTGGTGCTTGCTTTTTTTATTTTTAAAATCTTCTCACACCGTTTGCCCAATAATATAATTTTTCTTTTTTTTTATATTGACATTTGGAAAAAGAAAAAAGAAATTATAAGGAGAAACAACAAAAATAATTTTTAATTTTTAAAGTTTTTGGAAGAAGAAGAAAAGAAAAATGGCACCAAATATGTATAGGGTTGGAGGTACTTTTTATTTCTAGCTTTAAAAATTTTTGTGGGGAGTAGGGTTTAAGGGTTGATGTGGAGAGAGGTGGTTGGTTTGAGGTGGGGTTGTCCCTGATCCTAGGGGTGAGGGTGGTTGTTGTTCTAATGGGTGCCCCTGGTCCTCGTTTAGTTGTTTGCTGGTTGAGAGGGTTTTGCTGTTTTGTTGCTGAGTGGGTGCCCCTGGCCCTCACTTGTTCTTTTCCAAGGTGAAGTTAAGGGGGTTGAGAAGAATCTGAAAATAAATTTTATTTCTTATGATTCTCTTAAATTTTAGATTATGTCTATTTCGAAGCGCAACCAGCTGCACCTTTTCATATTCGAAGAGTTGAGGAATTAAATAAGGTGAAATTTTTTATATTTTTAGTGAATCATTTTGTGCCTTTTTTGGGTAGTCAATGCGCTTTTATTCAATTTTCTTACTGTCTTAATTGTGGTTGAGTGTTTTGGTGTTAGGTTCTAAATTTTGACTAGGCAGCGTTCGATACCTTTTGGTGGTATTTATTTTTTCCATTGCTTCTTTGTCCTAGAAAAAAGATTTTTTGAAAAATTTTTTGAAAAAAAGATCAAAGAAATTTTTTTAACTACTATTAAAATTTTTTTTCACAATTTTTGAAGACCTCAACTGGAGCAGTAGAAGCAAAAGTTACTTGTTTCTTTAGACGTCGTGATTTGCCTGATTCAATTCTTAAAATTGCTGATCAAGCTGAGAGGCAGAATAAAATTTGTATTTTCTTTTAATTTAAAAATTTTTTTGAAATTTTTTTTTAATTTTTTAGTGTCAAAACCGCGTAGAACTTTGTTAGATTTGAAAGAAAGTGTTACTTCTTCAGCTCCTGTTTTAGAAGCTAATGGAGGGGACTCAAAATCTGCTAGTCCAAAAGAAAATGGATTGCCAGAATCGAGTAATGAGGCACAAAATTCTGCAAATTTGGACGATGGGAAAAAAGGTTTCTTAAAAAGTTAATTTATTGAGTCGTACTGGGGTGTTGGGTAGTTGGTTGAACCTTTGGGTGGACTTGGACTTTTTGTGACTCACTCCGGGTCCAGGGTTTTCGAATTCCTGGCTCCGGCTCCGGAGTTGTGTTGGCATTTTGGATATTAGTTGTTTTGCTGATCCGGGTTTTTTAAATTCTTGGCTCCGAAAATCTTAAAATCCTTCCTTTGGCTCCAGCTTCAGAGTCTGCTTTAGACCTATCTCCCGGAGTTATACCCAGCACTGGTAGTTGTTTAAAAGAGAAAGTTCAGTTTGATTTTTAAAACCTTCATTTTTCAGAATCATGTTCTTCTCATTCTCAAAATGACAACGATGAGGGCAATGTTAGCAGCAGCACAACAACTTTTTCACATCCAAAATGTTATGGTTTTGCTGGTCTTCCACGAGGAGCAACAAATCTAACTTCAGAACAATTACATGAATTACGTCAAAAAGAATTATTTCTTTCAAGAATTGTTGAAACATTGCCAGCAACACAAGTATAAAATTAAAATTTTTTTTGAAAGTTTTTAAAAAATTTTTAGATTCGTGGCAAATGTTCCGTAGTAATATTAAATGATGTGGAAACCTGTGATATGTATATTGGGAAAGATGTAAGGGGATTTTAAAAAAAATTATTTTTGTTGGTCAGATACACCAGAGGTCGATCGGAATTTCGATTTTCGAAAATTTGAGCTGATTTCCGAGTTCCGACTTTTGAGCCATATCCGACAGTTCTGACTTCCGGCACCTTTGTCATTTCAGATCGACCTCTGTGTTATACGAAAACCAGTATTTTCGGACATATGTATGCGGACTTATTGGTCAGCTATCACTTCTTTGGATTTAAAAAAGAATATGAATACTCTGACTAATACAAGTCGGCATAAATATGTCCGCAACTACTTGTTTGGGATGACCCCCAAGTACCTTCTTGTTTTCTCTTTTAATTTTTATTTTTTAAAGGATTCATTTTTCTATTCACTTGTTTACGATCCTTCAAATCAAACATTATTGGCAGATAAAGGACGTATTGAAATTGGAAATAGACATCAAGCAATAATTCCTGATTTGTTAAATGAAAAAAATAAAAATGATTTGGAAACAATGGAATGTGATGATGTTGAAAGTGGAAATAAAAGAGTGGATGGTGATGAAGAAAAAATGGATGATGAAATTGGGAATGAAGAAAAAAATGGGCATGAGGTTTTTTAAAAATTTTTGATATTGGGTTTTGATGCTGGGACTAGTTTAACATTTTTACTGGGGGAGTAATTGATGTGAATAGTTTTTTCCGATGAATGTTGGATCTTTGGTTATGGGTCCCTAGGTTATCAGGATTCAGGTGGCTCCCTGGACTCATCTATGCTTTCACGGATATCCTGGATCTTTTTCCATCTTTCCATCTTTTTTGGTCCTTCAGTCTTCAATTTTTCTCGTCTTCCTTTTCATTCTTTGCTTTCTTCCTCGTCTTTTCGGCGTTCATTTTTGCTAAAATCAGGAAGAATTCATCCCAGGGTCCAGGGAGTTTTTCTAAAATCATCCCAAATCTATGGAGCTTTTGCCAAAATTCAAACAACATTTTCTCTCGACAATTTTTAGATAAGAAAACTATCTTTATTATTTTTACAGGATAAAAAAGGCGAAGAAAAACTTCAAAATAAAAAAGCTGAAGAAGAAGACGATGATAAAGCATCTTCATCATCACTAAAAGAAACCTCTAAAATTTCAAAAAATTCAACAACAAAACAACAATTTCATTTTGAAGGAGAAACAAGGCGAGAAAGATGTGTTTATCATCCATATCATAATCTTTCAGATTTGGAAATTGATCAATTTTTATTAATTGCAAGGTTTTTTTTTGAAAATTTTTTAAGTAAAATTAATTTTTTAATTAAAGAGCTGTTGGAACATTTTCTCGAGCATTAGACAGTTCCTCTTCTATTAAAATACCAACACTTCATCAAACAGCAGCGGCAGCTTCACGAGATATTACACTTTTACATGCTATGGCTTTATTGCATCAATCAAACTACGATATGGGAAAGGTTGTGGTAAATTAATAATTTTTTTAATAGAAAAACAAAAAAAAATTCCAATGAAAAATAAGTTAGGGAGGTCTATAGAGGAGGGGATCTAGAGAAATATTTGTAAGGCCCAACTAAAATTATATAGGCTTATGTATGAAAAAAATCCTCAGGGTTCCCGAGGCTGACTGAAGATGTTTTTAAGACCAACAGCTCCTTTAATCTTTTTTATGATTTTTGGATTGATTGAAAGCTTTTGATTAACCTTCTTGATAAACCCACAGGAATCGATGAGGTCCTATTGTCCCTTAAAAATGTTGTGTGGCCAAATAAACATTGAACTAACACGATTTTCGTGATTCGTGTTGCTCTTACTTTTATTAAAATAATTTTTTTAATTTAATTTTTTGGGATCATATACGTTCTGAAATCGAGTTTTTAATGTTAATTTTGATTTTAATTTATAAATACAAGTTTATATATTTATTTTTTAAAGGCAACAGGTTTTCTCGTCCCCCCAGCAGACAACAACCACCACTATCCACTTGAAACAGATAAATTAACGTCAAATAAAACAGCAATTTTGGGTGGTCCAATACTTTGTAGAGATCAATTAGAAGAATGGTCAGCTTCTGAATCAACTCTTTTTGAGGAGGGTGTTGACAGATGTGTGAAAGATTTTCATGATATTCGGCTAGACTTTGTAAGTAAGGGAGGGGGTTTTATGAGGGTGTTAAGAAATGAGAGACTGGCCTAAATCTGAATCCATACCTTTTGGATTTAAAGTCCAAAAGATCTGGATTTAAAGTTTTTTTGACCTTAATTTTTTCTTTGACTTAAGGTCAAGGAATCTGGTTCAACTAATCTCTAAAAAATTTTTCACCATTAATAAAAAAAATTTCAGCTTCCCTGGAAATCAATACGCGATATTGTTGAATACTACTATATGTGGAAGACGACTTCGCGTTATGCTGAAATTAAAAAAACCAAACATACAGATCGAGGTTTGTTTTGTTTGTTTTTAAAGTGAAAATATGAATGGACTACAAGACTTTTTTAGGAGTGTTTGTTATGTTAAGGTTTGGTTGAGTGGTATCGTCCGTGGTTTGCCCTATAAAGGGTCGAAGGTTCGACTCCTGTTGCTTACCCTTTATTTTTCTTTGAAGAATAAACTAAAAAAATTTAAATTTGATGATTTGAGATTTTTTTTTAATTTTTTCTAAAATTTTTTAAAATTTTTTTCAGAAAATAAACTCAATGTAGTCTACATTCCAAGTTATAATAAGCCAACAATTAATTTAATTAATTCTGCACCAACACCTTTTGAATGTGTTAAAAGTAATTATCCTTGTGAAGGATGTAATGTATGTTTTAAAGATTTTTTTTAATTTTATTTATTATTTTTTAAAGATAATAGAAGCTTATCAATGGTATTTGTGGGGACCAGCAAATCAATTGAGGCTTTGTGGTGATTGTTGGAATATTTGGAAAAAGAGAGGAGGTTTAACTAATCCTCATGAATTAGGTTTGCTTTAATTTTTTTATTTTTTTTTTGAAATTCAGAGGGTAAGAGATAGGTTCAGAGGAGTAGGGAGATAAATCTTGAATTTTTCTTAGGTTCAATGGTTTCTTTTTTTTCTTTCCCGACTTTTGATTCTTTTCTTGATTTAAAGTCAAGGATCCAAGGTCATTTAGTCCTCTTGTCCCATACGTAGCTATAGGAGGGCCTCTACTTACCGAAAATTTCTTTTTTTCTGGCTTCTCCTCTTTCTTTAATGCTTCCAATAAAACTTTTGGACAGACTAAAACTCATAAATTTTTAGATACTTTTGATTTGGATGGTTTAAATGAAGGAGGACGTTCTGCTGTTAGTAGTGGTCAAGCTGGCGCGGTATAAAAAATTTTTTTCTTTTAAATAATTTAAATATTTTTTTGAAGAATCGTCAAAATGTTAATTCAAAGAATTCATCAAATAGTGGTCCTCAACAACAGCAACAACAAACATTGTCGACCTCATCAAAAAATGTTGGTGGAAGTTTAATTCCTTCTTCAATATCAGGACAAATTTTGATTGGACAAAAAGGCCGTGTAGCTTTTTGCCTTAATGCACCATTAGAAACTCGAATAGCTAGAAGGTTTTTTTGAATTTATAAAATTTTAAAAAATATTTTTTTTCAGGATAGCTCCTAAACAAATTTTTAATGTTCGTAAAGCAGCTAGAGCACCTTTCTTTGAATTTGATCTGAAAACAGTTCAGGATTATTGTTAGTTTTTATTTTTTTATATTTTTGAGAGGGTTTCTATGGGCACCAGATCCTTTTAAGAAGATTTAGGGCGATGGGTCTGGAGATTGAGGGGGTATACAGGTTAGAAATGTTCCAAGGCCAATTTATTTCGAGGGTATTTTTGGGTAACCGATCAACGTCCAAGAAGATTCTTCGGGACTTGGTCCTTCAAAGAGGATGACTCCGGACTTTGTGATACTTTTTGAGGAGGTATACTCGGCTAGAATGTCCTGGAACCATAAATAATTCGTAGAATCAAGTGATCGGTTCAATTCTTTCCAGTGGGATAAAGTGTCATTTATTACTTAAAAATCAATTTTTTTTTAGATTTTTGCCGTCCATTATCCGACATTTTACAAGCTGCTCGACAACTCCCACATGGTAATCATATTTCTCGTTCTGCTATTGAACATCTTTCAAATTTGCACAAAAAGAGGGCTATAATTGCAAATGGAGGAAAATAAAAAAAGAAGAAAATTGAAATCCTCATTTCCTCATCCATTTTTTGAAAAATTCCCAAAGAATAATACACATTGTTCTGTTTTTTATCTGTTATATAAATTTCGCCAGAGGGATTTCAAATGTAAAAAGAATGTTCTGGAACATTTGATTATCTGAAAATATTCTCGCTGTTTGACATTTTCTGTTTTGTTTACACTTTGAAATGCCTTGAGTTTACATTTTGAAGTCCCTCATAATAGCGAAATAGTGTGTTATACTTTTGCAGAGAAACAAAGTTTACTTTTTATAACGCGTATTGATTTTCGTCCGCCATTATTTTTGGCTTTGTACTTTATTGATTTTTTTCTCTTTTTCTTTGTCTAACATTCTCTCTTTTTTTAGATATTTTACTCTGACCAATGCCTTCTTTTGCTCAGCCATGTTCCGCCGCGCGAACATTACCTCATCAATCAGACCAAGTTCAGCTTCCCTTTTTCCTGTTTCATCAGGTTTTTTTATTTTGATATCTTTATCTGTATTTTATTTTATAGCAATGATGATGCTGATGTTCACAGATGCTGCTGATGTTCATCCGCCTCCTGGTGCTGAAGGAGCCAGGAGTTGCTTCCTCTTTGATGCTGGGTGGAGGCTCTGGGGAACACCTAAATGGGGGGAGGTTTGGGGGGACCACCTTGTTTTCCATATGTCTGGGAAACATAGACTAATCTGAACAGTATAAGGGAAACCTTAACGACTGTCAATTTTTAAAATTTTATCTAAATTTTTTTTTATTCCAGGTTGCTGCTTTTTGGACAAAAATTTAAGGTCTGCGGTCTTGAAAAAATTTTGAATCAACTTAATGGTATGCTGCTCTGGATTCAAAAACATGGTTTAATTGGAAATTGGTGATTTTTTAGTCATGGGGTCTCTAAATTTAATGTGGTCGTCCCACATATTTTGTCCGGGATTTCTCCCTAGGTCGGCCTTTGGGTCTTTTCTGGTGACTGTCAGGGTCTTTTTGACTTACTGACCCGTCAGGGTTTTATAACTTACTGACTGTCAGGGTCTTCTTGACTTACTGACCCGTCACGGCTTCGATTGCATTTTTTAGTCGTGGGGTCTCTAAATTTAATGTGGTCGTTCCACATATTTTGTCCGGGATTACTGACTGTCAGGGTCTTTTTGACTTACTGACCCGTCAGGGTTTTATAACTTACTGACTGTCAGGGTCTTCTTGACTTACTGACCCGTCAGAGCTTCGATTGCATTTTTTAGTCGTGGGGTCTCTAAATTTAATGTGGTCGTTCCACATATTTTGTCCGGGATTACTGACTGTCAGGGTCTTTTTGACTTACTGACCCGTCAGGGTTTTATAACTTACTGACTGTCAGGGTCTTTTTGACTTACTGACCCGTCAGGGTTTTATAACTTACTGACTGTCAGGGTCTTCTTGACTTACTGACCCGTCACGGCTTCGATTGCATTTTTTAGTCGTGGGGTCTCTAAATTTAATGTGGTCGTTCCACATATTTTGTCCGGGATTTCTCCCTTGGTGCGTCTTTGGGTCTTTTCTGGTGACTGTCAGGGTCTTTTTGACTTACTTTAAATGAGGACTATCTTTTATTTGAGCAGCATATTATTCTTTTCTGGACAGCGCTTTTTTGGACGGCTTTGCAGTATGTAGAAAATGAAGGACGCGCGCGGAATTTTTAAGGTTTGTTTTTATTTTTTTGTTAGGGTTTCCCTTAATACTGTTCTAAATAGAGTCGGTATAATCCTTTCCCATTATATGCCTGTGGTATGGGTGATTTTGATCCAGCATTTTCTCGACCTCACAAATTATTTGTCCCTTGAGTTCCATTGGTTCGGTTAGGTTCCACCGCCGTCTTCATTACCAATTCAGTGTCAATTACTCAAGCTGCATTAATTCCTCTTCATCTGTTCCATCAGGTTTTTTTAATTTTTATTTATTCATATTTTTATTTTCACAATGCTCGCCTTTGTTTGAAAAAAGTTGATCCGCCATGAATCTGAATTGGTCAACACGTTGGCTGAGAGATGAAAAAGGTTTATTTTATGATACTCTTTATTTCATGGATTAGAACTTGTGTTGTTTCTGTCTTTTCAAAAAGTGTAACCGGTAATATTGAACCTGAAAGACCCCATTTTTTCCTCCCCAAATATCTACAGAATTGTCAGACTTTTTCCTTTCTTCCAATTGCCTCTCTACTTCTTTTATGGAAGAAAGCAAAATTGATAGGGAAGGAGTCTGACCATTCTGCATATTTAAGGACTTGGGAGGAATTTTTCATAAAAACGACCTTTCAAAAACATTTTTCAATATCTCTTATAAGGATGATGGACAGTATTGACAATTATTTTTTCAGGAACAAGCTCAACTTCAAAAAGCAATAAGAGCTTCAACTTCCAGCAGTTCATGGTTCACTTTTGGAAGCTCCCCACAACCCTTTTCGAGAAAAGAAGTTTCATTGACAGAACAATTTATTAGATTCTTAGAACAAGAATCTGTTGACAACACAAAGTCGATGCTTGCCTTGCCTCCTATTGAGGTTTAATTCTCATTTTGAATATTTAATTAAATTTTCTTTTATTTAATAGAGCACTCCAAATAGAGGCTTTTTGTTGGATGAATCACCCTCCGCCTTGAGAACTTCTTCGTCTACAGATTTGAAATCTATACTTGACTCTTGATTTTTTTAATAAATTGCCTTATGTGATAAATAAATTTTTAATATATTTTTATGTAGAATAAAGTCGTATTTTATATTTTGTAATTAAAAAAATCGATATATCGATTGATATCGATTTTTTGAAAATTTAGAATTTTTAAAAAATAAATTATCGATTAGTATTGATTTTATCGATTGATATCGATTCTTTAAAAATTTAGAATTTTTAAAAAATAAATTATCGATTAGTATTGATTTTATCGATTGATATCGATTTTTTGAAAATTTAGAATTTTTAAAAAATAAATTATCGATTAGTATTGATTTTATCGATTGATATCGATTTTTTGAAAATTTAGAATTTTTAAAAAATAAATTATCGATTAGTATTGATTTTATCGATTGATATCGATTTTTTGAAAATTAAAAATTTTTAAAAAATAAATTATCGATTAGTATTGATTTTATCGATTGATATCGATTTTTTGAAAATTTAGAATTTTTAAAATTTAAGTCTTAGGACAAAATACCTCTTAGTTATAAATCCGACAAAATACCTCTTAGTTAAAAATGCGACAAAATGCCACACAGTTCAAAATACGACAAAATGCCACACAGTTCAAAATACGACAAAATGCCACACAGTTCAAAATGCGACAAAATGCATTTTAGTTATAAATGCGACAAAATGCCTCATAGTAGTAAACCCGACAAAAGAACTCTTAGTCATAATCGTGACAAAATGTCATTATTCAAAATACGACAAAATGCAACTCACGACATGTAAAATTTTATAATAGTAAATATATAAAATTATAATAGAATATATTTAATTCTAATTTTCTAAAATCCAGATAAGGACAAGTTGAGGCCAAATTTGCAATTTGAGGAATGTACAAATATTCGATGACTCGTTCAAATCAGGGGCATATTCTGTTGTTTCCTCGAGTCAAAAGTGTCCTAAAAATATTAAATTTTTTAAATTAAAATTAATTTTTAACCTGAAAATAAAAGCTGCCAGCACACCACCCAACAAAGGACCTAACCAAAAAACAAAATGGGAAGTCCAAATTGGATCAGTTAATTTTGTGCCAGGCCCCTAAAATTTAAAAAAGAAATTTGAAAATTATTTTTTTATTTTCAAACATTTTGTAAAAAATAGCTGGCAACAAGGCAAGGACCAAAAGATCGTGCTGGATTCATTGAAGCACCGCTAAGTGTGGCTCTAAAAAATATTTTAAAAAATTATTGATTAATTTAAAAATAATTTTAACAATTTTTTATTAAAATAAAAAATGTCAGAAGGCAAACGGACTCGAACCCTCAACACCCATGAGGTGTAGTCCAACACACTACCGACTTGACCACAAGACAACACATTAGAAATTAATTTTAATTTGCTTATATACATTGGGATTTAATTAAAATTAATTAAATTACCCAGCAAATATATCCAAAGCAACAGTCATTCCAATAGCTAAAGGGGCAATGGAAACAGTTGATGTATCGACAGCGCATGTAAGAATTGTTTGGGCTAAAATTGCTGTCAAAATTAATTCAACCATTGCTGCCTAAATTTTTTTTTTGATTTTTGAAGAAATTTTTCTTAAACCTGATACCAAAGTTGATTAGGAGGGACTATAGTAGCTCCACCAGCAATTGAATCATATTGTTTTTGGTCTGTCACAAACTGAAGAAAAAAACAAAATTTAAATGTCTAAATGGTATTGAATATAGGTAGAAGACGAGCTGCGTTTGTGGACAAAAGCGGGGGAAGGGGTTGGCATGGACCACAGACTTATGATCTGAACAAAGTCAATGAACCAAATATAAACAAAAAACACAAAGTCTTGGGGATCAGTTCAAACATTGTTTTATAAACTTTAATCTTTATTTTAAAGTGTCTCCCTTTTTTTAGAATTCTACCTAACTGGGAAAAGGTCTGGGCTTCTGAACGCCAAAATCTGGACAAGTTCAAACGGTGGGACTGGACCAGGGCAAAAACCATCAAATCAAAATAATTTTTAAATTTTACCCTAACAATTAAAGCTCCACAAAACCCTCCAGCCAATTGTGATATCCAATAAAATATAGCATTTAAAATCTTCATTTTGCCTACAAGTACAACAGCTAATGAAATTGCTGGATTGAAATGGGCTCCACTAAAAATTTTTTAGATTAAAAATTAACTTAAAAAGACACGAGAGCCACGGAAAAAATTCAAAAAGAGACTTAAGTTTTTTAACTTAAGTTTTTCAAGTTTTGGGAGAAAGGGGGAGGGATCCGTCAGAGTCATCAAATCGGTATTTATTTCTGTCTGAATTCCTGCCTGGATCCGGGCGAAAAAGTTAAAAGATAAGAAATGGTTCAGCGATTTTGGACTTTTCTAAGACTTCCCGGCCTCAATAAAATGTAAAAATTTGAAAAACAACCTAATATGTCCAAAAGAAGAAACCAAAGCAAACACAGTCAATCCATGAGCAAAAGCAGCATGTAACACAGCGTTGGAATTTGATATAATATTTAAACCGGAAAGGGAACCAATAAACGTTAAAAGCAATGTTCCAATAAATTCTGCAGACAATTTACTTTAAAAGAAATAATTTTTTTGAAATTTTCAAAAAATTTTCCAAATTACCTAATCATTGTAAAAGGCCTATCTCTTAATAAATAACCAACATTTCCTCCTCTATTATTATTTTCTCCAGAAGAATTTTCCATTCCGCTTGCACTGCTTAACGAGCCACCTCTCATAAATGTCTGGAAAATTAAAAAATATTTTATTTAAAAATTATTTAAAAAATTGTGTAGAGATTTGGGGGAAATTTAAGAGAAAAATAAAATAAAAAATAGAAAAAAAAACTTTGTGGCACAAATAAAAAAATATTAATAATAGGGCGAATATGGACTACTAAGAATCGAAGTTGTAACTAATTAAATTAGTTTTTGTTTAAATTTTTACTAAAAAAATTTATAAAAATTCTAAAAATAAATTCTAAAAAATTTCCTAAAAAAAGCATGACTGACGTTTCTAGAGAGACTATACCACACACACAAAATAAAAATTAAATAACAATAAAATTAAAAACTTATTTAAGAGGGTCGTTAAAAGCTTTTATTATTTTATTAATTTTTAATAAAATAAGGAGAGGGGGCACACCTTTTGGATTTAAAGTCCAAAAGAAAATAAGGAGAGGGGGCACACCTTTTGGATTTAAAGTCCAAAAGATCTGGATTTAAAGTTTTTTTGACCTTAATTTTTTCTTTGACTTAAGGTCAAGGAATCTGGTTCAACTAATCTCTAAAAAATTTTTCACCATTAATAAAAAAAATTTCAGCTTCCCTGGAAATCAATACGCGATATTGTTGAATACTACTATATGTGGAAGACGACTTCGCGTTATGCTGAAATTAAAAAAACCAAACATACAGATCGAGGTTTGTTTTGTTTGTTTTTAAAGTGAAAATATGAATGGACTACAAGACTTTTTTAGGAGTGTTTGTTATGTTAAGGTTTGGTTGAGTGGTATCGTCCGTGGTTTGCCCTATAAAGGGTCGAAGGTTCGACTCCTGTTGCTTACCCTTTATTTTTCTTTGAAGAATAAACTAAAAAAATTTAAATTTGATGATTTGAGATTTTTTTTTAATTTTTTCTAAAATTTTTTAAAATTTTTTTCAGAAAATAAACTCAATGTAGTCTACATTCCAAGTTATAATAAGCCAACAATTAATTTAATTAATTCTGCACCAACACCTTTTGAATGTGTTAAAAGTAATTATCCTTGTGAAGGATGTAATGTATGTTTTAAAGATTTTTTTTAATTTTATTTATTATTTTTTAAAGATAATAGAAGCTTATCAATGGTATTTGTGGGGACCAGCAAATCAATTGAGGCTTTGTGGTGATTGTTGGAATATTTGGAAAAAGAGAGGAGGTTTAACTAATCCTCATGAATTAGGTTTGCTTTAATTTTTTTATTTTTTTTTTGAAATTCAGAGGGTAAGAGATAGGTTCAGAGGAGTAGGGAGATAAATCTTGAATTTTTCTTAGGTTCAATGGTTTCTTTTTTTTCTTTCCCGACTTTTGATTCTTTTCTTGATTTAAAGTCAAGGATCCAAGGTCATTTAGTCCTCTTGTCCCATACGTAGCTATAGGAGGGCCTCTACTTACCGAAAATTTCTTTTTTTCTGGCTTCTCCTCTTTCTTTAATGCTTCCAATAAAACTTTTGGACAGACTAAAACTCATAAATTTTTAGATACTTTTGATTTGGATGGTTTAAATGAAGGAGGACGTTCTGCTGTTAGTAGTGGTCAAGCTGGCGCGGTATAAAAAATTTTTTTCTTTTAAATAATTTAAATATTTTTTTGAAGAATCGTCAAAATGTTAATTCAAAGAATTCATCAAATAGTGGTCCTCAACAACAGCAACAACAAACATTGTCGACCTCATCAAAAAATGTTGGTGGAAGTTTAATTCCTTCTTCAATATCAGGACAAATTTTGATTGGACAAAAAGGCCGTGTAGCTTTTTGCCTTAATGCACCATTAGAAACTCGAATAGCTAGAAGGTTTTTTTGAATTTATAAAATTTTAAAAAATATTTTTTTTCAGGATAGCTCCTAAACAAATTTTTAATGTTCGTAAAGCAGCTAGAGCACCTTTCTTTGAATTTGATCTGAAAACAGTTCAGGATTATTGTTAGTTTTTATTTTTTTATATTTTTGAGAGGGTTTCTATGGGCACCAGATCCTTTTAAGAAGATTTAGGGCGATGGGTCTGGAGATTGAGGGGGTATACAGGTTAGAAATGTTCCAAGGCCAATTTATTTCGAGGGTATTTTTGGGTAACCGATCAACGTCCAAGAAGATTCTTCGGGACTTGGTCCTTCAAAGAGGATGACTCCGGACTTTGTGATACTTTTTGAGGAGGTATACTCGGCTAGAATGTCCTGGAACCATAAATAATTCGTAGAATCAAGTGATCGGTTCAATTCTTTCCAGTGGGATAAAGTGTCATTTATTACTTAAAAATCAATTTTTTTTTAGATTTTTGCCGTCCATTATCCGACATTTTACAAGCTGCTCGACAACTCCCACATGGTAATCATATTTCTCGTTCTGCTATTGAACATCTTTCAAATTTGCACAAAAAGAGGGCTATAATTGCAAATGGAGGAAAATAAAAAAAGAAGAAAATTGAAATCCTCATTTCCTCATCCATTTTTTGAAAAATTCCCAAAGAATAATACACATTGTTCTGTTTTTTATCTGTTATATAAATTTCGCCAGAGGGATTTCAAATGTAAAAAGAATGTTCTGGAACATTTGATTATCTGAAAATATTCTCGCTGTTTGACATTTTCTGTTTTGTTTACACTTTGAAATGCCTTGAGTTTACATTTTGAAGTCCCTCATAATAGCGAAATAGTGTGTTATACTTTTGCAGAGAAACAAAGTTTACTTTTTATAACGCGTATTGATTTTCGTCCGCCATTATTTTTGGCTTTGTACTTTATTGATTTTTTTCTCTTTTTCTTTGTCTAACATTCTCTCTTTTTTTAGATATTTTACTCTGACCAATGCCTTCTTTTGCTCAGCCATGTTCCGCCGCGCGAACATTACCTCATCAATCAGACCAAGTTCAGCTTCCCTTTTTCCTGTTTCATCAGGTTTTTTTATTTTGATATCTTTATCTGTATTTTATTTTATAGCAATGATGATGCTGATGTTCACAGATGCTGCTGATGTTCATCCGCCTCCTGGTGCTGAAGGAGCCAGGAGTTGCTTCCTCTTTGATGCTGGGTGGAGGCTCTGGGGAACACCTAAATGGGGGGAGGTTTGGGGGGACCACCTTGTTTTCCATATGTCTGGGAAACATAGACTAATCTGAACAGTATAAGGGAAACCTTAACGACTGTCAATTTTTAAAATTTTATCTAAATTTTTTTTTATTCCAGGTTGCTGCTTTTTGGACAAAAATTTAAGGTCTGCGGTCTTGAAAAAATTTTGAATCAACTTAATGGTATGCTGCTCTGGATTCAAAAACATGGTTTAATTGGAAATTGGTGATTTTTTAGTCATGGGGTCTCTAAATTTAATGTGGTCGTCCCACATATTTTGTCCGGGATTTCTCCCTAGGTCGGCCTTTGGGTCTTTTCTGGTGACTGTCAGGGTCTTTTTGACTTACTGACCCGTCAGGGTTTTATAACTTACTGACTGTCAGGGTCTTCTTGACTTACTGACCCGTCACGGCTTCGATTGCATTTTTTAGTCGTGGGGTCTCTAAATTTAATGTGGTCGTTCCACATATTTTGTCCGGGATTACTGACTGTCAGGGTCTTTTTGACTTACTGACCCGTCAGGGTTTTATAACTTACTGACTGTCAGGGTCTTCTTGACTTACTGACCCGTCAGAGCTTCGATTGCATTTTTTAGTCGTGGGGTCTCTAAATTTAATGTGGTCGTTCCACATATTTTGTCCGGGATTACTGACTGTCAGGGTCTTTTTGACTTACTGACCCGTCAGGGTTTTATAACTTACTGACTGTCAGGGTCTTTTTGACTTACTGACCCGTCAGGGTTTTATAACTTACTGACTGTCAGGGTCTTCTTGACTTACTGACCCGTCACGGCTTCGATTGCATTTTTTAGTCGTGGGGTCTCTAAATTTAATGTGGTCGTTCCACATATTTTGTCCGGGATTTCTCCCTTGGTGCGTCTTTGGGTCTTTTCTGGTGACTGTCAGGGTCTTTTTGACTTACTTTAAATGAGGACTATCTTTTATTTGAGCAGCATATTATTCTTTTCTGGACAGCGCTTTTTTGGACGGCTTTGCAGTATGTAGAAAATGAAGGACGCGCGCGGAATTTTTAAGGTTTGTTTTTATTTTTTTGTTAGGGTTTCCCTTAATACTGTTCTAAATAGAGTCGGTATAATCCTTTCCCATTATATGCCTGTGGTATGGGTGATTTTGATCCAGCATTTTCTCGACCTCACAAATTATTTGTCCCTTGAGTTCCATTGGTTCGGTTAGGTTCCACCGCCGTCTTCATTACCAATTCAGTGTCAATTACTCAAGCTGCATTAATTCCTCTTCATCTGTTCCATCAGGTTTTTTTAATTTTTATTTATTCATATTTTTATTTTCACAATGCTCGCCTTTGTTTGAAAAAAGTTGATCCGCCATGAATCTGAATTGGTCAACACGTTGGCTGAGAGATGAAAAAGGTTTATTTTATGATACTCTTTATTTCATGGATTAGAACTTGTGTTGTTTCTGTCTTTTCAAAAAGTGTAACCGGTAATATTGAACCTGAAAGACCCCATTTTTTCCTCCCCAAATATCTACAGAATTGTCAGACTTTTTCCTTTCTTCCAATTGCCTCTCTACTTCTTTTATGGAAGAAAGCAAAATTGATAGGGAAGGAGTCTGACCATTCTGCATATTTAAGGACTTGGGAGGAATTTTTCATAAAAACGACCTTTCAAAAACATTTTTCAATATCTCTTATAAGGATGATGGACAGTATTGACAATTATTTTTTCAGGAACAAGCTCAACTTCAAAAAGCAATAAGAGCTTCAACTTCCAGCAGTTCATGGTTCACTTTTGGAAGCTCCCCACAACCCTTTTCGAGAAAAGAAGTTTCATTGACAGAACAATTTATTAGATTCTTAGAACAAGAATCTGTTGACAACACAAAGTCGATGCTTGCCTTGCCTCCTATTGAGGTTTAATTCTCATTTTGAATATTTAATTAAATTTTCTTTTATTTAATAGAGCACTCCAAATAGAGGCTTTTTGTTGGATGAATCACCCTCCGCCTTGAGAACTTCTTCGTCTACAGATTTGAAATCTATACTTGACTCTTGATTTTTTTAATAAATTGCCTTATGTGATAAATAAATTTTTAATATATTTTTATGTAGAATAAAGTCGTATTTTATATTTTGTAATTAAAAAAATCGATATATCGATTGATATCGATTTTTTGAAAATTTAGAATTTTTAAAAAATAAATTATCGATTAGTATTGATTTTATCGATTGATATCGATTCTTTAAAAATTTAGAATTTTTAAAAAATAAATTATCGATTAGTATTGATTTTATCGATTGATATCGATTTTTTGAAAATTTAGAATTTTTAAAAAATAAATTATCGATTAGTATTGATTTTATCGATTGATATCGATTTTTTGAAAATTTAGAATTTTTAAAAAATAAATTATCGATTAGTATTGATTTTATCGATTGATATCGATTTTTTGAAAATTAAAAATTTTTAAAAAATAAATTATCGATTAGTATTGATTTTATCGATTGATATCGATTTTTTGAAAATTTAGAATTTTTAAAATTTAAGTCTTAGGACAAAATACCTCTTAGTTATAAATCCGACAAAATACCTCTTAGTTAAAAATGCGACAAAATGCCACACAGTTCAAAATACGACAAAATGCCACACAGTTCAAAATACGACAAAATGCCACACAGTTCAAAATGCGACAAAATGCATTTTAGTTATAAATGCGACAAAATGCCTCATAGTAGTAAACCCGACAAAAGAACTCTTAGTCATAATCGTGACAAAATGTCATTATTCAAAATACGACAAAATGCAACTCACGACATGTAAAATTTTATAATAGTAAATATATAAAATTATAATAGAATATATTTAATTCTAATTTTCTAAAATCCAGATAAGGACAAGTTGAGGCCAAATTTGCAATTTGAGGAATGTACAAATATTCGATGACTCGTTCAAATCAGGGGCATATTCTGTTGTTTCCTCGAGTCAAAAGTGTCCTAAAAATATTAAATTTTTTAAATTAAAATTAATTTTTAACCTGAAAATAAAAGCTGCCAGCACACCACCCAACAAAGGACCTAACCAAAAAACAAAATGGGAAGTCCAAATTGGATCAGTTAATTTTGTGCCAGGCCCCTAAAATTTAAAAAAGAAATTTGAAAATTATTTTTTTATTTTCAAACATTTTGTAAAAAATAGCTGGCAACAAGGCAAGGACCAAAAGATCGTGCTGGATTCATTGAAGCACCGCTAAGTGTGGCTCTAAAAAATATTTTAAAAAATTATTGATTAATTTAAAAATAATTTTAACAATTTTTTATTAAAATAAAAAATGTCAGAAGGCAAACGGACTCGAACCCTCAACACCCATGAGGTGTAGTCCAACACACTACCGACTTGACCACAAGACAACACATTAGAAATTAATTTTAATTTGCTTATATACATTGGGATTTAATTAAAATTAATTAAATTACCCAGCAAATATATCCAAAGCAACAGTCATTCCAATAGCTAAAGGGGCAATGGAAACAGTTGATGTATCGACAGCGCATGTAAGAATTGTTTGGGCTAAAATTGCTGTCAAAATTAATTCAACCATTGCTGCCTAAATTTTTTTTTTGATTTTTGAAGAAATTTTTCTTAAACCTGATACCAAAGTTGATTAGGAGGGACTATAGTAGCTCCACCAGCAATTGAATCATATTGTTTTTGGTCTGTCACAAACTGAAGAAAAAAACAAAATTTAAATGTCTAAATGGTATTGAATATAGGTAGAAGACGAGCTGCGTTTGTGGACAAAAGCGGGGGAAGGGGTTGGCATGGACCACAGACTTATGATCTGAACAAAGTCAATGAACCAAATATAAACAAAAAACACAAAGTCTTGGGGATCAGTTCAAACATTGTTTTATAAACTTTAATCTTTATTTTAAAGTGTCTCCCTTTTTTTAGAATTCTACCTAACTGGGAAAAGGTCTGGGCTTCTGAACGCCAAAATCTGGACAAGTTCAAACGGTGGGACTGGACCAGGGCAAAAACCATCAAATCAAAATAATTTTTAAATTTTACCCTAACAATTAAAGCTCCACAAAACCCTCCAGCCAATTGTGATATCCAATAAAATATAGCATTTAAAATCTTCATTTTGCCTACAAGTACAACAGCTAATGAAATTGCTGGATTGAAATGGGCTCCACTAAAAATTTTTTAGATTAAAAATTAACTTAAAAAGACACGAGAGCCACGGAAAAAATTCAAAAAGAGACTTAAGTTTTTTAACTTAAGTTTTTCAAGTTTTGGGAGAAAGGGGGAGGGATCCGTCAGAGTCATCAAATCGGTATTTATTTCTGTCTGAATTCCTGCCTGGATCCGGGCGAAAAAGTTAAAAGATAAGAAATGGTTCAGCGATTTTGGACTTTTCTAAGACTTCCCGGCCTCAATAAAATGTAAAAATTTGAAAAACAACCTAATATGTCCAAAAGAAGAAACCAAAGCAAACACAGTCAATCCATGAGCAAAAGCAGCATGTAACACAGCGTTGGAATTTGATATAATATTTAAACCGGAAAGGGAACCAATAAACGTTAAAAGCAATGTTCCAATAAATTCTGCAGACAATTTACTTTAAAAGAAATAATTTTTTTGAAATTTTCAAAAAATTTTCCAAATTACCTAATCATTGTAAAAGGCCTATCTCTTAATAAATAACCAACATTTCCTCCTCTATTATTATTTTCTCCAGAAGAATTTTCCATTCCGCTTGCACTGCTTAACGAGCCACCTCTCATAAATGTCTGGAAAATTAAAAAATATTTTATTTAAAAATTATTTAAAAAATTGTGTAGAGATTTGGGGGAAATTTAAGAGAAAAATAAAATAAAAAATAGAAAAAAAAACTTTGTGGCACAAATAAAAAAATATTAATAATAGGGCGAATATGGACTACTAAGAATCGAAGTTGTAACTAATTAAATTAGTTTTTGTTTAAATTTTTACTAAAAAAATTTATAAAAATTCTAAAAATAAATTCTAAAAAATTTCCTAAAAAAAGCATGACTGACGTTTCTAGAGAGACTATACCACACACACAAAATAAAAATTAAATAACAATAAAATTAAAAACTTATTTAAGAGGGTCGTTAAAAGCTTTTATTATTTTATTAATTTTTAATAAAATAAGGAGAGGGGGCACTTAATAAAATTGCACTTTCTTAATAGAAAAAAATATATAATTTTATAAAAAATGTTTAGAAAAAATATTTGAAGTCAAAAAAATATTCTAGGAAGGGAAAAAATTTTTAAACTCAAAAAAATTTTTTGAATCAAAAAAATCAAAAAACCCTCTCAAAAATCCCCCAAAAATTTCTATTCTTGAAAATACAAAAAATTTACTTTGTGAAAAAATTTTAAAAAACCAAAAAAATTTTTACTAAAAACCATGTGGTTTGTTTCCAATTATATATTATAAAATACTGGGAATTTAATACATGGGAAAATATATTTTAAAAAAATATAAAATAGAATTTCTCATTATTTTTGAATAAATTATATAAGAAAATTTGGCAAAAATAATGGAAAAAACAAATTTCGGAAACACAAAAAAATAACAACAGCCAATTAATTGAATTTTTATTTAAAAAACAATTATTTATTTTAACTAAGAACTTAATTGGTTTTTAAATTAATTGGTCTCTCAACTAAAAAAACAATTAATTGGCTATTCAATTAAAAATCCCTCAATTAATTGTTTCCACCAAATAATTGTTTTCCCAAATTAATTGGTCTTTTTAAATTAATTGGCCACTCAATTTAAGCTGTCCACAATTACTTTTTTCAACCAATTAATTGTTTCCTTTAATTTTAAATTAAAACTCTTAACTACCTTAGTAAATGCCCCACTCCAAGGACTATCACCTCCTCCACCTCCATTATTGTTGTTTTCATTAATTCCACTGCTGTTGTAAATTCCAGGAGTAACCACTGACGTAACCGGCACTAATAAACAATGATCTGCAGGTTTTCCAACGGGGACAATAACTTTATTTCCGATACTTCGGTAAGTAGGGATTGGAATATTTGAAGAAGTTGTGTAGCTTGGAGAGGCCATTAATTAGGTAATCACTGAAAAATAAAACAATTAATTGGTTTTGAAAAACAAATAAAATTTAAAAAACAAATAATTGTTCAAAAGGTTCCGAACAAATAAGGAAAAAATATTCTAATAAACGCCCATCTTTAATAGAAGCTAATAGAACAGGGCTCTCATCGACAAAATGCCACTCAAAAGTATCAAAATCTTGATAAAAAAGTATATAGGGAGAAAATTTCCAAATTTAAAGTATACTCCAAATTAAATTGGAAAATATTTATTCGTGCTCAAATCTTTTATATTTCTCTCCTAAATTAATCTTTTCTAATAATTTCTTGCTTCCACTGAGCATTTTGTGCATTTCAACGCATGCATGTCAAAATTCGCTGATACAAGAAATAAAGCCCTGACAGTCTTAACCGCAAGCAAATTACTTTCATCCATTTTCAGCGCCGCAGCGATAATTTTGATAACCTGGATTCGAACCCACCACACGAAATTTCTAGGTAAGCAAATTCAGTCAACCTAACCACTCAACCACCGACCTACATAATGAATGGTGAAATTATAAATAACTCTTTTCCTTTTCCTTAAAATAATTTTATTTCGAAGTAGGAGTGTGTTTTTTAAAAATAAAAGGTCTAAAAAAGCCGTCTTTAGGGGTGAGTCCATCCATGATAACTTCCGCATATAACTCCACAAACACTCTTGATCCTTAAATATCGTGCCCAAATTTCACATTTTGGAGTTCAAGAAGCCAGATTTCTTTCTTTTTCAGCGCCGCAGGCGAAAATTTTGATAATTTCGAAGGCCCAAGGCTAAAAAAATTTACTTTTTGCCCAATCCCTTCCCCAATTTCATTCTCAATCAAAAATGTTGATTTCAAAGTATATACTTTCAATAAAGTATAAATTCAATTTCTTAAGTATGGAGGTCGGTTTCAAAGTATAATACTTTCAAATAAAGCACGAATGAGAGCCCTGTAATAGAACATTTAAAAGCAGTCTTAAAAAAGAGCCGGCAGCAAGCGACATCGAACCCGAGCCTATTTACTAGTTAGAAAATCTATTTAATGAGACGCTTTGAAAAAAATAAATGCCCTAGGGCTTAAAGTGATATTTGAAATAAATAAAAAAATAATATTAAAAAAAGGACAATTAATTGTTAAAAAAATAAAAATAATTTTCTTAAAAAAATAAAAATTTAAACACGTAAGAAATTTTGAAAAAAAAATTAAAATTTATTTGTTGTTTCAAAAATAAAAATTTATTTATTTAGGAAGTTTGTTCCCCTTCTACTAAAAGTCCCAACAACAAAAACTAGCGCAACTTAATTAAAAATTTACGGAAATAAAACGAAAAAAACGGGAAAAATAAAATATTAAAATAAAATTTGTGAGAAATTAAAAGAAAAAAATTATTTTTGCTTTTCGGGAATTGAATGGAGGTTTTTATGTTTTGTGGGGAGTTAATTTTACACACAAGAAATTTTTTGTTGTTCATTTTGCGTTAAACAAAAAAAGTTTTAATTTCCCATAAACACAGTTACGCCCCCTTTTTCTTTTTTATTTTTTTAAATTTATTTTTAAATTTTCTTAACAAAAAAAAATTTTTGGAGAACGCAAAAATATTTTAAACAATTAAAATAATAATTTAAAAGGAGTTATAAAAATAATTGGCATCAATAGGTATCGAACCCAGACCCTTGTAGTTGTAAAATCTAACACACTAACCATAACGCCACCGACTAACTATACAAATTTTTATAAATTAGATTTATCTAGGTAACTATGAAAATAGTAAAATTTTTATAAAAATAATGCCACCCATCGGTATCGAACCTGGACCTATCAACCTAGAAAATCTAACACACTAACCATAACGCCATCGACTAACTATAAAATAATTTTAATTTTAAGCTATCAGATAATTAGAAAACAGCAAAAATTAAATACCTAAATGTCCCTCAACTGGTATCGAACCTAGATGGTTCCAAAAATTTTTCTGACTGGAACATTATTATTTGACACTATATTTTATATTTATTTTTAGGTTCTACTTTAAGGCTATTTTTAAAAATGTAAAGATTAAATAAGGTGATAAGCCAAAAAAAATAAAAAGTAATAAAACACAGCTGGATTTGCTTTTATTTTTAGAGAGTTAATTTTTACACTATATTTACACTCAAAAAATCGCGCAAAAAATTATAAATAAAATCCCTTTTTTAGATTTTTCTTTTTATTTTTTAATATGCTTTTCCTTTTATTAATAAAATTTCCAGTTGTCCCAAAAAATAAAAGCAATTGAGGCATAAAAAAGAGAAGCTCTTTTCATTCTCCCCTCCTTTTACGGACACCTTTTCCTCCTCATTTTTAGTTTCCCTCAAAAATTAGTTAATAAAAAGAGGAAAAATGAGAGAGGAAAATGAGTGAATTTGTGTGAAATAAAGTAGAAAATGAGTAAATAAATAAACTAAAAATTGAACAATCTAATAAAAATAAAAAATTTAGGCAAGATAAGACAAAATGGGAAGACAAAAAATTAAAAAAAAAATTTAGAAAAAATTCAAGAAGGACCAAAATACTAACACAAAATAATTTATTATTAAAATAGCCCCAAAATTCTAATCAAAAAAATTAAAATAAAATTTCCAAATTTCCCTCACTTAAAAAAAAATTTTTTTTTAGATAAGCTAAAATATCTATTTTAATATAAATGATTCTGATAAAAAATAAATTTTAAAAGAGTTCAAAAAATATTCTTTGAGGTTAAAGAAAAATTATTTTCAGAAAATAAAATTTCTTAAAAGTGCCAATAAAATTAAATAAAAATATTTTTTCCCTTTCCCCCCCTAAAATTTTCTAAAAAATATTTAATTTAATAAACAATAAAAAATTAATTTAAAATTTATTTTTTATTGTTTGGGGTAATTTTATTTGTGTGTATAATTAAATGGTAAAATTTGCGCGGTTTAAATTAATATTCTTTTCAATTTATTTAAAAATAGTGAGGTTTAAAAAATTTAAAAAAATAAATTTTTAAATTGGTTTTCCGGAAATATTAAAATAAAATTAAAAAATATTAGAAAAAACTTTGCGGACAAATTTTGCGGATTTTTCCTATTAAAACTAATTTTAAAAATTCTAAAAAATTTGGCGGTGCGGAAAGCGGTAGGATTACAGCAAAAAAATATTTTCAAGTTAAAAAAGTATTTTTAAAAAATTCCCAACCTAAACACAACACAGCAACATTCCGTTCCAACTCCCAAAAACATCTCTTCAAATCATCCCTCAAAAATCACAAGAAAAATCAACGCATTCTGGTTAAAGCACACAAAATAAAATTTGTTGTTGATAAAATATTAATTTAATTAAAATTTTTTATAGGAAAAAAAAATTAAGAATTTTTAAATTAAAAAAAACAAAATAAAATAAATAAATTGAATTTAAAACAATTCAAAAAAAATTTTCAATTCAAAAAATAATTTTAAAAAATTTATTTTAATTCAAAAAAAAGAGAGATCAAAAATAATAAAATTTTTAAAGGCATCATCAAAAAAATGATAATTTTTCAAAAATAAATAAAAGTCAATTTACTTCTAAAAAATGACTCCAGCAGGATCTTCAATTCCAACAACACAAAAAGGAACTAAACGATTCTCAACATCTGGATTTTCTCTGCACCAAACACCCCTTTCAGTAGTATCTGGATCTAAAAAAATAAATTTAAAAAAGAATTCGAAAAAAATTTTTTGCGGACAAATTTTTTTGCGGATAAATTTCCTGCCTATAATTTTTCCGGACAGATTTTTGCGGACAATTTTTTTTCCTTTTTACCAAATTTTGAGTGTTTGAAAAAATTATATTAGGATAAAGCCTATAGTAAATTAAATAAAAATTTTCAAAAATTTTTTTTGCCTGTAAAACTTATCCGCAAAAATTCAAAAAATAAAAATAAAAAAAAACTAACGAGTTTCTTCAAAAGCAATTGTAAACATAATAATTTTTTTATCAACATCTTCAACAAATCCGAATTCTTCATTAAACAGTAAATGCCGAGAAGTAAAGTAATTCGAAGTTAAAGGAATATTGAACTTAAAAAGAAGCAAAATAAAATTTTTAATTTTATTTTTTTTTGCGGACAAGTTTTTTGCGGACAATTATCCATTTTAATAAACTTTAAAATAGCTGAAAAATTTATTCAATTCGGATAAAGTCTAACGCAAATTGAACAAAAAATCTTTTTGATAATATTTTTTTCCGCAAAAGTAAAAAATTTTTCATAAAAATTTTTGTCCGCAAATCTTGTCCGCAAATTTAAAATTAAAAAAAAAATTTTTTTTAAAAACCATAAAAACGTCCTCTTCTCCATCAATTTGTTTAAACAAATATTTTTGATGCTGAACCAATTTTATTACACTCAAGATTCGATAAATTTTAGATTTTTCATCAAATATTGCATTAAAACTAAACCAATCGCCAAGACTAATTTTTGATTTATTCGTTGTTTTGCTGTCGATAAACATTGGAAAATTGCAAACATGAGGGCAATAGACGGCTCCTTTACGGTTAATTCTAAGACCAACTGAGGTAAAGGCATGCTGAAAATTTTGAAAAAAAAATTAAAAAAAAAATTCGAGTTCAAAATGTCAAATCCGAAAATATTTCAAAATGGTAAAAATCCAAAAAATTTCGAAAAGTGAAAATCAGAAGATACTTCAAAAACCATTCCAAAAGAAAAAAAACACAAATTTTTCTTACATGTTTAGGACCTTCCAATTCACTAGGCAACGGCCTCGCCCACAGAGGTAATTGTTTTGTTGTTGTTTTAAACACTTCAAATAATCCAGTAATTTCCCAACGAAAAACTTTCTTGTCAGAATTAAATTTTAGCCAAACTCTGACTCCAACATTTTGTTCCTTTTCTTGTTGATACATTTTATTGGAATCTCCCAGCAGAACTCTTCCATGAAGTACATTTTTTGGGTCAACAATTAGAGGAATGCAGAAAGTGCAGTAAAAGTTGTTGAAGCGACAAAGTTTGACATAGCCCAAAAACTTTAAAAAATTAAATATTAAATAAAAAATCAACTTCAAGAAGGTCAACAAGCCTTGAGTCAAATTCAAGGAGGTCAACACCCTATTGTGAGCCCACCTAAATATCTGAACGGGAAAAGAATATTTGGTCGGATTAAGATGTATTTGTTGGGCCTAAGGGGGATCAAGGGACAGAAGACGGAAATTCTTCCATGCAACTATCAGACAAGATGAGAGGGAGGAGACCACTGTATCCTCAATCTTGAGCCCCTTTTAATCGTCTAAATATGTACTTAACGAGTAAGTTGATATCTTGGATTGCCTAAAGTATGCTGGGGTGGATTTTTTTGGGTCGACCCATAAAAAATAAAAAAAATATTTAGAAAAACCTCTTTAACACCGCCATCTTTCCAATGTGTATACATTGGGTTCTCTGAACCAATCGTCATTGGTGTACACCAAGCTAATTCACGAAGACCGCCCTTTCCAAGAGGATGAGGATAATAACCGTAAACAATGTAAGCCATATTGTAGCGACAAAAGTAGAGCTGAAAAAAATGTAAAAGAATTTTAAAATAGGTTTAAAAAATTTTTGGGACATGTAAAAACTAGAAAAAATTGTTTGGCAGCCGGAAGGGTTCGAACCCACAACACCCACAAAATAAGTCCGAAACGAATCCACTGAGCCATATATTTTCCAAATAATTTCCAAATAAACCCAATTTAAACAAATTTAAAAAATCTCTATATACCTCACAACCAAGAACACGACCATCAACATACATAAAATCGCCGGGAATAATCTAAATTTAAAAATTAAAAAAATTCTTTCTATAAAAATAATAAACTTACAAATCCAATCAATCCTTTATGATTAGGTCGGTGTACAACAAACACTTCTTTATCATTAATTACAACACATTCCGAGCTTATTACCTTAAAAAAACACAATGACTTATATTTTAAAATAATTTTTAGATCCAAAATAAGGGGAAAAATAAAATCCAAATAAAAAACTGGTCCTTAACGGATCTAAACAGGCCCCTCAAATATTAAAAAAAATAAATTCAAAATAATATTTTAAAAAAATTCATTTTTAGACCCAAAATGGAAAGAAAAAATAAGTAGGAAAAAGGGTAAAAAGGTGTGGAAGGAGGAAATGCCCTCTATCAAAAACCCTCTACCAAAAAAATAAAAAAAATACTCACAGATCGGAAGGGTCCCCAAAATATACCAAAAAATTATCTTCAAATCAAAATACAAACCTTGTTTTGATCAGACCACGGCAAAGCACTCTTTGGATATAATGGGTGAACAGGCACAAATACACTGCGAGGTTCCCAAGGCTAAAATACAAAAAAATTTATAAAAAATTAAATTCGAAAATAAACCGCTCCAGCAATAAAATCATCAGATTCCTCATCAAATTTAACTCCAAAAATTGTCTTCAATTTTAACCTCTCAGCACAAATTTGTTTAAAATCCTCATTTTCTTCCATCTTTTTAATTGCAACAATGCAGAAATAACACACATTTGGAAGAAAATCGGCCAATTTACCAGTGGTTGCTTTCAAATTTGGAAACTGATGACAATGAACACGTCTAACTTCTTCATTAGAAATTACACAATAAGTTGATATATCGGTTGCGTTTGAATAAGGCTGTTGTTTTTGTGGAGACATTATTTTGCTAAAGAGAAGAAATTAAAATGTCCGCAAAATTTGTCCGCAAATAATATTTCGTCCGCAAAAATTTTTTCGAACGCAAAATTTGTCCGCAAAGCGACCAGAAAAATCTCACATTCTTAGAATTACGAGAGCAGTACCCGAGTCACGAACCAGTCACCAATTTCTATTAAAAACATTTTGGAGGAAATATCCGCATAATTACCCAACATAAAATATAAATAAAGATAAAAAAATTAAGAGATAATTGAGAAACAATTTAAAAAATTGTTACAAATTACATAAAAAAATAAAATTCAAATAAATTTTTATTTAAAAGCAACAACAAAATTGGAAAATATTTTTCCAAAACAAAAAAATTTTTAAACTCAAATGTCTTATAAATTAACAAAAAAAAAATATTTTTTTAAAAACAATTACTCAAGCCCTCTCATTATATTGCTTATTGAACGTGTATAGCGATCAACCGTCTCAAGAATTACCCGAACTTCGTTGATGTCACTTTGGTCCATTACAATATTCTCCAACATATTCCAACCAAGTTCACACCATCCCTCCAATATTTTAAATTTTCTAGCTACACGAACTCTCAACTAAAAAAATATGCAAATATTAGATAAATAAGAAAAAAGGATATTTAATTTTAAATCATTAAGACTAGTGAGCGAAAGAATGTATTTTTCCGGATTCCGGATTTGACAATTGAGCCGGGTCCGGTCCGGTTCCGGACCGGACTTAATAAATTTAATTTTGTGATTTAAAAAATTCCGGTCCGGTTCCGCTCACTAATTAAGACCTTCAAAAATTAAACAAAAATATATTTAAAAAGCTTAAATGATACATTCACATTATCTGCACCCGGGTAATACAAATCCGGCCATACCAAGTCGTATTGATTAAATTGGGGCAAAAAAACCATATTATATCCCAAAATTATTTCACAAATTGATTTACAATCTAAAAATAAATTAGAATTTTTTGATTTAAAGATAGCCTCGCCAAACTTACTGTGGAAAGTAATATTTGTTTTTTTATTAATTGCAGTTAATCTTGCTACACTAAGCCGACCAAGATTTACTGAAAATTGTTCAAATTCTTCCTTCTTTTGATTAAGCAGATCACGGATCTTTAAAAATTTTTATATGATTTGCTATAGAAAGAAAATTTTTTAGACCCTTCAAAAGCTATATAAGGACAAGGGGGATAAAATATGCTAAGGAAAACTTACTTTTTTCACAGTTTTGTTAAAAAGAATAAAGTGATACTGATTTTTAAAAATAAAAAAATCAAAAATGAAAGAGACTCGTGAATCCGCCCATTTGATATCAAATGGAAGAAAATTAACAATCTCATGTATCAAGTCGAGTGAAAGATTGAGTTTTTTAATGCTATAGGAATGCATTTTTTTCAAAAATATTTTTATAGGCTGAAAATTAAAAATTAAAGAAGATTACGTAAATGCTCTAATTAAAGCCCTGGGCGCCTATTTTTTAATGGAAAATATTCGAAAAATAACTCAGGGTGGAGCAGTCAACAGGAAGGAGGAAAAGGTGAAAGGAGGTCACTACAGCTTATGGTCACTGCAGCATTCCTCCAATAACTGAAGTTGCCGCATTTTACAGAAAAAGAAATATGGACAAATCTTACGGACTTCCCAGCCCAACATCAAATATAAAAAATGAGTTTAAAAAAATTAAAAGATATGAAACAATTTCAAAAATTGTTACAAATTAGATAAAAATCAAAATTCAACTAAATTTATTCAACAAAAACAAAAAAAAATTTTCTTTGCAAAAATTGAAAACTCAAAAAATTTCAATAATTTAAACCTTTCTTCTTAGAAACAAATGAGCCAAATTCAGGCTTTGGCAAATCAAAAACTTCAAAATTTTTGTAAGGAGGACCTCTTGGATCTGGAGCAACCAACTGGCAAGAACATTTAATGGCAAAATCAGGAAGCGGCACATGGACTTCCTCCACTTCATCTTCTTCTTTAGGTGGCCCTCGAGGATCAGGGGCAACTTGTTTGCAATAGCCAACTAGAATATTAAAAGAAATTTAATCTAAACAGAATGAATGAACGTCAAACCACTTAGAAAATGGTACTTGACTCAGGGAAGGGCACCTCCTAACACTGGAATCGTCAGGAAATGGAAAAGCAGAACCACTAAAGCGTTAAGGAACCAAGCTCGGGCGGGCAAAAAAGCCCATTAAAAAAATACTAGGCCTCCCAAACCCCCAGTTGATTAAAGGAACCGGGACCGCTATATGGAGGAATCAACGGGAGACGGAACCGCAGAACTACTCAACTTTAAAGAACCAAACTTAAGGAGCCAAAAAACTTATTTAAATGTACAAGAGCCTACCCAACCTACCAGACAACCACAAGAGGCAAAAATGCCCGGCTTCCCCCATCATCTAACAGCAGAAAACCTTACCCAGCTCCCCCAGACCTAATTCTAAATCATAAAACAAATTCAAACCTTGCGTTACCGTCTTAATATCAAGACTTGAAATATGCTCCCGCAGCAATTTAAACTGGTGCTCAACATCTTTGTGGATCAAAGCACTCTCAGGAGAAGAGTTGATCGTAACTTTGAGTTGTTCAAAAGACAAAGAAGATGCCATTATATAAAACTAAATTTTCTGAAAAAAAAGTTTAACGGTGTTGAGGAACGAGAAGAGAAAAACGAAAGAATGATAGAAGGGACACGCCCAAAAGGGCGCGTGTCCGTCCATAATGGCGCAAAGCCATAACTTGCTTCAAGATTCCCACATCTAGTAATAAACGATCCTCTCATCGAATTAAAGAGATTGGTACAAAAATTGATAAGGGCCAAGAAATTTAGTAGCAAGTTTGAGGGCCAGAAATTTAGTTGCAAGTTATGCTTTGCGCCGTTATAAGCGCGCGCCCCTTTGGGGTATATCCAAAAAAAGACTTGAAAAATAAAAAAGAACGAAAACCATCCTCATTCAAGTATAAAACAACCGGGAAAAAATATTTTTTTGATATTTTGAAATTAGATATTTTAAAAATTTTTAAAAGCAAATATATCAAAATGTAAACAACAATGTTTAAATACAAAATAACTAAAATAAAATATTTTCATTTAGCCATAAAGCATAAAAATTTACAAATTGTCACATGAAAGAAAAGTGTGTAAAATATAAAATTTATTTTTTGTTTTTAAAAAATTCTTTGGCACTTTTTTTTCGTTTTGCTTAAATTTTTACAAGCATTTTTGAAAAAAATTCAAAAATAATTCCAATTTTCACGTAATATAAACAAAAGTGTTCATATCCACCGGGTCACGACCCAAAAATTTTTGTTCAATTAACCATTCAATTTGTTCTTTAATTAATTTACGAGAAGGCAAAAACATATTTTTGAGAACGTCGACAAGTTCTGTTTGCAATTGGGCCTTAAAATAAGAAAAATTTGAAAAAATTTAAAGCCCAGTTAAAGCCCCAAATTTTTTTTTAAAAATTCAGGAGGCCCACCATATTCTTCCCAAAAATTTTCTAAATTACTTAGGCCCTCGGAAATTTTTCTAACAATTCCTGAGATCCTCGAAATTTTCTAAAATTTCCCGAGGCCCCCAAAAATTTTCTAAATTGCGTAAGCCCTCAGAAATTTTTCAGCAATTCCCGAGGCCCCTAAAAATTTTTAAAAACCCCTGAGGCCTCCAAAATTTTTTAAAAACCCCCTGGCCTCCAAAATTTTTACAAAATTCATGAGGCCCCTAAAATTTGTTAGATACCTAACAATAAGCCCCCCCCCCCCAATTCCCAATTTTTTAAAAAAACCTGAGTAAAACGTTTTCTTGTTTTCATTATTTTTACAATAGCTTCTTGTACTCTAAACTTTCTCAATTGTAAAATTTCTTCATGTTCTTGTTCAACACCTTGTTCTTGATTTAATTGAAGACGACCAATTAAATTTAATTTTCCTCGAGTTTGTGGTTTATCATTCTTTTGGAGAAATTTTTTTTAAATCAAAAATAAAATTAAAAATAAACCTTTATTAAACAAAAATGTTGATTAACCCAAAATTGTGTAATTTTCCCAAAACTTTTTGGCAAGATAGGTTGTGTAGCATCACATAAAATTAATTGATGACGAGTTTTTGGGAAAGCGACTAGTGACTAAAAATTAAAAAAAATTCTGTATAAAAATTTTTTAAAAATTTTGAATTATCAAAAAATTTTTTTAAATCAAAAGGGAACAAAAAACAAGCCTAAAAACATTTTTTCAGGATTAGAAAAAACCAAAAGGAATCAACCAGAGTCGAACCATCGACCACCCAACCCCAAAGTCCTAAGCACTAACCAGTCGACCATCAGGACATCTATCGTTCTTTCTATTTTTAACTTATAGCTTATTTTAATTTCCCATAAAATTGACTTTAATCAAGAGGACCCATAAAAAATTAATTATAAAATTCTCAAAATTTTTTAAAAAATTTCCAAAATAACAAACCAAAAGTGTTTTAATTAATTCAGTTTCAGACAATTCTGTAGCTAACCGTATAGAATCAAATGTAAGCCTATCCATAGGTCTATCATTCCAACAGAAAAGGACAGCCATTTGTTGAGTAGTTACTTCCAATTCAAATTTTCCAATTTCATTTGTAAAAAATAACTTAAAAAAATTTTTTTTTAACTAAAAAATCAAATAAACCGTTCCAGTAGACCAATGATGTGCCCAATTTAATTTTCTTCCACAATGCTGTTTTTTGTAAAATTCATCTACTTCAGGCAATAAATCTTCCAATTCTCGAGGTAATGTTAAATGAATAGTTTCTCTATTACGAGACCAAGCACCAGCATTGAGGATTTTTATGTTTACACAGTCTATAAAATTTCATTTTTATTCAAAAAATTTTAGAAAAAAAATTATACAGCTGAACTTCTTTAATAAATACCCTCTTAAGAAAAATTGTGTCTTATAATGAGAGGTATCTTAAATTGAAGGTATCGTGAAAAAGTGTAACTTCCCCCAAAACCGAACGACACGTCAAATTCTAGAAAGCCGGACCTCGTTTTTAAATACCGCTCGGAAATTGGACCTAATAAAGAGGCGTATCTTAAATAGAGGTTATCTTAAAGTTTGATTTATTTAAAACGAGGTTCGGCTGATTTTAAGAATTAAATACACCTCTTAATAACTTCCTTCCACCTTTCCCAAAAAATTTTTTAAAAAAATTTAAAAAAATCAAACCTGCCATCTCCGAACAATTTTCATTAAGCGAAACAGACTGTTTAAATGCAGCATTTAAATCTTTATTAACTTCAATATCCTGCAGCATTCGAAATAATTTATTTACAAAGTCTACGGGCATTCCAACTTCCTTAAAAATGTTTTTTTTTAATTTTCAAAAAAATTTAAAAAGAAACCCTAAATTTATTAACCAGCATTTCTTCCTTTTCTTGATCCGCAACCAATTCTAAAATTAATCTTCTACTTAAATGGGTTTTGTGATAACGCATAAAAACGTCTTTTGCTTGGACATATTTGAGGACTAGCAACTGAAAAAAAATAAAAAAAATTTCAAAACTTTTCAAAAAAATTTCCAAGAAATCTCAAAAAAATTTCAAGAAAATTTCCAAAAAAAATTTGAAAAATTTTTAAAAATTTCAAAAAGTATTTCTAAAATTTTTTCAAAAAAATTTTCACAAAAAAGATTTTCGAAAAATTTCAAAAAATTCTCAAAAATTTTTTAAAAATTTTCAAAAAAAATTTCAAAAAAATTTTCAGGAAAATTAAAAAAAATTTTTTTCCTTTATTAAAACCAACCACATTATTAAGCCTTTCATCAATTTCATCACAAGTATAACGCTTTGTTAAAGCTGATTTTCTTAGTAATAAATCACAATAATTTGCTAATAATTCTGGGCATTTTGACTCGGTATTTTGGGGTTTTCCACTTCTTAAAAATTTAAAAATTTATCAAAAAATCTCAAAAAAACCTTTTTCCACCTCCATTCCCTCCCAATTCAAGTCGAAAAACATCGGTATTATTTACAACTTCTCTAAATGCTTGGTCTCGTATAGTGAGGAAACGGGCATCATTGGCAAATGCATCACGCATTAATGTTGAGAATCGAGTGTATTGTTCTAATAATTGATGGACATATCTTTAATTTAAAAATTTTTAAATTTTCGAATAAGGCAAATTTTGCAGACATTTTCAAAAAAAATTTTTGGACTATAAACTTGTGGGATGAGAACAATGACACCTATGGATAGATAGAAAAAATGAAAAAAATTCTAGAAGTCAAAGGAAAAAATCTATTTTTAACCAATACCCTATGGACACCTACACAAAAATTTCCCCAAAACCAACACCAGAACCCGAGACATTGGGTAACCCGAGACATCCCTACCCCATACCTATTTAAATTTCCAAACCTTTCACTATCTGTGCATATTTCAGCTGCATGTGCTTTCATTGCTGCTAATCCCTCTTCACAAATATGTGAACGTAAAGCATCTAGTAATGTCCCCAAGAACACACCAGGGATGTCACGGGTTTGAAAAAACGAACCAGGCCGGGTCTCGTGTCAAAAAAAGTTAAAGGTTAGGGTAACCTGAGACATCCCTACCCCACATCTATTTAAAATTTCCAAACCTTTCACTATCTGTGCATATTTCAGCCGCATGTGCTTTCATCGCAGCTAATCCTTCTTCACAAATATGTGAACGTAAAGCATCTAGTAATGTTGGAATTCCATCCAAAGTTCGATTTATTAGGCGATAAAGAATTTGTAAACGATCAATTTGTCCACTTTTAATGAGTCCTGGAGCTTCAGCTAATATTTGGTCTTGATAATTGATAATTAATACTTGAACACATTTTTCCATCAACTTAACTAATTTAAGTGTGAAAAAGATTAATAAAATATAAAATAAAGTCAAATCTCAATATATGATACCCCAAGAAGTATATATTCAATTTTAAGAAGTCTCTTAAAATTTGGTTGACCACCAAGTAGGGGAGCTGTTTAAGCACTACAGACAACTTTAAGGTATTTAAGGCACCCAACAGAGAAGTTACGGAGTATCCGAGATCCGATACCTGGAGATTTTTGATCCAAAATTTGGTCCAAGAAATTTTCGAAAACGACTTTTTCCCTCCTAAATGACCCGAACTGAAACCAGACCCTTACGCCGGACTTTTTTGCCAACCAAAAACCGATCCGAAGAAAATTTTCGAAGATTTGGCCAGAGACCCGCTCGACTTTTTCTTTAACCCGTGAGATCCCTGGCAATCACTCATCATAAAATTCATCTTATCACCCCTCAGATAAGGTTCCCTAAAGTAAGGTTCAACTTTAATTAAAAAATCCAAACCTTTCCCTTTGATTTTCCATCGGTTTCCCCATCCAAATATTTTTTGGCCCTTTCCTCTTCTTCAACCAATTTTTCATCAACATAAACCATATAAGCCAAAACTCCATTTTCTGCCAATATTTGCGAAGTCCGCGAAGAATAAAATTGTTCAGTAAACGTAATGTATTGCTCTTCAAATTGTTCAGCATAATTGAGGTTTCCAACAATGCTTAAATCAACTTTAAAAAAATTAAAAATAAATTTAAAAATAAAATTTATATACCAAAGGATTCTTGAACACCAATTATATGCTGTGAATTGACTAGTTCTCCATTACGTTCACGATCGATTAAACTAAGAATAAATTAGGTAGGTAAAATGAATGAAATTTATGTTAGGAAAGCCGTAACAGGGGTTATCCTAAAATCATTGTCCGGTCTTTTTCAACTCGAAACGAAGTCCGGAGAAAATTTTGAAAACCCACCCCGACATCCATGGTCATTAGTCATCAGAAAATTTTCTCAGCAAATTTTCAAATTTTTTCCCAGCAAAAATTTTCAATTTTTTTCTTTCGGAAAAAAATTTTTGGTAAGAAACCAAATGGAAGTTCCTATATAAAAAACCCAAATCTTTCAAAAATAGGACAACTTTCCCAACAATAATCCCCTCTAAAAAGTTCATGATCCCCTTTACAATGACCCCCTCTAAAACTCGAGAATCTCATAAACCACAAAAAACTCTTGAAACCTCATTGCTGCATTCAGCAACCGAGTTGAAATTTTAGAGAACACATATTTATTCCAGCGGTCAAGCATCAACTAAAAAATTTAAAATTTTTCTATTTTTAAAATTTCAAAAAAACCTCTCTAACTTGCATTCCTTGTTTATTTTTTCCACTTTTTGATTCCTTCTCCCTTTTTTCAACAAAACAAAATGGAAGAGGCAAGTAGCGACATAAAATTGAATAACCTTCCCATTCTTGGATATATGCCTTGAGCAGAGAATCGACGTCAGAATGAGGCAGAATTTTCTAAAAAAATTTTTTAGAAAATTTTAATTAAAAAATAAATACATTAGCAGCTTCACCAACATGTTTGGTCAATTCCTCTTTTAATACTGAAAGTAATTTATCATTGCCAGAGTCGACCCAAGAAGTGATTCTGTTGTTTGTGCTGAATAAATCTTGCCATTCAAATTTGGAAACGTTCTGAAAAATTTTTTGAAGGCGGTTAAGCTACGAAAAAAGTTCCAAGGATCCGATCAGTCCCTTTATAAAAAAGTTAAATGGCAATTGGACTCGAACCAAGGCAATCAGTAGTTGAGTGGCTTAAACTATGAAATCTTATGAAAAGTCAGGACCTGGTACTTTTTAGGTACCCTTGGATAAAACATCGACTTATTTTGAAAAATTTCTGGTTTTTCCCTATCGATAGGAAACTAAAAAATTATATGGCCCCAAAGTTTGCCAAAATTAGAGGAGATATCCCAAACAAAACGAAGCAAACAGAACACAACTAATAACTTTAAAAAAATCCCTAAAAATGGGAAATCAAAAAACCTGTCTGCAAAGCAAATTTCTAACCACAGGCAGAGATTTTGCCCATTCTTGTTCGAAAATAACATTATTGTTATTCTTAAAAAATTTTTAAAATTAATTTTTATTAAAAATAAAAAAATATACACTGCCAAGCAAGAGCAGGCTTTCCATTTTGTGTTCAAAATCTCTTAGATAAAAAGCTGAATAAAAAAACAAATTTTAGTAAAGTAATCAAAAAACAGAAATAAATGTAAAAATAAGCATATTTAAAATCTCTTTGCTGAAATTAAAAAGAATTGGAAGAATGTTTATTTAACAAACAATAACAAAATTGGAAAACAATTATCCAAAACAAAAAAATTTTTTTTAAACAAAGGCCTCAGAAACTCAAAATTTTTTTTTCATCAATCACTCCTCAATCCCATTCTTAACATTGTCGATTGAATTAATCGATCGCCCCACAGTCAGCAGAATTCCCTCAACCATATCAATATCATGCTGGTCCAACACAATACCTCCAAGCATATCCCACGCAAGTTGACACCACAGCTCCAAACGCTTCAGTTTACCCGATACACCAGAAAGTACCTAAAAAATAAGGAAATATTAAATAGTTTAAAATCATTGATTAGTATTGGCCATCAATGGCCAATAATTAAAAACATACAATATCTTTCGCAGCATCAGCAGAAAATGAAATCCTGTCCAAATCAAGTTTTGACGATTCATCTGTACAGGAAAGTCCAAATTGTAAGCAGAGAAAATCGCACAAATTGATTTAACAGCTTAAAAATAAATTTGAATCTGGGAAAAAATGCGGGATTTAAAAAATTTTAAATAAATTTTAAAAGCAAGTTAGTCTCCAGATAAACTAAAGTATAACAATTGAAATTTCCTAACTAAAAAGCTGAATTTTAGCGTATAAAAAATCATTAAAATTAAACCAAAAAATTAATCTTAGTTAACCAAACTCAAAGAAACAAGATTATAAATTTATAGCAAAGAAACTGGGAATATCGACTAGGAACCCCGAGTTTCAGGCTAATAAACCTCTCCAAATTTACCTTGAAAGGAAGAATTTGCTTTACAATTAATAGAATTTAATTTTGCCACGCTCAGACGACCAATGGTTCGACTAAGTTCTTCAAATTGCCCCTTCTTCGCATCCAAATCAATTCGAATCTTAAAATTATTATTAAATTTGTTAGGCTTTTTTGATAAAAATTTAAGAATACCATTCAAAAGCCACATAAGACAAAGTTTATAAACTTACTTTTTTCACTGTTTTGTTAAAAAGAACAATAAAATGTTGCTGATTTTTTAAGAGAAAAAGATCGAAAATGAAAGAGACTCGTGAATCCGCCCATTTGATATCAAATGGAAGAAAATTAACAATCTCGTGTATCAATTCGAATGAAAGATTGGATTTTTTAATGCTACAGAAATGCATTTTATATCCCACAAGATTGATAAACTATAAGATACAACCACAAAGGATTAGAGAAAAAATAGTCAGAGTTAGTCAATTTATAGAACAGTTATCTATAAAATGGTTACAGCTGATTCGAAAATGATTAATGAGATAAAGGATATCAAAATTGGGATTAAAAAGAGAGAATAAGAGAAGAGATCGGTTAGAGAACAAAAAATAGAAATGTGTCCAGTTTAAAGCAAACAGTATGTTTGAGCGAGGACGTTTTTAGTAAAGTTTGCGAAAAATATGAGAAAAAATTGTGGATGAAATAATGAAAAAATGGGAAAAAAATCCCAAAAAGTTCAAAAATACTTATAGAAAATTTCAAAATTTTTTATAGATTTTAAAATTATGGCTCTTGAATGATATCTACTAATCAGTTTTAAATTAATGAAAGAGATCGGACTTTTACATCGAGGAAAATTAGAATCACTTCTGAGATCGGACTTTTACATCGAGATCGGACTTTTACAGAGATCGGACTTTTACATCGAGGAAAAATTAGATTTAAAATAGAAAGGGTATGATCTACCTGTTTACCGAATTTCATCCCGAAGTCCCACGGACACCCAAAACACTCTCCTTTGTCAGGGTACTAATTTAATTGGGGATACATTAAAGAAATATGAGTTCAATATAAGATATCCAGATCTACTCAATTTTAAGAAGTCCCTTAAAATTTGGTTGAAACCAAGTAGAGGAGCTGTTTAAGCACTACAGCCAACTTTAAGGCACCCAACAGAGAAGTTACGGAGTATCCGAAATCCAATACCTCGACATTTTTGATCCAAAATCTGGCCCAAGACATAACTCGACCCAACTTCCCTCATAATTCTCCTAAATGACCCGACCAGAAACCAGACCCCTACGCCTGACTTTTTTTCCAACCAAAAATCGATCCCAAAAATTTTTCGAAAACTTGACCAGAGAACCGCCCGACTTTTTCTTCTACCCGTGAGATTCCTGGCAACCAACCATTATAAAATCGTCTTATCATCCCCTAAATAAGGTTCCCTTAAGTGAGGTTCAACTTTAATTTAAAAATCCAAACCTTTCCCTTTGATTTTCCATCGGTTTCCCCATCCAAATATTTTTTGGCCCTTTCCTCTTCTTCAACCAATTTTTCATCAACATAGGCCATATAAGCCAAAACTCCATTTTCTGCCAATATTTGTGAAGTTTGCGAAGAATAGAATTGTTCAGTAAACGTAATGTATTGCTCTTCAAATTGTTCAGCATAATTGAGGTTTCCAACAATGCTTAAATCAACTTTAAAAAAATTAAAAATAAATTTAAAAATAAAATTTATATACCAAAGGATTCTTGAACACCAATTATATGCTGTGAATTGACTAGTTCTCCATTACGTTCACGGTCGATTAAACTTAAAAATTAATTAGGTAGGTAAAATATCTAAATTTGTGTTAGGAAAGCCCGTAACAAGGGGTTATCCTAAAATCAAAGTCTGACCTTTTTCGACTCAAAACGAAGTCCGGATAAAATTTTTAAAACACGACCCGACATCCATGGTCAGTAATCAACAAAAAAATTTTTCCCAGGAAGGTTCTTAAGCCAAAAAAATTTTTAGGGTAAAAACTAGACAGAACTCTCATTAAAAACACAAAATCCTTCAAAAAAATTTCCCATCAATCATCCCCTATCCCCTCCCAAAATAAAGAACAAAGTCTCAAGAAATGACCCTATAAACCACAAAAAAACACTTGAAACCTCATTGCTGCATTCAACAATCGAGTTGAAATTTTAGAAAACACATATTTATTCCATCGGTCAAGCATCAACTAAAAAATTAAAAATTTTTTTATTAAAATTTCAAAAAAACCTCTCTAACTTGAAAACCTTGTTTATTCCTCCCACTTTTTGATTCCTTCTCTCTTTTTTCAACAAAACAGAATGGAAGCGGCAAGTAGCGACATAAAATTGAATAGCCTTCCCATTCTTGAATATAAGCTTTGAGCAGCGAATCGACATCAGAATGGGGGAGAATTTTCTAAAAAAGAATTTTTTAGAAAATTCTATTAAAAAATAAATACATTAGCAGCTTCGCCAACATGTTTGGTCAATTCCTCTTTTAATACTGAAAGTAATTTTTCATTGCCAGAGTCAACCCAAGAAGTGATTCTGTTGTTTGTGCTGAACAAGTCTTGCCACTCAAATTTGGAAACGTTCTAAAAAAATTTTTTTTGAAGGTGATTAAGCTGTGATAAAAAAATTTTTGGGAGCAGATCTGCTCGCTTTATAAAAAATTAAAAAGACAATTGGACTCGAACCAAGGCACCATTCGAATTATAAGTCAAAACTTATACTTTAAGGTAATCCTTTCTTTTACTGGTCCCTAAACATTTTTGATACCATTGGATAGCATCGATTTATTACGAAAAATTTCTGGTTTTTCCCAGCGATAGGAAACTGAAAAATTATAGGGCTCCAAAGTTTGCCAAAATTAGGGGAGATATCCCAAACAAAACTATGCAAACAGAACACCACTAAAAACTAAAAAATCCCCAAAAATTCCAAATCAAAAAACCTGTCTGCAAAGCAAATTTCTAACCACAGGCAGAGATTTTGCCCATTCTTCTTCGAAAATAACATTATTGTTATTCTACAAAAATTTTTAATTTAATTTTAGTTAAAAATAAAAAAAATATACACTGCCAAGCAAGAGCAAGCTTTCCATTTTGTGTTGAGCCATTTTCTTTAAAACAATTTTGATTGAAACTAAAAATTCTAAAATTTAAAAGTAAAGTAAATGAGTTTGAAATACATAAAAAATATAGTAAAAATATATTTAGAATACTTTTGCCGAAACAAAAAACTGGAAAAATATTTATTTAAAAAGCAAAACAAGATTGAAAACAAATTTTCATAAACAACATAATTTATCAAAAATATTTAAACAAAAAACAATTTTTTCATAAATTTAACAAAAAACATTCAATTACTAATTATTCTGATTACCCTCTATTATACTTGTAATAGCATTTGTATTCGAAACGAGCATACCAATAAGTCCATTAATATACCCAATATCATTTTGAACCGTCGGAAAGTTGGCTTGACCCATATTGACACCGAGCTCGCAAAGATTCTCCAAAATCTTCATTTTATCGGACACATTTTGAACCATCTAAAAAATAAAAAATATTAAACAGATAAGTTCAGAATCATTAATTATTTTTCAATTTTCGAAAAAAAACTTTTAATTTTTAAACATAAAGATCTTCACGGGTCAAAAATCAATAAAAATAGTTAAAGATAAAACGAACGTTTTCTCTATTTGCATTAGGAAAATACGAAGTTGGCCAAGCAAAACTGTCAAATCGGAATAAAAATGGAAGATTGTATTTGACAAGTACTAAGCCAATTAACTTGCAATCTTAAAAATAAATTAGAATTGTGAATAACAAAATTCTACAAAACACGTTCGATTTAATGAAATTTGCAAATTGTTCAAATATTTGAAAATATATTTTTTGTGTAAAAAATTTTAATATTTTACTACGCAGGACTAAATAAGTTATGTTTAACCGGCCAAAACCGAAAAAGGGAGATTATAAATTTATAGCAACAAAACCGAAAAAACTGGGGACCTAAGTTTCAAACTAATAAGCCAGCTCGATTTTCGAAACATACAATAAAACAAATGATTTGATTTTTCATTAAGTAAATTCAAATTGTCCAAGCTAACATCCCCAAGAGTTCGTGAAAATTGCTCAAATTGAGTTCTTTTCAACGTCAATCCATCCAAAATCTTAAAATTTTTATTAGATTTAGCCTGTTTTTTTGAGAAAATTTTAAGTATACCATTCAAAAGCCATTAAGGACAAATGTTAAAACTTACTTTTTTCACACGTTTGGAAAAAATAATAAAATGACGCTGATTTTTTAAAAGTAAATTATTGAAAATTAAAGAGACTCGAAAATCCTTCCACTTGAAATCAAATGGAAGAAAATTAACAATCTCGTGTATTAATTCGACTGAAAGATTGGGGTTTTTAATTTTATAGGAAAGCATTTTATATCCCACAAGATTGAGGATATTATCAGATACAATTACAAAGTATTAGAGAAAAGGGTCAGAGTGAGTGAAGTTATAAAATGGTCAGTTACTTAGAAATGGTCAGTTACTTAGAAAAGGTAATCTCTCAGCGAATATGACAAAAGGTCGATTAAGGGAATAGAGTAAAGAAAAAGATAATAGAGTATACAAGGCAAGAGAGAGAGATTTATTAAAAAATGTATTTAACGAAACACCAAAAAGACAAAAGGTAACTTCTCGATAAATATGACAGAAAGTCGATTAAGGGAGTAGTGAAAGACGAAGGGGAAAAGTGTTCCTAAAATTAAAAAAAAAATTTATCTCTGTGTAAAAACAACAGAGCTTCAAAAAAACTAAAAAATTGATTCAATTTATTCAATAAAATTTTTAAATATTGAAAAAACACCCCCTTTTTTGGAAGCTAGAGTCATAAATACCATCTGAACAATACTCTGACAAATGGGATATTTTGTCGTATATTTAGTTTCTAGTTATCTTGTGATTTGCAACCAACAAGATTTTAGATAGTCTATTGAATAGACAGCCTTCTTTTTTGAGGGGAGAATGTTTAGCCACAAAATTTTGTCGTTGGTTAAGTGGCTTAAACTCTAGTTTCCAGAGAAGGGTTTTTTAGTGGGCAGTGAATTCTGACACAAAAAAAAAAAACAAAAAATTCTAAAAAAATTTTCTTTTTAAAATAATCAAATTTCTATCTTCCTCTACTAGTTTTCCTCATAATAACGACAAACAGACAAATCAAACATTGTCCACAAATTAAAGTTGTTAAAGCTAATGTCCATAAAGGCTCGTGAAATTCTTTTGAAAATAAAATATTTAATAAAATAAATTTTTTATCCAATAATGTATTTGTTGTTGTTGAAGAAGGAGGTGTTGTTGATTGATACAAAAGAGAAGAAAATGAAACATCAGCTAAAAAAAGAAAAAAAAATTTTTTAGGGAAAATTAGATTTTACGGGCTAGTCCGCAAAAATTGTCCGCAAAAAAATGTCCACAGAAAAAATCCGCAAAAAATTGTCAACAAAAAATTGTCCGCAAAGAATGTCCGCAAACGTGACGCTTTAAAAATTTTCAATACCTATCCCACTCTTATTCACTTTAAAATTGAAAAAAAATTTCTTCCAAACCTAAATTCTTCAAAATTAATCCAATTGATAAAATAATAGCAATAGGCATATAATGTTGTAAAGCAGCAGTACACGCATATGAGGCATAATTGGCTACCTTTAAATTGAAAAGAAAATTTTTGAATATAAGAAAAAGTCCACAAAAAATCCCGAAAAAATGTCCGCAAAAAATGTCCGCAAAAATTTTGCAGAAAATGTCCGCAAATAAAATCCGCAAGAAATTTCCGTCCGCAAAAAAATATTTTTGCTGACAAATTTTGCGGACATTTATTGAAATTAAAAAAACCTTTCTCTGTTTTTCCTCTTCTTTTAAATTTCTAAAAGAATATTCAATCAAAACTTTTTTAGGTTTATCCAATAATGTTTGTAGACAAATTCTTGAAGCATAAATTCTTGCAAATAAAGTTATAAATAAGGCCAAAAGTCGAAGAGATTTTAATTGTTCATGAGTGATACTGAAAAAATGAGATAATAATAGGTAATTTAATCAGTATAATCAGGTTCTTAATGTACGGATAAGGAGGAAGCTTTTCTTTTTGATTTAGAAAAAACAAAAAACAAAAGAAACAACAAGACAACATAAGGTGAAGCAAGGGATGTTTCATTTCCTTCCCCCCAAGAATAAAGAGAAAACATGATGAGGTTCTTCCCAACTTCCAAGAATGAGTTCTCCTCTTAAAGGAGAACTCCTCTTCCATCATTGGGAGCAACACGATTTTTTTCACCATTCTTGTGAGAAGGGAATCGAAGCCGGAAAGAATTTTCATGTCGAAAAGTCCCTAAACCCTCTCCTTAGCTAGTTTCGAATTAAACTTTTTATGGAAAAAATTTTTTACATATACCCTTACAATTGAGTTTCCAAAATTTGTTCAACAATTGGACGTAAGAATAGAAGCAAAACTCCAACAGGTGCCAAAAAGGAAAAATGAAACACACATCTATAGAAAAAATTTTAAATAAAAATTTTTAAAATTCAAAAAAAACCTCACAAAAATATTCTTAAATCCTCTCTCCTCATCCTCATCTTCAAAAAAATCAAAATATAAAGACGTATATTGTAACAATGGAAAGAAAAAAGCACTCAAAATTATTGAAAAAATTAAAGCCAAACAGACTAGAAATAATAAGGGAGAGCGTGAACTTGAAGAAAATAAAGGTTGAAAGCTATGTTCTTGTAAAAAATCATTTAAAGAATTGATAAAGTTGAGATAACCTTAAGGAAAAAATTTTTGTGAATTAAATGACATTTGGTCCCATAATTAAAAAATAGAAGGGGTCGGGTTTTTGTCAATTTTCGGAATTAATCCCACGGGATCCCGTCACATTCTAACGTTGCTAACAAAGCTAAAAAACTAGGGATGGGTCAAGGTGGTCGGATTTTAACCCCAATATTTTTCAAATATGGGACCAAATGTCACCTAAATCACAAAAATTTCCAAACCCCACTAGAACATAAAAAACCTTTAGAAATTTCAATATCCAAAAATTGATCAGCAAAAGCATTGAAAAGTAAAGATCCCAAAAAGAATAAACCAGTTGCACAAATAAGTGTATTTCTTTCTGGGAATAATTGAGCTAGCGACACTTTTTCAAAAGCAATATTTAATAAAATGTGTATTTGCAATATTAGAGCACAAAAAGTCCAAATCATTGAAGCATTTAAATCTGAGAAATTTTTTGATTAAAAAAGTTTTGAGACAAATTGTCATCCATGGGACCAAATGTCATTGAAAGGGCAAGATGTAACCAAGGGGACAAGAACGAAGTTCTGAGACAATATGACATTTATGGGACGACCAAGGACACCCCACAGCCTCTCCTTTGTCAGGGGACGATTCTCTGGACATATGTCACGAATGGGACGAAATGTCAACAAGAGGCAAGCCTACCCAAGGGGACGCTAATAAAACTAACATTAAGGAGGCGGGATGTCACCAAAAGGATGAATTTCTGGGACAATATGTCTCGACCCTGACTCTTCTAAAATTCCCAAAATTTCAACAAACCTTTATTCTCCGGAAAAACCAAATTGTACAAGTCGCTCAAAACAAAAACAAACAAAGCAAAACAGCTGTAATTAAAAGTCCAAATAAGTGAATCAAAAAATGGAACACCTTCTAAAGCATTCAAGTTTAATGGAAGACGAATAAGACGATCCTTTTGTTCTTCTCCCATTTTTTCTGTGGAGGATTTGTTGTTGGTAGCCTTTTGACTGTATAAAAAATATAAAGTGACGGAAAGAACCAGAACTCTGTTATTTTAATGAGTCCGAAAACAAAAAAATTTGCGAACAAAAATTACTAAAAATTTTTGAGGGCCAGTCGCCAAAACCCCTAGAACAGAGGGTTCTAAAAGGGAAAAAAATAAAGAACTGAGAACGCAGCCCAGATCACCCCTCCAATTAAAAAAAATTTTTTTCTAACCTTGCACTTGCTCCACGTCTTTTACCATTTCCTCCTTGATTATTCCCCTTCTGTTGCTGTACTTGTTTGTGTTTTACCAATCTAGGAAACAATGACCCTTCAAGTAGATAATAGTACAAACTAAGAAATTTTTTAATAAAAATTTCTTAAAAAATTTTTCAAAAAATTCACAAACCCTTTAAACACAAAAATATCACATAAAGATAAACGTCCTTGAATTTTGCCAAATACACTAGCCGACAAAAGTGTAAGGATTACATGAAAACCAAAAATCGCCATTTTCTATAGGTAAATTTTCATTTAAAATTTTCAAAAATTTAAAAAAAATATATATTAAAGAATCAAATGGTACTACTCGACATTTGCGGACAAAAATTTTTTAAATTTCTAGTCTGCAAATATAAATCCGCAAATACAGTGGCGGAAATTTAAATAGGGAAATTGTAAACTCTATGTAGTTCCGTTCATCTTTATCCGATCTGGCAGATCTTAATTTTAAAAAATAGCTTAATTTCTATCTCAGTTGACATGTTTCAGCGTTTTTCAAAATTCTAATATTTTCAAAAACTTTTCGACCGGTCTAACAGGTACTACATTTTCGACTTTTCGGAGAAATTTTTTTGAAGTCTGTAAAAAATATATGTGATTCTCCTCTAGATTCTGAATACAATGCAAAAAACCGCATCTAAATCGGTCGAGATTCTACCGAGTTATGAATTTTTGAAAATCGAAAAAACACCCATTTTTGCAAAAAAATCGACAAAAAATGGCAAAAAATCGCGTTTTTTCGATTTTCAAAAATTCATAACTCGGTAGAATCCGGACCGATTTAGATGCGGGTTTTTGCATTGTATTCAGAATCTAGAGGAGAATCACATATATTTTTTACAGACTTCAAAAAAATTTCTCCGAAAAGTCGAAAATGTAGTACCTGTTAGACCGGTCGAAAAGTTTTTGAAAATATTAGAATTTTGAAAAACGCTGAAACATGTCAACTGAGATAGAAATTAAGCTATTTTTTAAAATTAAGATCTGCCAGATCGGATAAAGATGAACGGAATTACATAGAGTTTACAATTTCCCTATTTAAATTTCCGCCACTGTATGTGTCCGCAAGCACGTGTCCGCAAATGTCGTCAAACCAATAAACTTTAAAAATTCTTCATTTCACATCATTTTTATTGTCATCTTGTAGGGATAGTATGAGACTACAACAAAAAAAATAAAATTAAAAAAGAGAGCATTAATGTCCAAAAAATGCAAAAAATTGAATAGAAATTCAACCTTGCTCTCCTTTAGAAAAAACAATTTTTAAATCAAATAATTTAAATAAAAAATTAATTATAGGTAAACGAGAAAGGCGGCTATAATATATTTAATTTTAAAAATTCAAAAAGATTCTTTTTCCCTCCAAAAATTACCCCGAAACTCTCCCCAAAAACATTTTAGAAAAAAAAATTTTTTCTTAACCGCCCTCCCCTATTGTCTCAAAAAATATCCTTTTTTTAACTAAAAATCAAACATTCCAAAATAAATTAAAAAAAAACCTTTCTCTCATCCAAAAATCTCATCTCATAGTCATCTTTTTAAATCCTCAAATATTTTGTTCTTCTACCTTCCTAAAAACAGCTACATTTTTCACCAATCCATTTACGCAAAGGATCCAAAGAAAATTCATTATTTTCTTTCTCCTGTTCAATAGCACTACATTCAACAAAAAGTGGACGTTCCTTCTTAAATATAAGAAATGTAAAAAAATGACTCTAAAAACACTAAAAATACCCACCCAAAGGATTTTTTGGGGTTTTTTTTTATTCAATTCCCCACACGGATCCGAACCCATGATCACCAAATGTCATGTGATCTTAAATTTTCATAAGCAAGTGAAAGCTCATTTAAAAACCCTTATCGAGCTAAATCGAACAACACCAAAATCAGCTTGATTGGTGATATAGCATCAAGTTATGAGCATCCGAACAAAGCCACATAGGATGAGGGGGGTCGATGGTTCGAACCCGCATGGGGGCAAATGAAATCTTTTTCTTTCATTTCACATTTTTTATTATTATTCAAGAAGAAAACCTTATTCTTGCCATCATTCAAATTTTCCCATTTAAATTCCTGTCCATTATTTGTCAAAATTTTTTGTTGTTCGGCCAAAGATAAATCACCAGACCCTTCAGTAAGCGAAAGAGCAGCTTCACGAGAAATATTAATTAAACCAAATTCTTGTTCAATTAATTTCTCAATTAACTTTAAAAAAATTTATTTAATTAAAAAAAAATTTGTTGTAAAAATGTCAAGAGGGGTGGAAAACGACAAAAAACCCCAAGGCAAAAATGTCAATAACTCTAGAAATCGAGTATAATTTAACGCGAGTAATTTTATGACCCATCTTTGACTTCAGTTGACAATGAGTACTATATACTCTATCAAGTAAAATTCTATTTAAAATTAAAAAAATAATTTCCCTGAGCGGGTTCGAACCATGAACCCCCACGAAAAAACAATAAAAAAGCTCCCTAATTTTCTAATTTTTTAAGCTTTAAACTTTTAAAAATATGAACCTGTCCAGCCTTAGCATGAGCCAAATCCTGCTTGTTACAAACCACCAAAACCGGAATCTTTGTATTTTTAGTTTCATAAAGAACATCATAAAGATACTCAGCAACGTCCTCAAGTAATTTTTCAGAAATTTAATAAAAAATTTTAAAAACCTTTTTCGAAAAAGTAGCGCTATCAACCACAAAAATAACACAACAAACAGAATTAATTTGCTGAACAAATTTTTTATTTAAAAAAGTAAATTAAAAAAAACCTCATTAAACCATTTATTAAATAAAGCCTTTCGGAAGGTTTCAGCACCTGGATAATCTACCAAAATGAAAGGTTTGTCCAATCCTTCTTTGCAAAGATAGTCAGAATAAATGTTTTCTTGAACAGAAGAAACTGTAGACCATTCATTTTCTGTTAAAAATTAAAATTAAAAAATAATTAATTTCCCTTGAGCGGGTTCGAACCATGGACCTCACAATCAGATTATGATTCAGAGTCCGTAGCCCTCCGTAAATTAAAAATAAGAATATATAAAAATGGTCTTAAAGACCCGATTGAGTACTAAAAATTCAATCGACAAAAAATTCATAAATTAAAAAAATTTTCCCCGAGCGGGTTTGAACCCTTGGACCTATAAATCATCAACAATTCGAAGTGCATGGGATCAAAAAATCAAGTGTAGAAATTATTTTAAATACCCCGGTCGGGTAATAAAATACTTTTTGAGCAAAAATTTATAAATTAAAAAATAATTTCCCCGAGCGGGTTCGAACCATGGACCCCCTAACAAGCAACTATAAAATCTTTTTTTTTGCCTACAAGACAGAACCCTACTTTAATTAAAAAATAAAATTTAAATAAACAAAAATACTTTGATTAACGAGCTTTCCAAAAATTGTAGACTTTCCAGATCCCGACGGTCCAATAATCAAAATTGTATTAGCCTTTGCCTTGCTACGTTTATAGAAGAAAAATACCAGAGAAGTAATAACCAAAATAATTAACGTAACAAATGCTGGAATAAATATTTGGTTGTCTTTAATTGAAGCAATTAAAGTTGAAGAATAAAATTGGTGTTGTTGTTGCTTTGGTTGTTGTTTTGTCATTTTTTAATAAAGTCTCTATCCTTATTAAAAATCACAAAAATTAAAAGGTTGATCACATTATTCCCCCATCCGTCCGCAAATGTTTTTTGCATACGTCCGCAATTGTTTGTCCGCAAACGGAGATATGGAAATTTAAGTGTCTGGCAGTTACGTCGTCTGACCTTTGTCGATCCTTGAAACTTTTTTTAACCTTATGAGAGGAGAAAAGAAATAGAGAGACTTTGCGGACACACAATTGTGGACGTGTGGGGCACATTTCGTTACATCAACTAAAATTTAAAAAATTAAAAAATAATTATAAAACGGTTAAAAACCGAAAAGAAATATCAAAATTAAAAATAAACAAAAATATTTATTATTAAAAATACCAATAAACCTCAAAAAACTTTAAAAAAGAATTTTTTTATTCTAATCCAAAACGTTCTTTAACCCTAAGAGGCAGAGATTCTCTTCCTTTAATATGCTCCTTCTCCACATACAAAACTTCTTTTCCAACTAGAAAAATTTAAAAAAAATTTCTTTTAAAAAAGTCCGCAAGTTTTGTCCGCAAGTCAATTTTATCAGAAGTAAAAAAAATTTACGAGGATTTTGTGCATCTTTTATACAAAGTGCATGCTTTATTAAACACAAGAATGTGTCTAAAATTCTTTCCCTTTAAAATAAATAAGTCAAAAAATAATTTCCCTGAGCGGGCTCGAACCATGGACATCGAATTTTGTACAAGACAAAATATAAATTGTTTCCAAAAATATTTTCCAAAAAATAAATTTGCGACTAAAACCTGCGAACTTCTTCCCTACACACAAAAAAAACAAAAAGAAAATTTCAAAAACCTGCAGGATCATAAAATATTCCTTTAGATTCAGGTGATTCTCTCATTCTAACCCAAACTTTGGCGGTATTTGAAATAACACTAACTAGGCGTACAACTAAATATCTGAAAAAAATTTTTTTCTAACTCGCAAAAAATATAAAATTTACTTTGTTTTCTTTGCCATTTCTAAAAGTTCCCTTTTTCAAAAAATTCTTTTTGGCTATCTAAATTATCATTAAAAAGAAAAAAATTTAAGAATTTAAAAATATTGTAAATATTATCAAAAATAAATTTTCAAAAAAATTTTCCAGAAAATTTTAGAAGAAAATTTTAATCAAAAAATAACAAAAATACCTCTGGTTTAATTTGAGAGTCCAATGAACCTTTAGTAACTCAATGGCGGTTCTAGTCTTATTGTTAGTCCCAAGGGCGTATCCAGAGGGTTGGTTTCAAGGAGAGGGCTGGATACGCCAATGACGAGTCCTATGAACTTCTATGAGTTCAAAAAATTTTTACGAAATATGAAAAGTCAAGAGACTCATAAAAACTAACCCAGAGTCCAAAAATAAATTTAATAAAAAAAACAACTTCACTCTTTATTCATTTCCTTCTCATCTATTTTTCTTCTTTTTCATTAAAACAGCTTTTTGACGTTTTCTTGCTGGTTCCAAATCTTCATCTTCATTATTTACCCCCAACATTAATTTATGTTTTTAAAATCCTCCTCCTTTACTTCCTTCCAACATTTCTTTGTAACGCTTAAAAAATGAGGTGTAGTGAAAAAACACAAAAAAATTGGTCAACTCGGGCTCCATGGTTCGAACACGCTCAAGGAAAATTATTTTTTATTCATGAATCTTTACTCGAAAGGTATTTTCAGTACCCTAACCGATGCAAAAAACTAATTTTGAATTTTTTCCGAATTTATGAGGTCCATGGCATCGAAGCAATTATTGATGAGTCGAAACCCATGGTTCGAACGCGCTCTGGGAAAAAAATTTTTCGAGAACAAGTTCAACAAATATGAATAACCCGACCCTCCTAAGACCTTAATTTCCCTAAATTTAACCCCGAACCTCTATTTAATTTATAAATAAATTTACATTTGCAGCCATCCTTCCAGCTTCAGAAACTCTTTCCACCAATTTCATCACTTCTTCATGGTTAATTTCTAACGGGTCAAGCCTCTTTCCAATAGAATTTTCAACTTTTTGATAAATTTCAACATCGTATTGGGTGACTATAGTGATTGAAATCCCTGACTAAAAAATTAAAAATCTTTTTTTTTTGAAATTTCAGAAGTTGGCACTTTGACATTTTCCAAAAAAAAGTCGACATTTCGACACAAAATTTTTTTTATTAAAAAACAACAAACCTTCCCAGCCCTAGCAGTCCTTCCCACACGATGAACATAATCTTTAGAATGTGTTGGGACGTCATAATTTAAAACCATATCAACATGAGGAATGTCAAGACCTCGAGAAGCAACATCAGTACAAACCAAAATTGGCCTATCCTTTTTCTTGAATTTGTTTAAAGCTCCCAAACGTTTTGGCTAAAAAATAAAAAAATTTTTGCAAAATTTAAAAAATTTTGCAAAAAAACCTGTGACATTTGTCCATGTAATGCTATTGCTCCAAAACTTAATTGCCTTAACATTAGAGCTATTTTTACTGAACTTGCACAAGTTGAACAAAAAACTATTGCTGTATTGCCTGCTTTTTCGTTCAAAACGTGGACTAGATAAGCTTCCTAAAATTTGAATTTTTTCAGTGAAACTTGGTGACATTTTAATGAAGTCCATGGTTCCAACCCGCTCCGGGAAAATTATTTTTATTTTCGGAGTATGAGTTGGTCTACGACCTTTTTAAAGAAAAAAGCACCAAATAAAGCCCTCCAAACGACAAAATAAAATTAAAAACAAAACTCGAACCTTATACTTGAAGGGAATAAAGAGCATATTTTGAATCAATGTGCTAACAGTTTGATATTTGGTAGACAATTCAACACGAACAGGCTTCTTTAAATGGGCCCTTTCTAACTTTGAAACCTTCAAAATAAATAAAATTTTTCCAAAATTTTTTATAAAATAACCTTGTGCGTCATAGTTGCCGAAAATAAAAATGTATGCCTTGTATTTGGAATAACTTTAAGAATTTTATCCAATTCCAATTCAAAGTCCATATTAAGTATTCTATCCGCTTCGTCCAAAACCAAATATTTGACTGATCGAAGATCAAAACCTTTAGTGTTTTCGAGGTGATCAACAAGACGACCAGGAGTTGCTAAAGGGTTTAAATAAAAAAATAAGCTTTTAAACTTTATTGCTTCTTTTTCATTTCTTCCCTTATTTTTCACGATTTATCCATGGCCAAGGACGCAAACATGAATAGGCTTCCGGGAGATAAAACCAAGGTGTTCCCTACCTCAACCACCATTGGCAACCAGATCAAAAAACGGAGACCCCTTGCTCTAGAGGCGCATTTAGGGACACAGAGTTAAGGAAGAGGGCGTCGCGCTTCCAACCCTATGTATACGGCCTTATTCCTTACAATTAAAAGGGATTAATTTCGAGTAGTAGAGAATAGGGAATAGGATGAAAACGGGCTCAAAAAGTTCAAAATTCCCCACTCAACAAACTAACCAACAATAACATGAGGCCTTTTAGAAAGAGACAATGTTTGTGTTGACATATCAATACCACCAACAATTGTAGCTTTAAAAAGTTTATGAATTTCTCTACAAATTTACTCAAAAACATACAGACTTGGAGGCCGATAGTTGCACCTAAAGCCACAAATTGATCCGAAATTTGAAATGCAAGTTCTCTCGTCGGAGCCAATACAACGGCAAAGAGACGCTGTGGATTGGACATTAAGGATTGAAGTATTGGAAGAGCAAATGCTGCAGTTTTGCCAGAACTAGAAAAAATGGATAGTTGACAAACGGAGTCCATGTGTTCATTAATTGGGTTCATGCTAGGTAAGAGAGTTCCCCGATGAGAAAGGACAAGCAGGCCCTTAACAACCACACCCCCGGCCCCCCACTCAAAAAATCCTGGTTACTGGCCTGCGGACAGGTAAACGTGAAATATTTTAGTCTTGATGTATAAAGAGGCCACTTTGAGCTTCCCAGGGATTTCCTAGACTTGTAAGAATCACTCCAAAAAATCACCCCAAAATCTTAAAAAAACCTCTCACCCAGTTTCTGCCAATCCAATCACATCTCTTCCCTTTAAGGCAATCGGAATAACCTTTTGTTGTATAGGCATAGGTTTTTTCCAACCAATACGTTCACAAGCACTGCACAATTCTTCATTTATTCCCTAAAAATTTTAAAACAAAGCTTAAATTCCTCTAAATCAAAAATAAACCAATTCTTTAAAAGTCCCAATTTCGTCATTATTGTCGTTGTTTTCAACAGTTTCTTCTTGCAGTTCTTCCATTTAATAACAAGAAAATTCACTTTTAACGTTAATCTAAAAGATTTTTAAAAGATAAACATGTATAGAACACCGAAAAAAGTAAAAAATCTCGAGCATAAAAATAAAATGACCGAAATTTTGTGTAGATATTTCGAAATATTAATGAGTAAAAATGTCAAAATGTAAAAAAGAAAAAATAATTTCAAAGTGGCAATTCATAAAACACCAACTTTATAAACACCAAAAAATCAGCGGAATTTTTATTTTTTAAAAATTTAAAAAAACGATAAAAAAATTTACAATAAAAAACAAACAAAAAAATTTTGGAAATTAGGAGATCAAAATAAACTACAAAAAGCACAAAATTTTATTTTTCTGGTTCCGAAAATGTTAAGGAACAAAAAAATTTTTTTTAATATTAGAACCAGAAAAATAATTTTTTTAAAGGGAAGACAAGTGAAAAGGCGCAAATGGATTTTGACTGAAAAATGGATGGCTTATTAAAAATATAAATAAAAATTTGTATTAGTATTTACAGTCAGACCTCGCTATTATCCTCGTAGGTCAATCCCCATCTTTTAACTGAGATTTTATTTAAGGGTTCCCTAAATTTTAGTTAAGAGGCTTTTGATTAAAGACCGGAGGAGACGAGATCTCGATTCTCGTACAACACTCCCGGTCCGGTCTCTAGATGTGATATCTTGACATCTTGTCCCCATTGTTTGGCGTTTTGACAACGTTTAGGGGTTAGGTATTTTTGCGGACAAAATTTGCGGACTTTTCTTAAGGAGAATAAAGGAAAAGAACCCCCTATATTTTTGGCACTAAAACGCGTTAAGACTATCAACTCTTAGTGATCTACAAAATTAAAACTATTTTAAAAGTGAGGTCCGACTGTAAAAAAAATTTTTTCTATAAAAATAATAAAATAAAAATTAAAAAAATAAACTGTAGTGCCATAAAATTTGATCTCCTCAATGAATTGTTATAATACAAATCTCTTGCCAAAAAGTCTATAGCACCATCACCGCTTTTACCAACAGCAATATTACGACGTTTTTTACTTTAAAATAAGGTTAAAAAATTTTCACAGAAAAAAATTTTTCGAAAAAATTTTCAGAAAAAAATTTCAAAATTTAAAAAAAATTCAAAAATATTTTTCAAAAAATTTAACAAAAAAAAATTTCACAAACTTAGAATTAACAGGTGTATCCAACTGTACAAACGTTCTTTGACTTATCCATCTTTTATCATCCTCATTATTTAAAAATTTTATTGTCTCGTTAAATTCATCATTTAGAAAACACTCTTCTGTCCAAACCTTTAAAAAATTATTTTTTTTTATGTTCTTAAAAATCCGCAAATTTTTGTCCGCAAGTTCTACCCTCACAAAAATGCGGACAAAACTTGCGGATTTTTGGGAAAAAAATTTTTTCGGAAAGTTTTAAGAAAAACTTTCTGAAAAAATTTTCCAAAAATTTAAAAAAAAATTTTAATAAAAGAAAATAAAACCTCCATTTCAACTCTCCACCCTTTGTCCAACAATTTGAAACCATAACAATTTGAAAGCGGCAATTGTGCTGTTGAACTTTTTGCATAAAATTCAGACAAACCAATTTTATTTAAATTTTTATTTTCTAAAGAAACACGTCCATCATAACCAATAAATGCCTTAAAAATTGAAAAAAAAAATTTTTTAAATAATTTTATTTGCGGATATTTTAAGGGAACACCCAACCATGAACCCACGTATATTCCCCATTTCCGTTCCCTACTTGCTTTAAAAATTTGAAAAAATTCTAAAAAAAATTCTGCAAACAAAATTTGTGGACAATTACATTTTTGCGGACTAATTATTATTTTTTAATATCATTGGATTAAATGTCACCCCACTCCCCTTAATATTGCCAAAAACAAAAAAGTAAACAAACCTGAATAGAATTAGGTACCCGCGGAGAATTTAAAAATTCTGGTTCCTGATCAAACAAATATACAACCTTTAAAAAAATGATCAAAATCAAATAAAAATTTAAAAAAATCAAACCATTCCACTTCTCCTTTGAGGCAAAATTGTTTTTTGTTTTGTCTGCCTTTTTGTAACAAACATTAAACGTCCTTCCACCAATTGTTTTTTAAATTTTGGAGAAGCATTTTCTTCTTTTTCCTCCTCAAATTTTCCAAAATCATACAAAAGTAAAGCATTTGGCCAACCCAAAAAGGCAACTCCTTTAGGGCTTAAAACAGCAGTTGATGAGAGAAAGGGAGAGGAAGAACGTCCAGCAGCTGGATTTGAAGAAGGAAATTGAAGACTGAGCCAGTGGGAAGAGGAAGAGAAACCCTTGAGGAGAAAAAATTTTTATTTCAAAATGTCAACTCTACAAAAAAATTTCGAAATGTCAAAAATAAAAAAATTTCAAAATGTCAACTCAACAAAAATATTTCAAAATACCAAAGAGAAAAATTTCAAAATACCAAAAAGAAAAAAAATTTCAAAATGTCAACCCTGCAAAAATAGTTTCCAAAAATTATAAAATCCCAACCTTATTACTCTGTTGCCGTCTAAATTCCTCATTGTCATCACCTCCAGATTTTGAAAAAGCCACAAACCTTCTTATACGATTTCTCCAACTTTCATCCAAATCAAATAAGAGCCGTCTCTTTTTAACATTTTTTTCTTCAATTCCAATCCTTGCCAGTCTACGTAATGGAGAATCTGAATCAACAACATCACTTACATCTCCTCGCAAAACTAAATAAATTGGAGGAGAATCGATGCCTAAGAGCCATTCCAAAACCTTTAAGAAAGAAAAAATTTTTTAATCAGAAATATTTATTCTAATAGAAAAACAACCAATTAATTTTTCAACTCCAATTTTAATCTGGCAAAAAATTCAAAATACCAACTTTGCTTCTAAAAATAATTAAAAAAACTAATAGTGCGTGCCATTCTATTAGAATAAATATATCATGTCTTTAGCTGACAAATTTTTTGCGGACAGAAACTTGCGGACACCTAACCATCTTCCGAAGATTATAAAGTATATTTTGACTCAAGAATGTTTTGATGTGTAATAAATTTGGATCCTTGGGTATTGGTCACGAACCAGTAACCGTTTGTTAAACCCTCAAAGATTTCAACAGGTTTCAGTTTTGTCCGCAAGCTTTGTCCGCAAATTGACAAAAAACCTCAAATATTCCCAAAAAAATTAAAAAAAACCTCAACAGAGTGTACAGCATCATTAAGCCTCATATTTAACAGAATAGGTTCTTTCCTTTCCATAGCTCTGAGTAATTGTAAAAGTCTAAAAGCTTGTTGCCAATCCATTTTATTAAAGGCCGTCCAATCTCCCCCTCCTTTTTCAAAAGAACTTGTAGTCCATCCCAAAGAAAGAATTGCTTCGGGTAATAATTGATGAGCAGATTCGAGAAATGGAACAATATCTACTGGCTTCTAAAAAATTTAAAGATTAGAGAGGAAAAAATTAAAAAGCACTATAGAAGACTGAAGCGCTTTTTGCGGACATTTTTTTGCGGATTTTTAATAGAGTATTTAATAGGCGTCTTTTGTGGACATTTAATAAGCGTCCTCTATTTTAAAAAATCAAAAAAATAGTCTGCAAGTTCACAAAAATTTCTCAAAAAAAATCTACAAAATTGTGTCCGCAAAGAGAAAGTCCGCAAAAAATTCCTAAAAAAAGTCCGCAGGTGTCCGCAAAAAATTTTTCAAAAAATTTTTTAAAACCTTTCAGTCTTCAGCTAGTGCAATAAAAAATAATTACCTCAGAACCCATTCCTGCACCTTGAAAAGTATTCTGCAAAAAATTCTTTTAAATAAAATTTAACATTTTTAAATAAACCGCATGAACAATTATCGGCGCATTAAAACGATTAAGACCTCGAGTTGCTGCATATAAGTGTTGAAGAACAGGTCTAACTACTTCTGTTGTTCTTACTGATATTTTTAAAGCTGAAAAGAAAAGTTTTTTAGAAAAATTTTGAAATTTTTGTTAAAAATTAAAAAGTCCGCAAAAAATGTCCGCAAAAAAATTTTAAATTCTTTTACTTAAAAATCCGCAAAAGATGTCCGCAAAAAAATTTTTTTTAATTTTCAAAATTTTTCAACCCTCTTTTCCCCACAATTTTTAATCTAAAAAATAATTATTTTCTACCCAAATAAGCTTAAATTATTTTTTATTGTAATTTCTTCTTTTTTTGTTCAACTTTATTCCAAGGATTAACTGGATTGGAATAATGAGATGATGAGAAGGGTAATTTTTTATTGTTGTTGATATAAACAAGAGGATTTTCCCTCTTACAAAAATAATTATATAAAACTTGGGGAAAGAGATTTGCTTCGAAAAAAAAAGATTTCTTTTTTCAAATTACTGGTCATTTGCTCATTTTTGTACGCCAAAAATAGGAGACAATAAAAGTAATTATTTAGGGGAATTGGTTGGGAGAAATGGCGGAAAGAAATTTTTTGTTATTAAAATTAAAAAAATAATGAGAGGAGGGGTGAGAGAGTGGAAATTTGTTTAAAAAATAATTGAATTAAAAAATATTTTTACCAAAAATCCCACCCCCTCCCAAAAAAATTTTCTTTCAAAGATTTAAGAAGGAAAACAAAAATAGGAGTGTCCCTCTAAAAATTCCATAAAAATTTGAGAAATTAAAGTGAAGAAGCCACTCTCCAAGTGCGTAGCCGGGGGGGCTAAAATAGAGAAAAGGTGGGAAGCCAAAATTATGAGAATTTTGGAGGTTGTAGGCGAAAAAAATTTCAGGGGGGGGGGGCTCTCAAAATTTCCAATTTCTCCCATCTCGAAGGGTTTCAGTCTCCCACTCCCCCTCTCAAAAAAAAATAAAAATTAAAAAAAACCTTTATCTCCATTATGATACACTCTCCTCAACCAATCTTTAAAAGTTAAAGCATCTGAAAACCTCGAAGTTGTTGATAAAATTTTTTCTTGTGAATTTCCAAAATTTTGTTGTTGTTTTTGTGAACTCATTACAGGAATTGCTCGATGCCTACTCTTTTTTGTTCGAAACAACAAAACTTCTCCTTCAGAGAGGGCACGGCGATCGAGTAGAAAAAGTCCTTTAAAAATTTTTAAAATAAAAATTTTAAAATTTTTGGGCCGAAAATTTATGAAAAATTTTTGGAAAAAATCTAAAAAATCCTAGGGTGGCAGAAAAAAATCAATAAATTTCCCCTAGCCTCAAAAAAAATTTTTTATTAAATTCTGGAATTTTTTGGATAAAAATTAAAGAAATTTTTTTATAAATCCCAAGCTTTCAAGAATTGAAAATAATTTTTTTGAACTGAAATTTTTTAAAAAATCCAAGGCCTACAGGAATTCTAAAAAAATCCAAAAAAAAACCCCCAACCTCCCTCCGATTGAACATGTCCAGGAAGCCATTCAGCAAAATTAGTTTCATCATGTAATTGTTGTTGTTCTCTCCTTTCCCGTTTCTCGTCATAATTTAAAGAATATGCAGAAGAAGAACTACCTTTAAAATTTTTTAAAAATTACAGACGGATCACACTTATTAAAAAAAATTATTTTCTTAACCTGAGACTTGCAGAAGAAATATTAAAAAATTAAATAAAATTCGAAAAATAAATCTAATTAGCATTTTCAAGTAATGAATTGAATAAAAATTTATTTTTATTGTTGTTGTTGTCAAATTTTAAAATGCTAATAAAAAGCATTCCTTTTTTAAATTCAAAAAAATAAAATAAATTTAAAACAAAAAAAAAACAATGCATTTTAAAAATTAAATTAAGGGGAGAGAGAAGCTTCTTCAAATTTCGAATAAAATAAAAAAGGTTGTAATAAATAGTAGGGGGGATAAAATTGAAGAAAGGAAATTTAAATAAAAATTGATTAGAGAGACAAAAAATTTAAAAAAAAAAGTCAAAAATTTTAAGAAAATAAATTTTCTTAATTTTTTAAAAATTATTTTTCTTTCTTTAAAAATTATTTCGCGCATAAAAGTAAAAGCAATTTGCATACAAAATTATTTTTCGACAAGGAAAAGGAGGTGGTTGGATGAGGGGCGGAGAAGGAAGAAAAAATAAGGAAAGAAAAATAAGGAAAGAAAAAATATTATTATTTAGATGAAGCTTACAAAATAAATAATGAGAAGCAGCTGGAGAGTTAGTAGAGAATTGAGGTGTAATCAAAAATTAAAAGGAAAATTTTTTTTAAATATTTCCAAAAATTAAAAAATTTCTTTGAAAAATAGCCTCCAAAGTCAGACCACACTTACCCCAAAATTCCTAAAAAATTCCACAAGAATCGAATCCCCTCAATTTTGCTATCATTCGACGCAGCTTGAAGAGCTTCATCGAATGATACCGAAATCGAAGAGATTTCACTCCTAAAAAATTTTTTTCTGAGGCTCGGAGTAAGCGTTGTTGGTGGTTCACCTTGTCTATCTCAATTAAAATAAAAAAAATTTTTTTTTCTCAGAAAATGGTCACCTTTTTTCTAAAATATTTTCGGAATTTATTGTTCTCTCCCTCTTTTTAAAAATATAAAACCCAAGAAAAATAAAAAGAAAAAAATTTTTTCAAATAAAAGGTTTCCAAGGAGGCATGTTGGTCAACCAACAACATGCTTGGTTGAATAGAAAAGGTTTTAAATTTAACAAAAAAGGTATCTTAAAAAGAATTTGTGGACACAATATTCTAAGGTTTAGTGTGAAATAGAGCTGTAAATATTTTAATAAAAAAATAAAATTTAAAAAAAATTCAAAAAAAACTTTCAACGAAAAATTGATTTAAAAATAGTAACTAAAAATTTTAAAAAAATCTTTAAAAAATTCTAAGTCATTTTAAATAGCTAAATAGAAAAAAATAAAATTTTTTAATTTAAAATAAATTTTAAAAAATTCTAGAAATTTTTTTAAAATAAAATAAAAATATCCAAAAAATTTAAAAAGACCTAAAAATCGAAAAAAAATATTTTCAAATTTAATATAAATTTTTTTTCAAATTTTATTTTTTGTGGGAAAATGCCATAGGCAATTTAACAGCAAAATAATTCCAAACCAAGTGAAGCTTAAAATTTAGTAAAATATTTTTATTAAAAAAAATAATAAAATGTGTATAGCTTAAAAAATAATTTTTTTTTAATTTTTTGAATTTTATAAACAACAAAAGACACTGATTGAAACAAAGCAAAAAATGCAAAACTGCGCGAAATAAAAATTTGAAAAAAAAAAGAAAAAAAATTTTTTGGATGATCAGAGATACATAAATAAATTAAAAGTAATAAATTAACTTTAAACAGCGGGAAATTGCTGTTCGGACAGAACAAAAAAAAATTTAAAAAAAAAAGTTTGGATTGAGGTTAATTTGAATTCTTTAAAAAAATTAGTTTTAAGAGAGGTTTAGAAAGAGTAAGAACAAGTTTAGAAAAATCATAGAGGGGTTAAAAGAGTTTAAAAAAATTAAGAAGTGTAGAAAGATCCTAGAAAATTTTTTAAAAATTTTTAAAAATTTCTAGAAAAGTTAAAAAGAGTCTAAAAAATTATTTAAAATTTTCTAGAGGGTTGAGAAGAGTATAGAAAATTTTTTAAAAAATTAGAAAGGTCTAGAAAAATTTCAAAATAATTTTCTAAAGAGTCAGAAAGAGTTTAGAAAATTAAAAAATATTTACTAAGGTCAGGAGTCTAGAAAAAAATTTAAAAAAATTTTTTAAAAAGGTTAAATGATAAAGAAAAAATTTTTTAATTAAAATTAAGTCATATTTATATTTCAAAAAAATTTTTGAATTTATTTTTCGATTTTGTTGACTTAAAAAAATAAATTTTTGGGTTTAATTTAATTGTATTTTTCTAACCAAAAATAAATAAAAAAATAAAAATATGGCTCTAATGAGTATGAAAAATTCGTCTCTAAACAATTAACTGCTTTTTTCACTGATTTAAATTGACAGGAAGGTAATAGAAAAAAAAATAAAGACGACAAAAAAGACGAAAAAACTGCCCTAAAACTAAATATAAATTGCGCATTCTTGGACGATTGGAGAAAAAAAAATAAAAAAGTGTTGATTTTTAAATAAAAATATGGTTCAAAATAAAATTCACTTTTTAATTTCTTTGAAAAAAAATTTTTTTTAATTACAAAAATTAAATTTCACTTAAAAAATAATTCAAAAATATTTTTAAAACTCCAAAAATAATTCTAGAATATCAAAAAACATCTTAAAAATCCCCGAAAAAATTTTTATATATCAAAAATTATTTTTTTCAAAAATATTTTTAATTTCTAAGAATTCCAAAAATTAAATTTCACCTAAAAAATAGCTCAAAAATATTTTTAAAATCACCCAAAAATAATTCTAGAGTATCAAAAATATTTTAAAAATAGCCAAAAAAATATTTTTAAAATCCTCAAAAAAATTTTTTTTCAAATATTTAAAAAATATTTTAAATTTTTAAAAATTATTATAGAATAAGAATAAAAAATCTAAAAATTATTTTAGAATAAAAAAATCATCACCAACACCACAAATTAACAAAATGCGCAACAATCGCTAGAGGGGAAGAAGAGATTTTTGGGAGAATAACTAAAAAGTAATTGTCGGAGTCAATTTATATACTTTTTTCTTTTAATTTTAACCTTACATTTCCTATAAAAACAAAAATTTCAAAATTAGAAAAAAAAGAATTTGCGCATCAGTTAAAATCTTCCCTTCCCCCCTTAACTTGTTGCGGTGCTATCAATCGACTCAGTGAAACGGAAGTTGAAAAAAAAAAATAAATTAAAATTAAAAGAAAAAATAACGGAAATTAATTTATATGCGAAACGGAAATTTACAAAAAAAAATTGAGTATTTTATGATTTTGTGGTAATGATAAATTTGACATGCTTAAAGGTTAAAAATTAAATAATTATCGGAAAATACAAAATTTCGGAAAATACAAAAATGGAAAAAACAATTGATACAACTGTAAAATACATTCCGGAAAAAACACAAAAATAAATAAATTGAAAATTCGGAAAGGAAAGGGAAAACACTGGAAAATACAAATATTCCGGAAAACACAAATAAAAATAATTCAAAAATATTCTGAAAAATAGGCAACAAAACAGAAAATCATAAAACAAAAAATACAATCCGGAAAAATAAAATTACCAAAAATACAAATATTCCGGCAAAAATACAAAATAATTCAGAAATGTTTTGGAAAAATACAAATCAGGAACAATTCCGGAAAATACAAATAAATGCTCAGGAACAAATAAAAAATACAAATAAATATTCCGGAAAATACAAAAATAAGTAAAAACCTAATAAAAATACAACCGGAAAAAATACAAAATTAATTAAAATTTTATAAAAAACACAAAAAAATACTTTCCGGATTATTTCTAAATAAATATAAAATTTTTTTATTAAATGTTCTGGGAAAATAAAAAAAGAAAAACCACAAAACAATTAAACTTGTACAAACAAAAATTAGGTAAAATTAAGGGAAAACAATTAATAAAAAAATTTCTTTTTAAGAAAAAAATACCGCCGTGCATGGAAAACAAAAAAAAAGTGTTGTAAAAATAAAGCAATAAATCTTTTCTTTATTTTTTCTATTTTTTTAAACATTTATTTGTAGGTGGGTTACCGAAAAAAAATTTTTTTGACATAAAAATTAATTTTTTTTTTATTTTTTTTTATAATTTTATTATGATTAAATACCTGTGAAAAAAATTAAAAATAAATAAATAAAAAAAAGATTTTTAATATATAATTAAATTGGTATTTAGGTGATGGACGGAAAAGGACAGGTTTAAAAGCATCAAAAGAAGAAAATGAGAAAAAAAGTGATTGAAGAAAATTAAAAATGAATGAGAATAAAATTAAAGAAAAAATATCCGCAGAGATCGTTTATAGCAAGTTTAGAGGGGGAGATTTTTGTATTTTAATTGCAAAAATAGGAATAAATTAAAAGAAGTTAAAAGAAGTTTAAAAATACATATTTAAATAAGAACTGTTCCGGAAAATACAAACAATAAAGTAATAAAATACAAAATAAAACGGAAACAAAAATAATTCCGGAAAATACAAATAAAAATTAAGCGTAAAAATACAATCCGGAAAAATATCAGAAAATACAAGTAAAATAATTCCGGAAAATACAAATATAGAGAATTACTAAATGAAAAAATACAATCCGGAAAAATACAATATAATCCGGAAAACAAAAATACAAGTAAAATAATTCCAGAAAATACATTAGAGAATTAAATGAAAAAATACGATCCGGAAATTGTATTAGTAAAATAAAACATAAAGTTAATCCGGAAAATACAAAATTATAAAATTTCAGGAAGTAAAATACACACAAAAATACAGAAAAAACCAAAAAAAAAGAGAGAAAAATACAAATTTAATAAAAACCTAAAATACAAAAATCAGAATATTCATCAATCTTTAATTTTCCCCCTTTAAAATAATCGTAAAATTGATTGGCAGTCGATCAAGCATAATATATTTATTTATTTTAATGTGTTTTTAGGGGTGTAATTTTCTACGAGAGCAACGGCGCGAAACAATATTAAAAATGCTTGGATATATTACGCGCAGCAGAAGTTTATATTTATTTTGGGGGGAATGATTGGAAAGAATTTTTAACCTTGACTAATAAAACTTGTGGTAGGTGTAAGTGACAGTTAGGCGCCTAGAACAGAAAAAAAAAATTTTTTTGAAAAATCGAAAAATCAAAAAAAATTAGAAAATTAGAAAAAAATACTCTTAAAAATCCAAAAAAATTTCAGAAAAAAATTTTCGAATTTCCAAGGAAATTTTGGCAAATGTCAGTAGATGTCTCCTACCTGTGCAATTTTCTTGAAAATTTTTTCTAAATAATTTTTAAAATTTTTTTCGAAATTTTTT